TGACGGTACTGGGTTCGGGTGGAGGAAGGGTTTGTGTTTACCGGTGAAGATGCGGCAGTTGACTGCGGACGCGATTGGGCAGATGTGGCGGATTCGGAGGTGGCGATGGAGGAGCTGGAGAAACGTTTGTCGGCGATGGCGGCGGATGTGGATGCTGCAGCGGCGGTGGCTGCTGCCGCCACGTTTGTGCCGTTCTTCAGATCGTACGGTTTCGGCATCGGCGGTGCAGGCGCCTGCATGTGCGGCGGCAGCGCGTACATCTGCTGCGGATTCGAAGCGGATCGCGACCGACTGTGCGTTGCACCCGAATCCGAGATGGTGCGCGACATGCTCGAGGCGCTCGAATCGCCTCTTGGTCGTGCTGTCGCTGAACGGAAGTCGCTGGATGCAGAGTCGGAGGATCCGTCGAGGTACTCGACTGCACCCCCGTCGACTCCAGCTGCGCGGTGCGTTCGCGGGTGGCCAGCCGCTGCCGATGCGTTGCCTTGCACGGCGCCGTTGGGCTGCTGCCGCAGATGGCGCGAAGAGCTGGCTTTGCGCAAGGCGTGCTGATGCTGATCCGCGCCAGACGAGTAGCTGAGTCCCCGAGGCATGGGTGGGGCCACAGCCGGAGAGTTGGATCTCCACTGAGCCATCACGGCCGAATCCTGATCCTCGGTGCGAGCACGCGGCTTCAAGTCGTTATTGTTGCCGTGCACGCCGTTGCTGGCAGACGAGTTGCCGCGCTCGCGACCCTCGGAGCCAGGCTGCGAGAAACGACCTTGCGCCGCGGGCGTGGCACGCCCGGAAGCGGGCTCGTAGTAGCTCTGACCTTCCGAATCGTCGTCGTCGTAGCGGTACGAGCTCGCCTGACTCTGCGTGCGCGACAGACCCGACGGCGGCAGGACTGCGCTGGTGAATGGGTTGGCGGGCGCCATCTCTGATAGCGGCGTCTGCGGGAAGTGCGAGGTTGTCTGCGTGATGCGTCGTCCCAAGGCGCCTGCTCCGGCCATGTTGATGCTTGGCTGTGGGTGCTGCTGCTGGTGCTGCAGCTGGTGCTGCAGCTGGTGCTGTAGCTGCTGTTGGGAGTAGTGATGTGCGGCTGCCTGCTGTCGTCGCATGTTGACGTCGTCGATGAGCTTGTTGATGGCCGTCTGCCATTGCTTGAGCTGCTCCTCGTTTTTGCATTTCAACGCAAACGACTCGTGGTCCACGTCGCCTCTCCACCACACTTGGAGAGCGTGCTGCCCGCTGGGTGCACCCAGGATGCTGCTCATCTTGGAGTTGGCGAAAGCTCCGGTGACGTTGTTGATGAAGATGCGTCCCTTGAGCTGGAGTGTGGTCTTTGCCTTTTTGCCACCTGCTGCTCCTCCCGGTCCATTCTTTTGCTTGAGGAGCGAGTTGTTCTTGGCAGACTTTTTCTGCGCGGCAGGCGCGAGCTCCTTACAGCAGAGCAGGATCTTTTCGAAGAGGTAGACGTGATATTCCCTCTCCGTCTCGCTCTTTGCCACCATGAACACGTCCGAGAGCAGCAGCAGACCGAACGTCTTGATGTTGTGGCCTTTCCAGTCCTCGACGCGGAATTCGAGCTCCTTGACGAGCTGCGCATTCTCCTGGAGTCGACTTGTCTCGTTCACCTTGTCGGTGATCCTGCGCATGACCTCGAGACCATCCTCGAGCTCCTGATAGCGAGGTGCATCTTCAGGAGTCTTTTTGAGCAGCTGGTCGAGCAGCAGAGGGTATTTGCAGATGCGCTGCACGGGCTTGATCATGAAGGTGGGCAGCTCGTACGCCGGGTCGAGGTAGCATCCCTCGGCGGAAGGCGTGCCTTTGAGTCGCACCAGATTGTGGGCTTCCTGCGTGATGAGGTCGAGTGCGAGGTTGTAGTTCGCACAGAAGGGCTCGTACACCGAAAAGTCGTCCTCCATGGTCATGAAGACGTGACCGAAATGCTGCTCGTCCGGTGGCCGGCGGACGTTCTCCTCGACGCAGATGAGGAAGCGTCTTTGCACGTCGACGAGCTTGTTGAGGTTGCCAAACAGGTTGTGGAGCGTGTCGGGGGGCAAGATGTCGTGCTGTGCAAGAGCGCGTGCGTAGTTCTGCATGACCTCGAGGTCTTGGACGTACTTTCGCTCCGTGGTCAAGAGCTCGCGAATGACTTTGGCGCGATCGTCGGAGGGATGATCCAGATCGTCATTGTCGCTCTTGCGATTTGTCTCGATGAGCAGACCGCGATCTTCAAAGACATCCAGCAGACGATTGATGGTGCGTACGACCTTGACAAAGCCATTGGTGTCGTTGAGGTAGAGCTGGGATACGGTGAAGATGTCGTCAGGGTCCCAGCCGAGTTTTTCCTTCAATGCGATGATGAACTTCATCACCTGGGCCTTGCACGCGTTGGCATTAGAGCGATTTGCATCTGGATTGACTGGCAACTCGACGTCGGGGTTCATGGTATTGAATAGCGCGCAGAGGGGCGAGCCGAGACGGAAGCACTGCCAGAGCTGAGTGACGGGATCGCTGCTCGCCTTTCGCGTTGGTGCATCCGTTGGCGAAGTGGGGCTGCGGGCTGATGGGGAAAGGGGGTCGGAGTTGGAGGTAGACGAGACGGCCGAGCTGGCGGACAATTCGTCGAGATAGGCTTCGCCGAAGCCTGGCACCGAGTAGAGACGATCGCGCAGATTGAGGCATGCCTGGTACAGTGAGGAGCCGGCCACGGCCTGCTTGTTGGCGATTGTGTTGGCTGCGGCAGGTGCGCCCGCCATGAGTGGAGCACCTCCAGGGCCGATCAAGGAGGATCCGATGCCGCCGTCAGCAGAGCTGCTAGCCATGGATGAAGTGATGGACGAGCTCATGCCTGGCAGTGGAGAGGGTGCGAGGGGCATGGTGGCTGCGGAGAGCGTTGTGGGATCGAAAGCAGGTGACGAGGCGGCGGAGAAGGATTGCTTGCGCACGGATCGAAATGGCAGTGATGTGGACGCAGCCATACTGTGGCGAGGTAGACTCTAGAAGAGCTTGAAGGAGAACAACTGACAGTGACTGCTGTGCTTCGGTGATGGAGCTCTACGGAGATCGGACCGTTGCAGTCTGTCGGTAGGGCCAAAATTCAGGGTACACAGGGCCTCGTGAGATTGTCGAGCTATCGTGCGTGTGCAGTGTGAGGTGCGAGCGATGCCGAAGCCCAATTGCCGCGACCAGATGAGGTGACAAGAGTCACGAGGCAATTCGAAAAAGTTGCGGGACAAGCGGATGGTTCGGCGGATTGCGCGAAGCGCGTCGAGGCCCGGACACGAAGGGCAGACGCCAAATGAAACGTAAAGAGGCTGCTCTGAGGCGCAAGGTTCGAGTGAACGGATGCAAACGAGACTATCGGGGCACTAGTTAAAGAAGGTGTCGCAAGGAGCTGAGCAACCGAGTGGATGGAAAAGCTGTTGTGCGAGTGCGAGGTCCGATGGTCATGGAGTCAAGACTGCACAACTGCTTCCTGTGGTGATTGTCTGGAAGGTGCGGAGCGTGGGGAGAGGCGACAGTGCAGACAATGCGAATTGCCAGGATGATGTGGCAGCTGAGACGGAACAGGCGGATGGAAAAGTTGCTACGAATCAGAGAGCGGCGATCCAGTTCGAGGTACAAAAAAGGGAATGCTTGAAGGTGAGCGGCCGTGGTGGTTGTGTACAAGGACGGTGGAGAGGGTGACGACGGAGAGGCTCGAGGATGATGATGATTGCGGTTGTGGTTGTAGTGAGTAGTGAATGTGGTACAGTGGTGACGATGGTGGTGGCTGAATGGAGTATCGACTCGAGATTAAGCGCAGAGAACGAGATGCAACCAGAAAACAAAGAAAAATAAAAGAGGGGGAAAGCGGAGAGCGACGAGGCGAGGCGAGGCGAGGCAACGCATAGCAACGCAAGGCAATGGACGGCGATACTGACGCAGGGCGTGAACCAGAGCCAGGGATCCAGTCCGACACGCTTGTTCGCGCGGCGGCGGCGTTAGTCAAACACCAAAAAGGGCGGATCCAGATTTGAAACAAGGCAAGGGGGAAGCGGCAAAGGTGACACACAAGCGTCGCACTAGCACTCTAGCACACAGCGACGAGTTGGCTAGCTATTTTGCGTGTCTTGTTGCTGCTGGTTGCGTGCGTGTGTGCGTGTGTGCGTGCGTGGTTGCGTGTGTGTGTTTTGTGGATATCTGAATGCGTTGGCGCGTTTTCTGTATACAGCGCCAAATCTGGACCGGTTTCGGGTCGGTCGAGTCGCTCAAAATGGGTTTGGTTCGTTTCTGACAGTCGGCCAAGCCGCCCCTCTGCCAGTCTGTCTGTCTGTAATTGAGTTACGGTTGGAATTTTCGGAGACACGCAGGGGGGTTGCATCACTTGAGCTTGCGGGACACAGCACAGCAGACGGGACGTTGGCCTCGCATGGCAGCGCAGCCTTTTTGCTTTTCATTCACGAACATTTGGAAATGTCATTCTGCGCTGTCGTGTACGAACCAACTTGGGACGCCTCGATATGTCTCGTAGGATCTTAGGTCAGCTGCTGCTAATATGTTGAGGGTAGACTGTGTCAAGCAAGCCATCTGCCGTTCTGCCATGCTCGTTCAACCAGCAGCCGAGCCCGCAGCGTCGTCAAGCTCTTGCATGCTTGCTCCCGAGCTCTGACTTGATTGAAAGGCTAATATGGTTCCGTTCTTGCTGCATGGCCACCGCCGAAGGGCGACAGACGTTGTGTCTTTGTTCTCCTTCGACCATCAATCATCAAGTGTCAACTTCGAAGAGGGGCTTGCGTCTGCTACGTCGATTTGGTTCGGTCGGCAGAGGAGAGGACAACGGCGCATCCGCAGCGTCGGACGCGATGCGGAGAGCCAGGAGCCGTGCAGGGCTCAGGCGGCTGAACCCGAAGTCAAAAATGAATTCACAACGCGGATGCAGAGTGCTGTGCGCACCGAGCAAGCGGCCCCTTTCTCGAGCCCTGTGGACCGATTCAACCAGACTGGCGCCGAGTGCCCCCAGGCTTCGAACTCGCTCATGCGCCCTCGGTGAGTGCTTTTCGCAGAAAAGGGATGAGAAAATAAAAATAAAAACAAAACAAAACAATCGAACCTCTATTCTTTCGAGCAGTCCGAAGTCTGATTCACGCTGTGTAGATCTTGGACCCTCGAAATTATTTATGCTTCCTGCCGACTCGAAATCCGCACCAGAAATAAAGGCGTAGAAAATCCAGCTGCAAAAACAAATGATTTGCGCCTTGCCCACGTCCACGCGACTTGCCAGCGGGCTGAATCAAAATCCGGTTGTCCAGCGATTCATCGCGACTTGGGCCATTCCGTTGCAGCGGAGTAAGCGCAACCAGACACCCTCGGATGCTAGCGCGACGCACCTTTCTCGGCGTTGTAGGGTGGTCCACAGGGTAATCGAGAACGGAACGGAGATGACCGTGTCGGTTGCGATGCAGAGAGAAATACGCACCTAGCACGCGTTGCGTTCTCGAAGCAGGCGGCTGTGCTCCTATTGGCCGGTCGTGGCAGTGACGGGACAGCTGCAGATCCTCGATTCCTACTTGCGCTTAGTGTCTTTTGCATCACGACGAGGGCGGTACCTATCAAGCCCGGACTCCGAAGTCGCATCGTGTCAAGGTCCCGACACGGCCTTTCATCTTCATCGATCCAAGCAGATGCGAAAAACAAACACCAACAGCATCCGACGTTTTCTCGCCGATCTATTTGTGGCGGTCGACTAGCGTGTATATTTTCCAAGCGGTAACCGCGACCGCGACCGACGCTCGGCTAAAAAATCCGTTTCGTCTTGGTGTTTTGGTTCAAAAGATCGCGATCGACAAACTTCCCGAGAAGCAATGCAGCAAGGCTGTACGCGAAGCTCGGGTGCGTCTTCTTCTACACTCGGGTCAATTCTTGGCGACAGATCACGCCGAGCATGCTTGATCTGTCGGGGTCGGAAGCAGCCGAGATTCATCCGTTGCTCCGTTCCGACGGACGGACCCGCCGAGCTTCTGCTTCCTGCTTGATCTGATATGCGGCTCAATGCCGGGTTCGATCTGCGAATTTGTCCGCTGCTAAGAAATGGGTCAGATGCGGCGGCGACCTAAGCTTCCTACGAAGCGCAAAGAGGGCTTGCAGGGAGGTTCACACTTCTGCCACGATCAGGACCGAGATGCGTGAGGATATGCATAATTAGATTGAGGGTGGGCATGGTACAGGCGAGTGCATGAAGTGCCCACGTCAAACAGCTTTTCCTTTGCCCTTGGCTGCACGCCTAGCTGCCGCCGCCTCGTCTGCCTTCCCGGCATCACCGTCAACAGCATAGCCCTCGACTGCAGCCACAGAATCATCGCCATCGGCGGCTGTCTCGCCATTAGCAGCTGCCATCAACTGCCGGAGCCCACCAGCATTACCATTCAGTCCCCGTGCAGCCTTCATCGCCTCCAGTAACGTTTCCTCATCCACCAGTCCGTTCCCCTTCTGCTCCTCCTTTTTCGTGTCATCTTCCTTCTTCGGACTGGAGAATTTCGCCTGAACCTCGCGGTAATGCTGCATCTCCTGTTCGCTCACCGAAGGGGTCAACTCCCTCAACGCACCTTCAAAGTCTTTCCTGCCCACCTTCACTTCGATCTCCTCCTTGCTCGCCATCTCGGCCAAGTAGTACTGGGCGGTCAACGGGTGTGGATGATCCTTCTTGCCTCCTTGCTCGTTGATCCTTTGAATCTTTTCATCCACTTCGCTCGCCTTGCGCGTCATAGCTTTCAACATTGCGTCCGAGCAGAGTGCGTAGAAATCGGCTCCCGTCAGGTTGAACGGACACTGTTCGGCGATGATGCTGAGATCTCCTACGTCCGGGTCGAGTTTGAACTTTCTCGTGAGAGCCTGCAGGATGTTCAGTTGGGCAGCGTGAGTTTCGCTGACGGAGAGGTAGAGCATTCGATCGAACCGTCCCGGTCGTAGCAACGCTGGATCGAGCAGGTCCGGTCGATTCGTAGCGCCGATCACGAAGACGTCGCTTCCTTCCGATGAGCCGGCCATACCGTCCAATTCAGCGAGAAGCTGCGAGACGATTCGATCCATGACACCGCCACTGTCTCCTTGATTACCACGTTTCGGCGCAACGGAGTCCAGTTCGTCGAAAAAGATGACGCAAGGTTTGGCATCTCTTGCTCGCTGGAACACTCGTCGAACGTTGGCCTCCGATTCACCGATGTACATGTTGAGCAGTTCCGGTCCTTTGACAGAGAAGAAGTTGAGAGAGCAAGAGGTCGCAACGGCTTTGGCCAGCAGCGTTTTTCCTGTTCCTGGTGGTCCGTAGAGTAGGATACCCGACCGTTTCTTCAGACCGTCGCTGAAAAGTTCGGGATGTTCGAGTGGCAGTTGGATGGTATCGAGAATGTCGGATTTAACAGAAGCGAGTCCTCCCACATCGTCCCATGTCACGTTGGGAATCTTGGGCGCTCCGATGGATTCCGAGTAGCTCGAGCGCGCTTTGTTCAGCGCTTCATCTACATCGGCACCTGTGATGGCGAGTCCGGCGAGGTACAAATCGCGATCCGAGATGACAGATGCTGATGTGGGAAGCGATTTGCGTACACGGCTGACAGACATCAGCTTGGACCTCGAAGCAAGGTTGACCAGATCTGCAGCCACCAGTGCCGCCGTCTGCGTAGCGAGGTTCTTGAGGTCGACGTCGGGGCCCAAGATGGAATCCTTCATCGTGATCTCGAGCATGGCGCGTCTTTCAGCTTCGTTGGGTGCATTGAACGTCACCTCGTGCTTAAAGCATCCAAGCACACCAGAGGGACACTTGTCCGGGTCGCTAGTGGTACCAAAGACAGCTACGGGCATGCTCGCCTGTCCATCGCCTTGCTGTTTGGTGACATTCCAGAGCTCCTCGAAGCAGTTCTGCAGCGCAGTGGCTAGAGGAGGCTCTTGGCCTGTCTCGAGCGCCTGGCTTTTTCTTGCGAGAGCTTCAATGTTTCGCAGCAAAAAGATGCAAGGTGCGCACTCGGCTGCTTTCTGGAAGCGGGCTCGCAGGATGCCCTCGGTGCGCACATCCGTGTCCGAGATCACATCGAAGCAGTCCAATTCGACCAGTTGCACACCGGCAGCCTTGGCGACCCACCGCGTCACCGTCTTTTTGCCACAGCCTCGCGCGCCTTTGAGCAGCACGCTCAGATGCAGCCCGAATCGGCTCGCGTTACTCTGCAACGTCGCAGTGAGCAACGACGAGAGGGTCCCATAGGCGCTCGAGGGTGCTACGAGCGGAGCCACAAGTGTTCGCAGCTCCGAAGACGTCGCGTCCGTGGGCAAGCTAGGCGTGTCGGAAGAGACGCCCAGCCAGCGATCGCAGTTGGCAACGCGACACTGTTCCACGCCCGTTTGCACCATCTTTGTCACATTCGGATCAACGATGCACCCGAGCTCGCCGACCTGCGATTGCAACGCGAGCGCACCGATCGCTTCGTCCTTGTGCTGGTTCGCCGCTGCGGTATCGGGCGCAACCAGCTCGCATCGCAAGTCGGTCACTTTGAAGTAGACCGTAGCGGTCTTGGCTGCTCCGGAACTGGATGGAAGCTTGAGTTCGTGAATGTCGTCCGGTGTTGAGTCTGTATTGCCGTCCTGCTCGGCATCCCTGCTGACGAAGCGAGCTTTGCTGGCTTCGATGGCGACGGCGATGACGTCGCCGTTTCGACAGATGCGTCTTCGATCCTCGAAGAAGGTGCGTAGAGCGTCGAGGAAGAGGCCCTGGTATGCGCGGTCTACGCTCAATGGTCCTGCAACGCGAGCGATGCGGAGACTCTCGGCGAAGGGCACGGGCACGGGACAGGATCTCACCAGCGCCGATACGTCCTGCTGTTGTGTCGGTGGTCGCGATGCAAGCACCCGGAGCACGACGCTCAGAGGCGAACTGGAGAACACCTGATCTCCGAGGATGTTTTGCGCGAGAATGGGTGACATCCACAGTGCTAAGGAGCCGTCTGTAGATGAAGGCAGGCTCTGACTGGAGAGGATGCGCACCAGCCTTGTCCTCGATTCGCCGAGTGCGCTGGCTGCCAGCCAATCTCCATTGAATGCACCAAGAGATGCCATATCGCGCTCTGTGGCCAGCACCACGTTCTCCTCGTCAATGTTGTCCTGTGCTGTGCCGATGATAGTTGACGCTTCGGAAGCGCCGCTAGCTTGCGTGTGCCAGTGAGAGATGGCTGCTACCAGCGAGGAAGGGTCTGAAAGCTGTTGCAGTGTACACCTTTTCACTCGGCTGACGTCTTTGGACCGATGCGATGGGACGAGTGCGGCGTTACCATCCGCAGGTGGATCGATGGAGATGTCGAGATTGGAAAAATCTTGCAAGACTGTTTGGGCGAGAAAACGTTCATCGATCTCGAGCTCGTCCTCATCTTGGAGCTCGTCGGCGCTGTCCGAGCCATCGTTGACCGCTATGCCTACCTCGCTTGCGGATGCAATCGAGAAAGAGTCCTCCGAGACGCTCCACATCATGGAGCTGTCGGCCATGTCTGCGTCGCTGCCATCGCCCTGCAGCGTGAGGAGAACGTCGGTGGAGTCTGCGACGAATGCAGCTTGCAGAAGAGGTTCGAGCATGACGACTCGAAGGGGAACGACCGAAGCACGGAGCTGCGGGCGGACGAGATGTCCTTGCCGGAGGATCTTACCACTGAGCTGTCGAACCAGCTCGTCCTGGTGCTCGTTTGCCGCATCGTAGCTTGCTTGTGATGTCGCTTGCAGGTACACAAGGGAGCCATGGACGAGTGTATGTGCTTCAACGCAGACGCGCTTGCCTTGCTCGGACCGGTAAGCGCGGGATGAGGAGGCCAAGGAGGGTATGATGTGCTTTGAAGCCTCAAGCCAGAGTCCCGCGTCATTCCGGCTGCTTTTGACGGCATATACTACCCACGCAGGAAGATTGGATGGCCGCAACGGTCGTCCCGACGATGGCCGCAAGCTAACTGCGATCCTTTCGGACGAGGCATGGGTTGAAGTTGACGCAGACGAAACGTTCGAGCTCGAATGGTGTAGATGGTCCCATAGAGCGGCGGATACAGCCACGACCTGGTCGGCAACTGCCTCTCGCTCGCCGACGATGAGGTCAACGACGAGCTCGCGTGTTGGCAGAGCAGGAATCGTCATTGTCGAGGATCTGCCCACGCCTCAAAGCAACGCAAGCCGCTGTTTGTGTTTCCGAAGTCCAAGAATGGGAGAAGTGGCGGGAGAGGGGGAGAGAGAGAGACGAGAATACGATGGTGCTGGGGATGTGTGGAAGAACGTTTGGACCCGCGAGCTTTGCATTCCGAAAATGGCGGATTCGGCTTGAAAGACATCGGATTGTGGGCACCGAAAGTGTGGAGAAGACAGTTGCGGTGAATTCGACAGGCGGACAAAGCGCGTGAACGAGGCCTACCGTAACGGGCGGCCTCTCTCTGGACGTGAGAAGAACGTCTGAAAAGGCTTTCAGCGTTGCACAAGTCGGGCAGCGCTGTTGGCCGGCTCCGGTTGCACCGGCGAAATATCGCACCGGCTCGCCTTCCGAAAGCAATTCAACTCAGCCACCCACCCAACATCAGTACCTGCTGTCCCTCACTTCGACGGATACCGAACGATGCAGCGAATCAGTGAAGGTACGCTTGTGTGTCCAAGACGCAAAGTTCTCTCGATATCTTCCCTGACGAGAAGCTCGAAGGACCAGACGTTGAAGAGTCATGGCCTCTGTGGGACAATAAAATATTTGACTGTTAAACTATTACCAGCACGTGATCTGAGCATGGGCCCGCCGAAGAATTTCATCTTCATGTCGATTGATGCAACTTTGCCTTCTTCCTTCTGCGCAACCCACCATCGTCTCCAGCTCGACAGCAAGGATCCATATTCACGCCAGAGTCGATACTATGGCGAGTCAAGAAGATACCGACGATCTCTACGCTGATCTGTATGGTGCAGATGTTGCTGGAGTAGGCGATGGAGAAGGCGACGATCAGCCTCACGCCGTTGATGAGCAGGATCTTATCGGATACGAAGAAGACGACCAGAAGACCGATAAAAGCGCAGCAAAGGTGGTGGACGCCAAGCCAGCCGCAGCAGCAGCCAGCACGACTTCGTTCATCCCCGCCGCCCCGTCGGCTCCTGCGCAACAGGGCGAAGCGGGTCTGCAGATCAAAGGAAGCTTCATTCCTCCGCCGGCGGCAGCCAGTTCAGCGACTCACTCGCATAGCGATGTCCGCGACTTGACGCCAGCTAGCCACAATGATGCTTCCTCGAATCAGCAGTCTACTTCGCAACACGCGCATGGAGCAGGTGACGGCGGCGGCGAACGGCAGAATGGCGGTTCGGACGATCGATCTGTCATGCCGCACGAGATGCCTGAAGAAGGGTGAGTTTTGCATTCATAGGATTGTCTCTCCCACTGACTGATTACGACGTAGCAACGAGAACAAGATGGCTCCTAGGCGCAAATACCAGGAAGAAGGCTTGTTCTCATCGTGCCTACGACTGCGGACCTGGGTATGCTAGACTACACTGCTACCTACTTCTTGCAACATATACGTTTAGCTGCGAGCACATCCTCATCCTCCCTACATAGCATCGCAAATAGACAGCTCATTGACAAATCGCAACCTACTACATTATCTTGTTGTCATTATCACCATCATCGTCATCGTCACTGCATCTTCATCGTTGCTCACTTCGCCATCATTATCATCACTTCGACATCGCCCGCACATCGACATCTACATCCGTGATGATGGAATGCCATTTCGTTGCCTGTCGTACACAACACCGGTCTGCGAATGCCCCTTTTGCCTCGATGCCATGACGTTGAAACAGAAAAATGTTTGTTGGCGGTCTGAACTGGGACACCACCGAAGGTAAATATCGCTCTCCGATTGGCGAGCCAAGCCGTGGACGCGGGCTCAGCATGGAACCTCGACTGACTCTTCCTCATCACCTTCTGGTAACTTGGGGCTGCGTTCGTACTTGATAGACTCGCTGCGACGATATTTTTCGCAGTTTGGCGAGGTGGGAAACTGCACCATCATGCGCGACAACATGACGGGCCGTTCGCGAGGCTTTGCTTTCCTCAACTTTGTCGATCCGAAAGCGGTCAACACGGTCATGGTTCGCGAGCACTATCTCGATGGCAAAGTTGTGAGTTACCTGTCGAAATCAGTCTTCGTCTTCCAGTGACCATCTCTTTCTGACTAATTCTACGCTCATGGTTGACAGATTGACCCGAAACGAGCCATACCTCGACCTCAACGGGACCAGTCGGGCGGATATGCGCAGAACAACTACAATAACAACAACTATAACAACAACAACAACAACAACAACAACAACAACAACAACAACAACAACAACAACAACAACAACTATTCTGGCGGTGGAGGGGGGGACTACTCCGCTGCAAACCAAAAGCTCTTTGTCGGTGGTCTACCTCCCACCGTCACGCCTGTCACGTTCCGAACCTTTTTCGAGCAGTTCGGAGCGCTCTCCGAATGCACGTGTATGATGGATCGCGAAACGGGCAATCCGCGTGGATTCGGGTTCCTAACCTACGCCGACGAATCTTCCCTGCATGCCGTACTCAACACCCGACCCATCGTATTCGAAGGAAAAGAGGTGGACGTCAAACGAGCGCAGTCGAAGAACGATCCTCAGAGTCTGCAGATTCGTCGACAGCAAAGAAACGACGACCCTTCCATGGCATACGGTATGCAGCAGTTCGGCGGTGGCGGTGGAAGGTACAACAACTACAACAGCTCCAACGCTGCAGGTGCATCCGGAAACAACTCATGGCAGATGAACCCGATGATGATGGGAATGGGCGGAGACATGTCGCAGATGTACCAGAATTGGGGTGGTGGGAACGGCTGGAATCCGCAGATGGCTTGGCAGCAGATGATGGCCAGCATGGCGGCTCAGAATGGTGGTGCAGGCGGTGGGATGGATATGAGTGCGATGATGGGAGATATGATGGGAGGAGGGATGGGTATGATGGGTGGGATGGGGAGCATGAGTCCGCCGTCGAACATGAGTCCGAGTGTGAGTAGCGCCGTACCGACGGGACCTGCGAAGGGAGGAGATGGTCAGGGTGATCGAGCTGGAAGGTTCCAACGCGGAGGTAGTCAGAGTAGTGGAGTTGGTAGAGCTCCTCCGACTGGTCCGAGGGGTGATCGGGAGAGGTCTCCTGGTGGCGGTGGGCACAGGAGAGAACGCAGTCCGGACCGCAGGGATCAGAACAGGCGATATGAGGGACAGCGAAACAGGTAAGGGAGTTCAGGTCGAAAGCACACTATCCGTACGTTGTCTGCAGTCAAATGTGATGCGTTTGCAACACTTTATAGCTTGGCCGCTGTCACGATACTCACTCGGTGATGACGCTGAGTGACGACTCTGAGACAAGGGCTTCACGATCTGAATTGTACCAGCCGTACATCTTTTCACTTTCCGGACGCCTGCTTTGCGGCCTCATCGATCTTCTTCTCGATGTCCAATCCGATCAACACATCCAGCGTCCTGACGAACCACCACCTCCCGCACTCTGCCTCTTCATCTTCACCCTTTGCATCCTCCACCGGAAATCCGACATGATCGGCGACCTTGTCCGCCAGCTTCTTGGTCGCTTGCTCAACACCCTTGTCGAGATCAGCTTGAGAGATGAGGTCGAACTTGACCGCAGCATTGAGAGACCTCTCGTCGGCAAAGGGGAACACCTGAGGCCATTGGGACTGGACACGGCGCAGGAAGATGTCTACACCGCCTGGACCGAGGCCGTTGACCTCCTTTGTGAGAACGGCTTTGACCTGTTCTGCGACCTCGAACGAGTCGTTCTTGTCGCTAGCCTGCGAAAGCGCTTTTTCGAGAATGGGTTCGAGATTGTCGCGAGCTGCATCTTTGTCCTTCGCATCCTGGCAGAGGGAGGTGATGCCTTCAGCGAGACTCCCGAGCTGCACGGCGGTCTTCTCCTTGTGTTGGGTCCTAGCTTCCCAGAGTGCGGCACGACGACCTTCGTTGCCAGCATCGATGAGATCTTGAGCGGTGCGGAAGAGATAGGGCTTGTTGAGAAGCGTTTCGATGCTGCGCAGACCGAGTCGGTGGGAGATGGGTTTGCTAAGGAGGATGGCACAGAGCAGGTTTTGGAAAGCGGTCAAGTCGGAGTTTGGATAGGAGAGATGACCTGCTTCGCCAGCACCAGAGCGCTTGTTCTCGAACGGCTCGGGAGGTGTTCGGACGGTCTCACCGCCTTCAGCGGCGAGGTCGGTCTCGCCCTGTCCATCGGGGATGTCCGGGTGGGCGAGGGACCAGGCGGCGTCGGAATGGAGCCAGGTGAGAGAGTCGGAGAAGGATTCGAGCTTGGACTGCTGGGATTCGAGGATCGAATCAGTCTTGCTAGAGTCGGCGGTCTTGGGCTTCTTGGTGTCTGGCTCCGAGTGGTCCGGCTCGGACTTGGTGGGCTTGGAGGAAGACACCTTGTCGTTGTCTCGCTTGTCGCCGACCTTGGCATCGGTGGACTCGGACTTGGTACCCGATTGAGCACCGGATGCTGACCTGCGTGTGGCTACCATGATGGATGTTGTGTCGATGTGAACGTTGTGACGAAGAGCGATGCTTTTGTTGGATGAACGGAGGCAAGGGAGGAACGATCACGAAGACTCATGGAAAGCAAGATCCCAAGCTTTCAACTTGGGCATGACGTTCAGATGCCGAGAAGATCCGCAGCATGGCTATGACGCTCGAGCCTGACTCATCTTGGTGCTGCATTCGTCAACTTACACCGTTGCAGGTCAGTGCACACGATGCGCAACGTGCTCGCGTAACTGAACAGCTCGTCTGGTGTCAGCGCCAGAAATGTGGAGGGCGATCCGATCCAGAGGTGTTAGACCGCATCGTTGCGGGGGCATTTCAGAAAAATTTACCTAACATGGTTTTGGAGGAACTTCTCGACAGGGTCCAACACGCGGGGGAGTCTGCACAGTAGATCCCTGCCGAAAACATGGTGTCTGCATGGAATTGCATGGCTTTCCAAAGCGTGATGATGCGGCTTCGCCCAACGGACAGGTTGGAAGCTCCAAGCTTGAGAATAGGGGAACAGGAAGGAGAGATGCGCTGCATGCTTTTGAGGGACGCACGCGACAAGGCACACGAGTTAGGGGACAGTGTCGCACCTCGCCCAGCAGTACGATACCAAATGTGACAGAGGTCGTAGGTTCGAGAATTTATGCAGCACACACGGGCTCACAGGTCCGCATTGGGTTCAACTTAAAAGCAAAGCGAGTGGCGTGCAAGGGTCCAAAGGGTAGTATACGCTCCATCAGATGGGTGGAATAGAAAGTGTGAGCTGCACCCTGCAGTCTGCGACCTGCACTCTGCAACCCGCGCCTTGCAGACCTCTCGCTAAGGGACAAACAAATTCCGCCTTTCTTCTTGTTCTCCTCCCCATCCTCTTTGACGAACCGAGCCATGGCTTGCTGATGCAGAGCTGCGGAAAAGGACGAGTCAGGGGTGAGATGTCACCTGTCAAAACCATGGAAAAAGTGGCTGTTTCCCGGTGGGTTGATCGACATGACCCTTGCAAAGTCGTCTCGGCACTTCCGGGATGGCGCGACTCAGGGGCGCGGTGCTTTGCGATTGTGATTTCCGGTGAAGCTTTCGAGCCCCTTTTTGCTGTTTCAAATTTGTCTCCCAATTTAGGTGTTGGTCAACCTCAAGGTACCGGACAGCAGAGAGTCGCCTGCTCCTGCTGGTGTGGCGCGCCAACCCCAAGTCATTTTCGGTAGTGCCTCTCCGCAACTGCGTAAACTCTGTGTTTTTCTTTTTTGGCCAATTTCACCGAGCGTGCAGTTGGGACCGCGTCTAAAAGGTAGGGTGTGCTGTTCCAAAAGTTTGGTTGGCGTGACGGTGATGATCCGGCCTCGGATGTGAGAAAATCCACTTTCTTAGACCAACACTTGGCGCTTAGCTGCATCGAGACCTGAACAAGGCTCACGAGCTGCTGCACCTCGCCTTGCCCCTGGCCGCAGTCATTGTGCAGCAGGAGCAAAGCAAACCAAGCTCAGTCTAGTCTCTGTTGTATGCTGCTCTCCCTCCATCATTCGTCTCTTTACCACCATCTTTACAGCATTCAACCACCTTTTGCATCCATCCTCAGCATAGATACCTTTGTCGCACTCATCGCGACAACCCACGTCGCTAGCGTCTCGCACCCTTATACCCATCTCCTAAGCAAAGAGGACTCCCGGCGGCATCTTTGGACTTTCACCTCTCCCAAGTCACACTCGCCCTTTTGGTCATACTCATGCATACCAACACTTCGTAAACCGCCCTGCGCGATCGTGGTCACTTCCTACCCTTGGCTGCTCGAACAGAGCGACTTGCTGAGCGGCCAGCTGGCTCAGCCGTCTCTACAGCACCATGGCATCTGTCCCAAGGCGCGACTCTTCCATCTCGTTTCCTACGCTGCCCGCCTCGCCCACGAAGCCTTCAACACAGGCGCAGCTGCCCACCTTCTCCACATCGCAATGCTTCGATCATGACGAGCATATATCCATGCCACCGCCGCGAGCTATCACCAAGCCAGCTCAACCGAACCGCAACTCGGTCGCTTCAGACGATTCGTCTGCTGCTTCCTCCGCCGACTACTTTGGTAACAGTGTAGCCACAAGCAGACCCGTCTCTGCCACGACGCTCGCATCCTCCCGTCCATCCTCTGTCGCCTCCAACGCATCTTCCAGCAGCCATGTTCAAGGCCAGCTCACCGCGTGTGCCGATCTGCTCAGTCCTGGCCTGGCATCTGCCTTGGGTCTCCTCCCCCATCAGCCCAATCACATTGCCTTCCCCTCCTCATCTCGGAGCGCCGCGGCTCAAGCGCCCTCAGATCCGAGCAGCAGCGCACGTCCAGCGCAAAGACGCGTTCGAGCACAGAGCGCACACACCGGCGCTCTCGCCACTCGACGCCCTGCCCTTCCCACGGCATCCAACGTGAATCACCGCATCAGCGTAGCCAGTGTGTCGAGCTTCGAAAGCTTACCCGAAGACGAGATCGTCCATGGCTTTCTTGCTCCTGGCGTCATGCAGTCCAAGTCGCGTGCAACCAGCTACGATCGCATCGCCCGTAGCACAACGTTGGGTCATTCGCAGCCGAAAGAAGATGTCGCACGCAGCCGCACTCCCGAACGCTCAGGCTCAGCAACCTCATTCGACAGCGCTTCCATCACCAACTCCTCCGACGAATCGTCCGCAGCCGATCATCCCTCAGATTCTGCCTCGGCGGTCTCCTCCTCGGCAGCCTCTTCGGCTCATGTCGCAGCCACCAGCAGCGCAAGCTCCACTTCCACCATCACCGCCGGCTCTTCTCGTCCGAGCTACTTCCTCCGGCGTGCTGCCACCGCTCCTGCACCTGTCGCCGACATGACGCTCCTCATGGCGCATCGCAAACGTAGCGCCAGGGAGCTTCTGGATACCGAACGCTCCTTCGTTGCCAGTTTGACACTGATAAACCAAGAGTACTACCAACCCCTCATGGCTAGTCTAGGCAAAGGCAAAGCTCCTGCGACCGCATCGCCCACTGCTTCAGCTCCCATCCTCTCGCGCAAATCCATCAACGATATCTTCTCTAACTTCTACGACATCATGCAGCTTAGCAAAGAGTTGCTCAGCCAGCTCGAAGAGCGTCTGCAGGTGGCGGTATGGCCGGTTGCTGCTCATGCGTCGACCATGAGCCAGATCCGTCCAGAGATGCGCTGGGACGCCTCCGTCGACTGTATCGGTGACATTCTGGCTACGCTAGCACCTTTCCTCAAGATGTACTCGCTCTACGTCAAGAACTTCAGCAGCGCACTCCAGCGAATCGAGCACGAGCAAAAAACCAACGAACCTTTCGCCAGATTTCTTAAGGAGACGGATCAGAAGCGTGCCGCCAAGGAGAAGATCACCTCCGCCACCGGAAGCGTACGACACGCCTTCGGCTACGGACTTGGCTTCCAAGCCCATCTGCTCACCATCGTACAGAGGATACCTCGTTACAAGCTGCTCGTAGACGACCTGCTCAAATCCACGCCAGAGACGCATCCTGACCACGTCGATCTCGTTCGCGCAGGTCATATGATCGAGCAGGTGGCGTCTTACATCAACGAGAACGTGCGGCAGCACGAAATGGTGCTCACCATGCTCGGTCTGCAAAAGAGCCTTCAAGGACTCACCGAGCCGCTCGTCGCGCCCGGAAGAGCCCTCATCAAGCGCGGTACCCTCATGAAGACGTGCCGTCGCAACATCCAGCCCCGCGAGTTCTTCCTCTTCACCGACTGCCTCATCTATGCCAGTCCCATTTCGGGAAGCATGGAGTCGGCATCGGCGGCCTGGACGGCGCTCGCGCAGCGCGGAGGAATGTACGGAGCTAGCGCGATGGAGCAGATCTATTCTTCCACCAGCATGCTGTCACCTTCGTCAGGCGCAGCTTCGCCTATTGAGTCTGTCTTGACACCGCCCAGCATGGCACCGCCTCTGGGTCCGCGCGCTAGGCTGACATCGATTCCCGAGCCTTACACTCCCTTGACAGGCGCCATTTTCTCGCTGGCTGGGCACCAGCTGCAGTTCCGAGACAAGTTCGGGCTGCGTGACTGCACGGTCGTGAGCGTCGACGGTACTAGTGTGGACGGTCTGCGCCACTGCTTCGAGATTCGCACACCGGACAAATCCTTTGCCGTCTATGCTGAGAGCCAGGCTAGCAGGGAAGCGTGGGTCAACAGCATTCGCGACGCGCGTAGCGATCTCATGTCTGCGCGTCGAACCTTGAAGGCCGAAGAGGACAGCATCGAGGCCAAGAGGGAGAGGCGACGCTCGCTGTACAAGGTCGACGCCTCCAAGGCAGCCAGTAGGCGTCTCAGCACGCAGAGCTTGGGCGCCTATCTTGCTGCTACCAACCTGATAGGTCAAGACAAGACGGTCGCGACGGCGGAACAGCCTGCCGAGACGAGCACCTCTCGATCCGTATCGCAGGAACGCGAGGCTCCGCAGCGCAGATCCCGGGTGGATTCGCTCCCCAATCTGCTCATGCGCCCTCCTTCCTTTCCTTCGTTTGCGGCAAACGGCACCAGCCTGTCGCTGGCAAATCTGCTGGCTGCGAACGCGACTACGGCAGCTCCACCAGCCCTTCGTGTGTTGGAGGACTACAACGCGCCTGTGTGGGTACCAGACAATCGGGCAGACAAGTGTTGCAACTGTCAAGAAGTCTTTGGCATGTGGCGTCGCAAACACCACTGCCGGCTGTGCGGGCAGGTGGTCTGTTGGACCTGCTCGCAACGCTCTTTCCTGATTCCTAGCTACCACGATGGTGAGCCAGATCGACCGGCGCGAGCGTGCGATCGATGCTACGACAGCGTCTTCCCGCCCGAGAGCCCCGACGACTCAGAGGCAACGGCGACGGCGCCTACGGTGGTAGCCACTTCTGTGGCCCCCGACAGCGCCGACATGTCGTCCGTGCCGAGCACGGGCACAGACGAGAGCGTTGCTCAAACGCTGGATGCGTATCGTATGGGTACCTCGGGCACAGAGACGGATGTCGAAAGCAGTCGTCTTGGCTCTCCTCTCACTCCGCCGGTCATGTGCGACTCGCCCGATGCAGGAGCGGAGCAGCCAAGTGTGAGGGCGTCCGACGTGAACGCGCAGTCTTCCGCGATGGTCAAGAAGGATGGCGAAGTTCTGCGACCCAAATCGCTACGCTTCGATGCCCTGCCACCATCCGAGCTCGCCGTCGGTGCTGCGGACAGCAGAAGTGACGCCGGGCTTACAGCACCGCCTTCGCCCACCGAAGCATCTCTTCCGCCGGCACAGGCAGCTGCCCTGCCTGCGACGTCTCAAGTCGAACGCAGGAGCAGCGTCAGTGCACGCTCTTCGCCTGTGCGACCGAGTCAACCGCCCGTATTGCCAACACGGTCAAAGTCGTTGGCAGGCCCTCTGGCTTCAAGCTCGGCGCGGGTCATGTCGAACGATTCGAGACTCAACCGCGCTTCGGCTCTGGAAGCCCATCATCTGTTCACCAGCCACTATCGCAACTCTCAGATCCAGGCAGCCACTTCGGGATCGGGAACCTTTCGTCTCGTGACGCCGCGACTGACCACCCCCGAATCGGAGCTGCCTCCTGGCGCAAGCAAGCGCAGTGGTTTTTCTCCCAGCATCATGGATGCCGGCTACTTTGGGGGAGCTGCGGGCGCCATTCAGGAGGATGCCGAGGATGAGAATGCCTCTCAAATTCCTGGCACAAGCGCAGGCACGAGCCCTCTCAAGACGTCGGAACCATTCAAGCCGTGGATGCTGCATGCCATGTCTCCGACCGGTGGTGCGCCGCAACTGCGTCCGGCTCGCAAGCGTCCGCTAAGCGCTGCAGCTCGCCTCAGCAGCTTCTATGGACCTCTGCTGGCTAGCAGCAGCAGCAACAAAGACGTGACGCAGGGTCGAGCTTCGCAGGTCAACGCATCTCCCTCCAAACTTGAGGCTAACGACACGAACAAAATTTGATGTTGGGCAATCCCAAGCCCTGATTCGTCTCGGCACCTTGTATCGACAAACTCTCATCATCCTTTATACCAGATCATTCATCATTATACCAGATCATTTAGCATCGACGCGTTCAGACGCATTTCGGCTGGACTCAATGAGTCCTTCTATCTCAACGACACAGCCGGTCACCCGAACGAAGAACGATCATGTTGGTCCATTATATTAGGAGTGGTATCATTTGACTGCAAGAAGTAGCCGGATTACATGGAAGCGTGAGATATGAGGTGGTATCAAAATGTTGCCGGAACGGAGGCTGTCGATGCGCGACTAACTACGTTTAGTGGGCGCCGACGGTAGCGGGGGCGGCGTGATAAGCCTGGGGTTGGGCAGCGGGCTGGGCGTAGCCCTGAGAAGCGGGAGCCTGGTGCGTCACGGGGGCCTGGTGTGCGGTGCTGGTGGTGGGAGCCTGGGTGGCGGTGTGATTGTGGACAGGGGCAGTGTCGGTGGTGGTGGGAGCGGTGCTCGTCGTGGTGGTGCTCTGAGCAGCCAAAGCCTCCTTGTGGCGGTGACGTTCATGCTCGCCATTGACCTTGGCGTGCTGAGCCTGAGCCAGGTTCTGCTCCTTGCCGGCCAGCTTAGTCTTGTGGTCCTGGATAGCCTTGCTGGCGGAGTCAACCTTCATCTTCTTCTCTTCCAGGGCACGTACCGACGCGTTGTGCTTGGTCTGGGCCTTCTCCAGCTTGGCGGCCAGCTTGTGCTCCTTAGCGATGGCCTTCTGATGCTGCTTCTCTGCCTTGGCGTGCTCCTTGAGCAACTTTGCGTCCTTCTTCTTGTCCTTGTTGAACGACTTCTGGGCAGACTTGAGCTGCTTCTCGTCGGCCTTAGCCTCCTTGGCGATGACCTTCTCTTCCTTCTTGATCTGTTTGGCGTCCATTATGACTGATGTGTATGCGGTGTGGATGGGTGTGCTCGAGAGTAGATGGGATGTGTGTGGAAGTAGATTGTACGAGGCGCGGAGGTATGAACATTATATACTTTTCATATGCGACATGGGGACCCGAGCGAAGCTCGCACCCTCTCCCTCTCCGACGCCGCTGCAACCTCTTGGCGTGACTCTCCAAGACCGAGCCCTTTTGCAGTGAAGCGAGCTGTTTGTACGCCACACTGTACAAGACCAGGGCGACGTCACTCGTCTGGAAGCCATGAGCGCCGAATCGGCAACATCTGCGCTCTACATTACGTCGAATACTGCCATTTCCCGTCACGCGATGACGTCATGACGTCATAGTCCCAATGTTTTCTCCGCAATGAATTTTGGGCTGGAACATTCAGCTTGACACCCCCTTCTATTTTTAACTTTTTCGTTCGCCGTTTTACGCCATCTGCAGTGCACACAAAGCTTTTGACGGACGACGACATTGCCAAGTCTGCCGAGACGAAAGTAGAACAACCCATGACGATGATCCCCCATCCTTTGTTGTTCGTTCGAGAGTTGCCGCTTTTCAAGGGTTGGAAACCCGACCGCACAAGCTCTGACACCATGTGGCAGAACGGCGAACGCTTCGTAGCAACATACCGTAGTAGGCTTGCCGACCGTGAACACAGTAAACACGACGATCTCGTTCGTGACACGTCCAACATGGAAAACGCGTCATGGTATCACGAGAATCGGCATGACAGACTTGCAGCGGAGTTGTCGTCGGTATGAGGGGGATGATGTGGTGGTTTTCCCGAGGCGATTGACCGAGGCGGTGTTTTTGACTAGCCGTCCGGTGTGTCGCAGCCAAAGCATCACATTCGTGCTGTCGTTCGAAACGTAAGTGTGACCCAAGCCCTTGCGCAATATGAGAAGGGTCGCTCAGCACATCACTGATGTCGTGGCGAACATCAACATGCTTCCAAAAATAGTATACATTCTAGCTGCTGATGCGAGCTTTATTTTAAGCTTCGCTTCCATCGGCCATTTCTAGACGCCTTCGGTTCGTTTCGAACAAAGCGGAATGCTGTGCACTTGGGTTCCTTGCGTGTGTCTACACGAGATCAGGAGGATGTCGCTATCAGGAGGCAGCTCTGATTGACTTGACGCCCCTTCCGCTATAGCCTCGTGGCAGTGCTAGTTCGAGGTTGGAAGATGTGCAGCCGAACCGCTGTGTTGGGGAGGGAAAAGTCATTGATTGCGGCGTATGTGTGTTCCAACATGGGACGATCATCTGGCTGCGGTACGAAGCAGGTTTGAATGGGATGGTTCGCCGGTGTTGGCTCGTTAGAGACGGATCAGGCGTTCGTTGCGGTGGAAAGCAGTCTTGTTGGAAGTTCAGGGGGCGCAAGGCTGATAGTGCCGTAGAATTCGTTTCGCACCCGACCCGCAACGTGAGGGTTCAGGAGAGGCACTATCCGCCTTGCACCGACTTGAACTTCCAGCAAACTGCTTTCCACGGCAGCGAATGTGTATCTTGGTCTAGGCATAGTAGTGATGATGGTAACATCTAAGAAGGTTTATTGCATGTTAGGGTTGCAGTTATTACATTCATACTACGAGAAAATCGTCTCGAGGTGTTGCTCTCGTGGAGAGACTTAAAGAGGTCTTTGCGCGTCGCGCGCGTGCACCGCAAACCCCAATCCTCGAGCAAGCCAATTTACACGACAGGAGTTGCGCAATCACAAAGACCTTCTGTTACTCCTTTGTCTCTCACCATCCTACCCTTTGATCCCGCACCTTCTTTCCTACACGGACTCATCCACAACAAGCAGCCTTTCCTCCCTCAAAGAGCGTTTCTCGCACATCGTTTCTCGTACTCCTGCTGTATCGCCACAACAGCACCTTGCTCATCAACGGGAATCCCCCCCTCCCCCCAAAATCACCGCATCCTTCTTTCTCGAGCGGAGAATCGCAGCATCATGTCGATCGTTCACCTTCAAAGCGTAGAAATTCTCAACGCGGAAGCAAAGTTCGAAGACGCATACATCTTCAAAATCACCTTCGAATGCATCTCGCCGTTGCAAGATGATATCGAGTGGAAGTTGGTGTACGTTGGATCGGCAGGAGATGAAAAGTACGATCAAGAGTTGGACAATTGTATGGTGGGACCTGTGCCAGTCGGTAAGTTGCTTTTTTGCCCCTTGCTTCCCCTATCTCCATCGCTCCTAGGTTCAACATCGATGTACTGACTCTTCAATCTTGCTCGAAACACAGGGGTGAATTCTTTCGAGTTTGAAGCAGCGGCGCCTTCACCCTCCAAGATCCCACCTGAGGATCTGCTGGGCGTAACCGTCATCCTCCTAACAGCATCCTACCGCGATCAGGAATTCATTCGAGTAGGTTACTACGTCAACAACGCCTACGAGTCGGAAGAGTTGAGAGAAAACCCTCCCGAGAAGGTCGACCTGACCCAGGTGAGGAGGGAGGTGCTGGTGTCCAAACCAAGGGTCACCAGGTTCAACATCAAGTGGGACGATTCGAGCGTTCCGGCACCGGCGCAACAGACGGGTCAGGCGGAGGGGTTGATGGCGTGAGGACAATCGGTGTAGAAAACTTTGGGCAGCGTAAGTTTGTAGGTTCGAATGCAAGAGACAATGCGTTGCGAACACAGCTCGAGATGTGGTAGGTGTGATTCGATGGATGTATTGCGATTGCGTTTGGTGAGAATGCATGCGCGGGTATGAGTGAGTGGAAAGTACAAGTACAAATGCAAATACGGAGACAGACAAGACGCCAAGAAGGTATAGCGGAGTCGCGCTACAATCCGACACCGGCAAGCGACTCACTCAGCGACCAGCACCTCTGCGGTCCGACGCCTTCTCCCTCGCTCTTCTTTAGACCTCGTCTTTCCGTCCCAAAGCCAAACCTTGAAGCTAGCGGATCAGCGTGCTTGTCCGCGCTCCACAGCAACCCCTGTTCCGCCAAGTAATCCGTCATGGCGGCTCCACCGCTCAATGAGTTGAAATGGATAGCTTCAGCACGGCTTTGGAACTGGCCCTCGAGCATGTACGCCAAATGACGCTGGATGAGACCCGTATGCAGACCCCAGGTGGTCGCGACCCTGTGGAAAAAGCCAACTGCTTCGGGTGGGGTTTGCTCGTAGCCCGAGAAGAGCGCAGGGTTGGCGAGGAGGCCTCTTGCGCTCATTGCGCCTTTGCAGCCGGTGGTTTTTCGATAGAGGATCGCATCGTCGAGCGTCCACACATCGCCGTTCGCTACACACGGTACCAGACCGCCACTGCCTCCGTCTGCGAACCTGGCAGCTGCACCGCCTTTTGAGCCCCAGCTCGTCCTGAAACCGCAGGAGTTGGCAGCGTCGACGGCAAACTTGATACCGTCCAGATCGACAGGTTCAGACGAAGACTGCCATCGTGTTCGGCCGTGGACCTGCAGCACGGATGCACCGGCGTGTAGCGCGTTCCGCACCAAGGCGTCTGTTAGACGCAGATCGGGATCGATACGAATCTTGACGCTGACGCAAAAGTCGGAGCCCATGCGCGCCTTGACTGCGCGCACCATGTCACGCACCGTCTCGGGTTGTCGGAGCAGATACGATCCGAGAAGCTCTTCGTATGCCCACGGTTGAGGGCAGCCACAGTTGAGATCGACGCCGTCGACGAATCGTCCTACGAGCTCGGATGCATCCGCGAAAGGTTCTGGCTCGCTCGAGGCGAATTGGGCGACCAGCGCACCACGAACACGGACTTTTTGTTTGGCAATCCTGCGGCGTTCCGCTTGCGCCTCTCGATGTGCTTCACCGTTCGTCAACTCGGACGGCAGCTCCGACGATGAAACATCTTTCTCCGACAACCGTCGCGAGGCACTCTCGGATCCTTCGGCAACCCCGGGCAGCAGCTCGTACGTCCCGCGCTCGTACTGGTTGGTCGAGAACTCCGAGTTGCGCGCTGCCTCTGTCCTGCTGAATTCCTTTGCCAAGATCATCGGTGTCATCGTGATGTGCGTCTCGTATCGCGAGACAAGCGTGCGGAACGCTAGCTTGGAATAGCGCACCATGGGTGCGCAGACGTTGAGGCCGTGAAAGGCATCGAGGAGTAGGTGCGGTGGCAATTGGATCGCCTCTGGATCGTAACTCGGACAGCTTTCTATTGGCGGGTATGAGGCGGATGCCATCCCGTCAAGACCTGGCATCTCGGGCGTAGTCCGAATCTGAGCTGTGATGATTGAGATGCGTTCCGAAGTCGTCGCGCGGGACTGAAAGGGTCAAGAAGAAGCTCAAAAACAAAAGTTAAGGATGCAGGTGCGGCTTTTCCGACATCCCAGAGCAACAGAAAAGGAGAAAGGGATTATGAATAGAATGTTAAGAGTTGGATGCCGTGGCTTATCCTGAGCGAAAAGAGAGAAGGGAAAAATTAGAGCGAATCGAATCGACAGATCGACGGAAATGCCAGTGTCGAGAATTTAGCCGATTTAGACGATTCTCGTTCATTCAGAGAGGCAAGATGTAAGGCGACTTGGCGAGACAATTGAATGCGACTTGATCAACCGCCAGCACCCCAGATTTTCGGGCTTGCCGACAGGCAGCCGAGCCAAGAAGGATCCTCCGGCTGTTCCGCCCGTGTGACCGAACCGCGCTGGGACTTCGCGCTCTTTCCTCTTTCGGCCTCGTCGCGGTCGCGCTGCCCCCTCCCTCATTTCGCGCTTTTCCGCTGCTCCATCTCTCTCTCTCCGCCACACGGAGGCGGATCGTGGTTGCCGTGGTTGCTCTTGACGAACTAAGTGGATCGACTTGGGATCGCCATTCCTCATCTTCTTTCTTTCCTCTTTACCACATCCCGTTCCATCTCATTCCTTTTCTGTCCCTGTCACTCTCAATATCACACCGCAACAAGCTTCTTCAGCACCTGCTTCAGCCATCCTTCTTGCATCTGTAAGAGGAAAGAAGTCGGCTTTCCTACTTTCCACATTCCTTCGAAAAAGGCTTCTCGAAAAAAACTCAGCTCCACACCGCACAATCTCTTACGCTCTCCTCGAAGACAAAAAGAAAAGAAAAAGAAATTCCACGCAAAATTCCAGAGATTTCTCGCGTCAAGTAACGCATCCGTCCGCTCCCTCTATTCACAACGCCTTCGGCTCCCCCCCAGCCGCTCAGCCAGTCTACTCAATATCTGTTTCCACCGTCAATCATGGTATTCCAGAGCTACGGTTTCGAGTCAACCACCTACAATACAATCAACATGGGTCACGCTTCCGTGTCTGCGCCCATGACCATTGGCGCTGGCGGAGCCGGCTGTGGCAGCAAGAAGCGCAAGACGTTCGACGAGATGGACTCATTCGCCTCTGGTGCCGAGTACCAGATCCGACCCAAGCTGAGCCTGCCCCGATCTTCGGGTCTCGTCTTCAACGCGGATGCGCAGTTCCATCCGCTCCCAGCCGATGTCAATCAGGCGATGCTCGCGCAGCTCGGCCACAGTCCTTTTGCCAATGGCGCTAGCTCGTCTGCCTCGTCGAGCTTCGTCACTCCTTCGTCGTCCTCGAGCTCTGGCTTTGGACACGAACACAAGTCTTCCAACGGTTCTGACTACTTCAGCACCGCCGCGCCAAACCAATACCCCGACGTGGAACCCTACCCATCCACCTCACCTTCTTCGACGTACGGCATCCTGGGACCTGCTCCCGGTCGTCACAATTCGCTCAGCGATGGCGATGGCATGGACGTCGACTACGGGAGTAATCCCTCAGTCGAGCGTGTTCACGGACCACAGTGCAAAAGCATCCCCCAGCTGTGCGTCAGGTACAATGACGGAGCGGGCTCCGAACTGTGGGCTACCTGCCCCGATTGCGGAGCTTGCTCCAAAGTCGAATCCAACCAACCCAGTCAGCTTTGCTACTCTCCGTGATCGACATGTTCGACGCTGCTACCCTATGTAGCTCCCTGTTGCGCTTTAGGTTCGTGTTCTGCAGAGACAGACTAAGTGTCTCTGGTAGCTTGCATTCTCGTCGTTTTTTTCCGTGTCTTGTCCCTCGCATCGTCTCTTGTATTTCTAGCTTTAGCAACCGGCGCTCTTCGTATCGCGACTGCGTTTCCTTCCAAATCATCCGCCTGTCAGTATCTAGTCTAGCTTTTGTCTCTCGTAACACTTTTATCGCGTATCGCGACTGCACTTCTCTTTGCACAAATCCCTGGAGTGCTCGTCTGTCTCGTCTCGAACCAACTGTCACTCCACCGGGTTTGAAAGAGATCATCCAGCTGGTGGAGCGTCCAAGAGCATGTTTCGGATTGGCATGCTCATGTAATGTGTTTGCTTTGAAAGCTTTGTCAACTCTGAACAGGGAACAGGTCACGAGTCTGTCACGAGCGGCTCGCAGACACAGCCAGCAGCACAAGCTTCCTCGAGCAAAAGCGCGAGAACGAGGCAAGGGGGGAATGGTGTCGTTGACATTGGCATTGGAGGCTTTGCGGGGGTGACGAAAGAGGTTGACCTCCCCGCAACTTTTTGTGAAGACGAGAGGGCGTTAGAACAGGGTTATCACGGAGGTGATGGTGGTCACGGTGGTAGTGGTATCATCAGAAACCTCTGAAAAAACGCGGTGCGCGTGTGAGAGGGGGAGAGGGTGAGGCGGGAAGATCGACGGATGAGACGGTGAGAGACACGACTAGGTGAAGCTTTTACTGGCTCTGACCGTTGTATCTGTGAGATGGTGAGAATAGAAAGATATTAAATGTCAGCAAGTGAGCCATCAGATCAGTCCCCTAGGAGCTAGCATCGGAACGACTCAGAAACACCGGGCACCAACAGAAGTGAGACAAGGATCAAGTGAGCTCGGAAGCGATCGTCGATTCAAACCAAATCGGGAGTACAGAAGGATCAAGAGAAAGACCTCAACTCCGGCCGTGAATCGACATCACTTGTCGTGGGACGGGAGGCAGAGGAGCGGGAATACGTCGGACCGAAGCACCAACATCGAGAGGGCTTAATAGCCCTGACCGTTGTAGGAGCCGCCGTTCTGCTGTGCGGGCTGCTGGAAGCCCTGCTGAGCACCGTAGCTGTTGCGTTGATGATGACGTGAACAGAGGAGCGCGAAGTCTCGATCGGACGAGAGGCGAAATTGACAATTTGAACACCGGAACGAGGCAACGAGCGGATACGGGCGGAATTGCGAGCGTTGACGAAACGAGATGAAACGGCGGACCGAAGCGAAGCGAATGGGAAAGAGACCGAGATTCGAAGCGGCGACGAACGAGAGGAAGTGGCAAGAACAGGAGACGGAAACAGAAACAGAAACGAGAAGGGGCACAGTTGAGAACATGGACGAACAGGGCAGTGTCGAAACGTAAGAGCGCGTGCCCCGTGCGCGCAACACGAGGTCATCCGTCCACTACTTGCGAATCAAGTGGCGAAGCATGTATGACCTCGCCTGAATTTAGTGATGCAAGACCCTGAGACATCTTGCAAATTCGAGGCGCGGCGCGGCGAGACGTATGCGATGCGCAGAGAGCTCGCCCTGGGAACGGACTGAGAAGCAAGAGAAGAGAGCTTGAAAGACGGAGCATGATACTTACCCGCCGTAGCCACCCTGTTGGGGAGCACCGTAGCCCTGCTGGGGAGCGCCGTAGCCGCCCTGCTGGGGCTGGAAGCCGGGCTGCTGGTATCCACCGTAGCCGCCCTGCTGGGGGTAGCCACCCTGCTGCTGGAAGCCGCCGGGCTGCTGGAATCCGCCGGGCTGACCGCCGTAGCCACCGTAGCCACCCTGAGCACCGTAGGCGTTGGCACCGTACTGGCCAGTGACACCGCCGTAGCCACCACCCATACCGCCAGCGGGGCGGGAGTTGGCCATGTTGACGCGAATGCGTCGGCCGTCGAGCTCCTGCTCGTTGAGGGCGGCGATGGCTGCGTCAGCCTCGGCCTGAGTGGCGAAGGTGACAAAGCCGAAGCCACGCGAACGGCCGGTCTCGCGGTCCTTCATGACAATGTAGTCGGTGAGCTGACCGTAAGCCGAGAAGGCGTGGGCGAGGCTGTCGTCGGTGGTGTTCCACGAAAGGTTTCCAACGTAAACTTTGGAGGCCATCTTGAACTAGAATCGATGTGATAAGACGATCTGTAGAGGTATCCTGAAGACTATCTGTGGGTGTTGCAAGCAGATGTGGTGGGTTGTGGTAAGAGATTGGCGATGCGAAGTAGGTCGGTAGAGATGTGCGGATAGATGGTGAAGGGACAGGAGACGAGCGCAGGACGGTGAATGTGGGCAGGTAGCAAAGGGTAGTGGTGTATATGGTTGGGAAATGTCAAAAGTCAGCGGAATGCCAAATTGGACCGATACGAAGGTGATGGCGTTTTGACCACTTACCGATACAATCGAGCCGATGCCGAAACCGAGACGGAGAGACGAGACGGACGAGTCTTGAGAGAGATATGCGAGCGTGGAAGCAAGAGAGAGAAGAGAACGAAACGAAGCTCGACGATATCAAAACCGGGAACTGCGGAACAGAGAAGAGGATGGTGTGTTGTCGCCAGGAAGCTGCGACGGCCCGAGACTGAGCTTTTGCTTTTTTGCGGAAGAGTGTGCGCAGAGGGCAGAGAAAGGGGGCGCAGAGGCAGAGACGCGGCACAACTCAGTTACACCACACGCACACCCGCACGCACGCACGCATTCGCTTTCCCTCTCGCTCGACTGCATTCTTCCTGCGGCGCTCTTCACAAAGCTTTGTGCTTCACTCTCAACGCCTTCATTTCTGTGAAGCGGCTTCAATTGAGCCTCGAGCCTTTGCGCAAACAGGATCCAGCAAGCATGTTGTGTCGGAACTTCGACGTGCTTGTTACTTTGATGGGTCAAGGCAGCAAGGGACGAGCGAGACAAACCTTGAGTCTGGGCAGGTGCGGCTGCTGCTGTTGCTGCTGGTTCATGTTGTCTAGCGACGGTTCTCGATCGTTGGCCACCTGACCCAGTAGTAAACCCTGCTGGAGCAGCAAAGAGGCACGGTGCAGTGTCCGTCTCTTTCTGAGGGGCTTTTCGAAGAAGAGAGTTGCTTTTTCCTTGAATACAATCAAAGTTGAACTGACGATACAAAATCGCCTGTATTGGTCCAAATTGTAGTCCATGGCACCCTCATCGGGCCGCCATCCTCTCGTTTCGCGCTGAGATCGAGAGATCAAGTCGAGCCAGCACCTGCAGCCAACGAGTGTTGTTCTGTCTGGTGCAGAGCGGTGTATGTTCGCTATCGTTGGATTTCACCAGGCACAGATGCAAAGACCAGCATCCGCTCAGAAGGTGCGACCAAGTCGAAAATCCCCAGACCCGGCCGGTAAGGCCGTCAGTCGAAGCGAACAAAACGTGTGCTACCAATTTATGGCAAGGAAAGTCGCACCAAAAAGAAGAACCCAAAAAGGAACGCCTGGGCAACAATACACGCACGAGGTGCTAGCCAGTCACGATCTCACAGTCCGGACAGAATCTGAGCGACCCCTGTCTCGTCGTTTCGTCGTCCCGGAGAGACGAGGCGGACACTCAGGGGTCGCTCGACCGTGTCACGCTCCAGATGTACCCAGTGGATTCCGTTCCGTCATTCCAAAAGACTCGTGACTATACTAGCCACCGACAAGGCGCCGTGCGAACATCGGGCTGCACACGAAAGTTGAAAAGAGCTACAGCAAGCGGCGGAGATTGGTGATCCGCAGCGCCGAGCCTTTCCGCGGGAGGTGAAGTGCGTCGAGCCAAAGACTAAGGAATGCCCTCCTAGGAATGACAGGTACGATTGTGGAAAAGGTTGCGGCGGACTTGACGCTAGAGCCAGGTGCTTCGCTGTCAGACGACCGGCTGTTTGTACCTGCGTGGAGAAGCTCGAGGCATGCAAGCCCCTCCCGCTCAATGCCTGCCAAGCCTTGGTGTGCTGCAGAAAACAACACTGAAAGCCACCCAGCTCGCCGAGCAGCCGCGCTGCTCGCTTCACGCGCCGGCTCTGAGATGAAAAGCGTCTAGCTGCTTAGAGAGCGACTCGCTTCTCCGACGAGATCGAAGAGTGAGCCAGATAGCAGAACAGCAAGCACGAGCACAGGCGAGGATGGGTGCAGTACCGACGCGAGCTCGTGCGTGCCAGTGCCGTCGGTGCACACGCATGAATCGGGCAAGAGCGTCGGTGGTCCGATGGCAGAGCGTCAGAATCATCCGTCGCATATGCCTGCGAGCAAGAGGCATCTCGTATGGCACACCGACCGGCTGCGATTGGATAACGCCGGCAGCTTTCTCGAACCCTCTACAGTGTACAACACAGTGTGCGGTCGCCGAGATGATCTGCAGCCAGACGGCGCTTGGATCGCACGTTGCCGCAGCCAAGACTTTCAGGGGGCCGTCGGCACCAGCGACGATCCGGAATGCCAAATGATCGTCGACGCTGCAAGAGGACGTGAAGCGAGCGAAGGAAGCTCAGCGTTCGAACCGGCAGCTGAGGCACAGCAAACAAACGACACCGAGATGCCGCAGTGCGAGCTTCGTTAGGTTATCAGGGAGAAGCCAAGACATTGTTTCTAAACTTTAGTTCACCATCTCAGGTACCAGCGAAGCAGATGCACGCGCGGCACGGGACGGCAATGCGCAACGGCCATGATCGCCGTGGGATGACGCTATGCGAACGTCGCTCGGAACTGCGTCGACTCGGAGACACGGAAGCCAGAGCAAGCCTGATCTGCAGACGCAATTTCTCGCTTCCTTCGGAAGTGTGCGTGGAGCTTGTACGCGTCGCACGAGGCAGTCGACAGCCTCGATCAGAAACCCCAGTTGTATCCGACTTTCTGACCAGCCGTCTGACCGAGAAGCTGAGATGCTCTTCGTCGTCGAAGCACGGAACGGAAAGGCGCGCACACGGGTCTGTCTCTGTGTTGCACTGCAGCTGAGCTCGAAGATCCACGCCACCATTTCAAACCCTTTGGCCGTTGGCCATGGAGCAGTACGTCTGCCGAGAATGACGATTTCGAGCTGCAAAGCCTGCCGAGGTGTGACAAAAATTCGAGATCGGATTTGAATTTCTGTCCGTCCCCTGTTGCAAGATGCAGAAGATTGCGTGGCTGAGGTCATGCGCGACTTTGTCCGAGAATCGAGCTCATTGCCGACAGAGACAGGGAGCTCCATCGACGCAAAATTTCAAGGCAGGGTCAGCAAACGAGATTTGCGCTGAGTGCAAGGCGAGGGAGGTTGGCCGTGACTCGCGTCAGGAAAAATGGATTTCCCACAAAATACAAGGGTGAGCCAGCAGAGCAATTATCTGAGACCATCACAGCCGCCTTTGACTGTGATTTCGCTGCTGTGAGCGTCGATGCAGGTGCTGGTGGCTTCAATTCACATCTGGTGTTTTTGTGCCTTTTCTCACTTGTGGTTTTTCGAAACACGCCAGCTGCCAGCCACACAGCCCTGCCGCCCACAATTCATCCGGCAAGGCACATTCGCGATGCTGTGCTGTGCTTTACCGTGCTTTGCTTGGCTTGCGGTGCGTGTTTGGTTTGCTTTGCTGTGCAACCAGCGACACTTTGTCTGGCTCGGCGCCCACGCCCCTGGCAAGGCAAGACGAGCCCATGCCACGCCCTGTGGCTGAGATGGTCCTGTGCCTGCCTTGCCTCCTGCCCCTGGCTTTCCGTCGACCCCGACTCGTACAGGGACTGCCTGTCTGTCAACTGCGAAAGTGTTCAACCCTGAGCTAGCAGTATTGTTTCTCGAACCAGGACACGAATTGCTTCGCTTCTTTCTATCCCACACCATCCATCCCTTCGTCATCCACATCATCGTTCTTGTCGCCATCCACCTCGTCCTCGCCATCTTCTGAACTCTTCTCGCTGGCCGCGACCGACAATCGACCCTGCGACTCCGTTGTCCATTTGTGCGACGTGACCCGTGGCATCCCTCCGATTCTTCGCTCCCACGTTCGCTGTCGTTCCGTGCGTACACCCGCTTGCCGTCCGAGGCGCACTGCTCCCTCGAGACAGACAAACCCCGCCATCTTCTTACCACTGCTGGCGCCATCTCCTCCGAGCCAGCATCGTTTGGGCACACGCTCGTCATCTAGAAGGATCGCGACCGCACCATGACCGGACAACTCTCCTCTCCTTCGAGGCGGTCCTCGCTAGCCAAGAGGGCCATGTCCCTCGCTACCGCCGCCCTCGCGCTCACTTCGCGTGCATCCGCCGCAAATCTGGCTGGTACCTACCAGACTGTCAACAACAACTCGCTTGCATCCGCCATGATGCTCGGTGTCATGGACGAGGACAACGTCTTCATCCTCGACAAGGCTGAAAATAACACGGCCCGTCTCAATGATGGCAGTCACGTCTGGGGTTCGTTCTACAAGCTTTCCGACAACTCAGTCACTGGTGCGAAAGTCCAGACCAACACCTTCTGCGCCTCCGGCGCTACGCTCGGAAATGGTTCTTGGCTCGTTGCCGGTGGAAATCAGGCCGTCGGTTATGGTGGTGCTGCCCAGGCTCAGAACCTTAATCCTTACTCCGACTATGACGGCACCAGAGCCATTCGTCTACTCGAGCCTGGCTCGCAAACTTGGATCGATTCGCCCAGTACAACTGTCGCACAGGTAAACATGCTCCAGTCGACCCGTTGGTACCCGGGTATCGAGGTTCTCGAGGACGGCAGTGTCATCGTCATCGGTGGTGCTAACTCGGGTGGGTACATCAACCGCAACACTCCCACCACCGACACTGTCTACCAAAATGGAGGTGCCAACCCCACCTACGAGTACTTCCCCTCTAAATCGAACGCCAACGGTAACCTCCCCATCTGCAACTTTATGAGTCAGACCAACGGGCTCAATATGTACCCGCACACCTATCTCATGCCCTCTGGCAAGATCTTCATGCAGGCAAACGTCAGCACCGTCCTCTGGGACCACCAGAACAATGTGCAGACCAATCTTCCCGACATGCCCGGCGGAGTTGTCCGCGTCTACCCCGCTTCGGGTGCGACCGCCATGCTTCCTCTCACCCCTCAAAATCAATACACACCCACCATCCTCTTCTGTGGTGGAAGCGTCATGAGCGATCAGATGTGGGGCAACTACAGCGGTCCTGGAGGCAACATTCTCGGCCTCACCGCCTCGGCTGACTGCTCCTCCATCTCCCCCGAGGACAACCAGGGTAACCAGGTCTCTAATGCGCAGTACGTTCAAGAAGAGACCTTGCCCGAAGGCCGTTCCATGGGTCAATTCATCCACCTTCCCGACGGCACCATGGTCATCGTCAACGGTGCCAACAAGGGCACCGCCGGTTACTCGAATCAGACGTGGAATCAGGTCCAGTACAACGGTCAGAACGTCAACACTGAGGGGCTTTCGCAGGATCCCACTTATCTTCCCGTCCTCTACGACCCGTCCAAGCCCAAAGGCCAGCGTTTGACCAGGGCCGGCTTCAAAGCCTCCACCATCGCTCGTCTCTATCACTCGAGCGCCGTGCTGCTTCCCGACGGCTCCGTCATGATCGCCGGCTCCAACCCGCACCAGGATGTCTCGCTCGACATGCCTATCGGCATCACTCCCCAGGCCTTTAACACCACCTACGAGATCGAGAAGTGGTACCCTCCTTACTGGGATGAGCCCCGCCCTTACCCGCAGGGCGTTCCCGATTCTGTCCTTTATGGCGGCAACCCCTTCAACATCACCGTCAACGGCACCTTCATGGGCGATTCGGCTAACGCCAAGGCTGCCAACACTAAGTTTGCCATCATCCGTCCTGGCTTCTCGACCCACGCCATGAACATGGGTCAGCGCGCCGTCTACCTCGACTACACCTACACTGTCAACGACGATGCTTCCGTCACCTACATGGTCAACCCTTTGCCCAACACCAGAGCGATGAACCGCCTCTTGGTGCCTGGTCCCGCCTTCTTCTACGTCACCGTAGCCGGCGTGCCAAGCTACGGTAAGATGGTCATGGTCGGCACCACGCCAACAGGCACCGGCAACGTCCCCTTCACTGCCGCCCTCGGATCGGCATTGGTCTCGCTGCCTGCCGCTGTCAACAGCACGAAATTCACTGCCAACATCTCCAGGACTGGCGGTTCGTCGTCGTCTGACTTTGGCCTCGGCAAGATCATTGGCATCGCTGTCGCAGGTGCTGCTGTCCTGGCCCTCATCGCTCTTGGCTGCTGCCTGTGGAGGCGCAAGGGCAGGAACAACAACGAGAAGGTCGCTTCGCGCCAGTCGGCTGCTCCTTGGACCAGCCGAGACCTTGGCTCTGGTCCAGAGTACAAGCGTGTCGACACACCTGTCGGATCGGTCAGTGGCGGACGCTTCGGTGCCGCGAGGATGGACAGCTCAAACACATTCGAGAGCTACCGCATGCACGACCAGGCGAGCACCATGGAAAGCAAAGAGGGGCACGGCGGCTACTACGACCAGCCTCGCAGTGGCAGCCGTGGAGGTTACGCTGCCAGCCCGCTCGCGTACGACCAGCACACTCGCGGCAGCTCGCAAGGCCAGTACTCGCAGCAGGGCTGGGGTGAGTACCACGCGGGCGATGCCGGCGCGTACTACGAAGACAACAGATATGGCGGCGGTGGCGGCGGACACAGTTACGACGACTACCCGCCGCAGCAGTACCACCAGCAGCAGCAGTACCAATCGCAAACGCCGCAGCAGCCATACTATGACAACTCGCGTCATCAACAACAAGGCAGCTACTCTAGCCGGCGCTGAGGCCCTCTCTCGCTAGTCAAAGACGCTGTTGGTAGCCTTTTCTGCTGACCAACGCGTGCTACTCAAAATCTTGCAATCCCTGATACGGAAATCAGCATAGTGCTACGCACCCTGACCTCTCCACTCCTTAGTCAGTTAATCACCAGCCAGTTCCAGATGGCTGAAAACACACACACACACTCTTTTCCGTCCGCTTTGCCTATTCTGTTCTCGCTTGATCTTGTGTCTTGGACAATTTACCTTTTATATTCTGCCAGAGACTGGCTGTGCTGTTTGCCTATTCTTCCTTGCTTTCGCCAAATGCGTTTGCGGAGAAAGGGAACACGTCGATCTTTTGAACCGGCGTTAACCTTACTGACAAGGCCTGAGGACCGTCTCTCGCACTTCGTACCTTACGAACAAAGGGGAACTTCAACGCTCTGCCCTTTTTTTGACTGGAAGGAGGGAGGCCGATTCGACATGCTTCACCGCTTCGATTGTTTGTTCTGACGATATGAGATCAACGAAGTGTGGGTGGCGAAAATCAAGCTTTGTATGCAAGACCAAGATGCAGGAATGACGCATTCGGTCCTTTCGAAAATGCGCAAACAAAGGGAACGGCTACAGCACGGCCTCTTTGACACGAGATCTGGGACCAGCTGTGATTCGCTGTGGAAACGCTCTCTCCCACGTGGAACGGACTCCCTTTCATTGCATCTGGTCTGCCGACAGTGCATACGTCTGACGTGAGCGTACCGAAAGAGACGAGAAGAAACATCAAAGGGAAAATCTCGTCACAAAGGGTCTGAGACTGCGATGATGGTTGGCGACGATGCAAGTTCCTGTGTTGCTGTAACAGGCGTGATCATTCCTGAAGGGGATATATATCTCGACTTGAGGCGAGATGGCAATCCGGAGTTGGAAGGGGGTGTCGTTGGAAGACGCATCTTACCCTTTGCTTCGAAGCTGCTAGGCTGTTCGCACGCTGGTCATTCGAAAGAGCTCTTTGCATCTTTATAGCTTGATCACGAACATCACCGGCTCACATTCGTACAAGATGGGTAGCGCGATCACCACCCGTACTTCGCTTCCAAAGCTCACGAGCCATCGTCCGTCACAGTCCACCTTGTACCAACCACGACCGACGATGATCAGTTTGACTGATGCACGAGACATCAGCGAATCCAACACACAGGCGGAAGCCCCAAGAGCTCTAGCAGACATCACATCGCGATCTCTCAACCTCCCTTCGAGAACGACCTCGAGTTTGACCGCCGATCGACGCGCAAGCTGGACCGGTGAAGGTGTGGGAAAGAAACGAAAGAGTACGTTGCAAGCTAACGGGAGCAAGGTGTATAGGGTGAAACGTAGGAACGCCATCTCGTTGAACGAGGAGCAGGCGAGATGCTTGGCTCGCAGTTTGAGTTGTCTTCCGACGCCGAATGACAATCAGAGTCAGGAATCGTGTTCCCAGCACGACATTGCAGGAAGAATTCCCAAACGCGAACGACACGAGCCAAGACTCAAAGAGGAGCAAGAATCTTCCAACCTCACCATCGACCAAACTGACAACATCAAGCGGAACGCTGCACTCCTTCCATTCAAAACCATCGCCCTGCAACCCAACCTCTTCCTCCTCACTCGAACCGACGGACTCGCCTTCACAGACCCCCTCGTACCCGCTTCCACCTTGTAACCATCCCAACCCCATTTCAAGTGCTCTACCTCCTCGTCCCGTTCGACTATGCGGTCCACACACCCATTCTCGTACACTTCGATTGCTCCCTTACACTGTACCACCATCTCAATACTCATCACATGCAAAGAATAAGCTTCCACGAAACAGTATCTGCAAAACATAGTTTTTTTCTGAAAAGCGAGATGAGAGTGTGTGTAGATCCATGTCTTTGACATGAACAAAGTTTTGTGTGTGGAGGCGGAAAGGAAAGGGGTAGAAGTACATGCAAAACAGGCAAAATGGGACGAAAGCAGCAGCGCACGAACGGAACGAACTCCCTGTAGTAAGGAGCACGCCATCTCGCTTTTCGAATGAGATTCTGTGTGTGGGTGTTGTGTGATAGTGCAGTCGTCGATGCTGTTGCGTGAATCGCGCTCGTCAGATCTAAAAGATCACGGGGATGAAGCGATTGTGTGTGATGTGCATGATATGCAAAAGAGGGAGAAATGCCGAAGACGAGAGAGAAACGATGCTAGTAGACGAGGCCGATGTTCGAAAATTTACTCGTCGTCGATCTCGATCTCGCCAGCGTCGATGCCCTCGATGATGGCGTGAGGGTTCTGGCCGTTGACGGTGCAGCCGACGGACTGAGCAGTGCCGAGAATCTCCTTGACGGTACCGGCGAGGCTCTTGGCGAACGACTTGAAGCGCATCTTGCGGGCAATCTCGACAATCTCGTCGAGGGGGATGTTGCCACCGTGCTTGATGTTCTTCTCCTTCTTGCGGTCACGAGGGGGCTCCTTGAGCGCCTTGATGACGAGCGACGAGGCCGAGGGAACGACCGAGACGGCAGCCTGACGGTTCTGGACGGTAAGCTGGACAGTGACGCGGAGACCCTTCCAGTCGCCGGTGGCCTTGGCAATGTCTTCACCGACCTTCTTGGGCGAAAGACCAAGAGGACCAATCTTGGGGGCAAGCGCCGAGGAGGCACCAACCTCACCACCGGTGGCTCGGAGGTAGATGATCTGAGAGTGTGGAGAAAGCAAGGAATGAGGATGTAAGCGTCAGCATGTTGTTTCTTACAGAGCTAATTGATGTAGTGTGCTCTTCGCTCTCGGACTGCGTTGTTGACATAGGCTTTGCTGCATAGATCTGTTCGTTTCGGGGCATGTGTCGGCTGCTGAGGAAAGTCGAGCGATGGTGCGTCAAGGATACGCAGATGCTGGATTGCTGTCGCTGTTACCGTCTATTTTCTCTTTGCTGAAGGGATACGAAACTGCGCTGCATTTGATATGCAGTCCGCTGTTGTCGGGCGTTTGAAAGTCCAGACCCGAGCATTCTCTGTAAGCCAACCCTCGAACACGTTTGCCGAACACTCCTTAGCAAAGTCTTCTGCCATGCGCGCCGGCTTTTATCAACAACAAGCGCCGTAAACTGCATATTCCACGTTGATCGACGCAAAACATCGACGGTGTGATTGCGGACAGGGTCAAGCTACCTCTTTTCCGTGCCCAGACACAATCCTAAATCTCCCGAAGAATTCCAAGCTTTTGTGCCGCACCATATGTATCGCAGAGGCGGAATCTGCCTCGTGGTTGCTCGAAGATTGTTGGTGTGCGAAGTCGTCGTCAGGGCGTCTGTCGATGATGTTGTCTGAATATGCCATGCCATGTCGAGTCGAAAGTGGCGGAAGATCCATGCAGCGTATACTATGAGTCGACAACGCAAGTGCGAGCAGCGTGATTGCGCGAGGGTTGCAAGATAATCACCTTGATCTCGTTGGGGTCGATCTTGGGCGCCATTGTGAATAGGTGTAGATGTGATGGTGAGGAGACGGTTGAGAGGAAGAATCGTGACTGGCAACATGGAGACGCCCGACGCCCGCTCAGCCAACAGAGCGCCAGAGACTCGGGCTGCTGCTCTCGAAATTATCGCGGTCGCAGCGTGCTCTCTTCTCGTCCACGAGTCCGTACCTTTGGACCCGACGCTCAGTGCAGGCTGCGCATGCCTGGTCGAGATTTGAGGCTTTGAGGCCAGTCGAGCGAGAAAGCTTTGGCCGTTCAGCCAGCTTTGGAGCTGCTCTGAGGCAGAGGCCAACATTGTCGGAATTTCGAATGATGAATTCGTGATCTTGAATTACTAGTACCTCGGCCGAGCGTTCGTTTGCAAATCAAATACACGTGTGCCTCGATCTTTTGAATCGATTTCATCCTGCTATCAGCGATACCGCGCTGTGCTGTGGGATGTGCACTTTGAGAAGAACCAGAGGTGCGGTCTGCTCGAGACACATGCTGTAGCCGTCTCGACATGGCTTTCTGAACCAGAAGCCAGCTGCACGCCTAAATGATGGAGGGCGTGCGATTGCTGTGAGCAAGCCTGATTGCGTCTCGCCTCGTCAAGTGTGAAGCCATTCCCGCAGTCTGGCTAACGGCAGCAAAAGCACGCGCGCACAGTGAGACAGCCTGCTGCCTGTAGCCGATTGTGAGTGAGTGCAGTACATTCGAGTTGGTTGCCGTCGCCATCGTCACGCTCCCATCACCACCTCATCCGAACACATACATTCCAACATGTAAGTTGTCTATTCTTGCTGCAACAGCAAACATCGCCGCACTACATCGACGCAACAGGGATGGTCATGCTGCAGGGCACTGGAAAGGCATTCATCGACAACGGCCGGACGCATATTTGTATCTTTCGACATTTTGCTCGACCAGCGATACGGCAAGGTTTGGGAGAAGCAGCGTACAGATGTGCCATCGACGTTGAGGAGCAACCGCCCCGTCGCCATGTGACGGAGCAGGGAAGGCTTTGTTGCAAGCTCGACAGGTCAGCCATCGGCATGCCTAGTGACATGGATTCCAGCTTGGTGACGAGCATAGCACGGGAGACTGCGTACCTGCCTATGCAGCTGCGTCAAAAGGCGCAACTTGGATTGCGATGGCACAGGCGTGTCATCCCAGCATGCCCAGGATTATCGCTAGAATGAAGGATCTCGTGCTTCATCGAACAAAGTGTCATCTCCAGCAGCTGGCCATCTCTGCTGAAAGCGACGGTACATTTAAACCATCAGAAGGACTCCAAACTGACATTGGCTCCCCCTTCCCATCACAGGTCTGAGTCTCTCGTCTACAAGGGCTCCCTCGCCGGCCACAAGGGCTGGATCACCGCCATCGCCACCTCGCAGGAGAACCCCGACCTCCTCCTCACCGCCTCGCGTGACCGCACCATCATCGTCTGGCAGCTTTCGCGCGACGACTCCAACTACGGTTACCCCAAGCGCATCCTCCACGGCCACAACCACTTCGTCTCCGACATTGTCATCTCCTCCGACGGCCAGTTCGCTCTCTCCGCCTCGTGGGACAAGACCCTCCGTCTCTGGGACTTGAACACCGGCACCACCACCCGCCGCTTCGTCGGCCACACCGCCGATGTCCTCTCCGTCTCCTTCTCCGCCGACAACCGTCAGATCGTCTCGGGTTCGCGTGACCGCACCATCAAGCTCTGGAACACTCTCGGCGAGTGCAAGTTCAACATCACCGACGATGGTCACTCCGAGTGGGTCAGCTGTGTCCGCTTCAGCCCTAACCCGCAGAACCCCGTCATTGTCTCTGCTGGTTGGGACAAGGTCGTCAAGGTAAGTTTCGCATCACAGCAACGCATGCAGATCAGGGCGAAAAGGAGCAGGCAGCATGGATTTTGCAACAACAGACAGTGGAGGCAGACAAGATTGTAAGGAGAAAAGCTGTGCGAAGGACAACAGCACCAGCGGGCGGCAAGTTGCGATGAAGAGCGCTTTTTAATATTTGCTACTATAGAGAGCATCGCTCGATGAGAATATCTCAAAGTCACCAAGATCACTGAGCATCCAAAGCCACCGCAAACGGGATTTGCAAGTTGGGAAGAGGTTGGATCTGGTCCAGGACGATACACGCACCTGTCTCTGATCTGCATGTTGTGCCGTTCGCACTTCAGCAGCAAACACTGACCCTCGCACCACTTCCCCTCTTTGTTATTACGCAATCTGCAGGTTTGGGAGCTCAGCAAGTGCAAGTTGAAGACCAACCACTACGGCCACACTGGCTACATCAACACCGTCACCGTCTCCCCCGATGGTTCGCTCTGCGCCTCTGGTGGCAAGGACGGCATCACCATGCTCTGGGAGCTCTCTGACGGCAAGCACCTCTACTCGCTCGAGGCTGGTGACACTGTCAACGCCCTCGTCTTCTCGCCCAACCGCTACTGGCTCTGCGCTGCCACCGCCTCGTGCATCAAGATCTTCGACCTTGAGTCCAAGAGCATCGTCGACGAGCTCAAGCCCGAGTTCAGCGGTGTCGGCAAGAACTCGGCTGACCCCGAGTGCCTCTCGCTCGCCTGGTCCGCCGACGGTCAGACCCTGTTCGCCGGTTACGCCGACAACATTGTCCGTGTCTTCACCGTCTTGTAAGATGCTTCCCCCAAAAAGCTTGTTTCGTTCCACTGCACTGTATCGTTCCGACGGAAAAGTCAAAAGCATCCCTCCCCCCTCCTCGACTTCTTCCGGCGCTACAGATTCGCAGACCCGGACTGCAATCTTGCCGTCGATCGAGATCCGGCGGCGACCCGCCGTCGTCTCGCATCGTCATCGCAACTTTGTTTTCCACAAATCATCACCGTCAATTAACAAAAAATGGGGTTTCAATGGCCCTTGTATTCCTTGCATCCCACATCACCCGCGTTTGCGATTGTCCGATCTGATGTGATTCTAAGCACAGTGCACATTTGAGGGTTCTCTGCTGGGTATGACACACTGAACGCCCGGAAACATTATCTGGAATTGCATGCTGAAATGGTTCCCGAGAAAGTACTCTGCAACCCCCGATTCAAACGCTCATCTTCATATCGATCTTTCCATGACACTTGTAGCCCTCTACCTTGAAGTCGTCGTACTTGAAGTCATCGATATCCCTGATATCTCTATCGACCCTCAACGTGGGGAAGGGCAAAGGATCCCTTTCCAGCTGCACCTTCAATGGCTCCACGTGGTCCTTGTACACGTGAGCGTCTCCCATCGCCAACACCAACTCCTTCGGCTCGCAGTCGGTCACCTTGGCGATCATGTACGTCAACAGAGCGTAGCTAGCAATATTGAACGGAACGCCCAGTCCGAGATCGCAACTGCGCTGGTACATCTGACACGAGAGGTGCTTTTTGCCTTCTCCGCGTGCGTACGCGTCCAGGTTGGAGACGAAGAATTGCGCGAACATGTGACACGGCGGCAAGGCCATCAGCTCGAGGTCTGCGGGGTTCCACGCCGACAGCAGGATACGTCGATCCGTAGGGTTGTTCTTGATCTTGTCGATGACGGAGGCGAGTTGGTCGACTCCTTGACCGGTGTAGTCGGTATCGCAGTCTTTGTAGGTGGCACCGAAATGACGCCATTGGAAGCCGTAGACTGGACCGAGATCGCCTTCACGGCGATGCGAGAGTCCGCGCGAGTCGAGGAATGCGCGAGATCCATTGCCGTCCCAGATGTGCACGCCTTTGTCCGTGAGCAACTTGGAATCCGTCTTTCCGGCAACGAACCAGAGGAGCTCTTCGAGCACTCCGCGGAAGAAGGTGCGCTTGGTGGTGAGCAGTGGCAAGGTGCCGTTGGTCAAGTCGAAACGGAGACTGGGTTGGGGAGCGAAGAGAGCAATGGTACCCGTACCTGTACGGTCGGGTCTAGATTCACCCGTGGAAATGACCCGCTGGACAAGCTCCAGGTACTGCGACTCTTCGTGCTTCGCTGAACCGCACGACCCCGGTGCACCTTCCTTGTCACCCTTGGGACCGGTCTTGCTGGAAAAGATCCCGGCCACCGTAGGCTCGGCAAAGTTGTGATGCGCATACCCCAACACCACCATCCCCCCCGCATCCATCTCGAACAAGCGACCCTTGGGCAATGGCAATCCCAACCAGCGAGCCACAAACACGCGGTTGAAATGTCCGTGACAGACGAGCAGCACATCGCACGTCTTGCCACCCACATCGTGACCCTGGTTGCGCTTGTCCACGTGTCCCGACTGCAGCGAACGGATCTTGGCGATGACGGAGTCGACACGGTCGCTCATGTGTTGGGCCGACTCTCCGGGCAGCTCTTCGGGTTTTTCGGGATGATCGGGTGTTCCATCGGTCCAAATCTCCCATCCGGGATGCTTGGCACGGATCGCATCGGTCTTGAGTCCTTCGTAGGCACCGTAATCCCACTCGCGGCAGTTCTCTTCCACCTCCACCTCTGGGATGGCAGAGCGTTGGGAGGCAGGGATGTGCTCGAGCATGATCTGGAGCGTGCGCTGGGATCGTTTGCGCGGGCTGACAAAGATGTGGTTGAGCTTGGTGGGGTCGATGAGCTTTCCGTTGCCGACACCGACGATGCTGGGCGCGAGCTGTCGCATCACCTCTTCGCCGTGTGGGGTGAGGGGGATGTCGGAGCGTCCGGTGTGTTGGCCCGAGATGGACCATTCGGTCTCGCCGTGTCGGGCTAGAAAGATTCGTGGCATCGACATGTTGAGCAAAACGGTGCGAGCAATTGCGAGTGATTGAGGAAGAGAAGAAGATACAGGAGCTCGCAACGAAGGATCAAGCGTCGATCCGACTCGGTTGCGACATTTCCCAAGAAGCTCACACAAACTCCGCGCGCCGCCATCATCATCTTGCCCTCGCAATCTACGCGCGTTTATGTCACATTTCCTCGCTTCTGGGACGCGTCTGTGCGGCCCACTGATTCGGAGACGCTGGGTGCAAATCAGCGAGCGCTATGATGGTATATGTACGCAATGTTCGACCGCATCGGGCATCACCGTCAACGATCGTCTTTGTGGCCTAGTTGGTTAGGGCGTAGGTCTCATACCAACGATCCTGCATCGCAGGAGTCAACCTACAAGCAAGCGATTGCTTAGAAATCCTAAGATCACGAGTTCGACTCTCGTCAAGGACATCGGTTTCTTTTTGTTTTGTTTTGTCGTTTTTGCTGCTTCTTTGGCATCCGTGATGGCGGAAGGAAGGTTATGACTTATTCACAGGCGTCGAGGTACGACCAGACTTGGCAACCCGAGCATCGTTCGCAAGCTCGCTCACAGACAGACAGACAGAAGCGGAAGCGTAGGACTGGTACATGTTGCAAATCTCGTGGACGGAAACCTGGTGACAAAAAAGTATGAACGACCAATAACAAATCGGGGCCACCTTGCCTCAACGGTCTGGCTTGGTGCGGAATCGGAGCAACGGCGCGAGGCTCGACAGTGGACACGCCGATTGCAAGAACGGATGGTGGAGCAGCTCGTCGGCAGAGGCACGGCTCTTGACGTCGGCACACAGGCACACCGCCAGGAAGCTCTTGAGGTTCTTGGAGAGCGTCTCGGGCTTCTTGAGCGTCGGCGTGCCGTTGGTGGCGATCAGGTAGAGCGCCTTGAGCGGCTCCTCGTCCAAGTACGGCGGCTCGTTCTCGATCATCTCGATGGCCATGATACCCAAACTCCAAATGTCGACCTTGGCACCGTACTCCTTCTGCTTGACCACCTCGGGCGCCATCCAGTACGGCGTGCCCACCATCGTGGCGCGCTTCGACTTTTGGTCCGTCAGCTTGGCGCAGAAGCCAAAGTCTGTGATCTTGACCTGACCGCTGGCGTTGAGCAGCACGTTGTCCGACTTGATGTCGCGGTGGATGATGCTCTGGCTGTGCAGGTGCTCGAGACCCTTGCACGTCTCCATGCAGATGGCCGCGATCTGGTCCTCCTCGAGCGTGTTGTTGTCAATGACGTCCGTCAATGCACCGCCCTCCATGTACTCCATGATGACCCACAGCTCATTGTTGCGCACCAGGAACGAGTCGAGGAAGTTGACAATGTTGGGATGCTGCGACTCCTTCATGACCAGGATCTCATTGACAATGAGCTCCTTGCGCGGCTGCTGAGACAGATCCATCGTCTTGATGGCGACGCGTTGACCCGTGGCCAGCGTCTTGGCGACAAATACCGATCCCGAAGCACCCTGACCCACCTTTTTGATCTTGCTGTAGAGCATGTTGGGGTCGTCCTGGCTCACCACCGCGCGCAGCTTGTCCATGATCTGCGCCTCGGACATGGTGCTGATTCGGCGCTCGGCCTCCTTCTGCTGTGCAGTCTTGGCGCCCGTTTCCTTCTTGGCCGTCTGCAAAGGCTTGACAGGTGCAGCGGCAGCGGAACTCAGTGCCGCCGCCACAGGCGAGGGCTGCTTGGCGACGGGTGCAGCCTTCGCAGCGCCAGCAGCGCCCGACGCTGCGACACCAGCGGAATCGCTTCCGAGCTTGAGCTCTTTGGTCTTAACGTTGAGTCCCTGCACTCCGCCGTCGTTGGCCAGTCTGCTCGAAGGTGCCGACGAGTTGGGAGGTGGCGGAGCTGGCCGCGTGGAAGCGAGCGAGGATGCAGGAGTCGGGACTTTGGCAGCGCCGGGAGCGGCGGGCGCCTTGCGCGAAGGCACCAGATCTGGGTATGCGTTTGCAGCGGATGTACCGGAGGGGGGCGTTGCGCGGCCGTACTTGGAGTCGTTGGAGCCAGCGAGGCGGGAAGAGGAGGACTGGGATGAGGCTGGGCTGGATGCGCCCTGTCGGCCGTCGTCGGAAGGTCGCCTCGCCATGGCAGTCTGTGCGGGTCTGAGCGAAGATGCGGCCGACGATGAGGCGGCGGCAGCAGACGAGCTTCGGAAGGCATCCGAAGGCGGTTTGGACGCGGCAGAGTATTGGGGAGCGTCCTTGCTCAAGCTGGACGACGAGTCGGCTCCCGCGCTTCCAGCGAAGCCAGTGCCGGCCTTGAAACGAGGCGCAGACGAAGCGCCCGCAACCTCGTTGGGTTTGCGTCCAGCTTGGACGTTCATGGTGGGCGTACCGAGGCCAAAATCGTCGCGCTCGCGCTTCTGAATATCGGTGTAGAACTCAAGCACGTCGAGAACCGCCTGAGGATTCTTCTCGTAGTCCTCGCGCGTGATGGCCGAGGTGGTAAGCAGCTTGGACCACTGTTCCGGCAGACCGGTGAAGGCTCCGCTGATGGGATCGAAGCCGACGTGGACCTGGTGGACAAAGTTGGTGGGCGAGGATACGCCCATGAGCGGCGAGCGGGAGTATATGTCATCCATCCAGCCGTAGAGCTCCTCGTCGCTCTTGAGCTGCAGATAGAACGTCTTCTCCTTGGTCTCGACCTCGATACAGTACGGCTTGAGATCTGTGCGAGATACGTTCGAGATGTCCTTGAGGAAGACGAGCGCGACGGCCTGGTAGGTGGTTTCGTTCTTGTGGAAGGTGAGCGTCTGCTCGCGCAGAGCAAGCCAGCGCTTGCTCCAGATCCAGGAGCGAATACCATCCTCCTTGACACTGACCCAGCCTTTCCTCACAACGGCGGCGCCGCTGGTGGTGGCGCCGGGACCTGCTTGCTGCCAGCCCGAGTTGTTGCCGGCGAGATGGTTAGCGGGCGCACCGGAGGAAGCGGTAGCGCCTGGCCCAGCAGGACGGAGCGGACCGGTGTAAGATCCACCGCCGGCGCCGACGCCTGAGGAGCCCGAGTTGTATTGAGATAGGGGTGGCAAGAAAGGGTCGTTGTGCTTGCTTGCCGGAACGGGTGGTGCTGGTCGTGACGGTGTCAAGGAGCCGAAGGAGCCGCCTTGTGGTGCGCCATGCGCCTGGTTCGACGTGCTGCGGAAGCCAGACATGGTTGCAATCGCTCGCTCGCTGGGTGAGGAGAAAGGCGATGCTGCGCGATCGGTCGTGTGGTAAGTCTGACGCGTATGTTGAGGATGAAGGTCCACGAGACGTGCTGCGAGAGCGACGCGCAACTAACAGAGTGCCAATGACCTATGACCAGAGTGGACAATGATGACAGACGAGATGGTCTTAGAGAAGAGAAGCCTCAAAGAGACTCTGTCTCAGGCCCGAGCTCAGAGACGCTGCCCCTGCTGTGCAGGACGTGTTGCGTTGGCGACTTTCCTGGACTCGCACTTGTGCGTGTGTGCATCTGCTGCGTGTTGCAAGCGCCCAGCGTGGGCGCGAGGCAAGCGGGGCGCGTGCGGGACAGGCAAGGATTGTGAATGTGTTGCGCCCTGTGCCTGTTGGTCTCACGAAAATCGTGCGAGATATGCAGGACAGAATTTCGAATTCCAAAATATAGTTACCTCGATGTAACACTCCAATCTGCGATGAACCGACCATGAGCCTTCTGAGCTGCGTTTGAGCCGTTTGCGATGAGGACAGTCTGGTCGGATCTCATGTCAAGCAAAAGGAGTGAAAAGGCGTGAATTAGAACTATCATTGCAACGGGAAAGCCTGAGGACGCTATGTCGCTTCAGACGCTGGAAGGCCCGGATCAAGAAGTGCCTAAAAACCGAAATGCTCGGTGATGAGCGAGACGTTGTCGAGGCCAGCCAGCTTGCCACGAAGGATCTCGCTCTGGAGAGCTGCAACTGCATTCGATGCGTCCTTCACCATGCCAGTAGGACCACATACGACCACAGCCGCAGAGGCGTAATCTTCATCAGGCTGTGGCGCAGCGCTCGAGCTGTCTGAGTGCGCCTTCTCGACGTCTGCTTCTACATGCACGAGATTGGACGCGCCCCGGATGAAATCCGACACCGCAGACGCGGCTGCAGGACGTGTGCCCCATTGAATTTCCCAGTCTGCTGGCAAGCCGAGATCTCTTGGGGCTTCGTCTTTCCCGCTAATGTAGATCGTCACGTTGAGCGCACCGGGAGGGGCAAGCGCAGCGATGGTGACGAGGTGCTGACGAGCCCAGTCGAGCGCTTGTGCATCGCGCATAGACCAGACGAGGTGAACGCGCCGTGTGGTCGCTGTCTTTTGTTGCCATAGCCAAGACAGTTCGAGGAGTGATGCGAGCACAAAAGTGATGCCGCTGCCACCGGCCAGGAACAGGGCGTGTCGATACGTGGCTACGCTAGCATCCTGTCCGTAGGGGCCGTCAAGCACTGCTCTAAGGTCTAGTCCGCTTGAACCGCCGGCGATATGCTGACTTTGACTTTGCAGTGCCCGATCGTAGAGATGCTTTGTGAGGCCACTGCGAGCCTTGGCCATCAAGACGACCGTAGATACGAGCTGCTGTTCATCCGCCGATGGCATCGAAATGATGGTGAACGGATGTGCCGAGAGCGGCGCAAGTCCAGGGAAGCGTACAAAGACGTGTTGCCCGGCGCGCCAACGCATTGGCGACTGAACCGTCATCTTTGCAAGTCCGCCGGGAAAGGCCTCGACTCGGCACCTTGCGAGTGAGAGGAAGCTGTTCTGCTGCAACTGCGTGGCGAAGCGCAAAAAGACCGAGAGCATGTAGAGGGCGGCGGTGGCCCACAGGTACCTCCACGAGGTGAGCAGTGCCTGGCAGTGCACGAACATGTAGCCCAGGAAGAGGATCGCCACGGGGACGTGTATGAGCAGGAACAGCTCGTAGCATCTCTCTCGGATACCCGTAAGGCTCGCAAAGGAGAGCACGAACAAACACGCGTAAGCGATAACGCCGGTAGTGTTGATGCTGTCCGAAAAGAACTCTTCTCGCAATCCTGCAGCACCGGAATCGGCCAAGGGCTGATAGATGAAAGGGACGACGTGGACCGTGGAAAGGAACAGCATGAATCGGGCAAGCCACTGATGGTAGACTTGAAGCTTCTCGTGACTGACGCCGGTGAGCAGAGAGATGAAATTGACCTTGGAGCCGAGCGTGAAGATGAACGGCATCAGGCCGAGTGCCAGCATACCTGCGCGCAGAGCGAGAGGCGGGCTTCCGAAACTGCGGTCGACTCGATAGTAAGGTTGCACCACGAAAGTCCAGATGGTGAAGCCGAGCATGAAAGCGCCGAGTGCCAACGTAGCTCCCAGCACGGGTAACCGAAAGTTGATGAGTCCCAACCGATACGAGGGTAGGTGTCGATAGGACAGCATGCGCAGGGCCGCGACGGGTCGGGTGAGTCCGCCGGAGCTCGACGCCTGTTCGTATTTTGATGAGCGTCGCCACCGTGACCGCAACGAGGCAGCTGCATAGAGCAGGATGATGATCGAGATGGTCGCGGTCATTCCTTGACTATACTTGAGCTGGCCAGCCCATGGATCGCCGGTTCGAGTGTTGGGCATCAATCCGATGCCAGCCGTACTTGGCGAGCCGTGTCTTTTCTCCATCTTGGTCGTCGAATGTGCTCGGCCCAGCACGGACGTACGGATCTGAAGAAGTTTGTAGATATGGTGGTGTTCGTAAGACCGTGAGGGTGCGGCGCAGGCCGTTCGGTCCCACATCCCGCTCGGAGCGTTTCCGAAGTGAGCGGTGCCATATTTGAAGGCGGCGGTTCGGAGCGTTTCAATTTTCGTGCTCGAGATGTGCGGACCGCCCACATGGCACATAAGAGGGAAAAAAGCCTCCGAGCGTACACGCGAGCCGCCACAGGCACCGCCTTCCAACGTGCCACGATCAGCGCATATGGTAGCAGCTTTCGTCAAGCATCAATGACCATGGAAGACGGCATATGGATTGTAGCTTGAGGCCGCCCGGGGGACCCTGGGTAAAGATGGCTCTGAAGACGCTGTTGGTTGGGTGGAAAGCGACCGGGGCAGTCGCAACTACTCGTGCGAGTGCAAACGCATCGGCTATCCATACATCATCATCGATCGACACACTACAACCGTATCTGGGATCGCGAAATTGGTTTGCCGACATGGTGTTGGCCACATTTCGTGAATTGAGTGTGGCAAAGAGACTCTGATCGACAGTTGCGGAGCCTCTTCCTGTGAGACCATCAACTCATCCGGCATTCAATTCGACATACAGCACAACCGTACCCATCATGGCCTCCCTCCCTGCAATCAAGGCTGGCAACTTGGCCGTCATCAGTGGCGGCGCCAGCGGTATCGGTCTGGCCGCCGCGGCTTTCTACCTGTCGAAGGGCATGAAGGTGGCCATTGGCGACCAGAGCGAATCGAGCCTGCAGTCGGCGACCAAGACGCTCTCTAGCAAGGGTGACACGTACCTCGGCTTGCTGGACGTGACGGACCAGACGAGCGTCAACCTCTTTCGCAGGAGCGTGTTCGAAAAGTTCCCCGACGCCAAGCTGACCATGCTGATGGCGAACGCGGGTGTTGGCGGACCAACGAAGGCTTCCACATCGGACGGCTGGGATCGCATCCTCAGCACCAACTTTCACGGTGTCGTCAATGTGTGAGTTGCATCTCAACGAGCTTGGCCTATCAACGAGCCTTCTGATCGATGTGTTCCCTGACTGACTTTTCGTCTTCCTTGTTCTTGCCTCAATGCAACGGCCAAATGCAGCTGCCAAGCGTTTCTTCCTGACCTGAAAAAGCATGGCGAGGACGCTCTCATCATCAACACCGGATCAAAGCAAGGCATCACCACGCCACCTGGCACAGGTCCTGCTTACAACATCTCGAAAGCAGCAGTCAAAGTGTATACCGAGTGTTTGGCACACGAGCTCCGCGAGGACAAGGCGAGCAAGGTCGACGTCAAACTGCTGATCCCTGGTTGGGTGCACACCGGGTTGACGGGCGCCAAAGATGGCAAGCCAAAGCCGGATGGCGCCTGGACGCCTGAGCAGACGGTCGAGTTCATGGTGGAACGAATCAAGGCTGGATCGTTCTACATCCTGTGTCCCGACAACGAGACCAAGCGCGAGATCGACTTGGCGCGTATGGAATGGAACGTCAACGATGTCATCCAAGACCGACCCGCCTTGTCGCGATGGCACGACGACTATTCTTCTGAATTTAACGAGTTTGTCAAGAGCAAGACCTCGTAGACTTGTATCTCTCTTGATGTATGACATGCGCTTCATCTTCACAGCTCACTTCGAATCGAATCAAAGCGTACACAAGTCGTTTTAGCGAATGCTGTTCTGTGCCCGTGTATGGTCTTTGTTGGAAGTATGGCTAAGAATAGTGGCTGTGTCAAAGCGCGTCTCAGTGTTGTAATTTTCAGTCAGGATGGCCCGAACGCACAGAATTGACATGTGGCTCGCGTTGTGGCACGGCAAATCGTCATCGTGCACTTGAGAATTCCACGTCTCAGCCTTCGCTTCGGTCGTCACATGGGAGCATCAGAGCTTCTAGACTTGGTTCGACCTCACCACCACGCCAGTTATCTTCTGACATCTCCAACGTCGTCGCGACTTTTCCATCCATCACAAGCATCTACAAGACCCTTGCACGTTCAAGATGACGCTCTATTACAGCATCGTATTCGCACTCTTGTGCTTCGAAATGGCCATGTTCATGGTCCTCATCGTACGTCGTCGCGGTTGCTTAGTGACTCAACAATCTGCATTTTCAGAGCGCTGACATAAATCGTTTGTTCTTAACCCACAGGTTCCCTTGCCATTCACCTGGAGACGCAAGTTGTTCCACTTCCTGGCTGTCAACCCAGTCGTCGCCAAGATTCAGTATGGTCTCAAGATTACCTTCATGTGAGTCATCGCCTGCCATCTCCTCAATGCCGACACACAGCCGACTGACCGCTCTGCGTATTTCTCCTGATATGGTCGTGGTGTGTTCAACAGATTTGTCGCAGTGCTTTTCGTTGATGCCGTTCAGCGCATGGTCAAGGTCATGTCCGAAGGCGAGACGGCCCGAGACAACCGCGGCGTACAGGACGTCCGAACCGAGACCAACTACGCCGCGCGCAAATTCTACAGCCAGCGCAACATGTACTTGACCGGCTTCACCCTCTTCCTCAGTCTCATCCTCTCGCGCACCTACTCGCTCATCCTCGACCTCATCAACGCTCAGGAGGAGCTGGTTGCGCTCAAGAAGGGAGGCAAGACCAGCGGAAGCGGTGCTGACATCGAGAAGAAGTACTTGACCGAGATTGACACGCTCAAGAAGCAGACCAAGCAGCAGCAAGAAGAGTACAATCGACTCAGTGACGAGCTCGCCAAGGCTACCGGTACCACTTCGACCAAGAAGGACTAATTGCAGCCATCACTTGCCCTTCAAAAACCTTTCGCGTCATGACCGGTCATGTCGTCGAACATGACAAAGGTCGATCATGATGAATTGCACAGTTGCCTTGTCTTGAAGGAAGCCTGGTCGACTCACTCAGTGTGCTGTGTTCAAATGACCCTCCGGGAATCCCGCAGCCATGTCACACGATGTTCTTGTTGCCTCTTATGCAATCGACATTTTTCTCTTTGCTTCCTCTCACGAATCAATTGGCGGAAATGTGGGAATTCGAATCGTGCACTGAATGATCAAACGCCTTCGTCCAAACCTGAGTTGTAAAGTGAAGATGTCACAAGGTTCGTCCCAGTGAATGTGCCCTGTTAGAAACGAGTGTGAAGTGTTGTTCTAAGTGGCATGTCTGCTGCGCACTTGATTTTTGGCCTCCACTCCACGCGAGCCGGCGATTTGAGAAGAATTGCTTTCGACCAACTCAGCCGGAATCCTTCTTCTACAGCACTACCACCCAAACCTACGCGGCCCGCAACACATTCAATACTGCAACGAGAACGAGTGTTGCTGTTCATTGCCAGCAAGGAAGATGGGTGTATTCGATGGACAGAACAGTCAGCAACTCGTCCAGTCTTTGGCCAAGCTTCCCACTTCGGATCTCGTGCGCTTCACCCTCCAAAAGCCGGACGTCGCCCGCATCTTTGCCTCTTCGCTCCATCTGCTCGCCATCGAAGCTGCATCAGACCCACTACCTGTCAGCAAGGAAACTCAGAATGCAAGCGGCCATGTCGATATCCTTGCACGTCTCATCGAGCGAGGTGATCCTTCGCTAGCCAGGAAGTTTGTTCCCACCCAAGGATCTCTCGTCGACCTTGCTGTGGCCGCACCAGAGGGAGCGAGGACGGCGGTTGCTTCTATCCTGGAGCGTCTGCTGGATGCAACCAGCGTCAAAGAGATCGTCGGCGGCCTCTCGTTGCAATTTTCCGGCCTCGTCTCGGAAGGTGCCAAGCAAGATGCCGCCGCATTCTCGTCCACGGTTCGCACCCTCGCTCGTCTTAGCAACGCTTTCCTCGCCGTCTGTCCACCACGTCTGCTCAAGGGCAACCTCAGTCTCATCCAGACTTGGGCTCGAACAAGCATCGACATCTACGACAAGACCCTACCGCAACTCGCCAAAAGCCTCGCAAACGATGCAACCCACATCCTGAGCGAGCCAGACCTCGCAAGCCTAGACGTCGAAATTTGGCAGCTTCACTGGCTCACATGCCGAGTCGACTTGCTGCAGCTCATCTCTACTCTGCTATCTTACCTCACAGGCTCGTCGAAGCTCGTGGATGCCCTGCGCGAAAGTCTCGCAGACACGGAAAAGCTTCTCAACAAAGGAGGCTTCTCGACACTTCTCAATTCGACCATCCTGCTCGATCTTGCTGCCTCGTCCGATTCGTGGCCTTCGTTGCGATCCGAGCTAGCTTCCGCCGTGTCGAGCAAGAAAGGCAGCGGTAGCGATGCGATCGCATCGATCGACACGTTGGCTACTTCGGTGCCAAAGTTCACCGGGGCCGCCTGGGATGCTTTGCAGCGGTTCATGGCTTCCCAGATTGCACCTTCTTCCACTGATACCTCTTCAGCGTCCAAGACAGGGAGCGGTGAAGGTGATTCTGAGGAGGTCTTGGCTTCCGTAGATTCTGTTCTGCCGCACTACGGTATGGACCGTCTTCGGACCATTCTTTCTCGACCGTCGTTTGCTGGGCAAAGTGCAGAGATGGTCATCCAGAGGTTGCTGGAAGGCGACGAGGGCGAAGCGGAAGCACCTGCATCGAGTCGAATGCCACCGTCCGCACCGGCCGTACCACAAGCCGTGGCTGCTCAGCAAGCTACCCCGCCACCTGCTATAGCTGCAGAAACACCGCTGCCGTCCTCCTCCGCAGCTGCCCCCTCGCCGGTCAAATCCAGAGCCCTCTTTGGCGACTTTGCCTTCGACCCCGCTTCCATCGTGCAGCCCAAGCTGGCGAGGAGCGGTCGCGTGGACGAGCTGGCACCCGAACTCAAAGCAGCCATCCTCGCGCGTGCCGAAGCCGCCGACGACGACGAAGCCGAAGAAGAGTGGAATCCTTTCGCCGAAGGGCAACGAACCGTGGGTGTTGAGGACGAGTTGGATCTGGACAACGACGGACGCGAAAGAGCACCTCACCGGTCGACGGGAGAGGATGGAGATAGCGATGGGCATGAAGGTGCGGAAGAATCTAGAAAGAGGGAGAGGCTTTTGTTGCGGTACTACGTTCAGAATGGATCGGGATGTTTCTCTGCCGATGCAGCGACGAGACGCAGTGAGGTGAGGAGGAGGTTGAGGGAGCAGACGGGGTGGGGAGATGATCTGATCGAGTCGTGGGCGGTGATGTTGGATCGCAATCCGAAGAAGGATCGACTGTTGGCGGCGGCATCGCAGTCTGAGCTGGAGGAGCAGATGGCTGAGCGCGACTCGCGCAATGCGACGGATGCGGATGATGATGAGGCGGGGAGGGGGGATGTGAGAAGGTTTGGTCCGGATCGTGGACGCGGTGGTCGGATCTTGAGAGGTGGCGGACGCGGTGGTGGAGGTGCCAGCTCTGGGAGGGGCGGAGGCCACGCTGGTGGCTCGAACCAGGGTGGTGGTGCGCAGACGAACAAGGCGACGAGAGGTCGTGGTACAGGTAACTCTGGAACCGACCGATCAGCGAAACAGAAGGAAAAAGCGGGGAACAAGGCACGTCAAAGAGGTCACGATAAGAAGATGGCTCGTGTCAATCCTTCCTAGGTCCCCCACGACGTCGTTCGTCCTCATCGAATGGAAACTTCTCACCACAAAGAGCAATTGTTTCACAGACAAGTGTCTTTCAAAAAGATTGATCAGATTAAACATGAACGAGTAGAAGGCGTGAAGGAGATGCGATGGGTATACATATGAGAGACAAGACGCGCATGCAGGGGAAACTAGGACGTTCCAGCGGCGGCTACTTTGGGAAACACCAGCCAGTTGGACAAGTTTCTCGCGGTTCCTGGATCCCTCGCGTTGCCCCAAACCATGACTGTCGCAACGATCAAGATGGACGCGCTGACGAGAGCAAAGTTATCCGTCCTCACCAATCCACCTTTGTTCAACTTCCCACCGTTACCCGTCCCTGTCGATGCCACTGGGTTGAGTCTGGGGATGTTGCTCTTCATCTCGGTAAACACCACGGGGAGCAGGACGATGCATGCGGTGTAGAACACCATGATGCTCCTCCACACCAATCCGGGCCACTCGAGCAGGCCTGGTTTCCTCGTCCTGCCCTCCGCCTCGTAGAATTTGGGATGGGCGAACAACGCGTAGATGCTGTACACCGCTACGGCGAAGAAATGCCCCACGAGGAGCATCGGTTTCGGCGCCAACCCAGACAACAAGGATACAGGCCCGTTGACGCATTCTCCACCCATCTCAAAGTACTTGAAACAGCCTTCCCTCAGCACTTCGAGGTTGGCATCGTCTGCACCGAACAAACTGTACAGTGCTTGGGCGAGGATGTTGATGACCGAAGAGAGACCTTTTCTGCTCCAATGCCATGAACGAAGGGCTGGTCTGATGGAAGACCAGTTACTGAGGTCCAAAGGTGCGCGTGGGGGGTTGGGACCGGAGAGCGGAGCCCAGTGAGAACCGCCAAGTGCTTCGGTGAGGTGGACTGCGTCCCAGAGACCTACGGTCATTCCACCGCCGGTGAGCGGGTGCCGCATGTTCATAGCGTCTCCAACAACAATGACACCCTTTGCCGAGTCGGATTGACCTTGCATACTTGGTGGGAGGAACGAGTTGGGCATGCTGCGTAGACGTTGACCTTTGGCCATCTCGGCCTGGACGCATTCGCGAAGCTGCTCGGGGAGTTGCGGGATGACGTTTTCGTTGACGTGCTTTTGCAGATCGCCCTTGGCGACGGAGGGCAGCTTTTCGCCGGCGACGTCGATGAGAATGCGTGTGGAGTGGGTGCCGATCTGGTAGAGCAGAACAGGCCCATGCTTGGAGAGGACGACGTGGCCGTGATGCGGTGCTGGCAGGGGTGCGTCGTGCAGCTCGAGACCGACGAAGTTGGATCGGACCATGGGCTGGATCGAGCTACCGTGCGTGCGTCGGAACTTGGAGAAACAGCCATCGGCGACGATGGTGAGAGGGGCTCGCAGGTCGAACGCCTCGGCCTCGCCCTCTGGCGCCTTCTTCCATGTGGCGCTTACGCCGACCACCTTGCCTTCGCGATCTTTGAGTAGATCTCGGACGGTGGCCTCATACGGCGTCACATTCTGCTGACCTAGCACCTTTTTGCGTAATGACTGTACGAACTTGCCATGGTGGAAACTGCGGCCTTCCACCTTGCCACTCTTGCTGACGACGCCTCTGCCGGCCTCGTCTGACTTTTCCTGTGGGTATGGAATGGGTACCGATCGAGGGCCGTAGAACACGTGGTAGCCTTCGACGGGTACAGCATCAATGTTTTCGAGGGTGTCGACGATGCCCATCCTCGAGAGTGCTCGAACACCGCCAGGTTGAAGCAGCTCTCCGACGATACGGTCAGGTTCGTCAAAGTCGCGTTCGAGCAGGGCTACTTTGCGGCCGGACTTGGCGAGCGAGTAGGCGAGAGCAGACCCGACAATGCCTGCGCCGACGACAACGATGTCAGGCCTGTTGGAAGAGGTTGCGGACGTCATGATGGAATGCGATGATGCTGTTGGTATCGAAGAGGTGATTGGTGCGAGTAGACCAGCAAGATATATACTGTTGAAGTGTCAAGCCTACTGGTCTTCGAATGATGATGTGGCGGTGGTGATTCGTCTGCTGTTACTGAATGCAATGCTGATGGTTCTATATGATGGTTGCGGAGCTGGTTAGATGGTGAGGGTGCAGATGAGAAGTGTGAATCCAATCAATAAGCAGCACATGTCGAAAGCATTGCTCGCCAGAAGAAAGCACTTTGGCGTGAAATTAGTGCTCAACCACGCGCTGGTGCCTGCAATTCACGCAAGCCTGACGCAACATGATGCCGTGTTGTGCTGTGCTGTTTGCTAAATTTGGGACGCCGTTCAGCTTAGGACAACATGAAACCCAAAAAGTGCAGCCCCGCGTGAGAGTTGTGGCCTGATCTGCAACGCTGCGCGACTGCCGCCACGCACCTTGAGCCGCCAAATCACCTGTATTAGGTAAGGAAATTTCGCCGACGTTTTGCAAGAAGTTGTGAGATTGGTGAATACAATTAACTCGTCATGCTTAGTCAGCCTCCACCTTGCCTCCTGCATCATTCGCCTCGCCGCTGCAGCTGTGCAGCACCTTCGGAAGCTCCAACATCTTGATACGGCAACGACAAGAATCCACCACTCGAGCCCATCTCCTCAAAGATGGCACAAACGGTGCGGCAGCAAAGCGTGAGTCTAGCACGACCATCAAGCTTGACAAGGTGCAAGTGCTGACAAGACATCCTCTCTCGACAGCCGCTCAATACCGAGCCAAACTCTAAAGAGCTGGCTGGCTCCTACATCACACCCAATGAGCTCATCTTCAATCGAAACCACGACTCTGTCATCTCTACAAATGCTCCGAACTCGGGCGGATCAGGCTGGATGCTCGGCATCTCTGTCGAGCAGGACGAAACGTTGAAAGTGTTGCACGTCTCGCAACCGTCTCTTCCGCTGGAGTCGTTGAAGAAGGATTACGAGCTGGTCGAGGTGACCGCTACCCTCGAATGTGCAGGTAACCGACGAGCCGAATTATCCGCGTCTCACCAGCCAGCAGAAGGTATACAGTGGGGGAACGCTGTCATCGCCAACGTCGTATGGGGTGGTGCTTCCCTCCGATCTGTTCTGCTCGCTGCCGGTATTCCAGATCCTTTCTCCCACCACTCTCAACTATCAATCCTTCAACCTTCAGCAGATGCATCTCTCCGCGATTCCGAATCATGGGCTCGTCCGCTCCACCTCCACCTCTTCAGCGCACAAGAGAGCAGCGAGTCAGACGATCCCACCCGCACAGAGTACTTTGCCGCCTCCATCCCATTCGTCACCGCCATGCATCCCAACCAACACTGTCTGCTGGCGCACGAGTACAACCGTACACCGCTCACGCAGCGTCATGGAGCACCGTTGCGCGCAGTGATACCCGGTCACGTAGGTGCGAGGTGGGTCAAGTGGCTGAACGCGCTCAAGATCAGCACGTCGGAGAATGATTCGCCTCCCATGAGGCAAGACTACAAGTTGCTTACTCCGGATGCACAGGCCGACGAGAAGGAGTTTGCGGACAAGGCGGGAAAAGATGCTGAGTTTAGGAAGGAAAGGTTGAAGAAGGAGAAGCCTCTGCAGAGGCTCGAAGCTAGTTGCTCGATCACGCAGCCCGGACAGGGCGAGCGGGTGGTCCCAGCGGGAGAGGACGGTGTGGTGGAGGTCAAAGGGTATGCTGTGGGTCAGGATGGATCGCCAGCGACGCACGTCTATGTTGCTCTGGTACCGGACAGAGATGGTACCACGGACGAGCTGCTCACTTCGCTCGAGCCTGACGTCGAATGGAAGCAGGCACAGCTGATCAACCGAGATGCATCATCCAATGCAGCTCCGAGCACATGGAGCTGGGCTTGGACGCTGTGGCACGTACAGATGCCTGTCCCCGAGTCCGACCGCAAATGGGCTCTAGTCGCTCGATGTGTCACCGCCTCTGGTGTCGAGCAGGAGAAGATCTCCGAGTGGAACCTGCGTGGCTTTTGCAACCGCTCCTGGTCCGTCGTTCGCAACCTTTCGGTCCAATCTTGACGAACTTCTTGGCAACACAGTGATGTATATCTCGTTCGAACGACATGTATGTTCGTGATATTCCTGAAATGGACAGTGATGTTACAAAAGGTCGTGATCGCGAGAGCTCATCATACATTGGCACCGTTCGTTCCCGCCTCTCCCAATTCGGAATTGGCGCTTTCCGTCCTGCCCCTCTTTTCCAACGCCACCGGCCCCACGCCTCTCCTCCCCGGTGCTCTCACCTTCTTCCCCGGCAACATCATGGCATCGTACGGATCCCTCGGCGTCCAATCCCACGTATGAACCATCGTAATGTTGCCATTCCTGATCCTGCTCGCATAGCTATCCGCAATCAACCCGGACGACAACACGGTCGAATCTTTGCCTCCTCCGCTGTTCTCCGATGCGAGCGCAGCCTGCAACTGCAACTGCAATTCTTGCTGTCGTCTCTGCAGTTCCTCCTTGTCCTCTTCGGGCAGGATTTCGGCTTCTTTTTCGCGCATCTGCAGGACGAGCTTTTCCAACGCAGGTCGTAGGGTCGAGTTGCCACTGCCGGATCCTCCTCCACCACTACTGCGTGTGGAAGAGATGTTGGAGGAGAGATCGCTGCTCGAGCCGGAACCGCCGAGGAGATCGCGTGAGGCTGGAAGACCGTGGAAGAAGCGTTCGGCGTGTTTGTCGTCCAATATGGGAATGGGATCGTCGATACGCGAGACGCGTTTGAGAAGCTCTGCGCTGGCAACGACACGTGCGCCGATGGTGAGTTGGGAAGGATGACGATGTCCTAGGGTCGGAACGAGGGCACCGGATGGTGGGATGAGAGCCGCTGGTCGGCCCTGTGGTCGGACCGGGGTTAGCACGGGCGCAGACAGCGCGTTGGCTACCTCGACATTGTCCTCGTACAGCGTAGGCGGCGGCAACGTGGATACGAGCCAGCTCGGGCCCGGATTGAAAGGTATCACTGACGGTCGGGCTGCCACGGCCGCATACAAGCTGTCGTTGGGTGCGTATCGCGAAGCATCAGCCAACGCATGCGCCAGCCTCCTTCGCTTCGTCGCTGCATCCTGGTGTGATGGCCCAGACGGTGTCAAGTAGACACCAGCCGCACTGCTCGATGCAGGATCCTCCACCAGAGCTTGATACTCCGCAGCGAACGCCCGCAGCGATGACGTTGCTGGAGCAATCGAAGCGATGGATGTGTCGCCGAGTACGGACGCTACATTTTCCTCCAACTCCCGCAGCTCGTCTTTCTGATAGGTTGCTGCTAATGTCGATGAGTCGTACGTCACACTTTCTCTCCAACTGTCGCGCAAGATTCTGCGTGCTTGAAGCGCCTCGAACGCCTTCTCGGCCTCGGCCGCTCTCTCCTCCGCTGTCTTTTGTACGACGATTGCAGCTTGACTCTCGTCGATGTTGGTATCTTCATTCTTCGCTGCTTCGGCCGCAGCAGCAGCGGCGGCAGCAGCTGCAGCTTCGTCAGCTCTCCTCTGCGCCAGCTCCCTGCGCCGTTGCTCTTCCAGCACGTATTCCGGATCGACCTCGACAGGTTCCAGTTTGACGTGGACCTCGTCGTGCGTATCCACGCCAGAAGGAGCCTCCCCACTGTCCGGCAATGTTTCTGTCGCTGATCCTGATGCTGCTCCTTCTGCAGACTCTGTGCGAGACGGTGCTCCAGGAAATGTCGGAAGATACGCGGGCACATAGTCGATGACGGATCCACCGAAGTGTCTAGCCGGCGTGTACTCTGGTGCATCTGTCCGCATGCGCTTCTGTGCGTACGGTGACCGACGTCCATTGGTTGCATGCTGATTCTCTGATGTATCGCTCTCCTCTCCATCTTCGACGTCAGAAAACGTTAGCGTATCGAGGTCATCTGTGGAGCTCGATCCTTGTGTGGACGCCTCGCCGTTGGCTCTGAGTGAAGAGGGTCGAGACGGCCAAACGAGCTGCTTGGTCATCGATTCGCGAATGATGCTTTCTGCTGCTGCTTGTTCGAAAACATCTCCAGGAAGAGGCTGAAAGTGAATCTCGTTCACGTCCGATGGCGATGGTGGAACGCGGCCGGTATTGAGGATGCGAAGAAGGTCCTTGCCGCGCATAGGATCCTGCAACGCTGTCGGTAATGCGCTCGTGGTCGCTTCGACGTGTGCGCCGTTGACACCATTGGTATGAGGTGCAGCATCCTCAGGTGCGGGGAGTCGACCTTCTTGCTCAGCCCAGTCGAGCAGTTCCTCGATGGGGTCGCCGCCAAGGATGTGCTCGAGAGAGGCGCGAACATCGTGAGGTGAGATGACGGTGCGTCCAGCGTGATTGGAGTGTTGAACACATGTGGATCCAATAAGCTGGATGTATCTTTGCATGACCTCAGCCATGAGATCCGCTGCCCCTGACGAAGATCGAGAGAATCCTGCCGAAGACAAGAGTGCCAGGACTGCTACCGACATGTGCGAAGCCGAGTAGGCCTCGGCCGTCGGTTTCGACCGTGTGACCATCCTGGTCGGCTGGCTCGAAGCTTCAAGTGTGACGAGCTACGCCCCGCCTTCGGTGCTGATCCAAGATGAGCTGCAGAGGTGATGAGTTCACCCTGCAAGTCTGCGCCGTTTACTGCATTGGCTATTGAAAAGAGGTCGAGTCCACCAATCAATCCTTTCTTGTTCGGACCCAGCCGGGCGCGGAGCTGTGGGACGGCAGCAACTCAAACGATGCTGTACCTGCACGGTGGTGATGTCGATGGATCCTAAGGCGGGCAATGGCGAGAGAGACTGAATGAACGGTGGTGGATGCGGGTCAAGAGAGGAGTCGACGAGATCGAGATGGCTGGAGGTAGCATCACGTGACGCGTCCTTCCCCAAATGTGCACGGAAAACGGAAATGGGTTGGAAAAGAAGAGTGAGTTCAGACAAACATTCTCTCCACCTCGTGCTGCGCTTCTCCCTTTCTTCCTTCTTGCCCCGCATCCATCACCATTATCATCGCCATAGCGCTCATCCCTCACCATCAAATACGAACCCGCTGAAGAAGCATCAGGCAATCGATCCACTGTCGACTAAATATATACACAAACCGCTATAACGAAACAAAAGCATACAGGCTCTATGGCATCACACCAAGAAGAAGTATCGCTCTCAGAGGCAGGCACGAGCGACCTTCATCATGCTCAGCCCACAGATGCATCCAGCACGGACCCAACTCAAACAGAAGCCACGGCTGATGGAACTGCAATGACGGACGAGGACGCCGAGATCGAGGCGATGAAGCAGAGAGTAGCAGAGATGGAGGCCGAGGCGGCCAAGCTTCGCGAACTCCAGCAAGCCGCAGGCGAGGCAGGCGGTGCTGGATTGCATCCTTCCGAAGAAGAGCGCGAAGAGGTCGATTCAAGAAGCATCTACGTCGGTAATGTCGACTACGGCGCGACACCGGAAGAGGTGCAACAACATTTCCAAAGTTGCGGAACAATCAACCGCGTCACGATTCTTTGCGACAAGTTCACAGGGCACCCCAAAGGTTTTGCGTACGTCGAGTTTGCCGATCCATCATTGGTGGCGAATGCCATGGTGCTCAACGAGTCTCTGTTCCGAGGACGTCTGATCAAGGTGACAGCCAAGCGCACCAACATGCCAGGTTTGTCAGCACGAGGACGCGGCCGTGGTCGAGGTCGTGGACGACCTTTCCGTGGACGCGGTCGCGGTCGCGGACGAGGCGGCTACTATTAAGCAGCGTCTTTGACTGCGCATCAACAACGACGGTTCGAGCGCAAGGACTTCTCGTGTCGTCGATTTGGTCTACCGGACTGCCGAATACTGCCACCAAGAGCAAATGGCCAACACAAAAAGGAAAGGCGTCGCACGATTCACAGACATGCGTTCACGACGCCGCTCGCGTTCATTCTATGGGTCCGTATCTTTTGTACTTTATCATTATATAAGCCAGCAGCCACAAACTGGGCAACAACGCCCTCCTTTTTCCTCCTTCTCACACCCTTGTCCACGAGCAGCGCCTGACATTTAAAGCACCACACATCGACTGAACTGAGCACACAAACGCTGAAGCCGATCGAAAATCGATTCCATCCAGCATGACATGAAGACTGTCTCGCTCAACATGCGATCAAGACAGTGTATATACAGTGTGGCTAAAGGTCGGTGGTTACGAGCTGGGAGGCGCACCGCCGGGACTCTGTGGACCGGAAGTTGGCTGACCACCTCCACCTACGGAAGCCTCTGCGCCCGCACCACCACCGCCGACGATGAGTTTTGGCTGTTCGACCACCAACTTCTCTCCCTCGTACAGACGGTTCATCAGTGCCGATCTCTGGAGCACCTGGAGGTCTGCAAGTGCAGTCTGGTAGAACTTGGAGAGCTTCTCTTGGTCGGTCAACGAGGCTGCAGAGATGGATTCGTTCGAGCCAGCAGGCTGCTTGAGAGTTTCGGGAGACAAGAGTGTGGAGGGCGAGACTTTGGCAGTAGTGGAGCCTTGTTTGGAGAAAGGAGACGATTGAGCTGCTTGCGAAGTTGGCAAGAGCGTGGATCGGAACATGTCGCGAGATCGTCTCAGGAAGTATGTGCGGAAGTTGTACGACGACTGTCATTCGTATCAAGAGCAGAAAGTTTCGTCAATATCACTGTTCATATCACAGCAGATTGATCAATCAAATAGGCGGTACCTACGAAAGACTGTGATGTCCGCAAGTATTTGCGGTACAGATTCAAGATCTGCGACTTTGATGGAGCGGCGACCGACATTCTGACGAATAAGTAGCAGTTGCTGCTATCCTAGCGGTTGATCCTGAGATAAGTCGAAGTTTGACCGAAGCGATCAAATGTATGCGAGACTGTGCGATCCAAGGTGACAGGTGCCAATTGATGTGTTGAGCTCGTACGGTGAGTGTATGGTGGAGCTGGAGCTGGTGTGGACAGGAAGACGAACTGCGCTTTGTGCAAGACCGCGGCTTTCAAAATTGGCACCTTCGGCCTTTGTGTCATTTCCGCCACATCGAAAAGTACAAGAAAAGTCATCGTGACTAAGCTGGATCTTCCGAATCTAACTTTTTGTCTGACAGCTCCACCTCTTGACTTTTGTCTTGAAACCGGACCCTTTGAGTCGCAAACTGATCAACGGCCCTTTCCACGTTGCAACATTTGTCGGATCACCACCGACTCTTGAAGGACAACCAAGTCGAGCCGCGATGCCAAGGCAAAGGAACACCACAGGCTGGTCCTACAACAATGCGGCCGAGTCCTCCAAGGCCGGCGCTAAAGGTTCTGCGCCTCGTGCAGTGACTGGCGCAGGAAAGAAGGCAACAGCGCAAAAGAACCAGCTCTACTCCAAACCAATCCCGGTCGCCCTGGATGTCACCAACAATGCTGCCATCGATGCGAAGACCTCGGACCACACGCTTTGGTCGACAATATGCACACTTCTCACTCTCGGCTACTACGCACCTTCGAGCCAGCCGGCTGCTGCCTCTGCCATCGAGGGCAGCGCAAAGGAAACGGAAAAGGTCTCTGTCTACTACGACCGGCAACTGCAGACAATCTGGGTAGAAGAGCTTGATCAAGGCATACGACTTCTGTGGCAGCGTGGCTTCTTTGGCAAGGGCAATCTGTCACGATCCGAACCTACATGGCGACAGCGCAAGGTCAACGAGATCGATGCACTGCGAAAGGGTCGAATGACAGCAGAACAGCTTACACATCAGAGGAGAGAGGAGCGAAAGGCGCTCAAAATCGAACGAGCTCGAGCAGCCGTCCGCGCCGGACAGCAGCTTCCAGATGGCATTCTGGCGCTAGGGGGTGACATCACCGAAGCGGATCGAGCGCCCGGAGCGTCGCACGACCGATTGATGGCGGACATTGAACGACAGGTGGAAGAGCAGCTCGATGGCGAAGAGAAAGGATTGTGGACGGGGCAAGAGGAAGTGCCTGACATTGTACCTGGTGTAGCGCGCATCAAGGGTCTCAAGTACTTTGCCGAAGAGGTGAAAGCGAGCCAAGCACGGAAGGCGACGCAGGCGACCACCGAAGAGGGCGCGACAGCTGTCACAGCAACAAAAGACGAAGCCGACGAGGGGACAGCAGACATTGATGTGGTCGACGTCGAGCGCATGCAGCTTTCGCTGGTAGAAGCGTTCTTCCTCTCCTCCATGTTCGGCTGTCTGGATATTCACACCGGCGACGGTGCGCACAGTTCGCAGCGCCTCGAGCTCGGCGAATTTTACACGGCGTGTTTGCAGTCGCGGTTGCCACATTCGCTGCTAGATTTGCGAGAGCGAGGGCTGGCGGAACGACATCTATCCAAGCTGTACGCGCGACCCGACAACCCGTTCCTGATCGACTACGTGGCCTACCACCACTTTCGCTCGCTGGGTTGGGTGGTCAAGACGGGCATCAAGTTCTGCGCCGATCTCTTGCTGTACAAGCGAGGACCCGTGTTCTCGCACGCCGAGTTTGCGGTCGTCGTCATTCCATCGTACGAGGACGCCCAAGATGAGGAATCGAGCCCGTTCGCGCCGCACCCAAACGCAGGGCGCAAGGACTGGACGTGGTTCAGCACGGTGAACCGTGTGCAGAGTCAGGTGCTCAAGACGCTTATCTTGGCGCACGTGTTTGTGCCCTCGGTGAAGCGATGTCCGCCCGAAACGCTGACGACGCCCGAGGCCTTTTTCGCATCGTTGCGGCAAGGCAAGAGCTATGCTGTCAAGGAGGTGGCGATCCGGCGATGGGTTCCCGCTCGAATGAAGCCGTAGATACTTGGCTGTGCAGATGCAATTGCAGATCGCCGGTTGGCGCATTTTCGCTTTTGACCTTCGACTGCGAGTGCGAGACCAAAGAAGTACACTGTGGGCTTGTGACTGCGAACAATAAATTGCACTAAGTGTTACATCGATACAAGCTGAGCCAGGTTTGGCGCGCAGGTCAACTCTACGCGACGCGTCTCAATTGACAAGGAACACTGTTCTTGCCTGTGCGTCAACGCAACTGAATCTAGATCTCTGCAGCCGAGCAACTCGGAAAGGAGATTGAGGTAGTTGTAGCGAGCATCGGGCGGTGATGATGATCCATCTACAGTCACCAGTGCAGCGGTGACTGATGCAAGGAAGAGCAAAGGTGCCGAGCGAGGCTGCAAAAGGCAAGGGGAAAAAAAGATGGCCAAGACCCTGGAAACCTGTGACAGCACAATTATTCGATTTGAAACGCAAGGAGGCTGGATAAAAGGGGGGGTCGGGTCGAACATCAACGAGATCACACTCAAAGACTGAGCAAAGATCGAGCAAAGGACGAGCAACCAGCGATGAGACAACACACGATATAGCAACCGACCAACTCGAAGCAATGACTGAGGGTGCGCGCGCGGGCGTGGCAGGGGCATGATCCTCGCGCTGCCCGATGCAAAGTGGATTTTCGAAGTAGATTAGATTTTGAATGGCCGACTGCTCGACTGCTCAGCGCTTCCGCAAACCTTTGTCGTATGAACTTGCGCGCTCGGTTGCATTGAGGGAACTGAGCCGCTGGAGAAGGACCGAGGACCGAGGACCGACCTCCCTTCCGAAGGCTCTTTCCGTTTGGAACCAGACGATCCGTCTCGCCTCGCAGTTTCCAGACGAATGCCTAGCCACTGTGACTCACTCACCCGCTCCCACTCGATCGTTGTGGCTGCTCTGCTTTCTCTCATGGCTACTGAATCAAAAAGTTGGCCGTTCGGCGATGGTGAGCACTTTGACAAAGCTTTGCGAGCTTCGTGACACTTGTGTAGAGAACAAAATCGTACGAGCCAAAAAAAAATCGAAGAACGATGGCTCGACCACGCTTTGAAAGCTCACAAAACACAATTCGGCTCCTGCCGCTCGGTTTTGTTTCCCGCGAGTGTCGCGCAACGTCTGTATGCCGCACCACCTTCACCTCAACGGCGCACTTTTTTCGCTGTCCCGTCCTCACACCTCGATCTCTACACCGTCACCTTCGAACACCATCTCTCTCGACCATCACCTCCTATTCTGGAAGGAATCGCTGCTGCCATTACCGCCGCCCAGAGCCCGACCTCGCCGCGTCACAAGACTTCGGTGCTCCTCTCTACGTATCACGCAACGCCCACTCTCACCCGTCAGTCTTCATCACGGAGCGCCTCAAGCCAACCATTGGCTCGACCGACTCGGTCATCAATATCGCAGCACTGACTTTGCGGGCAACACCGCCGACACTCGATTCTCGCCTTCCCATTCCTTGTCTCGAGCATCAAGCACTGCCATTGCGTGCACCTGTCCGACCATCCACAACTATCTGGCTCGCTTGCCGGCACGGGGCCCTGACACCATCGGCAACAATCATCGGAGCAATATATCTTCGAGCGAGCTTCTGAGAGTTACAGCTGCTGGACTGGCCCTTTCCATCGCAACCGCGTCTCACACGCTTTATCTGAACCCCCTATAACATCATTCCATCATGGTGCGCTCCGTCACCTTCGAGATTCGGTGGCACGACACCCAGCCCATCTACAGCTGCTCCTTCCAACCTCTTCCGTCAAACCACCTCAGGCGTGTCCTCGATCACAACATGGGCCAAGCCGCGGGCCTCGCACCTGGCAAAGGCTTGTCCGAGATCGACTCTTCCGCCGCTTCAGCGATCGCCTCGGCCACTGGCCCCGTAGCTTCGTCATCCAAACTCGCTCCACCGCCCGTCATGGCAGGAGGCCAAAGCTGGAGGCTCGCTACCGCGGGCGGTGACAACAACGCGCGCATCTGGATGGTGCATCCCAACATCCCCTCCCCCGCAGCAATGGCCAGCGCAGCTGCCGTCTCGGGATCAGCTGTCGTTGCACCCCACCCTCCTCGCGTCGAGTACCTTGCTACGCTTCAGAGACACTCGGGCGTCGTCAATGTCGTACGCTTCTGTCCAAAAGGTGAATTGCTCGCAACCGCTGGTGACGACGGCAACGTCCTCTTTTGGGTACCCAGCGACCGTAACAAACCCAATTTCGGCGACGTCGCCTCTTCGCTCGAGGGCGAGAGTCAGTTCGAGAAAGAGTTTTGGCGCGTCAAACTCATGTGCCGCGCCACACAGCAAGAGCTCTACGACATGGCCTGGAGCCCCAACGGCGAAACGCTTGCAGTCGGAGGAACCGACTTTGTTGCGCGCATCATCAACGTTCAAGACGGCCACGTCATCCGCGAGATTTCGGAACACAACCACTACGTACAAGGAATCGCATGGGATCCTCTCAACGAGTTCATCGCGACGCAGAGCAGCGACCGCAGCGTTCACGTCCACAACCTCCAAACACGGAGACACGATCGCGAACGAGATGCCAACGACAAGTCTGCCGCAGGTTCTTCAGACGCAGCCATCACATCCTCGCAGCTTGTCAGCAAGAACGCCAAGCTCGACTTGCATCGCAGAAATGGCAGCGCCGGCGGCTACGTGTTTGACCAGCACTACACCAAGCCCGCATTGCCCCGACGCACCAGCAGCCACGCCAGCCAGGCTAGTGATGGAGAGGGCGCAAGGGACAGCTTTGTCGCCAGTCTACGTGGCAGATCCAAACGTGGCAGCACTCCCATCGACCCAGCACACACCAGCGCAGCTGTGGCCCGCGCGAGCACTCCATCTGGTGCACCACCATCATCAGCAGCCGCGGCAGTCGCTGCAAACGCTGCCGCACGTGCGAGCACTCCTACGCCCGTCGCTTCAGTACCACCCAGTCCCTTTTCGACCAACAGCGCCGCCGTCGCTGCACACGCCATGAACCCACCACAGACAACGCCTAGCCGCAGATCTAGCTTCAGTGGCAGCAACTTCGACGTGGGCTCGCCACCTACCAGCACCACCTCCCTCGCGCCCGCTTCCACCTTGGCAGGCTCGTATGGCATCAAACAAGGAGCGAGCTCCGCCGAGCACGGACTCTCGGTCGCTAGCGGTGCAGCTGCCAGCGATGCCGGTCGAAGAGGTGGCAGCGTCAGCCGCTCAGCTTCCCGAACCCGCAGCATCCGCTCTCCTTCGCCCATCCCACCTTTGCCTGCCATCCGAGCGCCGCCATCACCCAAGCAGCGCATGCAAGCTGCTGCTGCGTCGGGTCTCTCGGGACCGCTCGCCAAAGCCTCGATGCGACTGTACGGTGACGAGAATTTTAGCGGCTTCTTCCGTCGCCTTTCCTTCAGCCCTGACGGTGGCCTGCTTGTAACGCCCAGCGGTATCTTTGATCCGCCTCCTCAACCAGCGTCGCCTACCGTCCACCTCTCGCCTCGAAAAAGCCCCGCCAGCCTCAACCCTGCTTCTGCTGGTGCTGCCGCTGCCAGCTCTAGTCCTCAACTGGGTCCGGCCAACAAGAGCGCCGTCTATCTGTATGCGAGGGGCAACCTCTCCCGTTCGAACGCGCCCATCGCTGTACTGCCTGGACACAAGACGGCGACGTTGGTGGTGCGCTTCTCTCCGATCCTGTACGAGCTGCGCAAGACTCCGCGTGCTTCGTCCGCTGCAGACGATGACGAAGGCATGGCACCTCACCCGACCATCCCGCTCGAGGCTGGCAAGCAAAAGACCGTTTCCCTCAGAACGGAATCATCGCAAGCCGCCTTCTCCCCCACGCTGGGCGCCACGGCACCATCCGCATCTCCGTCGCAATCGGACAAAACATCACCGCACTTTACACGCCACGACGCACGCTCCCCACCGCGCGGTATCAGCGTCATCGGCCTTCCATACCGCATGGTATACGCAGTAGCGACGCAGGACAGCGTATGGATTTACGACACGCAGCAAACAGGCCCCATCTGCTGCTTCAGCAACATGCACTATGCCAGCTTTACCGACCTCACGTGGTCACCCGATGGTCAGACGCTCATGATGTCTTCCACGGACGGATACTGTTCGGTGGTGGTGTTCGACTATGCAGAATTGGGTGTTCCGTATGCGTTCTCGGCTCAGCCAGCGTTGAAGGCTCCTGCGCCTGGCGTGCCTGCTCCTGCGCACATTGCCGAGGGCAAATCGACAGGCTCGGCGCCGAACACGCCCAAGATGACCAGTCCGGCCATGCTTGCGCCTGCAGCGGGAGGGTCAGGATCGGCTGCTGAAGCGTACGCTTCGGCCATCGCGTCATCGCCTGCCGGGTTGGGTCTGGCAATGCCGAGTCAGTCGTCGACGCTTGGAACAGCTGGTAGTGGCAACGAGGCGAGCAGCTCGACGGATGCAGCCGAAGCGCCCAAGAAGAAACGTAGAATTGCTCTTACGCTGGAACGCCCACTTGGCTCTTGATCTCGGACGATCTGGAGCTCCACCGACCGACTGTAATTTCATGCATGGTCAAAGATAACTGGCATTATGTGATTCTGTTTCAATGTGTGTGCGCCAGTAACTTCTGGATTTGAGAGACGACATCGAGATGGCGTGAGCTCATTCCAACAAGACGGCCGTGATCGGCTTCAACACGACATGCAAGGTGGTTTTGAAGACCTCGAACACGACGGTGGATTGCTATGTGTGCGACTGGGGTGGCGCTACATGACTTGGGGGTGGGTGGGTGATGTTGACGAGAAGACGTCGAAGATCGGAGGGAGTGGATCGCGACAAAACGTTGGCATGTAACAGCCGTGATACTTAGATCTCCTCTGCGCCAACACCTGATTGCAACAAGATCCTTGGGCGGACAATCAGTTGCCTGCAAAACAGTCGATCTCAATCAGATGGAGTTGCGCGGTTCTGTCTTGACCTTGACAGCGGTGTTCTCGGCGAGAGAGGTAGGAGGGGCCATGCTTCGAGAATCCGACGAGGCACGCTCGCTCTCAGAATCAATCTCGGGACTTGACGGATAAATAGCTTCGTCGAGAATTATGTTCGCCTTTTCGATATCACGGAACTTGGTGCTGTGGCATTCCATAGAGATGTTGTTGTAGGTTGACAATTTGTCGAAAACGAGCGCTGGCGGACTGTTCAGGGCGATCCTTTCCTGATTGGTCGGGGCACTCGTGGAGGCGTCTGTTTCTGGCCATCGAAGAACATTTCGGAGTAGGAAGAGCTCTCCATTCGCCAAGACTTCATCGATCCGAGAGACATGTCGGTACAGACAGGAGCCGCGTTCTATGATGACGTCTACCTGGTGGATGTCGTCGAACTGGAGTTCCACAGAAATGAGGCGATGTATGGCGTCGAATTTGAGTTTATGGACCCGTCCGATGAACGACATGCGCTTGTCAACTGTGGAGTCGTGATAGCAAATGAAAGCCAGTGGTGATGTCAAAGTTCGAAGTGGAACAATTGTTCCAGCAACCAGCGTGTCAGACCCAGTCTTCTTTCTCTTCTTGGCTTCGGCTTGACGCACCCCTTCGACGGCTTCGCTGTCGGACTCGCGTCTTCGATCACTTGGCATGGTGAGCAGATTTACTTCGCCTACGCTGTGGGTGCCGACTCTAGCCAAGCTTTGAGCAATGAGTCGAATTGCCTGGTACGACGTGAAAAGGAGAAACGAGAAGATGCGAGGGCGAATGTCAAGTTGGCTATCGAGAAGGAATAGAGGAGACGCAAGACAACGAGACGAGTATTTATGCGAGGGCAAGGACGGAAAGCAGGGAGCAAAGCCAACATCCACAGCGACAGAGGGCTAGCGGAAGGATTGGGCGAATCAAATCGTTGGTCAGTCTCGCCGCGCCCTGTGCTGATGGACTCACCAATGCGATCGTTCTCTCCAGCGCAGAAAGTTGGCAGCCGGGTCCCTTCTGCAGCTTTTTTTCCCTCACGTTGTCACACTTTGGGCTGATGATGCTGGCTTGCCGCTCTATTCCGTGCAAATGCGGCGCAGATCACCATGCATCGCACCCTGTCCTTTTGAATTCGATCTGTGACAAAACCTGATCTCGAGGACACGTTCGAATTAAGCTCAACAATGCTGCGCAATCACTTTTTCTCACGCCTCTGCAAGGCATCGCTGCCAGACCGCAACAGCACGAAAGACGATGAATACAATTTCGGGACATGCGACGGCGCAGCTACAGAACAAGCTCTGGAAGCGTGGGAAAGCATAGGTCCTCATCCGGTAGAAGCTTCGGCTGAAGGACTGGAAGCAGCAGTGGCGCTCGCTGCAGCGGCAGCCAATGCCTTCGCCTTCACCACGCTGGCTTGCGGTCCACTCAAGGTGTCGCTACCGCTCGGGACGCTGACAGTCCTCGCGCCTCCTGCACCCATGCCTGACAGGCCAGCGCCGCCTCCTCCTCCTCCGAGGGGTCGCGCTGCTAGCGGCGACTGAGCACCATATTCCAGCCCCATCGATGGTATCGACGGGACAGTTGCCCTTGCGCGACCATACCCGTGCGGCATAGTGTGCTCGGGATGAAAGTATGGCTGCGGGGTTCGGAGCGTGGGATTGCTGCTGAGACCGCTCGGCATTCCGGTCACCGTGCCTCGATGCTGCAACGGGTCGCTGTTTTGCGGCTCTGCTCTGTGGCGTAAATTGTTGTTGCGAAGGAAGGCGTCGTTTGCGCCCCGCGGCGGCGGCGACTTGGGTCGAAGCTGGTCAATCTCTTCGACAAAAGGAACCAAGTTGCAACGGTCGCGCAAGTCACATCCAGGTCGGTCGACGCCAAAATTCGCATCGTAGTTGACCTTGTCGTACGGTTTGGGTATCTGCAAGTAATCAAGGTGATCGCGCAAGCCTTCTTCTTGGCTGTCGAGGAGCATGGGTAGACCAGCATCTGGCAGAGCAACTTTTCCGTCTTGTGGCCACCCAGGTGAATCCGGTCCGACCTCAAGACCGATGGTGAGCCATCCTCGGCGCAAATTTCCATTGCGACCAAATAGCTCCAAGCGACGCGTGCCGAGGCAGAAGTTTTCGATCGTCTGGTACAGCTCTGGCGGCTTGCTGACCACGTCGGGCAGCGTCTTCATGCGCGCTTGTCTTGCATCGCCTTGGTCTACCGCATCGCCTCCTTCGGGCCCTGACCATAGCATCACATCGGTGTCGATGTTGCAGTGTACGAAGCGAGCGTCGGTGGATCTGCGTACAGTGCCTCGAATCCCCATGAGACAGTGCTGGCTAGATCGTGTGAAGGCGGAGCTTGTCGACGGCTGCTGTGTGCCGCTTCCTGCTTGGTCGCTTTCCTGATGGTTGGTACGGATGCAAACGATATCCTCGCAGCGTCTGTATCCCCACTTGGCCAGCACCTCTCTGCCTCGCTCGAGTCCATCTCCTGCGCCGGAGCCGACCCACAGGAAGACGAAGCTTTCCTTTGCCGCGAGCTGCGGTACAGGCAAAGCAGCGATCTCTTCCCATGTCCACGTTGCGGCTCTGTGCGTGGATGAAGCAGAGGTCGAAGCGGTCGGTGTGGCCTCCCATTCGTAAGCTTCGAGCGGAGGGTCGATGACGACGACATCGTACTTGACGGGGATCAAAGATCCCAAATGAAATTGATCGGCAGCACGGGACGTACCGCGGAACGGTTGGAGCGACGGTCTCAAGTCGGCTCGAAGGTAAGTCGGAGGATGAGCGACACGAGTGACGAGCGAGTCCTTGAGCTGGACGAGACGTCTGAGCTTGGGATACTCCTGAAAACGTGAGCTCGACCACGGGTTGCGCACCGCATTGCCTGGCAATTGACCTGCGCCGGTATCGACAAAGTGCTGCGAGTAGTCATTGCGAAGTGTGTGCTCTTGTGAGCTGTAGTTGGGACCCAATGTCGAATGCTCAGATGCTGCCCTGGATTTGCCCTTGACATCTTGAGCTACATTGGCAGGAGTAGCAGCGTCGTTGCTTGCGCTGGCGATGCCGAATCGCTGCTTGAGCTGATCAAGCCGTTGGCTTTGCTGCTCCTCTTGCTTCGCCGATGATTTCTTGCCCTTGTCGACGTGGCCAGGAGCATCGAGCAGGGTGCGCCAGCGAGGATGGTCGCGCGCGCTGGTGAACTGAACATCAGTGGTCATTCTCGCAGAGATGCGCTGCTCTGGCAGCAGAGCATGCGGGGTGTGTGGTCTGTTTATCGCATCACTGTTCGCCCCGCCCAAAGAGACCTGCAAGATTTGTTACTCGAGCTCAGACGAGGACACTCAAACGACGACGAGAAGGCTCCTACGAAGGATCGGCACGAAGGGGTCAAGAGTTGCACGTCAGACTTGCAGACATCCAGGGTCCTCGAACCATCTGAAACACTCTAACACGTTGCAATAATGGGGAATCGCGTCGAATGAAGTTCTACAGGAAGGACGCGTTGAAAAGTCCGAAGCTGACGATTGGCCACGTCTCTGAATTCAAAAGTATGAGTCTCGAGAAGGATTGCGAATACAAAGCTGGCCACCCCCAAGCGCCTCATAAATACAATATTTGTATTATCGACTCAGCCCGTATTCAGGAGTCAGATTGGAATTTTCCTCGAAAACACAAAGCTCTGTCCAAGTGCGGAAAAGATATTTGTGACGGCACTTGGACAGTGTACGCAGCGTTGCACTCCAACTCGTATATATACCCAGGGGGTGTCGACGGGGATCCCCCCGTTTCGAATTTCGAAATTCCCGCCTTCCCTTCTCACCACATTCATCCGCCTCGACACTCAGTCTAAGCGACTACTGCTGCTATCATCCATCTTGCAAGCCTGTTGCCGCCCTCAACCCGCAGTACAGCTTGTCAACACATCTTTTCGCGCAACCACTGCCGCCAAAAGGTGCACTCCGCTCGTCATCGAAAGCCCAATCAGCACGGTCAAAAAGGCGTCTCTCTGTTTGCCAGCCTTCGCCCGTATCGTATCTGGATCGAAGAGGTCTTGATTGACTTGCCTTTGATCTCGTCCGACTGTCTGGTCTTTCGGCGTCAGCTCCGCCATCCCCATCCCATTCATTCGGGATCAGCAGCATCACTTAGTCTGTTTGTCGACGGTGACACTGTCGTGTAGCACTTGTAGCCCTTCCCGCACGGCGATCACCTTGACTGTTGATTGTCGACAACACTGCGATAGGACCGCTCTGGCGCACGCGACTCTTTTCGCACATCGTAGCCTTTAATACCAAAAGTTTGGCCCTTTCAACTCAAAAGGTCATCCATCGATCCTAGCCCCTTCTCTGTGCGCTCCGTCGCCATTACGCCTCTTTGTCTTCGTCGTGACCGTTCCCGTTCTCGCAACTCGGCTTCCATCCTTGTCGCACACCCTCGACGCCATCTCTTCGTCCGACCTCTGCTTATAGCGTAGTCCTTTCGACATCATCACTCCTTTCTCTCTCGAAAGCAAAATGGCTTTTGGAGGTGTCGCCCTGCCCGGCTCGGGCAATTCCGCCAACAACGTCCCTAGCATCAAGGGCAGCGTCAGCGCTGGAGCACAAACAAAAGTCAATGGTGCTGGCGACGATGACAAGAAGGTCGCCGCTATCGGCAAGGACGCGGGTATCGAACAGCAAGGCCTCTCGAGCGTACACGGCATTGTGCCAACGTTGCAGTGAGTATATTGATCGTGATCCGTACAGGCCACCCTGATGTGGGCGCCAAGTCGGTCAATAGATCTAAGCGTTTATCAGACCATCTCGTGTTGACACTTCGTTTGCCTCGCCGTTGCTATTTGACCGCACGTAGGAACATTGTTGCTACCGTCAACTTGGAGGTGCGTCTTGACTTGAAGACCATCGCCTTGCACGCACGCAACGCCGAGTACAACCCAAAACGTTTCGCCGCCGTTATCATGCGTATTCGCGAGCCCAAGACCACGGCACTCATCTTTGCTTCTGGTAAGATGGTGGTCACCGGTGCAAAGTCGGAGGATGACAGCCGCCTTGCCAGCCGAAAGTACGCGCGTATCATCCAGAAGCTTGGCTTTGAGGCCAAGTTCAGCGAGTTCAAGATCCAGAACATTGTCGGCTCGTGCGACGTGCGCTTTCCCATCCGTCTCGAGGGCCTTGCCTACAGCCACGGTGTCTACTCTTCGTACGAGCCCGAGTTGTTCCCCGGTCTCATCTACCGCATGGTCAAGCCCAAGGTCGTGCTGCTCATCTTTGTCTCTGGCAAGATTGTGCTCACGGGTGCCAAGGTACGAGAAGAGATTTACCAAGCGTTCAATCTCATTCTGCCCGTGTTGGCCGAGTTCCGCAAGCCTTGATGCTATCGTCGGTACGACCATGCCCTTGGCACCCCTAAATTACCCAACCCACCTCAGCAGCATTCAATAAACCCTACCTTTTACTACCAACACTCTCAGCAACACCAGTATGCGCAGCACTCATCACATGCTCTTGCCATGCTCCGGGCTCGACGTCCGGTAGCATGCACTGAGCGAGCCGTCTCCATCTCGTCATCAGCGTCCCGAAGACGTTGCGCAAAACGATGTAGTGGACACGCCTTTCCTTCTTCCCCTCTTTCCCTTTTCGTGTTTCGATGGAAGAATGGACGTCGCAAGGTTGAGAAGCTTTCAATCTATGCGCTTGAATCGCCCCCTTTGCCTGTCGACCCTACTACCCCTCGACCCTCTCGAGCGTCATGCTACATTACAGAAAAATCATTTCAACACAAACTTGTACTAGTACCGTCTTTTGTCTCTTGCAATCGCAATCTTGCAACCCGTGTCATCGATGCGGCGCACCTGACAATCTTTCCTTGCTTGTGAAAGTATGCGATGAAGTTGAGTGGCCGTTGCTATGGCGAGTGACGACGAGGTTCATGTCTCGGCGGATCACCGCATGAACTGCCTGTGCTGCGGAACTGAAGGCCTCTCGCTGTGAACGCAGCTCACGGACGAGGAAGAACGGGTGTTTGGAGCTATGATTACACGATGTACACTGCGAGCAAGATACTTCAATCCGAGTAGATGAAGTTGTATCTGGAGAGGAGGTGTGGGATGGCGGCGAGCTGAGGACCGTATCGTTGTGAGTTGTCGTAGAGTTCGAAGAGCGGTACTGCGAGAAGCTTCATGTTTTTGGGTACAGCGAGGACTTCTGTAAGACGCACAAGCAGAGGTAGAAGTGGGGAAGGGTCGGCGTGTCAGTGGGAGCAGCGTGCGACAGCGGCGGATTCGGCGAGCGAGGTGGGCTGATACGTACTGGTCGGTGGGAGGGTGACGAGGAAGAGTTTCTTGCATTCTTTGGGCTTGGTGACGTGTGGTGGTGCGTAAGGGTACTAGTGCGTCAGTAGAGGAGGTCGAGGTGGAGAAGAGGTTAGCGTTCTTCACTCTTCGGCGCTGGCATCTTCCCGATGGACTTACCATGAATGTCTCAAAGTTTGGCCTCCACCATTGGGCCAGACAATCCTGGATCTCCCAATCACCATCATCCTTGTTGCGCCCTTCCCCGTTAGGACCGAAGGAGTTGGGATCGCTTTCGACGGGCCCCAACCTCTCGTCCAAACGAGCTTTGATGCCTTCCACTTCGTCTTCGCCTGGCTTGAGATAGTCTCCTGGCCTGTGTAGCATTCGTTACCAGCGTAGAAGACATGGGATTAGTATTTGCACTACCCGCTGCCCCGGGAAAGCCTATCGCGGTCGATGCTGTTCTGCGACTTACAGCTTGAAGAAGGCATTTGCGATCTGCAGCATAAGGACGTGCGGGTGTCCATGCTCGTGTACCATCAGCACCGCCTCTACGGTCCTTCTCATACCGAGATCTTCATAGTTGTTTTGCAAGCGTTGCAATCGCGCTGCGACTGATGGATCCTCCTCGGGCTGCGCTTCTTTGGTTGTGAATGTGAACGCCGTGACCGGATAGAGCGTTAGGGTCTGCGACATGATGTCTGTGCTTTTCGAAGAGGACGACCCGTGCTCAGGCTGTGCGGCGAGAGAGAGTAATGGTAATCTGCTAGTCTGTGCTTGTCCTGCTGGGTACGTTCGTTCGTTGTCCTGAGTCGTGATGCCGCGTAGATGGTAGTCAGTGTTGGCGAGCATCCTTCCGTCCCGAGTGAACCCTGTAGCTGGCCTCACTTCTGGCTTATGTAAGCGAGGACAACAAACATGTTAAGCCCATGACAGGAGCGTGTATCGCACAAATGCGGAATTATCTAGATTATCTTTTATTTTCGACCGAAAAGGGAAAGTTGGACTGAAAAATGGTGTCCAAAAATGACGAAAGAGAAAGTGCTGCAGTGAGAAATTGGCTCGCACTGCGTGACCGAACACGTCGCGAAATCCAACGTCGTGGTGCCGTGTGGAGGCGGGGCGGGGTGCAGCCTTTTACCGTACCACGAGAAATCCATCCGCTTTGGCGTCGAGGTCGTACATCGCCCTTGCATCTGGTCACACACATCCATCCATCCGCCCGATCCACATCATCACCCTTGCTTCCCGTCCTCATCCTACTTTTGCCCACCTTTCATCGGTGCACCGTCCTCTCCAAGACTCATACGCGCTCGACGCTACACTCACAGCATGTCGTCCACTCCATTCAAGGGCTCGCTCAAGGCCAAGAGGAAGGGCGAGCTCACCGAGATCGCCACCGCCCTCGGCATCGGCCTCGATCAGTCTCAAAAGAAGGAGGAGCTCGAGGATCTCATTCGTGAACACCTCATCAGCCACAAGAACCTGTACTCTTCCAACGACAACTTCAAGGGACTCATCGACAGCCTCGACTCGGGCCGCAAGCGATCCGCCCGCTCCAGCAGCGTCAACGGCAACGCGTAAGTATGCCAGACAGATGCACAATTTAACCATGATTGCACGTGACTGACACCCTTCCTGCTTATCTTTGTGATGCGTACTTTTTGGTGACTCCGCAGCGACTCGGACGCCTCGGACTCGCCCGAATCGTCGGTCCGCTCGCCCCGCAAGCACTCGCAGCGTCCGTCCAACCTCGGAACTCCCTCCACGCCGTTCAACGCCATCCCTACAAGCGCTACCGACCTCGCCGCCAGCGCAAAGCAACGCGGTCTCAAGGCGCGCAAGTCGCTCGACAAGCTCGTCGACACCATCTCCACCAACGCTCGCTCCACCGCCAACGAGCTCACCACCGAGGTCCAAGATGCTCAGAACGAAGTCACCGCCAGCCTCCACGCTGTCCAGGGCGAAGCTACCAAGCGCTACCGCAAAGCAAAGCAGGACGGCCACAAGATCTTTGTGCGCGCCCGCTCCTGGCTCAGCGACACCAAGAACCTTGTTCGCCTCCTCGTCGTCTTTGAGGGTCTGCTCCTCGTGCTCGCCACGCTTCCCACCACCTATGTCGAAGTCGGCAGCCGCGGTCCCAAGATCCCCGTGGTCAACCCCAAGTCGGGCATCAACGGCTACCTCCCTCACTGGGCCATCACCTTGCCCAACCCGCGTGGCCTGATCAGCCTGGACTTTTACCGCCCGCTCGTGCTGTGGGCCGTCTACAGCGTGCTTGTGCCTCTCGCCGTCGCTCACCTCGTCACGTTCGACCGCCGCGCCCAGCCCTCGGCCTACTCGTTCCTGCTGGCTCGTCTCTCGGCGCTCTTCTTCCTCGCCCGCGTGCTTCCCAACAGCACCCTCACTGCCCTCGGCCTGCCTGCGCCTGCCGTGCTCGGCGTCGCTGCTGGCGAAGTCCCCGAGTCGGCTCTTATCCGAGGCCTGCGCTCGCTCTTCTCCTACGACTACGTCCTCGCTCACCTCGGCGTCGATCTGCAGATCTGGGCTACCGCTACTGTCTTTGGCTTTGCTCAGTACGAGACCATCGCCGTTCGACCTCGTGCCGCTTAAAGATTAGCTGATTACAGACGTTCGCTCGACCATTGCTGTATTCGTAAGCGATACCCGAACCGATTCCCTAAGACTTTGCCGATCAATCCGCTCCTTTGCCGACACACCTCCCCCGTTGACGTATTGGACGAGATACCCGACGCTTCTTTTATGTTTCCCGTGCTACCCAGTCGTTCAGATCGAGCTACAACAAGAGAGAGTCGCTTCGTCGGCTGTCGCTCTTGGCACCTCTTTTGCTTCCTGTTTCCGTGATTCTTCCTTCCCTTGCCCGATACCTTCTTCGAGCGTACCGGCCAACGCTATTCCATGTATATCGTTCATATATATCCACTTTGGAACTTTATCTCGACCATGCTCGTCGCTCTCATCATTGGTTTTTGTGGCTCGTGTCGTCCTCATGATGCGTGCCGAAAGCTCAGACCGACAACGACGAAAGAGTTTCCGTTGAGATGAATGGTGGATTGCTGGTATGGGGTGTAAACCGTCACGTCGATGCTCTTTGACCGTGCTGCGCCAACAAGCTGGCCAGGGAAACGTCTGCAGGTGGTGATGATGCGTCTGCTTCTGACCGTATTTCTCTCGCTAACGCTTTTGCCCTTTCCAGGGCTACCTGTTGGATGATGGACGGTCGAAGCGCAGAGTCCTCGTCGTTGTTGGATATTGGTGCTGACGCAGTTGTGGGAGATCCCGAAGTCGACGAGCTCGTTGCAGTGTCTGCTTGGTTTTCTTCGAGTGGTGTGGGTGATGGTGCCGCTGTGGTCGTTGGTCGGGAGCCCAGGATGTTTTCCAATTCCAACGCTTCCGGACCCACCACCCAGCGGTTCTTCAGCGCCAGGTTGAGCAACACCGAGACCGCGGCTTGCAGCTGTTTGTTCTTCAGATCCTCGTCCTGCTTCTCCCTGTATACTTTCAAGCGCGCTTCGATCAGTGATGGATCCGCTTCCTCCGTCACCTCTCCACTTCTCCCATACCCTGTTCCACCAGCTCGCGATCCCTCCACATCCCCACCTTCATCCCGGCTCTGCTCCGACAAGCGTTCCAGCTCTTCCAAATCGATCCCTAGCACCGACGCTAGGTTCTCGACCTGATCCTTGAGCTGGTTTAGCGAGTCCTCCGTCCGATCTCGTTGCTCCGCCTTTTTCCTAGACCCTCTGTATGTTTCTCCGAGGATCAAAGCTGCAGCGACAAAGAAGAGAAACCCTTCGGAGATGGCGTTGGCACCGTTGGCTATCGCTTTGGCATCGTTGAGAGGACGCACTTTTTGCTGTACGCCATTCGGAAGCAAATTCGTTCGTAGCGCCATCTCTGTACGATGCATTTGTTGGGCTAGTGCGATGCAGATCTGCGTACCGCGAATGCCGAGGGATCAATGCGTTAGCGAACATCGCCTTGTCCCACCACTCGAAATGGACAGCGAGGGTCGTTGACAGCTCACCTTTTTGAACGATTCATGTTGAGCAGCCTGACTCTTGAGCTGCGTAGCAATGGGTTTCGCAAGCGTTCGGATGGCCAGAGTGGCGATCTTTGCCGTCGCCATTCTTCCAATGAAGCGGTAAGCTGGAAACGATCTCTAGTGGTGGGAGGAGAAGAAGAAGTGGAACGTCAAAACAGGGTCCGCCGGTTCAAGATGATTTGTGCCTCGTAACTCAGCCGGTGTGGAAATTGCGAGAATTGTTAAAGTTGTTAATTGCAGCAACGAAGACGAAAGCTTTCCAGCCAGAAGTTGATCTTCACTCCAGTCTCTGACTGAGACAACGCGGGGCAGGATAGGCAAGCATCGCCGAACAAATCAGGTCAGGAGTGGTATCGCAGTACCGTGGTACCGCAGTACCGAAGCTTCGGACGCATCAGACAGACCATCTCCTAGCTTCTCTCCCTCTCCGTCTCGCCATCAGTAAATCACAGGCGACGTGCTAAGTACGGGACCTCACCGTCTCATCATCTGTCCACGAATTCCTTCAATACAGCATCCATCCGAAATGCAGCACAGGCAGGCTCAACTAAGAGATTGAGGAAAAGCTTTAACTCGATTTGATCGGCAAGAACACGTGGCGCCACGAAGAGACACTAAAAAGGAGGGTCTGAACAGGCACAACACATCAACTCCAAAAAACGAGGTCGATGCAGGCCTTTGAACGAGGGAGTGGAAGACGAAGGAGGGGGACTTGGGACGAGTAGAATCATCTACGTTCCGGCTACCGACGGAGGCAGGAGAGTGCCTCGACGCGGGAATCAGACGCGACAATCTGGAGAACTAAATCGGACGGTGGGGTAAGGAGGCTGTCAGCTTCCAGAGCTCGTTGACAGATCACTTGAGAGGTCGTTCGACTTACTATGCATGTGACGAAGAACACAATTAGGCGATAACGCAGCCAGAGTAGCCGATGGGCGAACCGTTGTCTCGGCCGTTGGCGGCGAGTGCCTGCTGGGGCTCCGAAGCGGAGGTCTGAGTCTGAGCGAAGATGGCGAACATTTTTGTAAGAAGAAGAGTGGTTGGATGTTCGAGAGAACGAGAGAGTAGAAGTATGTGTAGAAATGAGAATGTGAGAGCTGATGGGGTTCGGAATTCGACTTGGCGTCTTTTTGCTCTCCTAATATCTTCCACGAGGTGGTACTCTTCCTCATGTCGAACACGTCGCTGCAGCAGAGTGCAGCGAGATGAGAAGTGCTCGAAGACAACTCAGAGAGTCGCACTCGTTGCGGCGGCGTTCCCTTTCGAAGCATGCGTCAAGCAAGGGCCTAGATGTCAGTTTTACCCCGCAACGTCTGCCCTTTGATGTGATACTTTGTCATTTAGGGCCAGTCAATTACCCTTTGTCCAACCGAGGGTACCCTGTGTGTCGCAGAGTCGCCCTTTGTTAGCCCCGAAAGGACCCTTTATGACTTTGTGCATAATCTATCGCTTGGGACCCCAGGTGCTCGTCCTCGTCCAGACTGTTCGAACCAAGCAAAGGCTTTGTGTGAGTCGGATTGAAAAACTGGCGCCGACTTCTCTATTTCTGGGCCAAGTTTCATCCTCTTCCAGACAATGGGACGGATCGAGGTGTGGGACAATGAGAAATCCCCTTTCACGCTGATCGTGGGACAAACCGAAGACACCAATAATTTGCCCAAGAAATCCCTTTGTTTGAAAAATTCGTGGCATTGCATGATCGTCAGCAAACCGGTGATTTTCCCCCTTTGGCTTCACCTTCCTTTGTCCTCCTCTTTCAGTCTGCGTGGGAGAGGAATTGCCAGCATTTCGATGCTGGCTTTCTCAGGGCTGTTGACAATGCATTGTGCTGATGAGAAGAAGCAAATTTGTTGCGCCGCACGAAGCAAGGATTTCCTCCGCTCCAAGACACTTGCTCTTCTTGACGACGGGACAAACTCTGCACAAGTCCTTCGCAAGAGTTGGCCTTTTTCTTTGTGAACGCGCAGAACGAGGTTTCCAGCTCTATCCTCGTTCTTAATTGACGAGATCAAGGTCATATTCATTGCATCCGGGATCACGAAACTAAGACTTATTTATAAAGAAGAACGAACTTTTTTGTGCATTCACGACACTGTCACCCATCCGTTCAGCAAAGATGCCATCCACCCTTCCGATATCTGTGCTGGCTTTTGCCGGGGCGCTGCTCGTCAGCACGCTTGCGCCATCTTACTATCGAGCCGGCAACATACCTGTGCTTCTCTCGATTTTTTGGCTTTTCTTCACGAGCACTTGCATCGCCATCAACACTGCGGGCTGGCACGATTCGACAACAGACAAATGGCGCCCATTCTGCGAGATTTGTGAGTTTTCCAAGCTTGCTCTTGTCAGAAAGACTGTAGTGACTAACCCCTTCCTAACCGCCCTGCAGCGATCAGACTCGTGTATGCTTCGGCTTTCGGATTCCAATGCTGTTCAGCTTTGTTGCTTCGCCGACTTGAAGCAATCGCAGCCACACGATACGTTTCTATGACGAAAGCGGCCAAGCGCCGTCGGATCGGAATCGAGCTAGGCGTCGGCCTTCTTCTTCCGGTGCTCTACGTTGCACTCGCCGTTGTCAATCAAGGTCATCGATACGATATCATTCAGACATTTGGACCGGTAATCTCCATCTTTCCTTCGGTGCTGTCCGTGATTTTCTCGACCTTACCGATCCTACTCGTCTCGGTGATTGCAACGGTATACGCAAGTAAGTTGACATCGGCCTGCACTTGCCATCGTAGATTACTGACGTCAGTTTCGTTTGAACGCTTCTTCAGTACTTTGCTCATACTGGCTGTACTTACGCAGACGTCAGCTGAGTGCTGTGCTCTCTTCTTCTGGCTCGGGTATCAACGTCTCTCAATATGTCCGACTCTTTGGTCTCAGCTGCGTCGAGATTCTGTGGACGGTGCCGGTCAACTGGACAGTCCAGATGCAGAATTTGTTCAACAGAAACCCGGGCGGAAGTATTCTCTATCCTTATACATCTTGGGCAGATGTGCACTACGACTTCGGTCGTATCGGACAGTACCCAATCGAACTACTACAACTATCACCTGTCGGCAGACGCAATCTTCCCATTCTTTATCTCGGCTCTCTGTCCAGTGCTATTTCGTGTTTCTTATTCTTCGGCTTCCTTGGCACGAGCACTGGTTTTACCAGAGATATCGTGACTCATTTCAGCAAGTGGTGGAATGCCATAATGCCGCCCAAGAGGCTCCCGAAACGAGAAGAGTAAGTCTCACACAAGGTCTTCGAGGTGTATTTGCCGACATCCGTACTCACTCACTTCAACTTTTTCTTTCTATTCGCTGATCTCTTCCTATTCAGTGCCTTGTCCAGGAGAAGACCTTCTTTCTCGGAGGATCTATCTCATCCCCCACTCTCGCCCAACGAAGAGCTGAAGATGAAGCATCTGGATGATTCTCGAGTCGATGACATCCATATCGAGGTACTGGTGGAGCGGGAGCGATTTGAAGAGCCTCATCTCCACAGAACCAATGTCTAAGCGGCGTGGAGTAGATGTCCAATTGCGAAGAGTCGAAGTCTACAAAGTCTGAAATTCAATACGTGGATTCCTTGACAGTTCCCGTTTCGCCACGCTGCGGGAAATAGTAGAGCGAACGCTGCATAGTGCCTCTGTTCAATCCGAAGCCTGGGCAAATCAAATGTTCTTCAAGTGTGAGTGTGATGAACGATCACTATGTGTCAAGACGGCGAAACCTACGAGATTGAAGATAGTCTTGATCGATGCAAGTTCTTGGGCCATGAAGACCCTTCGTGCTGCCAAGCAATCGAATCGAGAAGTGATCGTCGTTGTCCTGCTTCCTGTAAAACAAGGTAATCTTCTTCGGAGGAAATCCACAAGCAGCTGAAAAGTAGCCTCTGAGTACCGACCACGACTTTGCAGCTTGCCCTTGGAATGAAGGCTTGACAGCCACGTGTGTCGGCTTCTCCGGTTCCTCGTTTTTCTTATCACGGAAAAGGGACTTCGATGGTGCGAAACGTCTTCTGTCAGCAAGCTGTTCCACTCTTGTGTGTACCGGCAGAACAGCGGAGAACTTACTGTGTACACGTTGCCCGAGCTTCCAAAGATCGACTTGATCCGCCCATTAGGAAGGAAAACGACTGTTTGTCCCTTGATTTCCGTCGTAGCTAATCGATTGTAAGCATGAAAATGTCAATCTATCTAAATTGCTGATGATCGGGAAGACCTCAAACGACTTACCTCGCTTCTTGAACGATCCAAGACCGTCTGTAGAGATATTTTTCGGGTGGGCACGGGGGATAGGAGCGTGTCAGTCGTAGCTGCAGTGATAGAAGAACAGAGTCGCTCGGAGTCGATCAAATGTACTGACTGTTCAGGCAGGTTGCCGGTAGAACCCCAACCCTCGGCCTTGGAATTGCTTCTGCAGCGATCCGTTCGTTTTCCTTCGTCTTCCGGAGTGTCCGGCGAAGAACGTGCCTCAGCATGGTACAAGTCGAGCAAAGCTGGCCCAGGGGAGAGCAAACACGATGTCAGGTTCGAAAGGGAAAGGCAAGGGCGCTCGAGAACACATTTATAGGAAAGCCATTGCAAAGCCGCGGGAGATTGACAGAGAAGGGCAGCATCTGATGCAGTAACAATAGAGATTCAATGACGAGCCACAGCTATAGGAAGCGGCTGTCAAAACCCTCATCACAAGCGTCCCAACCTCGTCCAATTTGTGCTCCTCTTCCTGCCACCATCGAACAAGCCCGTTGAGCGCATCTCCCAACAAGGCACGGCTGCATACTGGGAATGCTCGGACCTCCAGGTGCCTTTGCACCTCTCACCAGGGCGAACCGCAAAACACATCTCGATGCGGGATGTCTGCGTTGGATAGACCAATTGGCTGTCCTACCCATCTCTCCGCACAACAGGCCTCTCGAAGTCACACAAATGCATGCCTTGAGGTGTCTTGGGAACACGCCCAGGCTTCCTCGATCGTGGTCAGACCCGCGGTTTCCTCGAACGGTGAGAGACCAACAAACATGCTTGTCTCGACTTTCTCCACTCCGCTACGAGCATTTTGAAAATAGATTCGGAAGATTCAAACAGTAAGTGAACAACAACAGCAGGACAGCGGGTTCTTGACCATTGCATTGACTTTGGCAGTAATTCAGTATGGCATGGCTGAGTAAAGATCGCGACGTACAAAAGACATGGGCCTTGCTCTCCGCAACCAAATACTCGTACCAGGCGATCGACTACGACTCTAGTCTGCCCTGCCTCGGATTCTTCGAATCCATCATCACTGCTCCGAGTCGTATGCGCTCAAATCGTCGCAAATACTTCTAGCGAGAGATCGTTTGATGTTATCATTATTTCTTTTATAAATCGTCTTATTTAATTCCATAAATCACATTATTGCGCCCCTTTGTATGTCGAGAATGTCCTTTGTGTCTCGCGCAGATCTCTGCGCGCGACTTCCGACTAGTCCATGCGGATACTGTGCATCATCTTCCCTTTCATTTGCAAGCGCTTGTGACTGTTGGCATTGCTGATGCCGAGAAAGCTTGAAAGGGTACTGTCGCCAAACCCAAAGCGTGCGAGAGAAAGGAAATAAATTGCGGAGCTCATTTCCACGTTCCTTTATCTACCTTGTCTACGGCTCACTTGTTCTCTTTGTCCGCGTCCCTTTGTTTTCCTCGTGCGAATTCCTTTGCTCTCCTGCTCAAAGATCCTCTGTCCCTTTGATCGAATCGTCACGATCAAGACAATGGTACAACCTCGTGTCAAGACGGCAAATAACGCAGCCGGAAGGCGCTGATTGGGGTGCTACGAAGTGGCCATAGGCTGACTCGATCCATTGCGGTGACTGCGAGAAAGGCCCAGAGTTATATAATGGCTGTGTCAAACCCCTCATCAACGACCCTGCTTCGTCAACACACACACACATACACACATCTCTCTCTTTTCCAATCCTTACCACATCACCTTCGTCTTTCAAAAAATGTTCGCTATCTTCGAGATCGTCCCTGTCTCCGTCGCCGAGCGCGAGGAGACCCCCTGCAACAACGGCAATGGTCAGCCGGGAAACTATTGTCTGATCGCCTGATGCTGTCCATTATGCACAGACCGGTACCGTGAGTACGATGTCGTCTCGTTTGCCTCTTGCATGTATGATGTATGTACTGACGATCGAAGCGTGCTGTATCGCATTATCCTTCTTTATTTTATTATTATTATTTTTATTAATATTTTGATGCAGGTGGGTGGACGGATCTCTTATCCGCGACACTCCTGTGCCTGGAATCCGGCAGGTCGAGTCCGCTTGACTCCCGCCTGAACTTGGTCCTCTTTGTTCGGTTTTCACAAACGTATCCTACTTTTTTCCCCCATCACGTCGGCCGGCGATGATTCAATCCACTCCACTTTTTCTCCCATCTCATTGTTCTCATTGATGCGTGTCGGCGTGCGCATTGATCGCTTGAGTTTGTTGCTTCTGCACGAACACGGCTTTCCACACGTCGAGTCTTACTATTTTCGCGTGTGCATTCTGACCTGTGCTCTCGGCTACAAAAGGGATAGGCGCGAACGATGCCTAGCCGGAGGTAAGTTGTCGAGTGAGTCCAAGAGGGTCATCCAGAGAAAGCTGATATTGGGCACATGGTCCGTGACAGAATTCGTGCGATGCGAGAAGGCGCGCAGAGGAGTCGCGGGAAGTTGTAGCCGGCGTGCCGAAAGAAGAAAGTCGAAGAGAGGGCAAAGCAAAGCGAGATGGTCAATTGTCTCTTCCCTTTCGCGACGAGCAGGTTGTCGTTCACTTACCTTCGGTAGAATCAGTGCGAAAAGAGCCAGAACCGAAAATCTGTTGCCGGACCACCATCATCGAAATTGTAGTTGTCAGCTTCTTTTTTCTTTCGCGACGAGCTATCACCTTCCATCTTCTCTAACACTCACAACAGCGACATGTAAGGACCTCCCGTCGACGCTTCTCTAGTCTTGCTCGACTTGAAGGGTTTGTCGTGCGCAATGTGTGCGCAGGCGAACAACAATCCGGCGTAGGCGATGTAAGGGACGCGAGTGAGCATAGCAGCGCCGGACATCATCGAAACGCTGCCGAGGAACGAGGCGTAGATGTCCAGCTCATCCGACTTCCACGATTTTGGCAGCGTCAGTGGTCGGACTTGCTCTGGTCGGCGTGGATCTGATGCGTCTACTCGTCGGTACGACATGGTGTGTGCTGCTTGTGGAATTTGTACTTTGATGGTGAGCAGCGATAGCTACGAGATTGGTCTGAGCGCGTTCCGGATTGAGGTTGGACGGAACTTTGACTCGGAATTCGGAAATCCAGTACCGCGCAGCCACGTGGGAACACAGAAATGGCGGGACAGCCGATCGAAGATTTTTCCCGATTTGCCGTGGTCAAGCCGTGCCATTGAGAAGCAAACGAGAACAACACTTTTGCGTTCTTCTACTTTGTCCTCCAGCTTCCTGGAGCTCCCTGACACCCTATCAAGCTCGAAACCATGTCACAGAGAGGCGCCGTAAGATTGGGCAAGGCTAGCCTGATCCAAACATCTAGCTCGCCGGCCAACAGTAGCAGCAGTCGGCTTGCTTCCGCCACAACCCGTTTGGTGGCACGTCCTCAATGTATCCCACAAGCCACGCGATCGACATTTCCGGCTCCCGCTCACGGTCGGCCCTTTTCTGAGTCTGCACCACATGACCTCAGACTCTCGCCGGCAAGCGCGTCCAGATCCAGCATGCCTACATCATCACCCGACTCGCCAGTCGCCGACTCTCCCATCCCCATCTTGACGACGGTCCGCGATTATCGAGCATGGCGTGCACAGGCCACGAGCGACGGCAAGTCGGTCGGCTTCGTCGCAACCATGGGCGCTCTCCACGATGGCCACCTCAAACTCGTTCAGGCATCTCTGCAAGAGAATGACTACACTGTCGTCTCGATCTTTGTCAATCCTGCTCAATTTGCCCCTACCGAAGACCTGGCTTCCTATCCGCGAACGGTGCAGGCCGACATTGCCAAGCTCGCTTCGTTGTCCGACAACGTTTCGCAGTCAGATCGACGAGTCAATGTAGCGTTCGTACCAAGTGTCAAGGAGATGTATCCCAACGGCTTCACACAAGTAGTGGCAGATCAGATCGGCGCATTCGTAGAGGTCAAGGGTCTTAGCCACCAGATGGAGGGAGGAAGTAGGCCGACATTCTTCCGCGGAGTAGCTACCGTCGTCACCAAGCTCTTCCACATCATTCAGCCCGACAAAACGTATTTCGGACAGAAGGACATTCAGCAGTCCATTGTACTGCGTCGTCTAGTCTCGGACCTCGTCTTTTCACATCCGCCGTCACCCGAATCCCTTCGCGTCATACCCACGGGTCGCGATCCAAACGACAATCTCGCACTCAGCAGTCGTAACGCCTACTTGACGCCAGACTCGCGTCAAGTCGCGCCTGTACTCTACCGCGCACTCAAGACGGGACAGGATATCTGGGAGCAATCGCATTGGACGGATGCAAACAAGGAGGAGCGCATCAGAGTGACTCTAGATCGCGCAAGAGCTGTTGTATTGGAACGAGCGGAAAAATGTTGTCAGGATGGACGAGGTGTGGATCTCAAGCTGGACTACATTTCGCTCAACCACCCAAAAACGCTCGAGAATCTGGAGCAAGTGCTGGCGGAAAAGGGTGCGGAGGCGGTCGACGTGAGTCAAGGTGCCATCTTCAGCGGTGCTGCGTTAGTCAGTCAAGGCAAGGACGGCAAGGTGACAAGGCTCATCGATAATCTCTTGCTAGGTTTCACTCTTTAGGAACGTCTTGAGCACAACGTCAATCGAACCTTCAATACCCACAGCAGGTTAGGCCTGCGTGTGAGTTCCCCTCAGATCTACTTTGGCTCTTTCTAATTGTGATGAAATCGGAAACTTAACAAGATCTGAGTGCAAAAATGCCTCCACATGCTGCTGACCAAAAGCGCGAACGACTGTGGTCCCTTTGTTCTCCGTCGGGACTTGGACGAAGTCTAGTTTCACACAACCATCTGCAAATCACAAAGGGACATACATCTGTCGCCGTTGTTCTTCTTGACCATTGTCAGCCCACTCCAACAACAATAGAGTGCTCTGCATCAGCTTTTGCAGATCCTTCCGACGGGCGCTATCGGTTCCTTTGATCTGCGAAAGCTCAACAAAGGCTCGGCAAGACAACCTTATCCGGTGACACTCATATCGTGTAACACTCGACTGTTGTCAAATCTTCACAAGTCTGCAGTTCGGCAGCACGGAAGTTTGAAAGGAAGCACAGACAACTAAGCCTTCAATCTCGTCTCGAAAGTTTTCCTTTCACCTTCAAACCTCCCCACCCTTTTCTCAACCTCAACTTTGCACGGTTTCATTTAACGGCGATGTCAGGATCCGTGTGGCCAAGAGCCATCTTCGGCGGCGCTGTAACCATCGCCATCGGCTATGCGATCATGAAAGGTGAGTGGCCCTTTGAGCGCCGATTGTCGAGCCTTTGGTTCCCCTTTGTTGACATCTCTACTCGAAATCTCGTCCGCCTTTCCCACTTTGCCCCCTTTGATCGACGTTTGCCTTTGTGTGCGCCCTTTCATTCGCCGGCACGACAGCTACCACTCCGACGGATCAGCAGTTCTACGATGTACGTTTGCGCCCCGCAGCCTCCCCTTTGATTACGTTGTCACACTTTGGGGCAACGTGATCCGAAAGGGTACAACTCCTTTGTTCGGCGCTCTTGCATTCGCAGCTCACGCAGACTGACCCTTTCTTTCCCCTCCTGAACCCTCGAACCCTTCCTCACCTTCCTGGTCATGCTGCTTTTCGTCTCTTGGCATTCATCGGTGTCCTTTCAACCTTCAACGGACAACAACGACACGGCCACTGCATGCCAATTCGACTCTCCTTATCTTCATCTCGACGTGGCGTTCTCCCTTTCTTCGTCGATCCACCTCGCTCACTGTCCTCTGACAACCGCATGCTCGACATCGACAATCTTTTCGATCCCTTTCTCCGATACGATTGAGCAATCTTACCCATTGTCACACAATTCTGACACTTTCCCCGCCTTCCCTTTCTGCATCTTTGTGGCATTGTTCCGCCCCTTTGACGTCTGTTCTTCCTCCTTGTCGCTCTCGACTTCGCCCACTTTTGGCCCTTTGATCAACCTTCTCGGCCCCGACATTCGCTCTATCGATCGACAACGTGCACAGGCTCTCTCACCGGATCTGAAGCGTCAGGTTGATGCACAAAGACTCGCAGCACAGCGCAAGGCAGCTTATGCAGAACAGCTCAAGGTGAGATTTTACGGCACCTTTTTTGCAATTGGCCTTTCGTGCTCTGACCATCTGTTCAATTTCACTCTGACAACACTTCGACAGAGAGCCAAGGAGCAAGACGATACCGCACCGGTGTGGGCTGAAGGCGCAAAGTACAGAGATTCCACCCCTCCGCCTCGAACCTAAGTGGCCTGCGACTGTACCGGTAGTGATGTCTCTCGCACGAATTGGTTTTTTTGTTGTTTGTTGGAACGAATCCTGAGGGAGACGCTGTGTGCTTTTGTGTTTTCGCTCCCATATTATGAACTGCTGCTTCCGGCATCTACGGTCCATCACCTTTCCCTTGAACAACTCGCTTTCAAGCATTCTCAAAAAGTCATGATTGGATTGCTGCGGGATGTGATTACTGGCTCGATGCAAAGAAGGAGGGTGGCACAGCTGACGGCAAATCTTGGATACGGAGACGATAGAACGACACCTCAGGCCTTGTTCTGGGCACGAAGCTGTCTCCTCTTGAGCACAGCAGCGTTGAGCTTGTCGAGCATGTCGACGGTGGTCTCCCAACCGACGCATCCGTCGGTGATCGAGACACCGTACTTGAGCTGGTCGATCTGACCGTTCTTTGGCTCTCCCTGCTTTCCCTCGTTGAGATGCGACTCGATCATGACACCGGTGATGGCGTCTTCGCCGTTTTGGAGCTGCTCTGCGATCGAGTCGACCACCTTGGGCTGGTTGCGGTAGTCCTTGTTCGAGTTACCATGGGAGCAGTCGATCATGATGGATGGGTGACGATCTGGGAGTGCGGCTTTGAGCTGTGTCTTGGAGGACTGTACGGAAGCGGGGTCGAAGTTGGTGCCTTTGGAGCCGCCGCGGTGGACGATGTGGAGATCGGCGTTGCCGACGGTTCGAACGATGGCGGCGAGACCTTGTTCTGTGACACCCATGAAGGCGTGAGGTTGGGAGGAGGCGCGGATGGCGTCTACGGCGACACCGAGACCACCGTCTGTGCCGTTCTTGAAGCCGATGGGCATGGAAAGACCCGAGACAAGTTCACGGTGCAACTGGGATTCGGTGGTACGAGCACCGATGGCACCCCACGAGTAGAGATCCGAAGTGTACTGAGGAGAGATGGTATCGAGCACCTCGCAGGCGACGGGAACACCCTGAGCGGTCAAGTCCACGAGCAAGTTTCGTGCGATCTTTAGACCGCGATTAATCTGGAAGCTGCCGTTGATGTCCGGGTCGTTGATGAGACCCTTCCAGCCGACAGTGGTGCGTGGCTTTTCAAAGTAGGCGCGCATGACAACGACGAGACCTTCGGACCATCGCTCGTCGATACCCGCCTTGAGCAGCTTTGCGTATTCCTTGGCCTGGTCGACGTCGTGGATGGAGCATGGGCCGACAACGACGAGGAGACGGTCGTCCTGGCCGTTGATGATGGCGCTCGACTGGCCTCGTGCACGTGCGATGGTCGCCTGCGACTCTTTGGGGACGGGAATCTCGTGGAGCAGTAGCGAGGGCGAGATCAGTGGCTCGAATCCGGCGACGCGTGCATCGTTGATATAGGCGAACTCGTCCTTGGAGCCGGTCTGTTGGAGTGCTTGTGCGAGGGGCTGAGCGGCCCGACCGTTGGCCGTGTTGGCAGCGATGTTCGCCGACATGATATGTTGCAGAGCGGAGGCTGGTGATGCGCGGTAGAGTACTGAGATGATCTGATATAAACCACGTATGCGAGAGGTGATGGCAGTGGTGATGTTGGTGACAAGATGGAGGCGAATCGAACGGCAGGTAGCCAAACCCGGCAATGGACGTTTTCAGCTTTCGAGGTCAACGTGCGCTCCATCTCGCCGCCCGGCTGACTCGAGGCGGAAATTTTTGAGGGCTGCAGGGCCACATCTTCGTGCAGATCAACCTCGCATTTCTTCCAAAAAGTTGAAAATTTACAGAGTCGCATCCCTCCGTCTGTCACCCATTTCATTTCATATCACTCCAAAATGCTTTTTGTCCATCTGCCGAGCTCCGGTCTCCCTGTGATTGGGAAAGTGAGCTCGTATGGTCACCCGTCAACGATCCACCCATCAGAGCACCTGCTCAATCGTCGTTGTAAGCCCCCTGTGGAAGATCAATCTACTTCGTTGTGTGAGTCATTTGCCCAACAAGCGGGCTGCAACCCCAACTGCGATGAAGGCGACTCGCATGTGTAGCGATTGTCGACCTCCAAGCACGTTTGCGAGCTCGATGTCGGCGCAAGGTGGTGCAGTGAAACATGTGAGTTTGCGCCAACGCCGTCTTACCGAAGTCGTTCCGAAACCATTCCTAACCGTCACCACACAAGTCTAACACGAATTGCCAGTTGGAAAAAGATCGGGAATCGGGGATTTTTGTATCGAGGAAGGATTGCATCCTTCTCGCGCAAAACTCAATGCTTTCGTACTTTGCTTGTCGTCACCACTTTCAACAGCACCCGCAGCGGAGATAGCACAATGCTGCCCACATCGATATTGAGGTCACGCTCCGCATGGAAAGGTGAGCTAACACAGCTGTAGGACAGCCAGGGACGGCGCAATTGACTGACATGGTTCCCTTCCATCGCTTTGCGCAGGACCCTTCTTTGTTGCCTTCCCCAACCTCGCCGAGGCGCTCAAGAACAACACTGCCATCCGAACAAATGCAAGGAGTTGCACCATCTTGCCCAACTTTGTAGGGTGAGTCATCATCGGGCAGTCCAGGCCTTTGTGCTGGGCGCTTAGCCAGACACATGCTCATTTGTTTCTTTTCCTTTCCATCAGGCTCAAGTTCCTCGTACATAACGGAAAGCACCACATCTCTCTCACAGTGACCGAAGAGATGGTGGGGCACAAGCTCGGAGAATTTGCGCCAACTCGCAAACCATTCCGATACAGGCTCACCAAGAACAAGTGATTCGGCTTACCCTCTCAAAACACAGCATTATTTGATGCATCGACCATCTGTACTTGTACCTCGACCTTTTTGATTATCAACACGAACTCTGCACCGCATTCAGCAACTAGGGCAAGACCGGACGTGTGAGAGCTTTGGCGTCTTCGACCTTTTATCCCTCACCTTGCCCCGATTAGGACGCTCCAGGCGGAGGCGCAAAACCAAGCTTGGGCGCAGCCAGCAACCGCGTACCATGAGCATCAGCCGTCCCCGTTTGCACCTGGTTCCCCCACCACTTCAACTGCAGGCTTCCATCCTTGGGTATCTCCAACAAAAAGTAGATCACAATCGTTGACAACACGGTGCCGAAGTCCAACGCTCCTGCCAGCACAAAGTTGTACCTAGACCACCAGTGGACACGATGCTTTCGCATCCAGTACTGGAAGAAGAAGCCCACCACGATCGCCGAGGTGAAGTTGATGCCGGTGGCAGGAGGCGACAGACTCATACTGACAAAGATGATTGGAGTCGAGATAGCTTTCAACGGCGCCCAGTTGAGTTTCCTCGACGCAAACCACGTCATCAGCGGTACGGTTGCACCGACAACGAGACCGTAGAACAGCGGGTGGTACGGCGATCTCGGACCGAAACTTCTCTCCACTCCGATAGCGCCCCAAATGATCGATGCAGTGTAGAATATGTTGACCGTAGGACACGTGAAACGTTGCGGTTGATTCGGATCGCATACACCTTGAATGCGATCTCGCAGGAAATCCTTGGCCACGATTTGCATCACGCTGTTGACGAGGATGGACAGGACCTGAACGAAAAAGATGTTGCGGGGAGCGACCTTCATGTAATGCGCTAGCTTTTGGTCCTGAGCGAAGAGCAGACCGAAGGTCGTCGTCTGCTGGCTGATCGTCTTGAACATCATGACCGGAAGTGGCTTTCCAGGTATCAACCAGGACGCCAGAAGTTCGGAGACGAGATTGACAGCTGCAGGCAGACCGCTCATAGCAAAGATGAAGCCGAATGGCACCAGATATGCAGCCGAGAGGAGGAAGGCCAGACCTAAAGCCCAGATGGGAAGCTGTAAACCGTAACCAGCGGTAAGAAAGACCGACATTCCGAGACCTGTCGTCAGGACGACTGCATACCACCAGAACGGCACGTTGGAATACCTCCGCATCAGACGAGCGTGAACATCGTCCGGCAGCGACCGTCCCGCTCGCAATCTGCTCCACACAAAACGGCCGTGGTACAGTGCCGTGTGCACCACCGCTGCGGTGATCAGCGCGAATCCGCCAAAGTAGGCCACGACGAGACCGGCCGAGATGTACACCTGCGAGTAAGCTGCGTACGCATCCTCACGCAGCGTCGTGTGATCGGGCGAGACGATGCTGACGTTGTAAGTGCGCCCGAAACGATCGAAGCTTCCAGCCGAAATGATCGGAAGGTACGCTGTGTGTAGCGCATTGGTGAAGTACAGAATGGGAGCTGCGATCCAAAGGCCTAGCACGAATCCACCAAACATGTTCGCCTGTGCCCACCACGGCATGATCAAAGGAGAGCCGAGAAGGACAATTTGCGTCCAGTCAAAGGTCAAAAAGCTAGCGCCGAGTCCCCTCGTAGTACCAAACACGACATTGACGGGTACGTTGTTCGGCCAGATCCAACAGACCCAGTTGAAGATCGACAGTGCGGTGAAGAGATACCCGGGGAAAGAGTAGACCACGAAGGCGAGCAGAGAAGCCAAGTTGAAGAAGCGAATCCTCGAAATTTGCTTGATCCCAGACGTGGCGACGGAATCCTCTTCTGCGTGCAGCGTGTTCAGTACCGTGGCTACGGCGAGATCCTGTGGCCAGATCATCGAAGATGGCTCGACCAGAATTTCCCGAACGAAGCCGGCGAGCGCCAGTCCGACGAGTTGCGGAGCGCAGACGGAGAGGAATCCGTACAGAAAGGACCTTCTGTCATCCCAGAATCTCGACAGATCCTGAGCCAGCAGGATCGACAGAGAGTAGGATATGTTGAGACCCGTAGTAGCAGCCACCAGTACCACAGTGTGCTCTTTGATATTCCACGGTCCTGGATTCAACGACCAAGTGTACGGTTTGCCATTGGAAGGAGTCTCTCGATTCCGCTTTCGCCATCTCGGTATACGGAAGGTGAACGACCGGATGGGCAGGACGTTGGCCATCATCGTGCCTAACGGATGAGCCAAGATCTGAATGATGATCGCAACAATTTGAAGTGGTGGGTTGCGTTGCGACAGGACGGTGTTAACCATCGAAGCGAAAGCCGAAAGCACCACCCCTAGGACCACGGACCGAAACGTGATGGATGGCATCGATGGATCATCAACATTCGACACGGATGCTCGCACCTCTGGATACGGTGAGTCGTCTTCTTCCTCGAGCTCCAGCTCCACTACTCTAGAGAAGGATGGGCGAGGCAAGGTGCCGAGCAGGTCGATGCTATCTGACCAAGGAGAGAAAGCAACGGACTGATTGTTGAGCGATGTAGCGTCGTGGTATGAAGAGGTGGCAGAGTGTGCTCCTTGGCTCTCCTTGCCAGACGACTCGCATCGGGGAGACAGCGTTCCGTCGTCGGCTCGCGTGGATGGATGCCACTTAATCGAGGTGCTACGCTGGACAGCTGGGTCGGGCTTCTGCTCGTCGCTTCTGACGCCTTGAATGTTGTTGATTGACACGGGTGGCGGCGGAGAGCCAGACTCCTGAAATTGCACAAGACGACCTTGAGAATCGTAGACGGCGCCGCTCGCTAGATCATAGTAATAGACACTTTCTCGAACCATTTTGTCACCTCCCACCGCCGATCCAAGCGGATCCACGGCCGAAGTTGCCTCTGATCCCGTCAGAGCAACTGAAGGAGTTGGGACTACCTCCATGGCCTGCGAGGTCAAACCAGGAGGAGCGAAAGCAAAGACGTCATCTTCATCGTCGTCGACTTCGGCTCGATGGAGCTGGCAGCTCGTCTCAGACTCGTCTGTGCTGAGATACTCTTTCGAAGAATCGCCTTGGTCTCCCCTCCCAAGATCAGCAGGTGTACCGCTGGACGTGTTCGGGCGAAAGCTCTGACCAAGCTGACCAGCCGAGGTTGAGGGGCGAACCCCAGCGGTCTTTGGTCTAGACATACTTGACGACTGTAGGATGACTGCCAGAGAGCTGAGTAGAAACATTCACGCTGCGGTACATACGACGACTCATTCACCACTGCACGTTCATAACACGACACGACGCCACTTCCATCGAGATGAAAGTAGACGGTGGGTTCAAACACTTGAGTGCCAGATAGTGGGCTTCACATGCACGCAAGGCATTGTTCAAGTGACACGAGAGCTATGTATTGCTCCTCCAGTACGAAGCTCGTTGGACTCGATGGTCGGCATCGGCGCCGGGTCTGTCAGGGATGCCTTCGCATGTCGACAATGCTGTCACGGCTCAGCCGCTGGGTCAATTGCTCAAAAATGTCAGGTCTAGGTCAACGTAACAAATATCGAAAATTGAAATGGCCGTGCACGCTCCAAGCATCACAGCCACGCGAGACAACTCCACTCCCTGTCTCTCTTGCTCACCATCGTCTTCTTAACCTTCCATCCACCACACCATCACCACTCTTCCGATACACGTCCCTTGGACACCCTATCTTCCTCACACACTTTACTGCGCAGCGTCAGCGCCGCTTCATCGAAGATCATCCCTTAACGAAATCCTGACACCCAAGTGACCCATAATCGACACAAAGCCGCACATCCACTCACAGCAGCACCATGGACAGCTTCCGCAAGATCGACATTGACCAGTACGACGAGGATGCTATCACAAATGAGGAGCTGGTAGAGCCATATCCCAGATCGGCGGCGGATGCGCTAGCGGATGCCAAGGCAAAGTCGACCGAGGTCAGGTCATTGATCGGGAGGTGAGTTTTGTCCGATTGCAGCGAGATTCGACTCGAAAGGTAGCGCTGAGATGTTGTAGATCCGAAAGCTGACCAGCAACGCTGTCGACTGCATGTATCACGGCTGTTCGAATCTGACAGGGGCGACACAGCAGGCGCATTGACACTGGTCCTTTCGGACTACCCCTACGGACCCAACGTCGAAGAAGCAAAGGTAAGCACGGCCGCTCCTCGTCACTCGAACCTCCTTTCCGCGCTCTTTGTTCCTCTCACCGTCGCAACAAAACAACACCACTCGAGTCGCACTCCACCGAAAATCGTTCCTGATGCTGACAACCAACCCCATCCTCTCCCACAGCAAGTAACCCTCCACTCGCTCCTCGAGATCGTCAACAGCACCAAATCCAGCGACATCCCCGCCGCCGTCAAATCCCTCCACACCGACCACCGCGACGCCCTCATGAAGTATCTCTACAAGGGTCTCGAGCTCGGCGGTGAGGGTGAAGGCATCAACTGTGCCGTCCTCCTCGGCTGGCACGAACGGGTAAGTGCTTGTGTTCCAGCGAAACAGGGAAACAGAGACGAAAAGCTAACAGGTTGCTCCCTTTTTTGTCGATGGCGAAACAGTTGACCGAAGTCGCGGGAACAGGTTGCATCGTCCGCGTCATGGCCGACCGCCGAAGAGTCTAGTTGCAACACCAATGTAACCACGGTCCAACAGAAATGCTAAAAGCCTCATCAATACCAACACACTCTCGTCACACATGAACAAACCAGCGGCCACTCAGTCACTCACATCGCACTCAAAGTTCAACTAATCACACTCAGATCAAACTTCACCAATCAGCTGACATTCCTAAAACGCTGCTCCACGCTGCTCAACACAAATGCGGAAAAGCACTCCTTAGATGCTCCAAATCATACACCTTGCGAACCTGCACTCTCGCCGACCCACCCACCGGTCGTTCAGTAGCAAATCCAGGTCTCCGCACCACGAGATGAATCGCCTCGACCTGCGAGACGATCGAGGCAACCGTTGCCGGCGAAATTGCCGTCTTTCCCGATCGTGCCCTCTGCGCCTGAAGCACATCCACCAAGTTGCGTGCTACAGGCCAGAACTCGGCATGACGACCGAGCGTACTGATGATCTTTGCCAATGTAGACTGCGCAGCTTCCAGTTGGGCCATCAAACCTCGAGAGCTGGCGTCGGTGTTCAAGACTGCTTGCATCGATTCTTCCAGCGTCTCGATTTCAGACAGCCAGACGCAGCCCGAGAGGAAGCAGGCGACCGCCGACAGCGGTGTGTCAGCCAGCAAAGTGGGATCCAGCGCTTCCGCGAGTTTGCAGATCTCGACAATTTCGGCGGCGGCCGAGCGCATGGCATCGTACTCTGCATTGGTCATGACAGCGCTAGGCAGCAGGAAGCGGTGGAGCAAAGCCATGTGGTGCGTAAGATGCAGTTGAAGAAACGACATGGCCTCACCCGCATCGTGAGCACGCCTCAAGTTGACGGGTCCGAGCTGAAGCACTGAAGGCAGCGAATCGTAGTGACCGACGAGATCAGCACCAACAGCAGCGACTTCTCTCTCCGTTTCCCGTGCTCGTGCTCGATCGGATCCATCGCCCTTTGCGATGGTCGCACCGACACGACTCGATGTGCTAACCTCTGCAAGACGTCCGAGGTAGTGAAGCTGACGGACCAGGGCAGCAAAGATGCAGGGCTTGCCGTCACGCATGGTTGTCGGGAAGACAGTGTCGATGTCTCCGTCCTTAATGGCGAGCGGCCGGGCTGTGGCGATCGAAGTGATGCGATCCAAGCAATACACCATCCAAAAGACGTCGCTGGCGATCAGATCACCGCCGAGCTTGTCGCCTGCCGCTGTCGACGGAGGCGATGACGACCGTCGGGGTGGTTGCGCGCGATGCAGATCCAGCTGCATGCACAGACGCATCGCAGACGACACGATGACGGCCGACGAAACCACCTGACCCATGAGAATGTCTCTGATCGCCATGACACCCAAAGCCAAGATGGCTTCCAGATCAGGACTCTGTAGAGCCGCGCCGATCAAAGCGCGTGCGCGCTCGAGATAGTGCTTGCTGCTCAATGCTCCGTCGATCGAGGGTTGCTGGCCGACACGCTCGTGCAAGCTTGCACCGATGGCGCAAAGCGCGTTGGCCAAAAGGGCAGAGATGGAACCGTCCCGAATGCGCGACGCGACGACCTTGGTGTCAAGTCCAGGCATCTGTTCGCCAATGGCTTCCAGGTAAGAACCGAAAAAGAGCTCAAGGACGGGCTGCGGAGGCTTGATGTCTTGCTTGCGCACAAAAGGGATGCCGTCGCTCGACGGCGGCGAGGCTGCACGAGGCTGCGATGCTGACGTGGAGGTGCTTTCCCTTCGGCTCTTTTCTGCTGCCCGTGCTTGATCTTCGAGCGCGCGCTGAATAGCTTCGATGAGCGGCAGCGATAGTCGATCGACTGTAAGTGGGTAGCTGAGTTGATCATAGCCATCGCGCGTCGCAGCTTCGAGCAGCTCGTGCTCCTGACGACAAGACATGTCCATGGCGATGCTCAATTGCAGCAGCTGAGGGGCACTACTCGAGGTGCTGCGCAGACGAAAGATGTGTAGTCGACCCGAGTCGTTGGGGGAAGGGCGTGCGATGTCCTGGTGAGCATCGCCGCGAAACACTTCAAGCACACCTACGAGACCTGCAGCGACGTCCATGAAGGGACGCTGCGCTGCGGTCGACAAGCCTCCAAGGGCTTCCCAGTCGGCAGCAAAAGCGCGGTCGAGGCGTTCAGCTGGCAGATCATCGGCGATCAGGTCCTCGAGGCTGGAGTCTTGTGACATGTGCGCCTCAACCGAGATGCGTTGGGCATCAGTAGCGGGACGAGCGAGCGTAGCGATCTCGGCAGCCCTACTCCTGCATCGGACGGCTACAGAGCTCGATCGAGAGAAGCGAGATTCGGGCAATGGTCGTAGAGGACGGGCGACCTGCTCTTCCGATGTCGTGCGACAATCTTGCGAGGCGGGCTGGGGCCGGTCGTCACGCACCCAGGGTGTTTTAGCAAGAGGTACGTCGATCGAGGAGCGAGGATGGGCGTAGATGTCAGCATAGCTGCGTGTCGCTGAACCTCTGTCAGGGAATCGAGGAGGAGGCAAGTGTTGCTCGGAAGGGCTGCGTTGAGAGTGCAGGGCGTGACGAGCATCTCGATCACCGTCCGAGTAGGTTCGGTTTCGAGTGTCGCCACCGATGATTGGACTCGACGCCTTGGAATCGATGTTAGTCCCGTTTCCGACAGCATAGGTCTTGATCGACATTGGCTGCGAGGACGGGAGCATGCCCGAGGCGACCCTCTGAGTGTAGACTTGGCCAGCTGGGTCCAGGTCACCCCTAGGGTGGGGCGGAAGGGACTCAGGAGAATGCTGAGAGGAAGAACCGGGCGGGGTTCTCTTTTGCATCCGGGCAGCTTCGCCAGTCTTTGCACGGCGAAAGTCGACCTCTGGCCATTTGCAAGCGATTTCTGCATACGTAAAATAAAGAGGCATGGAGGATCAGCGGGAGATCGAGCTATGAGCAAGAAGGATCGCGGCACTTACTCATGGTAGCACACGTCTTGCAGGTAGGCCGCACGCCGTCACAGCGAGACTTGCGATTGCGGCAGGCAAGACAGGCGAGAGAGACGCGGGGACGCTTGATGGGCGTGCTTGTGGTGACAGACTCTGCCAGTGGGGCAGGTCGGATGTGAGGCGGTGGCGCATCGTAACGACGGTGATATGGGACGTGTGACGACGCATGGGCTCGTGGGACATCGTGATGATACGGATCGGAACGGTACACGGGCTGCGAGGAATACGAATAAGCAGGAGCCGGGTGGTTCGGGTGTGGAGCAATCCGAGCGTCGGCAGGCGAGCGTCTTGACTGTGCATAGTCGGCCGAAACCAAGCCGACGGGCATGGTCGAAGGAGGACTAGGGCGACGAACGGCATCGTACGGACTAGGCCTATCGGACAAGGGAAGGTAGGGACGATGCGCTGCGTGAAGTGGAGCATCAAGATCCTGAATGGAAGCAAGTCGGTGCGAAGAGGACGCAAGACTCTCGGGCCTGGTCAAGGGCAATTTCGGTATCGTTTGACTCGAGGGTAGAATGGGTGGCAATCTTTCCAAACCGCGTCTGGATTCGTGCTCTTCCCTAGACGTCGATGGTCGAGCAGCTGAGCCTCTCGGACCGGAACCGTAGGGCGACCTGTCCATGGCGACGGAAGGCAAGAGCTTCGTGCTGCTCGGAGCACGATCGAGTGCGAGTGGCGGAATGGTGGGCAAAAGATTACCTCGAAGGAAGCAGGGTTTGGTGTAGGAAGGTCAGGCTACAAGAATATGCCCGATGGCAGTTAGATGGTCTCGCTGCGCTCGAGTGACGTTGAATCTCGATAGGTAACGGCTGAGTCGAGCGATGCGAAGCAGGCTGAACGATGCGCCTCTCGCAGAGTCTTGGAACCGGTGAGGTGATGCAAGGGCAATAGGACCGGCAAGGATTAATCTCCGTAGCGCCGCACTTTACTGTGTCAGGGCAAGCTAGATCGGAGTTGGCTAAAAGTTCATTTGAGGTTGGCGCTTGGTCGACCTCGATAGTGGGATGGCAGGAGTCGACTCGCACCGAATGTTCCTGCAAATGAAACGGGCGAGGGACAATCGTGGCAGGAAAGACGCGAGGAGTTCGTGATGAAACGAGAAATGATGTAGCCAATAAGACTGCGCTTATCACTATATGCGATGATGCGGTACGCAAGCCGAGAGCGTCCAAGCGTAGCCAGAGCAGGGCGAGATGGCGGGGAGCAAGGTTGGCGGAATGACAAGGGTGGAGCGTATCGCTAGCGTCTGCTGGTACGGCTCACTTCCGTTCGGATGCGAGTCAGGCGGATCTTCCGTAGCTTGCTGAATCAGCAGTGGCTGACGAAGCGCAGCAACTCGAGATGTCGAAAAAGGAGCAGGTCGGTTTCTCCTGGAAGAAGCCGGTAGAGCAGCCGGTGAGGATGTGCAGTGCTCGTGGTAAAGCTATCAAGAGAAAAGTTCGAGAAGTCGAGCAACGTCAAAGAGATGATGGTTGAGAGAGTAGTTGCAAGCAAGAGGAAGGAGAAGAGAATGGAGGGAGGGAGGAGGGGATGGAAGGAGAATAGCAGAGCTTCAGCAGAAGCTGGCAGAGGCCAAGAGCCGAATGGAGCCGGATCGGCGAGCTTGCCGAAGTTGACAGACAGCAGCATCGGAGGCTGCGCACAAGGAGAGAGGCGGGATGCATACAAAGCTTTTTGAAACGTACCGACATGCACCATGCGAGCGCCATGTCAGATGTACCATGCAGCAGCCATCAGCCTCCTTGGCGACAAATCAGCCTGCGCCGGTATTAAGGCGCGGATAAGATTCTATGAGAGAGGCGCGCGACCCGGCTCGAGGCATCTGCTTGCTGCCTTTGACCATCCATTCAGCGATACGCCGTTTGGGACGCAACCGAATGACTTTGGTAGACAGATGCAGGGCCAACAAATAAGCGCGGGTCTGCGGCCAAGTTGACTTGGAAGAACATTGTCTCGACGGAGTGCAAGGCAGCAGCGACCGGGATCGTATGCGACCCGAAGCCATAGATTCAGCTGCCCAGCAGCAATTCAGCGCATGACAATGCAAACCCACGTTCGGCCCACAACCACGCAGGCAGGCGTTGCGCAGAGCGCAGGATAGTCGCAGAACTGCCGAGTCGGAGCGTCTGCCGACCACGACGACGAAGCGCGCGCACCCAGGTGAGCACAGGTGCACCCGGGTTCGGCAACAGCCGAGCGGAAAGGGGGAGAATTATGAAGTGACACGCTACAGGAAATTGAGTTTTGTCACAGGATGCATCTCCCGTGACAGACTTACCGCTCCCTTCGCTACTACACTCGATGCGTCACCGAAGACGGAAACAAGCACATCGTCCAAGAAAGTTGAGGGCGAACAGGATTGCACCGATCGACGGAGCAAAAGCCATCGTGAGGAGCCCGGTTTGCAAGTCTTCCGTCCCGACAGCCGAAACGGGAACAGATGCAATGCTATAAGCCACTGTGTCCAACAGTCTCGTCAAGTAAGCGGCCACATCTCGTGTGTTGTGTTTCATTTCGCTTTGTGCAGGATCAATGACACAGGCAGAGAGTGTCACCCCGCAGCGATCAGCCACCGCCACCTTGAGAAGCATGATCTCATTCCGAGAGCCGCGGCTTCCCCCCAAATTGAAATTCGTAAATTGCTGCACAGTGTCGCGCAGCCAGAGGAGTTGAACCGGGTTGAGCTCAATTCATCCGTCACTTCCGACTTTTCCTGCACCCTACGCGTGGCTCCGACATCCAAAATCGGTTGTCACAGAATGCAAGACCTCCTCGACCGCTTTGCATACGGCGTGCCGCTCACGCTTTCGTGCAGCACAGCGTCGGCTATCGTGAACTAGGCTTACCGATGCAATCCTGTCGCTGGAATCTCACAATTCTCGACAACGCTTTTATTATGTGAGGGAAGGGATGATCCAAATTCTTGGATGTGCCAGCTCCTACGGCATTTGGTTCACAACCGAGATCGCGAAATGCCACGAGCACCAAGTCCCTCCGCTGCCCTTCCTTCGCTGGACCGTCTTACCGAACAAACTGCCGAGTCGACGTAATCGAAGCCTTCTCGCTAAGTTAGTCTTACCCTGTCCCGAGATGGTGCGACATCCCGGTCGTTTCTGAAGCAGCGGTCGCTTCGTGCACGGCGACCTCGGTGATCTTGTGGAGCCATCGGCAAGGACGCAGCCTTATCTCGTAACTTTCCAGAACCCTTGTGGGCACAGAGGTCGCCGGCGTATCACGCGAGTTTTTTTGCGAGCTTTTTTAGTCCCACTGGTATCGCGCAGTCTCACAATGATTTCATCCGATCAACGAGGGCTCGATCCCGGATTTCATGCTTCGATAGGTGCAGACGTATTTGTGTTGGGAACGAGGTTGTCCACCCGCATCGATGCAAATGGATATGTATCCGATCTTCCGGCGGAAAGTGGGGGTTGTCTACAAAATCAGGTCAGCATTCCTGGCAACGTCCTCATGATCGCGCAGTATGCTCGAACGTCAAAAAGCTCGAACATTCTAGAACCGATTCCGCGCGCGCTATTAACGTTGTGTAGCGTGTGTCAAACGCGTGTGTCATCGGATTCCTCGGTGAATTCCGTCACCGCCATCCGACCGACGGCAGCAAATCTACAGCCAATGGACAGCGACCTCTTCAAAGTCTTTTGATACGATGCGAGAACAATGAAACCCTGTCACACAATAGAGCACACCCCGATTTTCCCAATCGTGGACCTGCGAAATTGGTTCCTGGCATGATCACCCGAAGAACAATAGTACCCGCACGCATCGCGAAAGGCGTCGCAAATTATGCGGTCCTCCCCTCCCACCCCTGCCACTCGACGAGGTCCGAGATCGTGTTGATTTCGATTGCGTGCTGCAAGACGGCTTGATGGTTTCGCGACGCTCACGCGCATTCTTCTCCGATGTCGAGGTGGGCTGAAATCAAGGTGATGTTTTCCGCGGAAAAGAACTTACACACAGCGAGCTCAAAGGTGAGTCGATTGGCCTCTGTCCACGCATAGCTCGTGGCGGTGACAATCCTCGCAAAACAGACGAGCATCGCTTGCACCTGATGCATCTCACGCTGTCTTCGCCGACACGGTAGTCTTTGCATTAGCCTCCTTTCTCGGGTCGTACTATCTCGCGGGATGATCTTCCGTCCAATCGAGTTTTGCTATTCAGTGGCGTGAAACGCAAGGTCGCAGGAAGATCATGTCAGCGATCGATCGCATGGAAGCCTACTCGGGAAGCAAGACAAGCCATGCAGAATTCGGATCTTTTTGCGTCATTCATCTTTCGCCATGATGTTGATACACGAGCTCACTTCACTGCGGCTAGATTACCTCACAGCTGTCTCTCCAGGAATCAAACCTGTAGGCCCCCACTGAGCACCCATCTTTCCTCTCGACCTAGCTGGAACATCTGACGGCGACGCTTCTTTTGTAAGGAGCATTGACTGCATGCCCGGAATTCGGATTTGTCTACAGCAGAACGGTCAACTTTGGAGACACGCTAAGTATGCAGAAGCTTCGACGGCGCGTTCGTAGCTAATCAGATCTCGGTTTCATCGTGTGAACACCTTCGTCGCAGTTTGAAAATGAAGCTCGACCGCGTTGTGCATGCATGAAAGCGGATGACCATCGCCGAATTCCGGCGGAGACGTGTAAGGTTCTTTTCCGCAAGCACTGTGGGGTTCAGGGTTTGGCAAACAACTGGAAAAGTCGTGACACACGACCGCTGTCACGATTCTTTGAGGGCAACGGTGACCATCGGACCGACGAAACGAAGGAGGAACCGGTTATCACAGGTGACCAGATCTGATCTGATTAGGATGCTTAGGCGAACCTTGCTCTTGCTGCAAGTGACGCCATGCATCGGCGGTTCGCCTCGCAAAGAGCGAGCGCACAAAGTTTGTTGGAAGCGAGGGTCGAGAAAGCAGACAACCAAAGCAGAGCAGCGCCCGCCCACCGACATCCTTCCGCAATATGAGGTGGCAGAAGGGAAGTCGCATAAGCGAGCCTAGCCGGAATCGCTCCCGTGCGTGACCGCGTGCGCCTTGCGCACCAGCACATCGGCAAACGCGGAAGTCGGAACACGTGAAAGGCTTCGTACTGACTTCTGCATGACCCTTTGATGATCGAGTGGAACTACTTTGAAGTAAAAGGTGGAACGAAGTGCCAACCTCACCGACGTGCTTTCAAGCAACGAGAAAGGATCATGATGTCGGCAGTGATTTTGTCTCGGATGTCAGACCACGCGCTCGCTCGGACTGTCTCGTTCCGGGAACCACACAATCTGGATGCAATTTTGTTGTGTTCTTCTAAACTTCCGCCTTCTGCCAATCGCATCTCATCATCCGCTGTTCCGTGTTTGCCACGAGGCAACGACTGAGAACAAAAAAAAACAAAGCTGCAGTGGACAAATCGGCTGATGTTGCTCGCTTCGATGCGACCGAGCTCAAGCGCCATGCATTCGACTCTCGGTAAAGTGGGAGCGGTCGCCAGCCGCGGTCACCACTTTGCTCGCGTAACCTAGACGAACGGAGCCACGTTTCTTTTGCAACACGATCCCGATCCCTTTTGGCAGTGAGCAGCTGTTCGCCCCTCGGCGCCTTATTTGTTCTCTGCTCTTTCTTTTGTGCTCGTCTCCGAGAATGCATGAATGGACAGCCCGTCCGCTCTGCCCCTATCCAGCCTCAAACGTGGTTTTTTTGCTCCTTCATGGTTCTATCAAACGAAACGGCAGGTTCTTAACTCCGAATCACCCTCGACCCACTCTCGCTGCTCACGTCAAAAACTCGAAAAAATAAAATAAAAACATATGATTGTCGACTGCCTCGCACGCTGTTCATGTTGCAACACGACAACGAGCTGCTCGCCTCCGACCGGCATCGGCTTCGCTCAACGATTCGCCCACTTGAGATCGCGTGCGCGGAACCCAATCATCTCCTCCAACGCCTCCTGCACATCCGACTGTGCCAAGAAGTACGCCGCCTCGGTGCCCCTGTTCTTCTCCAGGTCCATCGTCGTGCACGTGACGGGCGCAAATAGGTCCAACGTGTTGACGTACGCCAGCAGCTTCTCGTCCTGACCGAGCGCCAGCACAAAGTCGAACGTGTGCGTCTGGTGGTAGTGGTGCGGAAGATGGACCGAGATAGATCCGGGGTGGGATCGCATCGACGAGTGTGGGGACGGGTGGTGCGCGTGCGAGTGGTGGTGCACTACGGGTGACGAGGCACGAGTGCTGTGCGTGGTTGGCATCGGCCAGTAGTTCGAGGGCTGCTTGTAGGCGCTCTCCAGCGGTGGCTGGTCGGGTTGGTCTGCCAGTCGCTGCGCGACGTCGTTCGGTCTCTGCGCCGAAAGCGACGGCGTCGACGACGACGACTGCTGACTCCCGCTGTGTGCGCCCGGTCCTGGCAACGACATGCTGCCCACAATGCTCATCTGCATGATAATGTGCTGCACCGCCGCCACCCTGCTCGCGTGCCGAGGCAAGATCAAACAGTTGGTGCGACACGGCACCACGCGCAACGAGTGCGAGAACCGCTCGTGGATCAGATTGGCCACCTCGGCCGACTGCCTTCGCGCCCACTGCGCTTCGTGCGAGTTGCGGTCGCCCTGCTTGTCGTTCCAGAAGCGCCAGCAGACCGAAGCACCTCGCTCCTCGACGTACGAGTTGGGCGTGCGTTCGGAAAAGTACGACAGGATCTCGCGCACCGGTCGAAGGTCGAACGGCGCCACCAGGCTGTTCCAGTGGTTCTCGCCGGCGTGCTTGACAAAGCAACCGTCTTCGGCGACGAAGCCGATGCTGTCGATGCGCGAAGCGACGCGGTCCAGATCGTTGGTGCCCATGCCGCTGAGAACGTAGACGACATTCTTCGCATCCGCAGCAAGGTCGCTGAGCAGCTTGAACAACCATTCGGGAGGACGGAAGCCGCCCTGCTCGTGCGCAGCGAGCGGATCGTACGTCACCAGCGTCTCCTCGAGATCGATGAGCAACAGACGCGAATGCGCAGCGCGCCACTCCGATACCAGCTGTGCCACCTCGAGTCGCGGCACAAACATGTTCTCCAGCCTCTCCTGCTCCAGATGCGCCCGTTCCAGGTGTCCCAACAACGACGTGATCCACTGCTGCGCCGTCTGCGTCACGACGACGCGGTGCAGATCCGTCCAGCGCTGTACCATCTCCGATTCGTCCATGGTAAGCGCCTTGTGAATGGCGTGCGCCACTTGTTTCGTGTTCCAAGGGTTGATGCCGATGCAGGCACGAAGACCCGAATAGGTGCCCGTGAATTCCGACAGCACAAGAGGACGATGGCTCACTTCCTGGCAGACGACAAACTCGTGCGAAGTGAGGTTCATGCCTTCGCGCAGACTCGTGGCGAGGAAGCAGTCGGCGACGGTGAGCAGCGCCAGATATTGGCTGAACGTGATATCCTGGACGTGGAGGAACACCACGGGCTGGTAGGTGAGCGAGCTGTACTTGTTGTTGATGCGCGAGACGACGTCGGTCGCTTCGCCGATCTCCTCGTTCTCCTCCGTGGTAGCCAGAGCGACTTGAATGAGCACGACCTCGCCAGCCCATTTCGGGTTCTCGTCCAGGAAGGCCTCGAATGCGAGCAATTTCTGCCGCACGCCCTTGATCCAATCGAGCTTGTCCCTGCCGACAATGATTCGCTTGCCAGCATACTTTTGTCGCAGCTGAGCGACGCACTCGCTGACTTCGGGGTCTTGCCGCTTCGCGTTGAGACTGCGCACGTCGATGCCAATGGGGAAAGGCGCCACGTTGACAAAACTTCCCTCGAGCTGGACGCCCTTGGGCGTGGCTTCGAGCTGCAGGATGCGGCTGACGGTCTGACGGAAATGACGGCAAAAGTTGTGCGTCTGAAAACCAATGAGATCGGCACCGAGCATACCTTTGAGCAGCGTCTCGCGCATGCTCAGACAACGGAAGATTTCGGACGAGGGGAAAGCGATGTGCACAAACAGACCGATGGTGGCGTGAGGCAGACGTTCACGCACCATCTGCGGCACGAGAAGCAGGTGGTAGTCGTTGACCCACACAATGTCGCCCTCCTGATAGATGTCCTCGATGGCATCGGCGAAGCGACGGTTGACCTCCCAGTAAGCGCGGAAGGCTTCGTGCTCGTTGTCGAGGCCCTTGGATGTGGGTGAGGTATAGTGGAAGGTGGGCCAGAGGATCTGCTTGCAAAAGCGGTTGTAGCTCAAGTCAAAGTCCTCATCCTCGAGCCAGACTGGCATGGAAGATCGCTCCTTGATAAACTTCTGCTCGAGCACGCGCTTTTCGGCGGGACCGAGCCAGCCTTCCGTCGAGAGGCCCGGTGTGCCGACGTACAGCTTACCAGCACGCAGACGTTCCCGCTCGATGCTCTTGACTGCGTTGATGAGACCACCGTTGGCAGATGGATTGCTCACAAACTCGAAAGGCGGCAAGGCGAGATCGGCATCGTCGTCCGCGACCGTATCGAGAGAAGCAGTCGAGGTGCGCCTCCTGAGATGCGAGGCGTTGGTCGACGACGTTCGACGCGCGCTTCCGCGACGCGTGACGGATCGCATGCTTCTGTTGCGGCTGAAAACGGAAGAGGGTGCGGCGGGTGGCCCGAGGTTGTTGCCACCGCCACCTGCGGAGCCGTGGTGATGCGATCGTCCCTTGATGGATGCGGCAGGTGACGTGGTGACGGATCGTTCGCGCTCTCGCGGTGCGCGCGCATGGCCTAGCAGCTCTCTCGACGATGGCCTCTCGGCTGTCGATGCGGATGTTTTACGTGTCTGAGCAGGCGAGGCTGGAACTCCTCTTCCATGGTCGTTGATGGACCCGCTCGCCACCGCGCTGGCCGTCTTGACGCTCTTCAAAGCTGGGAGACCGGGTGTCTTGGTGCCAGACCCAGAAGAGGGAGGCGTGTTGCTAGACTTGGCAGCAGCCAGACTCTTCAGGGTCGGCAATTGGCCAGGTCCGGCTGACATTGCTCCTGAAGGGTTGGCCCTGGTCATGCTGAGAGACGAGGGAAAGGCGCGGGCGAGTCCCGGCGGCCTGTTGGCATTGCCCGGTGTCTGCGCACCTGCCATCGGAGTGACGGCACCAGAGCCGAACGGATGGTGCCTCTCGCTCTCGGAGGTTGAAGCGGGAGGCGGCAAAGGCCCACCTTGCCTAGCGGCGAGATCCGAGATGATGCTGAGTGGTGTAGTGATGCCGAGCTTGCCTCCAACTCTTGCGCCTGGTGTGCGTGTTCCCGATCCTTCCGGCACGAACGAAGGCGGAGCGAGCGCGGTGCCGCTGCTCGTGTTGGTGTTGAAGCTGGTACGGCGGCTCTTGGGTGCCGAAGCAGCAGCAGCGGCGATCGGAGCCGTTTGTACTGGCAAAGGGGAGGTCCCGTAGGGGCTCGAGCCTGCTGGATCTGGCGTGATGGCGGCTCGACCGTGGTCGGATGCAGGCGCGACCGGAATATCCGACGCTTCGGCAGCCGCGCTGGTGGTATTGGCGTGTTCCGACATGGATCCTCTGCGCGAGCTCATGTGTGGACTGGATGCTCCCGAGACACGGCCATCGCGCATCTCGAGCCTTGGCACAGCAGCTTCGTACATGAGCTCGCTCATGTTGATCTTGGTACCTGTGACCGAAGGCTGGCGACTCTTTGGCGTCCTTGCGGGTAGAGGCATGGAACGCGTTTGACGGTCCTGCGACGAAATGGACATGGATGCCGCGAGCCTCGAATTGAGCTCGTGCAATGGTAGTGGAGCATCCCTGGGCAGCGACTCGGGCGAGGGTGGCGCGGTGGACTCTTCCGGTGATTCTGCGAGCGCGGATTCGAATTCGGGCTCAACAAACTGGAGTGTATCCGGGAGGAAGAGCGAGGCGATCACCACGCGGTGACCGCCGAGATTCCCTCGACGCGGCATGATTCGCGCTCGAGCTCGACAAGAGCTTCTTCGACACGGTGCTGGGAGCCTGCCCCGGTAAGCGTAGTTGGTGGAGAGAAGGAAAGTCGCTGCAAAGGATGATCGAAGCAGTCACACGTTGGCAGTAGGTCCGGGGCGTGAGTGGTTCTGCGGCAAGACGAATTCAAAGGGCGGTCCGGGAAGCGGGCTTCGCGAATGAAACAACCATATATACTGGCGACCAAGGCAGTCGAGTACGGAGACGAAGACGAGGGTGTCTCGAAGGACAATGCGCAAAGAGAGTCGCTCCAATCGGCCAGTGCGCAAGCGAGACTGATGCAGGGGGGATGAGTGTTGGTTTCCTCCTTCCAGACGAGGTTGTCGAAGTTCTCCGAAGTTGCACAAGCGGAGGGGAGAAGGTACCGAATGGATCCCGTGAGTCAGGGATGAGTGGATGCAACAAGTCTGGAAGAAACGCCTAGAAAAAAATCCGCGCTGCAAGATGAGTGAGTCTGAATGAGCTTTCCTCCAAGCCACCAACGCATTCACTACTCATACACGCATCAAAGAGAGTTACCAAGCCGCACCCCCTTTGACTCGCACTGTTGCCATGGGCAGACCACATTTGCACATGGAACCTCGTGCTCATCGACTACGGGTCAGAAGACGCACCTCTTCCGCGCTGTAGTCGTCATACATATCGTCTTGAGCAGCGACGGTGCTCGGTCCATGACCATGGGGCCGATGATGCATTTTGCATTCATTATTTTTACAAGATATATTCTTTCGAAGAGGAAAGAGGGTGAGGCTGAACTCTAAGTTTAAAGGGCACATGCTTCAAAAGCTTGTCCGCACGTTGCTGGCGATGTGGAGGGGAAAAAAGCGCTTTGTTCGCATCGTGGCAGGGTGATCCGGTGCCTCGGTGCTACACAGTACCGCTTCTTGGTCAGGTCGAGGCCTGATACTTTCTGCTCTCACGAGAGCACAGACGGCCTCTCCAAAAAGACTCTTCTGAGCGACAGGAAGCAGGAATGGAGGCTGGTACAATCTCCGACGACGTTGCGGAGCAGAGATGACGACAGGGTCTGTTGCGGTCCGGTCCCACCGAGCTATCAACAACACCGCTCATCTTCTTGCCCGTCCAAGAGCCAAGGCGCCCTGCACACTCTGCACACTTTTGGCGCGGCCCTCTCAACTCTTTCCTTCGAGGTCACGACGCATTCGCGGTTCTTTTCCTAGTCGCACTGCTCCTGCTCGGGAACAGCCGGCTTCGGTGTGCGCTCAAAAATTCGCCGAGCCAGCCGAAAATTCTCGAAGTGCCGCAAAAATACACGATTTTCTACTCTAACATTTGCGATGTCTCTGCGCATACTTTATTTTAATATTATATTTATACATTGCCAACGTGGTGAACCTATACGAGTAGTCACTCAATGATGAGACGATACTGCAGTGCGATGCTCTTACCCATCTTCCGTAGCAAGGAACCTCGATGCGGCCAGCATCACTCGGGTGAGGCTCACGATTGCTACAGCTCCCACTCCTCCTTGTTGACCCACATCTTCCCCATCCACTTGGTGAAGTCTTCACCTACACTGTCAACCCATCGATCCGTGATGTCATCATTGATGCATGCAAACACCAGTCTCTGGTCGTCGATGCTGCGCTGGCTCTGCATCCAGTCGCCTGCTTCGCTCTCGCTGTGCTGCAACTTGAATCGTTCCAGAGCGGAGGGCCGCTTCATGGATGCCTCCAGCTCCGCCATCACCTTGTCCGAGTTGTAGCGCGTCTCGAGCTGCTTGAATGTAATTGGCGATTCTGCGATGGTGTAGCTGTAGCGCTGGATCAGCTGAGCAGCAAACGATCGTAGATTTGTACCCTGTCCGAATCCAGAGTTGGAGAGGACACAGGATGTGCTGAAACACGGCGACTCTGGTTCGAAGGCAGGGTCGACGGTGAGTGTGCTTGTATTCCAGACCGAAGTGAGCGGGAGATGAGGAACTTGTTCCGAGAGATGCGGGTTGCGCATTTCCTCGCCATCGAAAGCACGGTCCGATGGAGGAAGGAAGGCACCCAAGCCACGCTGTCCGCTTTGCGCCACGAGATGATGGATCAAGCAGTCACCGCAGGCTCCGTCCGCGAACGCGAATTGCTTAAACACGTCTTCCCATCCCACAGTACCGCTACGCAAGCCAGCAAATGGCGTGAGGAAGCAACGATCGAGGTCCAACTCGCACGCTGTCCGCTCGAAGCGCCGATTATGCCATTCGTTGTTAGGATGCAGCGACGGATCATCGACGAAGTCGGGCCATCCAAAGTACGTTGTTTCGCCGCGTGCCGGGATCCGATTGCTCGAAGGAGAGCTGACAAAGCGTTTCTGCATGTTCGAGTCGGAGCGGCGGTAGATGACTCGATCAGAGATTTTGCCCAGCGGATAACCGTCCTGCGACGTGAAAGCGTACCGGCTCTTGAGCGGTACAGGCCATCCTGCCTGAATGAGCGCAGCGTTGGCCGAGTCGTTTTTCAGCGTTGTCCTCTTGGCTAGTCGTACGGTGACGCTGGAGTTTCGTTCGGTCGGCGTGGCAAGGACCGTTTCGGCTTGCGGCGTTGTCAAGCCCATCTGCGTCAAGGCGCGCTCAAGCTCTTGCAATGAGACGAGCCCATCGCCATCCTCGTCCAATCTAAGCATGAAGAAGCTCCACAGCAAGGCTTCTCGGTGACGCTCGACAATGTTGTAGTACGTGAGGAAATGAGTGACCAAGTTGTTGCCGCCGTTGCGGAAGCGTTGCGTTCCCAGTTCCGCGTGCTCGTGGGCCCAGCCCATTCGCGTCTCCAACAGCAGAGATTTGGAGAAGCTCTTCTGAACGTGCTGGATGTAAGGCCGGTTGCGCGGGCCGAATCTCTGGTTCAACAGCCAATTGGTGTGCCATAGCGACGACCATTCTCCCGGTGTTCCCTTAGGCGACCGCTTGCCCTCGACGAGCAGGTTGTAGTCGAGACGAAACACGGGTCCAAATAGCGGAGACGAGATGTCGCCTGTGCTCGCATCATCTGCGAAGAAAAAGTCGTCATTGGAATAGACAAACGTGTCTTGCAAGCCTGGCTGATCGCCAAGCATCGACTCGACAGCCATCGAGTTGAAGGTCGGCAAAGCTGCGCGACGGTAGTCGTCTCGGTGCTGGCGTTCCTCATCTGTGAGAGTTTGTGTGACGAGCCAGTTGTCGGTAAAGACGTTCCAATCGTGGTGTAGGCGCACTTTGGGTTGACTCGTCGAAGTGCTCGCAGGAGATGGCGAAGAAAAGAGTCGGTACAGAGAGCTGGAAAAGGAGTCGGTAGAAGCGCCTTCAAGGGAGGTGGCGGCGTCCTGTCCGGAGAGCACGATCGAGCTGTTTGCGATCGACATCCATTGAGGCACTTGTCCTTCGCGAATCTGACCCTCGTCGGTGGTGAAGCGGTCGGTGCCCAGACCTTGCCTCCTGCGCAGCTGGGAAGGCAAACCCATAAAGTCCTCATTGAGTCGGTCTACGTTGAGCTTGAACGGCGCACGGGAGAGTCGACGTTGCAGTGTCGAGGCGATCTTCGATCGAGTGTCTGGCTTCCCATTTGACTCGGAAGGTTGATGCGCCCCAGGTTGAAGGTGATACGGCGCCGAGAAGTCGGGTGCGACAATGTGAATGGTGGACAAGCCGCGTAGATGTTTCGCAGCCGTGCGCATAGAGAAGCGCAGCTCCTGGTGGTCACGGAAGCGGCTTTGAAGAGCGGCTCCAGATCTGCGTGTCAGCTTTGTTTCGCTCTCGCGACCTGTGCTGCGTGGAGAACGTCGAGGCGGCATTGTCCGCTGCTGTGAAGGTGCGACTGAAGGGAAAAGATCTTCTTCGACAAACTCTTGCCATCTGCCTTGCGGACGGTATCCATGCATCCACTTGGCTGCGGTATGGCGCCAATCCGAGCCATTGACCCAACTGTACAGCATGTCAACATTGGTCAAGTCGGGCTGTTTGCGAAAGACTCCATTGAGTGTCTCGCAGACCGTACCATGTGTGACCCACGCATCGAGGCATTCGCGGTCCTCGATCCATGGTCGCTGGGAAGGTACCACATGGAGCTGACGTCTATTGGCAGCCGAGAGTGCAGGAGCCAGTGGAGCAATGGCAATGGTGTCATCGTGGTGCAGGTCGAACGGCAAAACATCTTCTGCTCGCCATGGATGCTCGGGTCGAGCGATTGTTGGAACGGCGATGGTAGCATCCTGCAACGAGTCTTCGTCGTGTAATGAAGGGCAAAAAAGGTCCGTCGCGCTACAAAGCGAATTGGTGAGAGTCGGCTTGCTGCTGCGAAAGATATGACGACCGCTGATACCGAGCATCAGCGCGGCGAGAAGAAGCACGGCACACACGGTCTTCTTTCGATGGAGTAGGCGGCGTGATGTTGATCGCGGATATTCGGTAGGAAGCTGAGCATAAGCAAGGCTAGCGAGTGGTCCAGGAAGCTTGTTCTTCAGGCTGGGAAAGTGATCTGAGATAAAGTTGCCGACGAGAGTCTCTGACGAACTCGATGCGCGGGTCGAGCGACCGTGCAGGTCATTGTGTTGCGAATAGAGTGAACCTTGACACTCGAACTCGGTGGCGGAAGATGTGGAAGTGCGAGTAGAGAGCAGAGGTGAAGCTGGGCTGGTGTCATCGGCATAGAAAAGAGGTCCAGTTCCTGACTCGTTGTTGTCGTCAGGATTATGCTGGTTCTGCTCGGCTAGCTCTATGCGGATCTCGTCTCTGAAGTAGGATCGCATGATTCACAGCTGACAAGGGGTACGGACGGATAAGCGGAGGGGCTGAGTGAAGGGGCGTACGATGTAGCGGATATTGAGCTAGAGGTGGCAAAAAGGATGGTTTTGTAGTAATGACCAAGTCGTTAAGGTGGTCAAGAGGCGAAGACCATGTCAGCTATGTGACTTAAGAGTGTAAATGACGATCGGCGTGGTCGGCGAGCTGAGGCAGGCAGAGAACAGGCGTGGTCAATCGCGACAGCTTTGGAAGGGATCGTGATAGTGTCAGGGAGACGAGCCTGACAGCCTGTTCTACCGGATCAAGTCAGAGGTGGCGCATGATAACAGCGAAGTCAGAATGCAACATGAACATCCTGAGGACGGCAAAACTGTTGCGTTGCAGGCACAAACGTGCCGGATAAAGCGCGCTGGTCCCGCGACGTGGGAAGCGGCAGGGCGAATATGGCGTACCGGTGCGGCGTAGATGTGTTTGTGTGTGTGCATGTGCAGTCCAAGGGTGAGTAAGGACGCACCAAAAGCAATGCTTATCTTGCGACGACTGGATCCGCGTAGTCTGGTGCGATCGACCGGAGCCACTGGACCGAACAGGGGCTCGAGGGCTGAGCCTGGGTGGAGCGAAAACAAGAGGCGCGCATGGCAGAGACGGAGGAGCTTGAAGGGCTCGTGTGGTCGCACCGCATGTTGATCTGATGCTCCATGGGCGGACACCCCTAACAGCAGGCGAGGAGCCACGCGGATCAAGCGAGAAGGCGAGCGAGGTCTGACGACTTGACCATGCGGTCTCATGCCGGCGGCACGGGAACGGATCCAGGGCGTGCTGTGGACAAATTCTGACGCTGCCGAATCGTGCATCGGGTAGGCACATGCTTGGGTTCCAACTGGCCCGCAATCCCGGCGGGCTGTTCGACGGCAGCGCTCGGTCGCAAGAGCAGCGCGCAAGCAGCGCGGAAGGACATTCCGAGCTTGGAGCTACGAGCGGAGTTCCAGAGTCGGCTGTACCGACGGCCACAAGCGAGGCTCCTACAGTGTACTTGGAATCTCCGGCAGGAACACAACGAGGTTCGTCCCTGATCGCAACGGTCATACTGTGGTGGTAGGTGAATCCATCTGCCGAGGGCTCCTGAGCTCGCTAGTGGGACAAGGCCATCACGATCAATTGATAGATTGCACGGCAATGGTCGTGCGATGATGTTTTGAGGTTTTTAGCCGAGACAGGCGGGACGGCCGGCTAACACTCGGGCTCGGGCTCTGGGCCAGTGTCTAGACAGAATTCGACTTGGTTTGCTGACCCGCCGGTTCGTGTCGGAGTTGGAGAAATTTCTCGATCCGTGACTGGTGGGATGAAGTGTGACTTTTCACAATCCATGATCGGCACGGGACGAGAGCATATTAATGATGTGGGCAACCGTCACATGTCAGATCTTGACTTCTTCATCCGAGCTCTCCACTTTAACAGCACTTCTCGCAAAACAAAAAAAGCCACTCTGCGAGCAAGACCCTGAACTTCAGCCGGCGCCCGAGAAAAAAAGGGTCCCAACGCTATCCCACACACCTACACAGTCTCCTCTCCACTCGACGTCGATGTCAGTGACGACACGGCAATCAGCACAAATGGCGTCTATGTCTGCACCGCGAGTCAATGATTCGATCGCGGGGCAAGATTCGGTGCCAACGCTGCCCGAAGCCTCGTCCCACCAGCTCGCAAAGAGGCAACAATGTACGTATCCTCCACGTTCGCGAACCACTGCTGCTCCATATCGTGCCCGCTGACACATGACACGGTCTGCTTTGACCCGAACAGACGACGCGCTGATCGACGCAGAAGCAGGTCCATCATCAAGCACGGCTCTGCAAGCTTCTCCCGCATCGCACCCTTCGTTCCCAGCCGTAGCACCGCTATGCCGACGATATCCATCTCAAGCATCGGCGCTCTTCCAGACTTATCTCGATCTCAAGAACGGTGCTGCTGCTTGGGACGTCGTTGAACCTCTCGCCCTCTCGACTGCGGACGACTATGCCGAGGATAAACGCGATACTACGAAGGATCTCAGCACTCTCAGCGATACAGAGGCTGAAGCGTTGATACGAGAGCGAACGCAGTCGCTCAAAACGGGTACGACGAAGCTTGGGCGTGTCGAGGAGAGCGACGAAGGCCAAGACCTGTTGAGCGTCGGTCTGGCCGCAATCAAAGGCCGTCGAAAGGATGCCGTAAGTCATCAATGGAAGTCTCCAGCTCGCTCTGCATCATCCGTGCTCGTCACTGACACCCACTTTGCTCAACTCTCATCCACGTCGAATGGCGAGCAGAAGTCGTACGAAATCGTCATCCCACTCACAATCTCACAACACCTCCGACCTGCGCAGTAAGTACGTTCTTCCTCTTTTCATTCAAATTGCTCCAGTGCTGATCTCCAGTGTCTCGTGCTCGAACAATACACAGACTCAAGGCCATCTTTACCCTCATCAACGCGCACGCAGCATCGTGTCCGCCAGGCGAAGACGTCGACACCTCGCACGTTTTGCTCGCCATCATCGCTCAAGATTCGACCCTCGTGTACTATCTCATCTCGCAGGGCATGGTCAAGCCTATCAATTGAGCAGTGTCTGCTCCGAAAGCGGAGACGACCTTGCAACCGGTTACCTTCATCAACACACGGCACACATCTCAACGCAGACGACGCACTTGCAGAGCAAAGACACATACGATGATTGAGAAGGAAATTGTCCATGCGCACCGCCTCGCCCACCTCAACGGACAAAGACGCGAGGCAAGGCGATGCGATGCGATGCGAGCATCATTCGAGGCATTGTGCGCAAGAAGAAAGAAAGGATCTCAGATGAAGACCATCATGGCACCACCTACTGCAGCCGCCACAACAGAGGCGGCCCATCCAAACACGCTCGACGACGTCGTACGACCAGCGCCACTGCCAAACGTCCTGTACGGGTCCGAGCTAGCGCTGGGAGAAGAGCCCGACGACGAACCCGTGTTGGACGAGCCGCTGGAAGTCAAGTTGGAGCCGTTGGGTCCGATCGGGCGCGTCGAATCGTCGAATGCGCAGCCCGAACCATTGCAAGTACACCTGGCATTGATAGGATCCCAGAAGGCCGTATCGCAGTTGGCTGGGATGCGCGTGCGAACCGACTTATCGTTGTTCTTCTGAGGCGGGTTAGGCTGCTGAGGCGACGGCGTCGTGACGGGGCATCCGTAGCACGTATAGAAGGGCGAGTTGTTGAGCGCATCGCCCGCCGTGTTGGAGATGCAGTGTTCCAGCAAGTCGTTGTTTTCCTGGAATCCGTTGCAGATGTGTCCCGCGTTGGGCTTCTGGCACTTGAAGGCGTCGAGCGTGTTGAGCTGGCTCGCGGGCACAGGGTTCTGCATCCACGCCATGAGCTGCTTGTTGCTGATGATCCAAACGTTCTGCATGTCGGCCGACGTGGTGGCCCAGTCGAGGAATTCGTTGAGCATGTTGATCTGGTCGACGGGGTCGGTGAGTCCAGGGTAGCCCTTGGCGAGATGGATGGGGTGCGTGTAGACGCCGAACGGCTGTCGCTTGCCGTTGTAGTGGTCCGTAAAGGTGTTTTTCATCCACGAAAGAACGTCGGAGGCGTTGGAAGAGTCGAGCCAAGGGTCCATCAAGTGGGCGCCCGCAGCTCCACGCTGGTCAAAGATGGCATACATGGGGATTTCCCAGAAGCCAGGCAGCTTGGGTTGACCGCCGCAAATGTCAGCTACCGAGCTGCAGTCGTTTGCCATGCCGTTGTCGAGTGTGTATGGCCAAAAGGCGTCCGTGTTGGGGTCCGTGACAGGGACCGAGGCGGTGGAACTCGAGTCGTAGGTGAATCCAGTGTTGGCCAGGTGCTCCAAGTTGGCGCGGCTGTAGTTGAGGAACGGCGCGCGATATCCGATGATGGATTTGTACGGGATTCCAGCGAGTGCATTGAGTGTGATGAGGTTGCCGTCAATCTCGGCATTGGTGGCGGGCTGCTCCTGGTGGGTCATGGTGTGATCGGCAACGTCGTTTCCATTGACGTACAGCTCGGTGACTTGGGCATAGTTGGTGTAGTTGAGCGAGACATAGTACGACATGACCGGCGTGCAGCCGTTGGGATTCTTGCGTTGAGCAAGGAACTGGTTGACCGAGTTGATGGTGTAGTCCTGCACAGCATCGTCGGCGGTAAAGACGATGAATTGAGGCACATCCTTGGGATCGAGGCCACCGGGGGGGTTAGTGTCGGCGCAATGGCATTTGGGAAGCTTGCAGGTGTTGGGATCGCAGCTGTAGCGAGCAGCAGACGCGCCACCGCCAGCGGTGACGGTCTGACCCTCGCCGCCGGACTGGGTGAGCTGGCGCCTCTGCAGATCCAGCGAGCGCTTTGCGATGGGACGACAGCCCTGGTTGAGCAAGTCGCCGCCATGCGCGGTAGCTACGCCAGCACAAGCAAGAGCCAACAGCGAAGATACGATGGTTGGCTTCATACCGAACGAGTACGCCAAGTACAAGCAGAGAGGGTGAGCTAGGGGAAGTGATGGTGATGATGGGATGCAAAGGAAAGGAGGGTTACGTGGCGGAAGCGGGCGTATGCGTGTGTCGCGCGTGCGGGTGTGGGTGTCAGTGTCAGTGTCAGTATGAGTTTCAATTACAGAGAGTGTTTTTCGATTTGAAACTCAGATGGGCGGCTAACTGGATTTTGGCGGCATTCCGAAGACACGACATTCGCACTGTGACATGTCAAAATGGCATTTGTGGGTCCGTTGCAAGGCATGTGATTTTGTTCGCTGTCAGTCCGCTCTGGACCCTTCGAAGCGAAGCTCAGCTCAGAGTGTCAACTTTAGGCGAGCCAGGATCAGATCGCGTCGTGCGACTCGTGCACACCTCCATCTCGCTGACAGGGGCCACTACTTGAAATCTCACATTGCACCGGAACAAAACAAACATCGCCTGGCGACCTCACGTCGAGAACCACGAACTGGACTCCTCCTTGCCACTCGTCATGTCCGAGCTGATGATCCTGTGCACATGACACAGGTAGTCAACGTAGCTCATCGCGTCGTTGTTCTGGTCCTCCACCAGGCTGTTTGCCAGTTCAACCTCGGTTCCATCCCTGTTTTGTCTTGCGATCAACACCGGCAGTTCGGGTTTGTTCCGCTGCAATGCAAACGATTGCACCATCGCCCTCACCTGCTTAGACAACTTGGTCGGCAGCTTGGGCAAGCGCGTCATCCTTGCATCGATCTCTTCCAGCTGGCTGACTCCGTACAGGTCTTCCAGCAGTCGCGGATTGACGTTAGCTCCCAACCAGAGGATGCACATCTCACCGTTCTCCAACAAATACGCTCCGTGACCCTCCATGCGCAGATACGAAGGTCTCATCAACGCCGGTGTCTTGATCCTCGTTCCATCCACCGAGCTGCCATCCGGCTGCTGGATCTTGATCGCCGATCCATCCGCATCCGACATGGTATGCAATGCGATCATCCTCGGATACAGCATCGACATGATCGCCGACACTCCCTGTGCGCGGAAAAAGCGCATGTAGAACGCGCGCACATCCGAAGTCACATTGCCGCCCTTGATGCACTTGGTCTTGTTGATGGCCAGCGCGTAAAGCGGGAACAGCTTGAAGCTTTCCGGCAGGATCAGCTGGCCTGGACTCGTCGAGGATGCGCAGTTGCGACGGTATGCAAGCAGGATCTTGACACATTTGTCCGTCAGGTAGTGACGCACTTCTTTGAGCGGCTTGGCGTGCGCCAAAGATACGACCTCTTTGCTGTAATACGCGACGGCGCTGTCCATATCGGCGTATCGGAAGACGTTGCCAAGCAATGACGTGACCGGGACGGCAATGTTGTGGCAGCGAACCCGGCGTTCGCCTTCTGCGGTGGTGTAGAGGACGGCGCACTGGAAGTGGGCTTCGTGCTTCTCGTCGAGCTTGGCGTCGTGCTTGACCAGTGCGGCGATGCACTTGTCGGCGTCCATGGTGCCCAGCTCAAGGTCGGTGGCGTTGTGCTGGAAGAAGTTGCCAAAGTGGTCGGCGACACGCAGACCGTTGGAGCATCGAAGGCGCATCGTCACGTTGTAGGCCGTCTCGCGCAGCACGGTGCGGCGCACCTCGCTCTGCAGCTTGACACCGTCCCGAACAGGATCGAAGCGCGGATGGAAGAAGACCTCTCCGCCCGTTGAGCCTGGCAGCACGCCGATGGTTGCCACGTCAATATACTGCGAAGGGAAGAAGAAGACGTTGATGCCGATTCCTGCATCGACGCATTCCTCTGCGACCCCGCGGTAGAAGCCGTCTTGCGGGATGAACAGATTCTTCTCCTTGTCGGTGCCGTACAGCTTGGTGTCCTCGCGATGCTTGAGCGCACCAGGTCCAACAGTGGGGATTGTCGACAGGAAGATGTTGACCTGACCGCCGATGGTGGAGAGCGCTGCTTGGGCGCCACGCACCGCAGCACCGAGCGCAGCGTCACCAACCATGGATTCGCCGAACATGGCGGGCAGGTTGTCGAGCAGACCCTCGATGAGGTGGCGAGACTCCCAAACATCGGCCAAGAGACCGTCGCTGATGGGCACGAATGGCTCGTCAATATCACCGACCACGAGCATCTGCGCCTGGTCGAGCTCTGCCGAGAGATTGTAAAAGTGAAGCGCACGGTCAAAGGTGAGGATTGCCACGCGAGCGCCTTCCACGAGGCCAAAGCCGGGACCGGCGGCGGCATCGGCGTCGGGCGCTCCATTCGTCCCCGCATCCGCCGAGCTGTCCTTGGGTCCGTACAGGGTCTCGCGAATGGCTTCGACCGAGCTGGCGAGGGCACCGGATCGGACGGCGCTGTAGCTGACGTCGATGGCGAACAAGTAGGTCAAAGGACGTGGCGCACGTACGGTGGTGCGGCCCTTGCCGAGCTGCAAGCCGTTGAGCGCGTCGTTGGCGGCTTTGGTGGCGGTCCTTGCGGCCTGTGCCCCCTGACCGCTGAGGCCGAGCGTGGTGCCCTCGTAGTCCTTGGCGTCTTGCTTTGGTTCGATCTTGGCGGTTTCCGTGCGAGTGCTTGCGGGCGCGACGGGCAGCAGAACCGAGGCGGGCGGTGCAGACTGAATGGCCCAGTACTCCTTGGGCACGGCAAAGTCGATTGAGCCACGCGAAAGTTCGGGACGCTGGTCAAAGTCGACGCGTCGACCGCTCATGTCGAGGTTGCAAAAGTAGTCGGCAGCAACTTCGGTGGCAGTGCCGCAAAGGTTGCACGTCCATTTCTGACCGCCTTGGACAAAGACACACCATGCGTTGATGTAAGCGCGGCAGCGTTTGCAACGCGGAGGGCCGCTCTCGCCAAAAGTGGCGACGGGGATAGGAGCCTCGTCCTGACGCAGCTGGGCGAAGGGCTGCATGAGTACAGCCAGCGGAAGCTGTGAGGTGGTTGCGAGCTCGTCGGTGGCGGGCATGCTGTAGGTGGTGAGACGGAGATGTTTTGGAGAGCAGTTGCCTTGGTCGACGGCGGCAAAGCTGGTGGTGCTAAGCGGCATGCCGCCTCGTCCGCACGTGGCGAACCACTCCTTATCGAAGAATTCCTGGTCCGCATCCTGCATCTCGACCGGACTCGGAATCTGATCCGGATCGATCTTGCTGCGGGGCCCTGCAAATCGCTGTCCGGCCTGATGAGGCGGTTGAGCGATGGCGCTGCCGCCGCCCAACGCAGCTTGCATTCCAGGGACGTTGCTTTGCGCGTTGGAGGGCAAGTTGGGTCGGGCGGCACCCTGCGCCATCATGGCACGATTGTGGGCAGCCTGTGCGGGAGACACCATGTTGCGTTGACCGGGGATCTGGTCGAGGGCAGCGTCGTCGTCCTGGGGTTGATTGAATTGGTGACCTTGCTGTGCGACTCGTGCGGCGGCAGCCTGCTGCCATGGAGCCGGAGATGGGTTGGGTTGGTGAGGCGCGTCATTCCATCCGGAAGCCGGAGGAGGTTGCGCTTCGGTATGGTAAGCGCGCGCGCTCCTTTTGGTCTTTGCAGGGCCGGCGTCGGGTGCGAGTGCGGAAGCGGGGGCGGGGCTTGGCTGACGTTCTTGAAGTTGAATGCCAGCCAATTGGGATTCTATACCGACCGCTGCGCCAGTGGGTGCTGGTGGATGAGGACTGAGGCGACCTTGTATCTGCGGTGTCTGCTGGGGCGCTCCAGCGGATGCGCCAGGTGGCTGCAAGCCGGGCTGCTGCGGGAACGGACGGCCGGAAGGTGGTCGAGCGCCAGCCATGCTGGTCGAAGGAGCGAACGCTGGCCTAGCACTAGACATGCCAGGTTGCTGCGGACGAGCTTGCATGGCTTGTGGAGGCGGCGGTCGGGCACCTTGCTGCGCTGATTGAAGTTGAGGTGGACGCTGCTGCCCATATGGCGGCTGCTGCTGCGCCTGAGCTGGCAAGCGTGCCTGTTGTTGGGCTCCCGAGGGAATAGCTGGTCTTGGAGGAGCCGGCTGACCCTGATATGGACCAGGCGGCGCCTGGTTTGGCTGCTGCGGATTCATCCTGAGAAGAAGGCAGGGGTCAACGGTTGCGCGACACCGAGGAGCAGCGCCCTAATGACCAAGGCGATTGGCTTGAAAGCGCGATCGTTGAGAGCGTCTGATAGTTTGGGCAGCACTGCGTGCGATCGATGCAAGCAGCCCTGTGCGAAGTCAAAGGCAAAAGATGGAGGTGTAGGAGGTGTCGATGAGAGGTACAGAGACCAAGGAATGACCACACGCGAGCCGCCCGTGCACCTCAAGACTTCCAGCTCACGGGCTCCCTCGTCCGCACCATCCTCTCCGCACGCTCTCGCACTCTCTGTTGGTCTCACAAGAGTCGTGCGAGACGTGTCGCGCGAGATTTTCTTTAGACAACGTGATTGAGTCTTCGATGTAACAAGCGATTTCCAATTCACAGACGAACCGACCGCGAGGCTGAGTTGTGGAAATTCAAGCCACAGAAACGTGCGACGCTACGATTGGGCGAACGGCGACTGACCTGCAGACGGCGACTGCGAAATGCGCTTTTCACGAGGCTTGCCAAGGCAAAGAGGGTGTGGATGACAAATGCCACCGCGTTCCAGCTCTGCAACGCGGAGAGCTGAACCGAGCGAGATCGGCTCAGACCCGGTTGGTGATCTTCGGCTTTCAAGATAAGCAATCCTTCGCGGCTTCGTCCGATGGTCGATCCAACCATCCAGCTAGACCCTGATGTGGCCACGAAGCGTTCCCGACTTTGCTCACAATGCCTTGAGACGCATACTTGGCATCGCGTCTAGTGATAGGCTGAGGCCGGTGCTGTTTGTTGGAGAGAGCACGCAAAGAGTGACGTCTGCTCAGCTTGACAGCTGATGATCGCTCGGTTAGAACCCGGTGAAATGCAAAGCTTTTCTGTGGTACTGGTGATTTTCTGCCTTCGGCGACTCGATTTCTTCTTGTTATGTGGCACGTTTCTTCCCGAGTCATTTGCCTCCCTTGAGCCTGCCGAACCGTACGCTTATCTCCTCTTCTTACACCACCATACATCACGTCCCTTCCCAATCCGTTGACACAAGATGGCCACCCTACGCACTGGTCTTCGCGTTGCGCAACCGTTGCGAGCATCGACTCGCAACTTTGCTCCTCGCGCCCCGATCCGCTCCAGCGTTCGTCACTACAGCAGCCCTGCTCCTGGCTCGCCACCCCCTCCTCAGCCATCAGGAAGCTCGTCGACGAGCAAGGTGCTGCTCACTTCGGTCGCCATCGCTGCTGCTGCCGGTGGTGCCTTCCTCGCCTTTGGCCGGGATGACAAAAAGTCGATCCTCGGCGTCGGTGCCGATGGCGCCAACAAGCTGCAGGGCTCCAAAGGCTCGGTAGGCCCCGCCACCACCAGCGCTCACTCCAAGGCCGACTATCAGGCCGTGTACAACGCCATCGCCGAGGAGCTCGAGTCGAACCCCGAGTACGACGACGGCTCGTACGGTCCCGTGCTCGTGCGTCTCGCATGGCACGCTTCGGGCACGTACGACAAGAACAGCAACACCGGTGGTTCCAACGGCGCCACCATGAGGTTCGCTCCCGAATCCGAACACGGCGCCAACGCCGGTCTGGGTGCTGCTCGCGACTTTATGGAGAAGATCCACAAGAAGTTCCCTTGGATCACCTACTCTGACCTCTGGACGCTCGGAGGCGTCGCCGCCGTTCAGGAGCTGGGTGGTCCCAAGATCCCTTGGCGCCCCGGCCGCAAGGATGCTACCGCCGACAAGTGCACTCCTGACGGCCGACTGCCCGACGGTGACAAGGGCCAGGACCACCTTCGATACATCTTCTACAAGATGGGCTTCAACGACCAGGAGATCGTTGCCCTCTCTGGCGCACACGCTCTCGGCCGATGCCACACGGATCGATCTGGCTTCGAGGGCCCCTGGACTTTTGCTCCTACCTCGTTCACCAACGAGTACTTCAACCTGCTCATGAACGAAAAGTGGAACATCCGAAAGTGGAACGGTCCTCCTCAGTTTGAGGACAAGTCGACCAAGAGTCTCATGATGCTCATGACCGACATGGCCTTGGTGCAGGACCCTTCGTTCAAGAAGCACGTACAGCGATACGCCAAGAGCGAAGACGAGTTCTTCAACGACTTCCGAAGCGCTTACGCCAAGCTGCTCGAGCTCGGTGTGCCCGCCGAGAACTTCAAGGCTTTCGAGACCAAGCTCGACGGAGGCAGGCCGTTCGAGTTTGCCACTTCTGCTGAGCAGGAGAACACCAACTAGATGAGCTCTGTGGGTTGTCACAGTCGAGAAGCTCCCATTGTTGCTGTCACGATATCTTAATACAAATTTTCATTCATTCGAGCTCGTTGGCGTGCTTGCAATGGCTAGCTGGCGCAAGTCACCTGTGCTCATCGGATCTCCATCCGAGCCTGCTAACAAGGAGGACGAGCAATGCCTGCGCTTTTTGATCAATGACTTCCATCTTTTGAGCGCATGTGTGAGACTTGTCTGAAATCGAACAGCACTTGACAACCGATCGAAGACTGACCATCGATCAGGAGCGTAGAGCCAGTGATTGCCGGATATTGACTCAGACTGACTTGGAGGGGCCAGCGTGTCGACTGTGATCATCAAGCTTGTTCCCACCTTGAAGGTTGACATGTCGAGATCCGAATCGAAAGAGTATCATGTTGCTCTTAACGGTGTCGACCGTACTTGATCGCATCTGATCGGAAGGATAGCAACGCAGCGGTCGTGAGAATGTGGCCCACACGCTGTGCCGTGATTGTGGGCGGAGTCACCCGAAACAGATCAGACTGCATATCAGCTTCTTCTGAAATAGCTTGGAAAGAAAAAAAAAAAACGTGCTTTAAATTCTTGGCACAGACCCTCGAGTCTGGAAAACTGACTCGTTAGGACCCACGAAGCTTGATCTCTCACGCCGTTGCCTACTTGCGACCTCGCCACCTTCATCCGCATCGCCACACAGCAACTTGGCGTCGCATCACCTTCGACCCACTCTGCGTATTTCTGCGCCGCCTCGACCCACCAGACCAAGCTCGGATCGTTTTCCGCGGCTCAGCCAAATTACAGCACCACCGGGCCTTCCGACAGCCTCCCTCGCTGCCTAAGATCCGCATAAAGGACGCTAGCAGCCGCTTCCCCTCGTAGCTTTGCGTTTCATCCTCTCTCTTCCTCTCACGCCAAATCGAATATGTCGGTCCCTGCTGAAGGTCTCGTCTCTGTGGCTTCCAACGTCCAGCCTCAGGCCATCGGCACCGGGTCCCGCGCTGCAAAGGGCAAGACAGTCTTGATCGACAACTACGACAGCTTCACCTACAACGTCGTCCAATTTCTTGCCGAGGCTGGCGCTGACCTCGTCGTCTACCGCAATGACAAGGTCACGCTCGAAGAGATCGAGGCGCTCAAGCCAGCCAACATCGTCATCAGTCCCGGTCCGGGTCATCCCCTCCACGATTCGGGCATCTCGATCCCTTGCATCAAGCACTTCGCCGGCAAGATTCCCATCCTCGGCGTTTGCATGGGTCTTCAGTCCATCTACTCTGCCTACACCGGTGTCGTCGAATTTGCTGGCGAGATCGTCCACGGCAAGACGTCCGAGATCGCTCACGATGCCAAGGGTCTCTACGCCGGTCTTCCTGCACACGGTGTAATCGGCACTCGCTACCACAGTCTCGCTGCGCAGCTCCCCAGCCTGCCCAAGGAGCTCGTCGTCACTTCCAAGACCGCTAGCGGTGTGGTCATGGGCATCCGTCACACTCGTTACACCGTCGAAGCCGTGCAGTATCATCCTGAAAGCATTCTCAGCGTCGGCGGCCGCGAGATGATGGTCAACTTCCTCAGCTGGACCGGCGGCACTTGGGACGCCAACCCGCAGGCCAAGGTCGATGCCGCTGCCATCGAGCGCGCGGAAAGCACAACAGAGCCTGTCCTCGCCATGGCTGCTGACGGTGCCACCGCCAATGCTTCAACCTCCAACGGCCACGCACCCGCAGCTGCGACGGGCAGTGTTGGCACCATCCTCGAACGCATCCACGTTCAGCGACTCAAGGACATCGCTGCGACCAAAGCCATTCCAGGCTTCTCCCAGCGCGACCTCGACATCTCCCTGTCGCTGCATCTCGCTCCTCCCCTCATCAACTTCCCCGAACGGCTCCTGCGCCACGCCTCTCGTGGCTTGCCAGGCGTCATGGCCGAGATGAAGCGTGCCAGTCCGAGCAAGGGTGATATCGACCCGACCGCCCACGCTGGCGCTCAAGCGCTTGCGTACGCACGTGGCGGTGCCAGCGTCATCAGCGTCCTCACCGAGCCCAAGTGGTTCAAGGGCTCCGTGCACGACCTCTCGCTCGCAAGACGCGCCGTCGACAACCTGCCCGATCGCCCTGCCATCTTGAGGAAGGATTTCATCGTCGACACCTACCAGATCGCCGAAGCGAGGCTCGCGGGTGCCGACACCGTGCTGCTCATTGTCGCCATGCTCACCGACGAGCACCTCAAACAGCTGTACGACTACAGTGTCAGCCTCGGCATGGAGCCGCTCGTCGAAGTCAACAATCCCGACGAGATGGCCCGTGCCATCCGACTCGGTGCCAAGGTCGTCGGTGTCAACAACCGCAACCTGCACGACTTCAACGTGGACATGGAGACCACTTCGCGACTCGCCGATGCTGCCAGCAAGGGAGGCGTCATCCTGTGTGCCCTCAGCGGCATCAGCGGCCGCAGCGATGTTGCCAAGTATCTCAACGAGGGTGTCGGCGCCGTCTTGGTCGGCGAGGCCCTCATGCGCGCCAAGGACAAGCGTGCCTTCATCCACGATCTGCTCGGTCTCCCATCCGCCAGCTCTGCAGCCGAGACCGTTCCCGGCTCCGTCGTTGGTCACGGCTCGCTCGTCAAGATCTGCGGTTTGTCGACGGTCGAAGCCGCAGTGACTGCAGCGGAAGCTGGAGCAGACATGCTCGGCATGATCCTCGCTCCAGGCACCAAGCGTACGGTTCAGCTCGACACCGCTGCCGAGATCATCAAAGCTGTTCGCTCGCTTCCCGCCTCCGCGAGCGCTTCCTCAGCGAGTCTCGACGCTGAGGCAGTTGCCGGATCCATCGAGGAAGGTGTGACGCCGGAGGACTGGTTCTCGTTGACGGTCAAGAAGCTTCGCTCGCGAGCAGGTCGTCGGCCCCTCGTGGTCGGAGTGTTCCGAGATCAGCCGCTTGCCGAGGTCGCGAGCACAGCCGAACGTCTCGACCTCGACGTCGTCCAACTTCACGGTCGTTCCGAGGGGATCGAGTGGGCCAAGTTCTTGCCTGGTCGTCTCGTCATCCGTGTCTTTTCCGTCGGGCCTGGTGCTCAAATCGGCAGAGACTTGCTCAGAGATGTCAGTCGACCGGGATACCATCACATCGCCGCCTTGGATACCGCGGCGGCGGGTGGGGATGGTGGCACAGGCGTGTCTTTCGACTGGTCGGTGGCTAAGCAGATTCGAGACGCGGATGCATTGCCCGACGTTGTCGGGGGTTCAGCGTCGAGACACATGCCAGTGTTGCTCGCCGGTGGTTTGACGGCTGAGAACGTCGCAGAGGCGATCAAGGTCGCGCAACCTTTTGCTGTCGATACCAGCTCTGGCGTCGAGACAGACGGCAAGAAGGATCTCGCCAAGATCAAGGAGTTTGTGAGCGCTGCTCGTGCTGCTTCCATACAGTCATAGCCGTCGATTTCACCTGCATTCTTGCTCTGTCAACCTCACCCTACATGCGCAATATATTCTCAGATCATGACTCATTACAACGCTTCTCCTACCCCTAGTATCATTCCTCTCAAAGTGAGCTTTCGTGACAAGATGTGGTCGGACAAAGAAATCGTGAAGACGACTGTATTGCGCGGACAACTTACCTATAGAAATGCACTTGAAAAATGACAGTTTTGGGGGGGAGGGGGCGGGTTCGGGTCTGTGAACAGGTGACAGTGGAGCAAGATCCAGTGCTTACATGGAGGGAGATGTGGAAGAAGGGGAAAGGGGAATGCAGGGGTATTGGTTTACATGAATGGAGCAAGTGCTGAACAAAATATTTGTGATGATGTGTGTGAGAGGGGGTTTGAAATGCGGGTTGCGAGAGGTTGGGGCTGTTGGAGCCTACTCTGCTGAGAAGCGTTTTCACTTTGTAGCCTTCTTGACCATCTCGCGAGCCCACGCGGCCGTCTTTCTCGTCTCGGAACCATTTCCACGACCACGACCCGCCTTGACAAACTCGGCAACCCACGGACTGCTAAGCAATGCCTTGAGCTCTCCGTTCGGGTATGCGCTGGCAATGTCACCCAACAACCCGAGCGCGCCTCGGATCAACGGTTCTGACGCCTGGCTCTGCGTCTGCGCCTGTGCGACGAGCGCGATGAACGCAAACATGCCCTCGACAAACGCCTGCAGCGCCTCCATCCTGTTGCCCGCACGCATGCCCGATACGGTGCCGACGTACGCCTCGCAGATACCTTCGCGCAAGGAGTTGATGTAGTCGATCATGTCGTAGTCGTTCGGATCCACCGTCTGGATGAGCGACGCCTGCTGCAGGACCGACATGGCCATCTGGAGGTACTTTTCGAACGCGGCTCCGATGGCCATGGCAATGTCGCCGAAGCACGAAAGGATGGGTGGCTTGACGCTGCGGTTGAGCTGAGGCGACTGAAGGTTGGCAAACAGCGCATTCATGAACTCGTCGCAGTACTTTGCTGCATTTTCGCCCAGAGCACGGCAAACGTCGCCAATGAGGCCGACGCTGATGGAGCAGAGTTGGTACTCTTCGTGGTTGCGCAAGCCTTCGACCATGAAAGGGAGGAAAGCGCCCAGGTACTTTTCGAAGTCGGCTTCAAAGGCGGCGATGACGGCACCGACGGTGAAGAAGGCATCTTCGAGCACGGTCGGTTGCTTGCTGCCGTTCTGGATGAGCGTCAACAGGTTGGTCATGATGCGGTCACCCAGAGGGAGCGTCTCGCGGCCGAGGCGACGAACGCAGGCCATGAGCACGCTGCAGAGGTTGCCCTGTAGCTCGGCCCAGTTGTTGCGGTCGTCCATGCCGACGAGCTGAGCGGCCACCTCGTTGAGCTGCTGTTGTCGGTCGAGGATCTGCACCAAGACGCCGCTGGCCTGTTGGATGCAGTCGGCGGCGCAGTTGGTGATGGAGCTGGCCAGCGCCTCGTAGGCCGAAGTGCGGCTGTTGGACTCGTTGGAGCTGCGTCCTGTGGCTTGCAAAAGGCTGGAAACGATCCCATCGAAGAAGGGCGAGAGAGGCGTGGTCGAAACTGCGGCTGGGTCGGTCGGCTCACCTGCACTGTCGTACGCTGCGGCATTGGCACCGAGCTGCTCGGAGAGGTTCATGATAGCCCAGCAGCAGTTGGTGACGATGCGGGGTTCGTCCTGCAATCCAAGTACGAGCGCCTGAACGAGCGCAGGAAGGTGCACGTCGGTCTTGATCGAGTCGCAGCAGAGGTCCGAGATACGTCCCAGGGTCCACGCGGCCGTGTCTTTGACAGCGATGCTCTGATCGCGCAGCATTTCGATGATGGTCGGAAGCGCCGATTCGACCAGTGGAGCGAGCGTCTTGCGATCGGGACCCTCCATGATGGAGCCGAAGCACATGACGGCAGCTTCGCGCGCATGCCAGTCGGGGTTCTTGATGTTGCCCTCGACAAAGGGCACAGCCAAGCGCACAATGTCGTCGCCGACCACCTGAGCAAGCAGGCCGACGCAGGTGCCGGCGGCTTTGGAAACGTCCCATTCGTCTTCGTCTGCATCCTCGTCCTGGGTCTTGAGCAGCTCGAGTAGCACAGGTACGATGTCGGGCAGCGCAATGCGGGCGAAGTTGTAGCAGACACGTTCGGGCTCCTCGCCGAATTCGGCAGCCTCTTCTGCTTCGAGGGCCAATTCGATCTCTTCGTCGCACACGGTCGACCAGAATTCGACGGCTTGCAGCGCAACCTTGGGCTCCGAATCGCGCATGCCCAGCACCGTGAGACCAAAGAGAGCCTGCTCCATGTAGAAGCGCATCTTGTCGTAGTAGAGCTGCATGATGCGCACCAAGCACTCGTAGGCAGCCACCTTGACGGACATGTTGGGGCTCTGTGTAGCTTCGCAGACGACCTGCATAATGTAGTTGCGCTCTCCTTCGCGCTCAAAGTTGGCACGGACGAATTCGAGCGAGTTGTAGAGCGCCTGAAGCGCGGCGAGCTGGACCTCTGGCGCTGGCTCCTCCTTGCGTGCACCCTGGATGACGGCAGTGAGGATCTCGTTGGACTGAGCGGCCAAGACATCGGAGCTGATACCTTCGCACGTGAAGCCGATGGCCTGCAGAGCGGCTTGTCGCAGACGCATGTTGTTGGCATCGCCCATCGCACCCAAGAGCTGAGAGATGAGCTCATTCCACAGGCCTACGGGCAGCTCGATAGCCGCGATGGCCGCGATCACCTGGGCTGCTGCCGTACCCGCACGGTGCTCCTGGCTGCCGAGCGTGCCGAGCACCTTCTGCTTGATATCATCGCGGCTGCCCTGCGGTAGAAGGGTCCATCTGGCTGTGTATTCTTCCACACGTGTCTGGTCGCGCGCAGTGAGTGCATTCTTGACAGCGAGACCGGCAGCGGTTCGAATGTGCGAGGGGGATGATTCGTTGGCCAGTTCCGCGGCGAGCGTGCTCATGTACACTGGATAACTGTCGCGAGCAGCGGCCTCGAGCTTCTGTTCGGCATCGGTACGGGTAGCCTGGTCCGGCGAGAGCGTATTTGTCAAAAGCTGATTTGCGTCCATGATGGGCAATAGGTGCAACTATGTCCAGCTGCTATGACTGAAAGCACAAGGTAGTTGTAGGATGACGAATGGCGAGCTTGACTCGGGCGCAGGGTCGAATGCTCTTGTGGGAGCGACAAGATCGAATCGAAGCTTCAACGACCTCTTTGCGGAAAGAGTGAAACGGAAAAAGCTGGTGTGGATGTAGAGAAGGGGGATCAAGAACGAAGAGAGAAGGAGATAGAGTCGAAGGATATGGTGTGAGAGCAAGAAAAGGTGCGGCAGCGAAGAAACGAGATGTGCGATGTGAAACCGCAGTGATGGTGTTGATCTTTCATTTTTCGCTCTCTGCCTTGCTCAGCAGCGTGTCAAATGACACCAGCTCAGCTCAGCCCAACCCAACACCACAACACACACACACGCACACGCACACGCTCGCCGCAGGAGCGCTTCACAGGAACCAATCGAATCATCAAATGCGCTGCATGCTGTGACTGCGAATTACATAATACAGAAAATCGGGCTCGATGACAACTGTCACGCCCGAGCGGCCTAACACGGCCTCAGATCTCGAGATTTAGACCTGTCCGTGAATTGTCGCCACGCACAATACGTGGTCCCCTTCCTATCACAGATCTTCCCTCCTTGGGGTGGCACGGATAATGTAGCACAGGCAGCGTAAGCAACGCGGCAGATCGAAGTAGGTGACTGTAGGAATACTCGCGGTACATGTACAAAACGGATCAATGAGGACTGGGTTGTGGAGACTCGGGTGTGGCATGGGAGCTGCTCTTCCTGTCGACGCTGATCAGTCCGACGGCGTACGAGTCATTTTCGAGATGCGAGCCACGCTCCGACGAAATTGCGCCTGAAGTACGCGCAAACTCGTACTTGGACCACTGTCGAGCTGGGATGCGATTGGCGTAGAGCTGATCGATCTCGAAGAACGTCCTTCCGCGCGTCTCTGGCAACAGGAAGAAGGCGAGAATGGTGATGACCAGCATGCATCCACCGAAGATCAGGTATGCCTTGGCTGCCAGGTTTCCAGCATCCCTGGCTGTGATCTGGGGAAGCGCGAGTGTGGTCACCACCGCCGTCGCTTGACCCCATCCGATTGCATACGACATGGTGTAGCTACGAAGCCGCTGCGTCGGAAGCTCCGACGGCATGAGCAACGATATCGAGTAGAAGCAAAGCGTCCACACGAAATTGAACACCATTGCCAGAGCCGAGATCGCTTTGGCCACTTCGGCGTTGCTTGCATAGAAAGCGAGCGTTCCTGCTACAATGTCGATTACGGTGAGTACCACAAAGCCCGGAAGCGCAAGAGAGCGTCGTCCCACCTTTTCGAGCGCCACGATGGCCAGAGCCGCCCCCGCCACCTGACAAACGTAGGCGTACACGGTGAGCACGAAAGGATCTCCAAGCCCGAGCTGCGTGAGAAACACCGTGGCGTACGTGGTGCTCAGGATGATACCGCTCACCTGGTTGAGCGAGAAGAAGGAGCCAGCTACCATGGTCCGCAAAAGATGTTTACGACTGAAGATGTCGGTGAACTTGGTGTCCTTGGCCAGACTCTTGCGCTCCTGCTCGGCACGCACAATCTCTTGCAGTTCGTCCTCGATTTCGACGTCCGATACTGGCCGCACCCGTCGGAGTGCTGCGCGAGCTTCGCCGATCAAACCTTTTTGGACGCACCACACAGGTGACTCTGGAAGGAACGGTGTAGGTAGCAGCAGGATGAAGGGCAGGCCTGCTTGCACAGCGAGTGGGATCTTGTACTTGCGTGCGCCCGTGTAGGTGCGGTCCGTAGCCCAGCAGCAAATAGCCGCCAAGAGGTTCGCGAGGATGGTGAGCAGGTTCGAGCTGGCTACAGCTCCGCCACGAATGCTGGTTGGAACCACGTCGGCGAGGTAAAGCGGCCCGATCGAGAGAGCGCAGCCGTAGGCGAGCCCATTCATCACACGACCTGCGATGAAAGCGACAAGATTAGGCGCCCAGAGCTGAAGCTGCGTCGAAGGAATGCTGAACATATACGCGGCACAGAGCGACCACTTGCGACCCAGCCTGTTTTGCAAGTACGGCGAGATCAGTGCGCCAGCGATGGTCCCAATTAGCGGAATCGAGAAGATCATGGATTGATGTCTGGCGGTGAAAGTGTAATCGCGGGTCTGGTGATTGATGCCTTGGTACTTTCGAACGAATTCTGGCATGGCTGCGAGCGGGCTCATGAGAGAATTTTCGAGGCCATAGGTGGCGCCGCTGAGCGCAATGGTGATGACGGTGATGAGCACCGAGACGCTCCATACCTTCGGTGTCTCTTGCGTCGATAGGATGGACCTGGCCGAGGTGGCCGAGCCGCGAGTACTTGAAGGCAACACCATGGTGAGGTATCGAGAAGCGAGGCGGGAATCGGCAAATTTTGACGGCCGTGCAGTTGGTTATGCAATGTAGAGGGACAGATATGGGGAATCGTAGCAGGACGACTGCAAGAACAGCAAGATTGCGCAATTTTGTACTCAACGCTGCCGTTCAGACAAGCGAAGCGGAAATGACGGGCTGCGTACGTGCGACGGAGAGCAGGGCGACTCTAGGCTGGGACTGCTCATGCGACGTCGTTAGGGTGTAGTGAGGAGGGCAAGGCCGAGAAGGGGATCCGACCAGCCGGTGCCCAGATCAAGTGCAGAGGGAGGAGAGCGAAATGAAATGCCGGAAACGTGCTGCAAGCGAGGAGGAGGAGAGACACACCCACTCCACCAGTTGCTGGTGGGGTTGGTCAGTTGACTTCCGATGCCACGTACAGTATGCAGTCGATTTGATGAGATCTACTGTAGCGGTCGGTATCCGTCGGATGCCAGGAGGAAAGCGAGCCAAGTTCGTTTTGCCTGCGAGTGGATATGGTTGTGGGTCGAGGTTCGGATTTGAGTCGCAGCTACACAAAGCCTACGAAAGGCAATGCCACCGAGACATGGCACAGCGACGCGGGATAGCTCGAGCTCACGACTCTGCGAGTGACGCTCTGGTTTGTTGACGATCAACAGTTATCCAAAAGCGTGCAATGTCGGAGAGCAAGACGGTGAGCAAGATGTTGAGCAAGATGGGGACGGAGAGGAACGCGATGGGCGGATTTGCCACGCTCAACGTCAAGTTAGGCTTGGTCCGCGGGCCCCGCACGGCGAGCTTTGGCCTGTACTACCGTTGTACTACCTTTGTAAGTTGACTTTGTGCATAATGGTGTGCAGTCAGTTCTGCAGGGTCTCATTTCGCCGCATCTTTTTTCTTGGTTACTGCCTTCTTGTGTCGCCTCCTGGATTTTAGACTCGAGTTTGAAAATTCTCCTTTTCTCCTGAGAAGCTTATATGCAGACTGTAATGCCCGCCCTGCGGCTTCATTTTCGAAGGACAAGCATGTGTTGGGAGCATAACTTTGCGCCTTGCTCAACTATAGGATGCTCTGAGCGGTCAATAGCGGTCTCGTGCGTTCCTGACTACACCGTCTTGACATTGAATCGGCGTGTCAAGCACCAGCGTCGCGTCTTGACGGTGGGCGACCCAAATTCCTGCGCTAACAGGCGTTAAGTTCCAACCGCACGTCTCAGCTGACAATGCAATGTTGGCGTTCACGATTTCATCTCGACCTTCGGCATCAATGGGTGGGGCTCGTCAGTATCGGCGGGAAGACCGAACGGCCCGCAATGGGGATCGTCCCATCAGAGCGTTCGTTGCCGGGACTTTGGGAATCAAGGTTGATGACTCGTACGGCAATTGTTCGTTCACATGTCAGAATTTATGGTCTTACATCTCGTACAAATTACTAATAGCTCACCACCGGTGAGAGCAAGTCGTGTGGAGACGGATTTTGAGTGAATTTTTTTCTCCTTGTTCGCGATGGCGTTGCCGGGGTCTGTGGTCTGTCGCCTGTGATTTGTTTGCTGCACAATGTGAACGCTGCGAGCGTGACGGCAGACTGCCCAGACGACACGTCGGAACTCGACGGATGCTGTACCTGGATGCCGTCGACGTTTGTGACTTTTGTCAAACAGCACGTTGCTGATCCCATCGCCATCGCACACTATTGGCTGGATAGTCCGGACAAAGCATCACCTCGTCGTGGCCTATCAGCACCGTCAACCGCCGACTACAATCGCTACTCTCAAGGCGAGACGTTAGCGCTTCGATCGCTTGCCAACCCAGGCACCTTCGCGTCGTATCTTGCAGTCCGACGCCTCTGGTTCAGGCCTCACGACTGCCCTCTCTCCCAACTTTCCTGCCTCCGATAGAGGAAATTCACGGATAGACGCCGCTGCGTTCCCACCGACTCTCGAGCAGGGACAGCATCCAAGCGAATCGACACGCGCTGCCCAAAGCCGTCCGACTCAGCACTTCGATATTGCGACCGAATGCGTTCCGAGGCGCCTGGACGTACACCTGCTCTTGATGGATAAGTGAAAGGTCAGCTTCAACACTCGGCGAAACGTCTCTGTCGATCGCGTAGCCATGGGAAGACCTCAACGCTCCGCTGCGGCGGGCCCGAGTCGACGCTCGGCGAGGGCTGCCTCCACCATCAAGAATGAACGCATCACACGCAGCAGCAGAGCCAAGCACAGCTACGCGCTAGACGATCCCGAGCAGGTCGAGCGAGATCTCAACGCTCAACTCAAACGCATGGGTCTCTACGCTGCCAACACCACCGGCGACGGCAACTGTCTCTTTCGCGCCCTCTCTGATCAACTCTACGGCCACTCGGCTCGACACGCACACCTCCGACAGGAGACATGCGATCACCTTGCCGCTCGCCCCGACAGATTTGCCGGCTTTGTCGACGACAAGCCTTTCGACCAATACGTCAAGCTCATGCGCGAGAATGGCACCTACGGGGGACACTTGGAGCTCCACGCATTCGCACAGATGAAGCAGAAACAGATCAAGATCGTACAGCCAGGCCTCGTATACGTGGTCGAAGGCGTCGACGACTCACCAGAAGCGAGACGGCTGCGGGACCAGAAGGAACAGGAGCGACTTCGCGTTCAGAGCAGCTTAGAGACACGCTCCGATTCCGCGCCGCTCACAGAGAGGCAGATGCGTAAACAGAAAAGGGACGATGTGAAGCGCGACAAGAAACAGCCATCCTCAGCTCCTCAGCAGGGCGAAGCATCAACCTCTGCATCGGCGTCGGCAGAGACGGCAACAGCAGATGAGAGAGCCTCGAGCAGTCAAACATCGTCCGCGGCCGCAGTCGCGACACCGGCGCCGTCTCCAGGGTCCGTCGAGGCTTCGCCGCCGCAACTTGCAGAAGCGTACGGTCCGCTCTACATCGCGTATCACAACTGGGAGCACTACAGCTCCATTCGAAACATCGATGGTCCTCATTCTGGACTTCCACGTATCAAGGAGCAGAGCATAGCATCCGCCGGTGCTGCAGCTGCAGCCAGCGCAGACACCAAGACTCTGGCTAAGGATGCTTCGACCAAGGCTGAGCCGACAACCGAAGAAAAGATGGTCCTGCAGAGCATCAGCGGGGATCACGACCTCGAAGAAATTCGTAGGCTGCTAGAAGAGAACCAGAATGACTGGGCGCACGTCGTAGAGGTGATTTTGGAGAAGGACGCCATCATCGACGAAGAAGAGGTCGGTGCAGAGCTCCAAGCCGTCCCGACTTCTGGCGAACAAGTCGACGGATCAGATCGTCTGACTGTGCCACCACTGCCGCCCCTCCCGGATCATATGCGTCACTGGCGTGCCACGTCACCCTCTTCCGTCGACACCTCCGCCACTCACAGCAGCGGTGAAGGCGATTCTCCTTCCACCACCGCCACGACCGATGATGGTGGCGACGCAACGGCCTGCGCTTCACCCGACTCATCCAGCCTTTCGCGTGGTAGCACACCCGGCATCGAAAAGCTGAGCGGCAAACGTGCCGCCTCGTCTGACGCCATGACCATGAGCATGATCCGCAGTCCCAAACGACGATCACAGAGCAGGTCGCCCGAACTCGACGCTGCAGCGCAATCGCAGTCTGGCGAGGGCGATGCACAAGATGCCGTCTCCACCTCTGTCGATGCCAAAGCGCAGGATGGACAAGCAGTCTACGAGATCATCAAACGCGGTCGAGGTCGTCCGCGCAAGGATGGTCTTCCTAACAAGTCGACCATCGCCATCAAACGTCGTGTGCCCACAGCGCGCGAGAAGCGCGACGCTGCTCAGGCGCGCAAACGTGAACGTCAGCTCGAAAAGGTAGGGCGCACCCGCGCAACGAGCAGAGCGAGCGGAAGCGAAGCAGCGCCTGCCAACACCGGTCCTTCTGCGGCTGAAGTGTGCGGTTTCCGCGAGCTCAAGATCTGACACCATCTCTGTCGTCACCGCTGTGGGTCCACAGCACTATCTGCCCAGCCTCATACACACCGGAACGCATCATGCTCCTTCTCTCTGTTCGCCGCATCGCATTTGTAACACTTATCGCATATTATCATCATCATTATACTCTCCGCGATCGTTCCCCGTCGACCATATATCTGAATGTGGCTGGTGAGCGCTTTTCCGAATCCCGAAAAAGGTACACTTTTTTGGAGCACCGTTGTGCAACGCGGACCGTGCGAAGACCCTTTCATTCTGTCCCTTCTCACTCCATTTGCCATCACTGTACAGTGTTCTCGACCAATCAACGTCATGGCGGCGGTCCAAGCATCGTCGTCTCTCGAGCTCGATACGCTCACTCTCGACCACATCTTGTCTGATCTGGAGTCTCTAGCGCCCAACGATGCACTCTTCTCGGTCACACGAACATCAGCGAAACCGAGTGGATCACGCAGTGATGCCGGATTGTTGGAATCTTTCGAGGCCGGAACCAGCCCATCAGATAGGCGGCAGCACGTCGAGCTTTCGCACAGGCTTCTGGCGGGTCACAGGACGGCACAGCGTCTCAACAGCGAACGTGTGTCGGAGGTCCAAGTAGGACTCGTGCTGCCTTCGGAGCGCAGCCGCGCATCGACAAGATCGTCAGCGTCTGCACGTCCAAGGGGAAGGGATGGTCTTGGCGAAACGTCGACGCGGACAGATCTACTACATGCGAAAGTGGCAGATCTGCAGACACAAGTCGATGCGTGGCATACGGCGCTTGAGTCAGCGGCTACGTTGATCGACGAGCCGCACCAAAGTCTCGGAACATCAGCAGTGGAGGACGTCGGAGCGAATCGAAAGGTCAGAGCAGAAGATACATCGCTCGAATCGGGCACGATGAGTCAAGATCACACGGATGCACGACCCAAAACAACGGAACCAATACCGACGGAAGCACGATACGAGGCAGGCGCTCCCGCAGCGATCGAAGGACCGAATGCCGTTACTTCCGCAGAGGAGTTTGAAGATGACGATCCGTGGGACGAGATGTCTTAGCTTTCCTCCCTCTGGACATCAATGTATCTGACGATCTGTCTCAGCTTTTCTCCTTCTGGACCTCAATTCATATCTGTCAGGGTCCTACAGAGTAAAGTCCGTCCAAATCGAGCAATCGCCTTGATCGAGTTGCGGAGCTGCATGTCCGAGTCGAGGGGCTCCGTAATACGATGGTACGAGAAACGGGTGTATCAGATGGTGATGGAACAACGTACCATCGACCTTTGAGCATCGTCTTGTGCATCGGACCACCCTAGTCGACGCCACATCAGAGAAAGGCAATCCAGCTTATACCCCTTGGGAAGGTTTGGTCACTATCGCTCAACAAGTAGCCCTTCCCACGCGACAAGCCGCCGAAGCCAGTTCTGCCGACTCACTCTTCATGCGATTACTCCTTCGACCAGCAGCGAAAGGCAGCGGGACTCTGAAGTCCATCAAGATCGTCTCAATTCCCCAACCGCTATGATGGGATGTACCGTTGCGTCGTTTTCTTTGGGCCCGAGCAACCTTTGCGCGCATTTAAAATCTTGGGTTCGAGCTGCAAGGAGGTGGTCCGATAAAGGGGCTGAGATCGAAATCCGCTGATACGAGCGCCACTTTAACTTTCTCGGCATTTGGATGAGCTTGGGTATACGAAAGAATGGAGATGCACGTTGAGATCGCGCATCGGCCTGGGTGGTCATCACGGCAGCATGCTCACGTCACCGGAGAGGACATGAGGAACCAGCATCGAGTGTGGCGCGCTACGGCAGACAGAGTTCCTTAGGCGAAGAGTGAGGCTAAGCGAGTTACGATGCGCCACAATCTGGCACGAGCTCTCGCTGTCAAAGCTCAGCCGATACGAGCATTTCAAAAGCATTACAGGAAAGTCGGTACCAAGCAGTAGATTGAGCGGAACGGAACAGGATGTTATTAATATTCAAAGGGTGTGCGCAAGCGAGCCTCGGGGGAAGTCTTAGCGAGCCGAGCAGCTGGGGGTCTCAACACGACGGAGCGCGTTGCATCGCGTGCCCGCGTTCGAGCGCCTGCTGTCTCACCGCCAACCGCCGAGAATTCTGACACCACTGTGGGGTTGGTTCGCCATATACAGGTGCGTGGCAGCAACAAGGTCGTTCGCACGTTGCGATCATTCTCCGCCGTTAGCCGAGGTTCGTTTGCGCCTGCTGGTACCAGTACCTCATCGACCCTTTGCGTTCGCTCAGAACGGTACAGCAGTTCACGTCAGGGGTTCTTTTAGTCCGAACCTTGTTTCGAGACGCTCGGCAGAAAAAAAAACAGTCGAGCTGGTCACGGGTTTTGGACCAAGTGGGAGCCGCTTGCTACATCAACTTGCTGTAGGCTCTCATGCGTCGCACATCTGATCACCCCGTAGCACAAACAAGCGGCACTTTCTTGCCCAACGCCACAGTGGCAACTCGAGTTCGCTTACCGGGTCGCTTGAGCGCGAGAACAAAAGGGAGACCGGGAAAGAACAACAATAGCGCCGCAGGTAGAGACAATGGCGAAGCGAAAGGCCGAACGATGTCAACGTTATACCAAACAAAGTGCCCGCAGGTGTCACTTGGTGCCAACGCGCCAGGCAAGAGCAGCGGAGACAACGGGCGAGTTGAGCCAACAATGAAAGCGACGGCAGAACGGGAAGGCTTCCGCTTTCTGCGAAGTGAACATGGTGAGCTCGATCTATTATGTCAGGTCAAACGGAGGGTCTGGTGTCGACGCAGAGGCCTTCTTCTTGCCTTTCTTTTCTGGTCCAGATTTTTGGTTGTGTCTCTCTTTTATGGCTGTGAGTCGTCGACGGTGGTGGTGGTGGCGACGCCGTCGGGTCTGGCCTATCGTGGCGGTGGCAAGATTCGGCTTCGGAAAGCGTTGTGCTGCTGCAGAGCGGCGGCTGTAGAAGCCAAGTTTGGCCCGTTTGAGATTACGTACAGATCTGGACTTGTGTCACGTCTCATACCATGTCTCCGCCTCAATTTGGCAAGCCATCCTCATATCCATCGAGACCTCGCGTTCAACCCATCACGGGTGGCATTGCTGGCAGTACAACGGGAATAAGAGACGTCGGCAGCATGTTCCAAGGGTGTGTCTCTCTCTCTTGCTCTACTTCTTTGAAGCATCGGATCCGATATTAACATCTCCCCGCTCCTCTGCTCCAAGTACGGTCTGGGTCTACCTACTGTCGGACACGCAAAATTGTGCGACATCACCGCTGCACGATTGCCTGCATATCTGCACAGCCGGGAACCTCTATCCAAAATCCCGTTCCGACCCACCCACAGGTGGCTTTGAGGGTCGGGAAGCCATAAAAACGTGGAAATGGAAAAAAACCAATTTCCCCTGCATACATCTCATATAGATCCCGCCCCGTGGCAGCCACTACTTCTTCCCCTGTGCCCTGCTGAGTTTTCCCCCGACATGTCAGAATTTGATATTGAACCCTGACCCACCCACGCCCCCCAATTTGTCGTCCCACCTTCACCCACGCCGAGTCGCACGGCCTTGGCAACGACGCCTGTCAATTTGCCGTCGTTCCTGCTCCTGCCGAATGTCAACTGTCCGCTGTCCGCTGTCATGCTGTGGCAAAACAAAGAGAACATCCCGTGGTAAGCAAGTCTCTCGCCGTGAACTGCATTCCTCTTCAACTCCGATTAATTGCAATGCAGCGTCGAACTCCACCAATGAACCCTGACAAGAGCTCCAGGTCCATCACCCAGAAAACATGCCAACAAACCTTTTCTCCCGTTCGCACAATTACAATCGCACACCTGGTGGTCGGACAATTCTGTATGATGTGCAAAGCAAGTGCGATTGTGGACAGCGCAGGAATTGAATACAATGCGAAACAATACTAAAAGACAGGAAGGGAGAAGTTGCTGCTGATGGTCGATCTATAGGTTGAGAGTGGTATCGTGTTGTACAGTGTGCAGGCGGGTAAAACAAATTCTAGTGACGTTCAGAGTACCGTGCCGCCTCGGCGACGTACTGCTGGGTAGCAGCAAGCGAGGCATTGCTGCGGTAGGTAGGAATGGCGCCGCGAGCCCCAGCCGGCTGAGCGTGCTGGAGACGCCTGGTGGGCATGCTGCCAAAGTGTCGATCGCCTTGGCGCGGGTCCCAGTCGACCACGCCAGCTTGAGCAGCCTGGTATTTGGCGGCGGGTTGTGCAAGCCCAGCAAGCACATCCGCGTCTTGGTCCTGCTCCCAGCGGCTCTGAAGCCAGCGCGCAGCCAGGCTCCTCGTGGACGTCTTGTCCTCGGCCGTGACAAGCCCGTCGTGCATAAGGTCTGCATATGTACCGTTGATGTGGACACGCTTGCTCGCCGGTGTGGGAGAGTAGGCTGCACCGTTCCTTGCGATCGTAGCCTCCTCGACGTTGTGAGGCACAAACTGAGGTGTAGGTGGCAGGCCCGTGTAGGAAGCCGAGCTGCGACGAGACTCGCCGCTGCCACTGCGGCTCGAGCAGTCGTCCGAGCATCCTTCGCGGTCATCCATGGCGGCCGAGCTGTGGTCGGATCGGTGCGGCGAGGCGATGGCAGCGTGGGTAGGGATCGTGACACCGAGGCAAGGCTTCTGAGGTGCGTGCACATCACTCATGCTGGTGAGGTTCGAGGCGCCCCGGTGTTGGAGACGACCGTCGGCAGGTGCGGCAATAGGATGACGAGACCAGTCAACATCGGCCTGCTCGCACGAGGAGTGACCTTGCGTCGACTCATCCGGGGCATCGGATGGCGAGAAGGAGCCGTCACCCTCGCAGCTGCTGCTGTCGAGCTCCGAGTCCGAGTAGGTGTCGTACGACGCTGCGTCGGTGATGGCGTCGGCGTCGATGTCGGCGTGCGGTGCGTAGCCGTGATCGGCGTAGACGACTGGTTGAGCGATCTGGTCGAGTGTGGCCACCTGCGGCTGGTAGCGAGCACGCGCACATTCAGGCTTGCGCACGGCGTCGACTTGGCGGACCACATCGGCGGCGGGTGCGTAAGCCTGGGCATGAGCAGCGCGAGCAGCCTCGAGGGCAGACTGGTGCTTGTGCTGCTGCTCACGGTAGGCGGCAGCAGCGGCGACCTTCTCGGCTTGACGAGCGGCATGCGCTTGGGCGGCGGCGTGACGGGCGGCTTCTTGGCGAGCTTTGACCTCGGCGGTCGTGGCGGTGAGGCGGTCGACGCTGCGAATCATTTTTCGGAGGTCGGCGATGTTGCATCGAGCTTCGGCGCGGAAGGTGAAGACGCGTTTGAGGATCGAGTTGACGCCTTCCGAGATGGGAAGGATCTCTTTCAGAAAGTCGGGGTTGCGCAGATACTCGCGGAAAGTGTCGTCGGCGGGGCAGGCCTGCTTCCACGGGTTGCGACCGCAGATGAGGTTGACGAGGATGACGCCGAGCGACCAAACGTCGTTGGCGGCCGTGTTGTAGCTGGTGAGGCGGCGAGTGATGCCGCCCTGGCACTCGGGCCCCATGTAGAAGGTGCTGCCGCATCCAAAGTCGGAGCTCGACTTGTCGCCTGTCGCAAGACCAAAGTCGGCGAGCACCACCTTTGCACCACCGCGCAAGCAGAGGATGTTCTCAGGTTTGAGGTCTCGGTGGTAGATGCCCATCTGGTGGCAGAACTCGACGGCGTCGAGGATCTGGTCGAAGACGTCGCGGATGAGTGCGTCCATCTTGAGACGGTCGCTGGTGAAGGCGACGTCAATGCCTTGCTCCTCGGCGGCGCGAGAGACCGAGCTGGGCAGCATGTAACGCTGAGTTTCTGTGATCATGCTGAAGAGGTCGCCGTCGGGACAGTAGTCGAGGACGACATAGACGCAAGGGTCTTGTGGGTCGTCGATGACACGGTGGAGGGTGACAACGTTGGGGTGGCTAGACGACATAGTGTGGAGCATGATCTCACGACGCTGGAAGGCGCGCTGGCGAGCATCGAGGCCCACCTTGTTGAGACACTTTACAGCGTAGTAGCCAGATGCATGGCCCTGTTTGGCGGCGGCGAGCGAGGCGGAAGCTTGGTGGGAGGAGGTAGAGGCGTAGGCGCCTTGGTGGTGATGAAGGTCGCGCGCAAGGTAGACGACACCGTACGCACCAAGACCGAGCACCTGCACAAGCTCGAGACGACCATCAGCGATGCAATGGCCGAGCAGGTTCTTGTGCTGCTGATTCGCCGTCGCCGAAGACATGATGCGGTGACTTCGGTGCAGCGATGCGGTGCAGGCGTTGTTGTTGTTGTTGGTGGTGGTGGGTGGTTCGCTGCTGCAGGTGTTGCCCGCTTAGACTGCTGACGGGGCAACGGCTGAGGTGAGCAGCCTGCTTCAACAACGGGACAGACACAGACGAACAGGAGCTGTCGTGTGCTGGACGGGACGAGAACCAGAGAAAACTCAACGGATGCTACGTGAGCAGGCTCGGTCAAGTTATGTGGCAGTCGTCGGTGATGGAGAGTCGAGGCAGTATAAATAAGGCTGGCCTTGAGTGCGATTCAGAGACGATATCAAGGGTTGTGGTTGTTGAGATGCACCTGGCAGTGTTGAGTGTGTCGGCGGTATACGAGTTGATCAATGTGTCGGCAGAGCGAAAGTGGTGTGTCTGGTTGGGAGCAACGAAACAAGAGATCGCAGGTGAAAGTCGATGGCAGCAAGCGACGTCGACGAGGAGGATGTGGTGGTGGGATGGAGACGAGCCGACGTCGACGGGAGGGTGTGGTGGGGATAGAAACGTTAGGGGGATGGCATAGGAATCGAAGCCGGCAACGATTATGAAGCAAGTCGGCTGGCTGACACGCAGCTTGCTGCAGCACCCAGCTCGAATCGAGCCAGAGTTAGGAGGATGGATACAGGAACCGGATCGAGGAGGGAGGGGCAGCACAGGACAGGACGACCGGGGCTGTCAGGCAAACGGCAGCCAACGCCGAAAGAGGCAAGAGCAGAGGCAACGGCACCGTAAGGCAAACGAACGTAGTCAGCCAAGCTGTCTGTCGTCGATGGCCGAAAGCGACGGATTGAGACCCAGGAGCATCAAAGAAAAACCCAGCCAGGATTCCGCGTTCACCAGGATCGAGGCGAGTCAGGCCAAATTTTGGTGTCCAGAAAAGTGGGGCAGAAAGACGGTCTGCATGCAGATGCCACTCGACGGTGGATGGACGCTTAGGTGGGAGCATCGCCTCTTACTCAGGCATGAATTATAAACGCGAAACGGCAGGAACGCGGGCCACGAGAGGAACACAGGCCAAACCACGGTGCCAGATGAAATCATCAAAGAATTCAACCCCAAAACCAAAAACAAAAAGCGGAATGATGACAACAGTCCAAGTGCCTCTCGATTCTCAAAGCTCATCGAACCGGTTTTGGCTAAAAAAAGCACACTTTCAAAATTACAATTTTTATTCATTTTCGAAACAGAGATGGCAGCCCCGAGGAGTGTCCGCAAGCGGCAGCTCACGAGCGGAGTCTCTGAAGTCGCTGAGACCGGATTAGGGGAAGGAAAAAATTAGCTGAGCGTGGCTGGGTCCAGCGCCGGTGTGACCTCGAATCCTGCAACGCAGAGTGTCCGTACAACCGCTTGAGTGTCCGTACAACCGCTTCGACACGGATCCTCGAGAACCGCCATAACTCAGCCAAGCCATGACAGCTGACTTGGCATACCGACGCACGCCCAAGGCACACCGCAGCACACTTCCAGTCTCAGTTTGAGCATTGCAACCACGCACTCGCGGTGGTACAGAGCGTAATCCCCCCTACGAGTTTGATCGCCATGCTTCTTGGCGGATTGGTCCGAGGTCACCCTTGCATTCCTCGTGGGGACTCAACGTCCGCGTCACATCTGTCATCGTGACGTGCGATTGCTAAAAGGAAGGAGCAGCGCCATCCTTCGCGCGGTTGGAAGGGAGGTACCCGCTTTCCAGAACAATCGAGATCAACACAGGTGCAGGGAGTGCAGCGGTATGATGAATGTGCGCATTTTCGCGAGCAGAAAAGCATCCGGGGCGAGATATCCGTCCTGTGACTTGGCACCGAGTGGATCCCACCGCGTGTGCCACGACGCTTGTGGTGGCTGGTGACAACCAGAGAGGCTACGGCGCGGTCATCTTTGCAGCCTGCTCGATCGCCGCGGTCCAAGCAAGGACACGGCATCATGGCTACGGCTCGTTCTCCCTTCCTCTCCCTTGCACCCCGCTCGAGAAAAGAAGCATAGCAAAGAGCAGGGAGAAGCCACAAACTTTCGTATAGAAGGGGTTCCTCGACTCCGTCCAAGTCATCAGCGACTACCACATACATAATCTCGCCATACGGTGTAGTGTCGAACCAGAAGCGCAGTTTCTTCATTATATTTCAATTTGATTTTTACCTGTTTTTCAGAACGCCGTGCGGACGGATCCTATTTTGGAATTTAGCGCTCCGAGGCTCCCGGTTTGGGCGTGGGTTTATGGATTTTCCGTCTGTTTGCCTTCGCGATCGACGTCTCCTAGGCTCGAGGAGCCCTGGAAATTTTTTACTCTGTTTCCGTCGGCGCGGTCGTCATCGTTGTCATCCTCGTCCTCGTGGTCGTTGTCGTCGTTGTCGTCGTCGTCGCCGACCCTGATCCCAGAGGAATTCGAGGTGGAGCTTGTCGTCATGATCATGTCAACATTCCGCAGATCGAACTTATTGGTGTTTCAAGATCTTCCTTGTCAAGAAGATCGTCACGATCTGTTCGGCACACATTGTACCATTGCAGACGGACAGCCACATGCCATACCCTGTAGCGTTCGGGTCTGCGGGCGACAGCGGTCAGCTCGTTGCTCCACCGTGACCGGATCTTGACTTGTATGAGCAAACACCGTACCTACACACCCGGACGACGTTACCATAGCAAGCAGCAGCCTCTTTTGGTGCCCAGCAGTGGAACACTCTGCCTCGGTCTCGGCTAGCTCGGCCTGCAGCCAAGCCGGCAAACCTAAACTCAAGCGCCTCGGTGCGATTTCGTCGTGGTGCTTTTCGGCGTAGCGTGGCAACAAGCTCTGCATGCAGCTTGCTGCAACGGCAGCGCGTCGCAGTTTGAATTCCACCTCGACCGTTCCCCGGATCTTCAAGGCGTTCGGCGGCAGATGTCCGACGTCTCTTTGCGTCTGCTGTAAGCAGCTGGGCTGAGAGCATGTCGTTCCAGCCACTTGCAGGGCTCAGAGAAGGCCTCACAGAGTCAAGCGGCAGGAGCACCGAATCCGTTTTGTCGCGGTCTCAGCCCAAGTTCCGTGACCAGAAGTCAGACGAGCATTTCCGTTATCGGACACGGAGAGGCCAAAGGTGAATTCTCCTGCGACACCAAAAAGAGTCAAGAGCGGGAAAGACAGCTTCTGTAAAGTTTTGCCGTTGACGGTTCTTCGGCATTGCCATGCCTCTGCTACGGAGTCTTCATGTGTCGATCCAGAGAAAGTGCTTCCATTTCTTTGTGTTCGATGCATCTTCCCACCGGCATGTGGGCCGATCGTGACGTGCGAGGCTTTTGCTTTTCTTCAGAGCGTCCAACCACTCACTGACCGACTTCTAGCAGCGCACTCAGTCAAGTGCAATTCATCATCGCGTAGGTCGGTGTGTCATAATCTTTTGTGCCTGCAGTACACTTCCTCAGATCGGCTCACGTTCCGAAGATGGTCCTCGCACGCACGATTTACAGTGCAGGAAGGGACAAGATCCAAGTGCACCACTGCAAGCGAGGTCGGCTACGAATCACCTCCCCTGTATTTGGTCGATGGACACGACCGCACCACCACCCAGGCCTTTTTTTCTTTTTTTTTTCCTTCTTTTTCCCCCTTTGACTCTCTGATCTGCGTTGACGATCGGAGAGACGACCCTGTGGGAGCACAGAATGCTAACTATTGTCATCAAGCGAGTCGCTTCAGATAATTGCTCCACAAACAGTAGGTTCGCTCGGAACCAACACTCGAGACGCACACTGCGATGCGAGCATCTCGTACCGATATGCGCTCGCTTCGAATCGACCTCTCCCAAACAAATACCATGAGAAGCGATGCTTCTTGAACTCACCCAACGCGATGATGGCGCTTCACTCTCAACAAACTCCGAGTCCGTTGATTAGATGTCATGGTGTGAACGGCAGCATCGCTCCCCCAGGACGGACGTTGCTTCTGTGCGGCTGCTACAGATGCTCGCAGCAATGTCCTGCTTGATGAGGTTCAATCAAGGTAAGCAACGCCTGCCACTGCTGAGTAAAACTCAGCCGTGGGAGCGCACCTCGAGGTGTCATCGCCACGGCACTTTACGCGTCGACACGACCGCACCGAGACACATTCCAACGCAGCTCTAGGCGAGTCAATCACGCGGCTGGCTAGGGATAGCGTCGATGGACGAGGAAAACGCGAGAACGGGCGCTGGATAGCAAGTATAAGCGTGGTCATAGGCACGAGCGCTGCGGACCGGCTGCACGATCGGGAGCCCAATTCCATCGACTCGAAGCGAGCACTTCTGAAGTCGGAACAAACTGCGTTTCCATTGTTCTGTCATTGTGCACCTCTGCGCGAGCCCCAAGGGATCGTTGGGCGACGAATTCCAAACGCCGAGTCAAGAGCAAAGCTCCGCGGGGCGCGTTCCGGCGCGCCAGACGGTTTCAGGCACTTGCGCTGTCTCGCTTGTCGCGTAAATGAGGATCGCGACCTTCCCACTCCGATCGTGATTGCATCTCCGATGGCGCTGGAAACTCAGCTCAGAGGCGACGATCGCTTGATGAAGAGCGGATCTGCTGCACAAAGCCAATTTGTCCCCTTTGATGTGCCTCGTGACGCTTGTGCAGCCCTCTAGCAAGAACGTCCACACATTGGTCCACCGACATCCAGCTCGCAACGCTAAATCTACCTGGCCAGCCCCTTGCAGCAGTCTTGATGTGCTTGCCTCCGATTCGAGTGGGGTCCAAACCCCTTCGCACTCCGTCCTCGCCGGACGCTTGGTTCTGAGCAGTTCTCGGAGCCCGCTGTTCACTCACGGCTTTAGTGTGCCTCGGAGAGCAGCTTTGCATCGCCGATGCAGCGGACGACATCTTGATGCAACCATGTTTTTCTCTATTGCAGCATCACCGTGCCTGTGGTCGAATGCGAGGAACGGAAAACAAAAGCTGGTACAGGTGTGCATCGCTTTTATCGTATGCAGCTTTCCCAGATGCCCGGATCGTGGTGTTGGGACGTGCGACCTCGTGGACGTCGGACGGAACCTATACGCGACGAGCCCAACGGACATTTTGTTTCCACGCTGACGCTCCCTCGATCCCAGCATCGACGGCGGTTCAGCCTTACAGAGTTCCCACGACCATGATCAGAGCGGAGTGAGCGAAAGCAAGATAAAGCGATTCGGGGCTGCAAAGATCGCGCTAAGCAGGCTTCTCGAAGCTCGGCCCACCCCTGAATCCCGAGTGTGAACCCATAAACCAAGACCGAGGAATCTTCTTCTTCTTCTTCTTCTTCTTCTTCACACGCCCTTCGATGCAGACGGAACAAAAGGGGGCTTGGCTTTCCGGACCGATAGCGTGTGTTCTGGTGGTGGCGTCCAAACACCACTCGTGCAGAACGTGCTGATCACGGCTATTGTTTCCTTAGCTTGCATCGTGGGAGACGCACGATGAACAACGCAACACTTGGCCTTTCCTTTGTTCGCTTTCTCAACGTGGGTCTTTTTCGGTAATTCGAATTCCGCCGACCTCCTTGCATATCTGCTCTCATCGGCGACGACCACGATATCGTTTCAACGTGTTTTCACCAGACAGGTCCGGTGCGAGCTTCCGCAGCTTCCAGCACGTCGGCTCGTCTTTGGTTTTGCGGCTTGGAAGCCCATTCACTCGTCGTCACCATGCTTCTGAAGCTCAGCTGAACAAAGCGGTCTTTTGTACGCTGCTATTGTTAGAGCCAAGGAGATGAGTTCTTTGACGGTTGACCTAATTATGTTAGCTGTTAGGATCCCCTTACCGAACATTTCTGATTGAGGAGGAAGAGCAATCCTGTACAGCCACGCCTCCGGTTCTGGAACGTTCGCAAGGTGCTCCAGATCCTGCAACAAACAGACTGGATCCTCGACCGGCGACTGCTGCTTCCGATGACCTCTCAACACAACACTTCATGATGACACGCACAAAGAAGAACTGCACAAAGCCTTGCGACATGCAACAGAAAAGTTGGGGTTCAAAACATTACTCGACGAGTCCTGCTCCTACTTGAGTCCAAACTTTGTGAGACTAGGTCCGATCTGAACAGCACCCCAATCAGCGCCCGTCGAGGCAGACGCAGAGCCCGCATCAGCACCCGCCGCCTGCGGATTCGCGTTCGCAAGCGCAAGCGCCGCCGCCTCCTTCCTCGTCTTGATGTACTGGAGTTGAGACCGGAAGTGTCGCAAACAGCTATCCGGTGTCGTGGGGAGCTCCAAAAATCCACCTCCCACAATGGCAGGATGCGAAGTCGCAGGTGCTGCTCCACCTGCCGCTCCTCCGCCATGCGCTCCGTCTGCCTCTGCCGTCATGAGCGAATCCAGTCCATTCGAGATCAGCTCGACGAGAGAGTTGATGTACTTGGGCGCAACCGCTTCCACCTGCTGCTCAAAGTAGTAGAGGTACTGATCCAGCGCGGAGCAAAAGATCTCGACGGTGCTGCGTTCGTCGATGCAGCTGTTTGCGATGCGCAGCGACTTTTGCAGACACTCGAGCACACGCTTGCCGTCCTTGAGCAGGATAGGCTTGCTCTCCTTGGCGCCGCTGGCGGCTCCATTGGCAGAACTTCCGCTCGCAGCAACGCTGCTATTGGCAGCCGTGTTGCCGGTAGCAGAGGACGAACTGGTGGCAAGTCCGGAAGGATGGCCAGGAACTTCGGTCTGCCACCACAGATGACTCGCCATCATGACCGCAGCAGCCTGATGCGGCTTCTTCAGCAGCTTAGCACCGTGCAGTGCTGCCTTGGTGATGAGCGTGTCGTAGTTGTCGGTGCCGAAGACCCGAGCCGTTTGCAGCGTGCTGATGATCAGTCCGATGGCGTGGAGCTGTGCGCGCGACTCGGAGATCGACTCCTCGTAGATTGTGAACGCCTGTACGTAGAATTCGTACGCAAGCTCTTCGAAGCCGCTCTCGTCGGCGGACTGTGCGGCGAGCAGGAAGAGACGGAGGCAAATGTCGGATGACTCGACCTTGTTGTAGAGGATCGAGATGACCTGGTGAATGAACTTGTACAGGGTCAGCATCTTGGTCTCCCAGTTGGGCTCCTTGCTTTCGCGCAGCTTGTAGCGCCGTGCGAGCTTGATGGCCGAGGTGATGAGCGGTGGCAGCGTAAACTTGATGCGTTCGCCGCCGTCGACAAAGTGCCTGCGTGCGGTCTGTAGCAGGCTGAACTGTGTCTCCAGCTCGTCCGCCCGGAAGAGGTGGATCATGCGCGCGATCCACCCTTGCTCTTCAGCCATCTCTTCCATGTCGTACTGCATCATGTGTTGGCGACCCATGCCGCGTGCTCCCGCGCCGTACATGCCCTGAGCCATCCTCGGATCGCCGGCGGAATAGTGACCGTACGCACCGCCGTAGCCACCTTGGCCGCTGCCTCCTGCGCCCATGTGGATGCCGCCATGAGGCATGCCACCCATGACTGCATCCTTGTGATCGCGAATGATGGGGCTGCATAGATCGAGCACGCCGCTGACGTCCTCAGGCGTTGACATGACCGTCTCGTTGCGCAGCACCGACATGACGACAGCCTGTGCAATGGATTTGCGCGTCGTATACGGTTGCACCGACAGCAGGGACAGATACGACGGCAAGGCCAGCAGCGTCAGGACAGTGAGATAGGAGTTGATGGGCGAGAGCAGCAGTGAGTTGAGGTTGTTCGTGGTAGCTGGGCTGTGCAAGTCTGGGCTCTGTTCGAATTCGACGACCTTTTCGCGTGCAAATGCAAGCACCTGGTCGACATACTCAAGCTTGTCTGGGTAACAGCTGAGCGAAAGATTGGCGAGCGAGACGAGCAGCGCTGTGATGTCTTGGATCGAGAGGTCGGGCCGCGCGCGGATGAGTTGAACAATCTGCTCCCAGAAGACCTCGAAGAGACGGACGTCCTCTGGAATGCCACGGAACTTGCCGATGGGCTTTTCGGATACCGCCGTAGGGCGAGGCGCTTGCGGTTGTGTTGGTGCTGCCTTCTTCTCGGCTTCGCCGTTGGTCTGCGTTTCGGTGCTAAAGCCGGCTGAAGGGAACTCTTGAGCGCGAGCGTTGTGCTCATCCTTGGCTGCGCCAGCTTCCGTCGATGTGACAGCGGTGTCAGAGGTGAGCTGAGCACTACTCGCCTCGGTACCGTCGTCGGTCTGGGATGCCCACGTGCTGGAAGCTGCAGTGGAAGCTGCTCCGGCGCCACTAGCGCCTCCCGATCCCCAGGCATCTTCGTCGAGCCCTTCGGGCACGCTGCGAAAGACGGGCTCTTCGGAGCTGTGAGTTGCGACGTTAGGTGCAGCAGCAGAGTCTCGGTCGGCGGAAGCCATGCCGAATCCGCTAGGCTCCACAGGTGGCGGTGGCATCGAGCTGAGATCCGCAGCGGTCGGTGATGCCGGCTCGGCGATGTCGGCAGCCTTGGCTTTGGGGTCCCCCTGGGCGGTGACCTCGTCCCAGACGGAGCCAGGGCCTGCACTTTGGCCTGTCATCCGCATCTGTCGCGTCTTTTCCGCAAGACGCCGACTCGCCTCCTCTTCTTGCCTCTTGATCTCTTCTGGACTGTCGTTCTCGGCTTCGCGGGCTGCGTAAGCGGCAAGACGATCGATCAGGGCAATGACGATTTGCTTGATGTTGACCTTGGGATGCAACGCTGCGCAGGCGGAAAGGAACGGGCCGAGCGTTCGCAGATGAAAGTCGTCGGGAAAAACCTGGATGACGACCTCCATGAGGTATTCTTGAGCTATGACATCCTTGCAATTGACCACTTGTTCCAGGATGGATGGAAGGATGGTGCGCTGGTACATCTCGAGATCGACGCCTTCGAGCTGACTGAGACGGACAAGATTGGTGCCAACGAGGATGCGAAGCTCCTTTCGTTCCATCTCGCGCTTTTCGCGATCCCTCGAGTGACCCTGGTGCTGCAGTCTGACCCAAAGCTTGTTCATCTCGATAAAGTTGGTGAGAACGAAGCCGATGCTGTCCTGAAGGTTGCCTCCAGGTCCCATGTCCTGCCCGACGGGAAGGTAGTCGCGCGTCGCACCGCTGAGGTAGTGTCGAAGGAAGAGACCTCGGGTAGGATGCTGGACACCACGGCTCATCTCCATGACGTCCTTCATGATCTCCTTGATAGGAGCGTCGGGTATAGACATGTATACGCTTCCAACGGTGATCATGAGGTAGAGACGCGGCACGATGTTTCCGCAGTACTGCACAAGTTCGTAGAGGTCAGCGAGGTGGTGCTTGCCGGTTGTGTGGGCATCATAGAGGTAGATGGACAGATGGCGTAGCGCATCAAAGACGGCCATGTCTGCAAGAACAAGCGTCGGCGTCGAGGATGGTCAGTCAGTAAGCTGCTCGTGCTGCAAGAGTCCAAGTGGCAGCCATGCTCGATACTTACAGAGCTCATAGTAGTTCTTTGGTGACAGCGAGGAGGTGCGAAGCTCGGAGAGCATGGTGGAGGCGCTTTTGAGCGCATCCATGACCTGATCCGCATCGAGGCATCTTTTCATCTGCACCAGCTGCACCTTGACCACATTAAGGGCCTCGGAGAGGACCTTGGCCGAGTCGTCCATCGCTGTGGAGAGTATGCGCGATGTTCAACGGGAGATGGCCAATAGTCGGGCTGATAGGTGGTGAATGACGTGAGGTGGAGAGAGGTTGGGATGGTGAACACATTCACAACGCGTGCTGAGTCTCGGTAGGCGTGGTACGTGCATGCACAGGCCGAGAGGGGTCGAACCCGAGGTCGAGAACCACAAGCTCGGACAACACAAATTCCATGACGCAAAAGAAATGTTAGATTCGTTCCTCGAGCGAGTCCATCTTGAACACTCAGACGAGAAGTTGGACCAAGGACATCCGAAACAAGGAAGGCTCGAATGTGTCGCTTAGGTGACAGCAAGCATGAAGAAAAATGTCGAAGGTGCAGTACAGCTACGGTGCGTCGATGTGACTACAGACTTTGCGATACCACGTGTGCAGAATCGCTAGATGATCTCGAGATCCGAGTCATCGTCATCTTGCTCAATCACGGTGTGTGACTGACGAGCTTGTGACTGTGATTGAAGCTGCATGATGCGCTCGCTGAGATTCGTCTCGCTTTCAGCTTCGCGTTTGGGTGCTCCGTCGCTCGGTGGAACAACGAGGTCGCCAAGGTCGTCCTCCCAATCATCTTCAAAATCGTCCATATTGATCAATTCTCCTCCAACGACTTTGAGCTTCGAGACGCGACCCACTTCGTCCGATGGCAGACGCAGTTTGGGACGATGAGCCCTTTTGATTCTCAAGCTTGGCTCTGAAGAGCTGTTGCTGTTCGAGTTGGACGAGGATTTTTGAGCCAGCGAAAGAAGCTTGCTTCGCGAGTCACTGCTGCTCCGAGGAGAAGCCTCTGCATCGGCAGCGTGTCGATTGAGACCCGCGATGGGCATTCCTCCGAGGAGTGTGTTGGACCGCTTGTTGCTAGTGCTCGCCAAATTCATGAATTTGAGCTTTGCAGCTTCTGCTTCCGCAGCACCTTTGCCGACTGACGGATGTACGACACCAGTATATTTCCGCCTCTTGGCATCGATGGCTTGCTGCTTTTGCTGGGCGATCCTCTTTCGCTGATCCAGGGTCGAGTAAGCTGCATTGATCATGTCAGCTGTTCCATTCGGCAACACGGGCAATGCGGGTGCTTCGCGTTTCTTCCTCTCCCCGTCAACGTTGTCCTCGTCGTGTTCGTCGTCTCCGTCAGGCTGCCTCTTGGCCGGACGAGCAGGAGGCGGAGCAAAGCGAGCCTCGATCTCTCGCATTAGCTGCTCTTCCTCGATCTGCCTCTTGAGCCTACTCTGCTTCTCGGTATTGCCTCGTCCATATCGGCCACTGACATCGTACTTCCAACTCGACGGATCCGAAGCGCGAACTTCCTCGTCGGCACCTACGGCGGAAGCGATTGGAGATTGCGAGACATACACCTGCCCACCGTTGTTCTCCATGCCATCGCCGACGTTGCCAAAGGAGGAGTTTAGCTTCTTTGCAAGCGCGGCGCGCGAAAATGGATTGCTACCCTCTGCGGTCTTGTAAGTTGAGGTGATGTTGTTGATCGCAGACTCTTCTCCGGCGTAGCTTCCACCTCTACGACCTGGAAAGGAGCTGGAAGCTGTTGCTTTGGCGCCAGACGCGCCGCCACCACCAGCACCACCGAAGCGAGAAGTCGAGTTGGCGGCAAACTCGGGTCGACCTCTGGCAAGCTCGTCCATATGACGACTTAAGTGGAAGTCGCACGTCGTGGTCCGAGTTTGCTTCCGCGCTTTTGTATCCACAAAGTTGCTACATCTCTGACCATTGGCCTTCATCGCAGAGCACCTTCGGTAGTCGGCAGCTTGTCCGATTACCAAGCAGTCCTCGGCAGATCTCGGCGTAATGCGCAACATCTTTGTCTCTAACGATTTGCTTCTGCTCCCCGCAGGAGCCCACGGTCGGAGCACCTTGGGATTCATAATGGCAACGAGTGTGCCCTCGGCCTGCTTGTAGAGCATCTCAAAGGCTCCGCGAGAACCGTTGATCCATTTTTTGGTACCAGCAGAGGCGGCGGACAGGGTCTCGGCTACCTCGGAACGGACTTTGTTGTTACGAGGGACGATCGAGGTATCCACCTGATCGGACTCGTATGCGATGAGAGAAAGGTAGTTGTCACCTCGGCCTGCCGAGCCAGAGCCATCGCCTTGAGTGCTGTTGACGCCAAGATCGACGAGTTTGAGAATGACAAATTTGCGGGAACGGTTTGCCAGATTGCCCTGATGCTTTAAACGCTCGTGCTCTTCATCAATGTCTTGGGCTCCAGACTTATTCCATGCTCGTGATCTGCCTTTGGAGGCGTCCTGGAAGGCATCCGAGCTGCCTGGCTCTAGATCGAGGCGAAGCTTTCCGTTGCCATCCGAACCTGCATCTTTGAAGAGCACTGGATCTTCGTCAAGTGCAGACGCGGACGATGCAGCGGCGTTCGAAGCTGGCTTCCCTGGGGAAGTAGAAGCGTCGATACGAAAGCCTTTGGTGACCAGCAGCTCGCTCTTCTCCACAATAGTCGCAATGACGATCCAGTCACTGTCGAGGGGCACTTCGTAGTCGCCGTTGCGGATCGTGTTGGGAGCGATACCATCCAGGCTCATCGCGAGCGGACGTGCTATTGAGTAGAGAAGGGAAGGCGGGACGTGATAGCGTCCGCGAAGGTGCTCTTTGAGCTCCGAATGGGGAAGCTTGCGCTCTCGCAGACGATGTCCTGAGAATGGTTCCATTAATTCCCATTTGGGATCGTCTGGGTTCGGCGGAATAGCTCGAGGTCCGGGCCGCATCCGCTCGACGAGAGCCAGGTCGTCATCCCGATGCACGAGATCACTCTCAGCATTGTCCTCCTCAAAGTCGTCCTCTTCGCCTTGCGATTCGACCTCGTCGTCGTCTAATCCAGCAGCACAGTCCTTTGCCCTCGAGAAAGCTCCCTGCAAAGCACCGGACTTGGCCTTGGCTCTGTGTTGACTGTTGACGAAGCCTTCGCTCCTGAGGGCTTCTCTTCTGTCGGCTTCACTGCGCGCTCTCTGCAGTTCCGCAGACTGCTGTTGCTTGTCGAGCAGAGATTGTTGCACTTGCTTGGCCTTTTGGAGAAAGTTGCTAGGCTTGGGTGCACGTTGCTCCATACGATTCTTGATCTGTTCCAGCAGGCCTCGTGCACTTGCGTCACCTGAGAAGCTGGGAGGATACTGAAAGTCATCATCTGCGGGAGGTGGTGCGCAGTAGGTCGAGGATGCCTTTGCACGGGCTTCAGCAAAAGAGAGAAGAGAAGCTTGACGCCGCGCATCTTGCTCCTTGTCTACGAATCGTCCGGGTCCTGAGGGCCGCTGATATTGACGTTTGGCTTTTGTGGGGGATGACGGAGCGACGATATCAGTTCTGCGGCGTTTGGCTGATGATGCGCGGCTTTGCGGCTCATCCTGACCGTAATGCTCGGGCGGGGGAGCTGAAGCTGCAGCCGCAGCGGGTATCCCTTGGGAGGTCGAGGCTGTCCTCGTGACCTCCATGAATTCCAGCGGCCGGAGAGGGCTCTCGATGTCGAAGCTGGGATCGTGAGAGGCTGTGATCCGAATGAAAGTGTCTCAGAAGCGCATGGTCGAAGATTGTGTTGTCAAAGAGTTGCACCAAGATGAAAGTCAGGGAGAGAAGGACCCTTTCAGACAAACTCGAAACGCGTCTGAGAAACAGAGGCGTGTCGGAAGTGTTGCTTTCCGATAAGTCTAAGCGCGCTGCAGCCCCGCTCAACTCGAACCGACGTGTAAAGTGGAGGGGGCAGGCAGCTTTCGGAATTCGTTGTGCTAGTCTCCATCCTTCACATCTTGGCAGTCATATCTCGCGAGCCTCAACATGGACGGACGACAGTCCGTGGCCGAAGCGGTCGTGTCGACCTATCGCAAAGCGCCGGTGACGCTCTCCATCTTTGCGTCGTACTTCATCTCGAGGATCTGCTCGAGTCTGTGGTTAAACTATCGCCTCTTCGTCTCGCTTCCAGGGGGCCCGCTGCCAAAGAACATCGTCGGATGGTCCATCCACTACTTTTTGCTTTCGCCTCTCTCGCTGCATAGCGCCTGGACAAGCACCAGGCTGGTGCGGTCCTTCTTACCCACGACTCCGCAGTCCAACAGCCAGCACTTGACAACAGGCGTTTACCTTCCTCGACGCAAGGGTCCAGGTCCTCTCGCCGCCGGCACTGTCCCGCACAGGCAGCTCGATCAGTTCACAAGCGAATCGGACAACACGGCGACATCTGGTCAGGAAGCCTCAACCGATGCAGGAGATCCTTCAGCCTCGAAGCAGCAGGCGCAAGAAGCGATACAACATATCCACTCAACCTTGAGAACCGACGCAAACTCTCATCCGGCTCATTTGCGCCTTGGTCCTTCCATGATCGAGACCCACTCGACAGCGCTATTTGCCGTCTCACATACGCTCGTCACTGGCAGCGAGAATGTCTCTCGATCCACTCGATCCGCTCGCTTCCCTTCCGCTCTTTCACGCCGCTTCCTGTCCTCGATCAAGGGCGAGTATGTGCACATGCACTGCCAGTCCTCGGCTGAAACCCAAGACGAACACGCAGCATGGTCAGAAGACGGTAGTTTGCATATGACGCTGCACCCTGATGACGCTGCACTCGTGGTAGAGAGAGGCTGGGGTCAGCTGCATCCCCTTGCCGGCTTTCCATCGTATTCAGGATTTTGGTTCGGTTGGCCAGCGTGGCTCACTCGACTGCGTTCTTCGGCCGCCAGATCGGCGAGGTGGTGGACATCGAGCTCCGTTCCCACAGAATCCAACGCAAAGGTAGCCAAGGCGATAGGTCTACCTCCCACCTACTGCCTTGTGTACAGCCCAAGGGATATGGAGGAAGCCAAAGTGTTGCTCGACATCATACATGCGGCGACGGCGTTTGCCATTGGCTCTCGTCCGACCTCCCATTGAGCTCATTCGGCAGCTCACATTCATATGTAAGAGCCCTCGTACTTTGCATCATTGCATTGTCATCTACTATTTCTTGCCGCCTTGCAGGTATGCCATCATCGCAGCCACACCTTTGCTGACTTTTTCCACATCCCTGAATGTGAGGCTCAGCCGTGTGTGCCGTGTCAGACTACCGTCTTCCTCCTTGGCTTCCTCAGCTTTACTGTCGCCAGACCCAGCCCTAGCCATGTTCACCTTGCTTCGAATCTGTTGGTCGACGAGCAGATCATGGTTGGCGACATGGACCAGATGTGAAGCCGTATCGACTTTCCTGTCAGCGATACCATGGAGGTACGACTTGTAAACGTGTCCTGTCGTGATCAGCAAGGATCTCGGCTCTTGCAATATGCTGAAGACGGGATTTGGCTCCCTCGCTCTGGCTCCCCGTACGATCTTTACGTTGCCTTCCATCCTCTCCTTGGGTACAATCTTGGTCTTTGTCGAGTCCTCAAGATCATTACCGTCCGTGGATCCTGTGGCGCCATCCTTTGTCGCTTTTTCGTCGTGCTCTTTCATACGCTTGTCAAAGTCCTTCTGAAGATCCTCATCGACATATCTGTAGACATCGAGGAGCGTGTGTGACCCCAAGCTGATGGTCGCTACAGCTGGAAAGTAGGCGGGACCATCTTCGTGCGGCATGATGCCCTGACCCGCAAGGTATTCGTTCACTAGGCAGTGATTCGGCTCGCCATGCTTCGATGCTTCGAACGCCCCCGTCTTGCGCAGTCGAGCGACAAGGTCTGGATAGCTTGAAAGAAAGTCTGGCATCGCTTGTGGCATCAACGTGTTGTTCTTGGCCAGGACCTGCCCACCCCATTCCTGCAAGCGTCTGTTCTGCAGCACTTTCCATTTGGGCTTGGGCGCCGAAAGGATAGCCTCGGTGAGGAAGCGTTCCTCGTCTTCCGAGATGAAGTTGGGAATGTAGAAGAAACCGCCTTGCTCGTCGGGTTTGCCATCGGGCTGCTCTGATGATGACGATGCGAATTGGCTTGGACTCGCATTGGCAGGGATCGGTATCCGATACCTCTCGAGATCCCAGCTCTCCTCCGCTGGCTCTTCCAGTAGCGACATGACGTGCGATGCTTCGAGCAGTCGAGGTTGAATGGTGTAAGAGCGGAAAGGTGGACCCTTGACTTTTTGCGAAGCCAAGAAACGGTTGAGTTGCTGCGCTTTTTGGTTTGCCATGTGGAGGCGCGGCGACGCGGATCACGGAGCAGCCGACATCCGAGTCCGCTTTGATGTGTCACACGCTCATCATTCCCTTTGTCTTTCATCTCGCTCCATGCCACCTACCAAACACATTCAAGGGACTCAGCCCGCAGCATAATCCTCCTTTTCGGCCACATACGGCTCAGCCTCCCGATCTCAAGAATGTCGGACCACCAACATGATCATAGTAGCGAGGCATCAGGCTCAAGACCACGTTCACCTTCCTCGACAGCCCACGACGACGTCGCTAGGCTCGAGAGCGACCTGATCCCATCACCACCAGCATCTTCGCACGGACTCTCAGCCTCGGATCCAAGCTCTGCAGCAGTCAGCTCCGCCAACGTAGACGGCTCCGCTCGCGTGTATCGCTTCCCCAGCGACCTTCCACCGCGTTTCGCAGGGTCGAGCGCAGACCCGGACCCGAACGAGCGCGTTGTCACTGTGCGCGACTTGAGGTCCAAGTCGTGCTGGATCTGCTCTGAAGACGATGAAGATCCAATGCCAAGCCAAGGTCAAGGTTTGTCCGGAGAAGCCCCCGCCACACCGTCGACAAGACCGAAACGGTTCGTGCATCCGTGCAATTGTACACTAGTAGCTCACGAAAGCTGTCTTCTACGATGGATCGATCAGAGTAAACGAAACCATCCCTTGCAAAACCAGGTCACCTGTCCGCAGTGCAAAGCACCGTACATCCTCATCAACAACAAGACCACGCTCCTCAAGATCTTTGAGTTCTTCGACAAGCTCGTCACGCGCATCGAGCCGATCGGTGCCTTTTCGATCCTCGGCGGATCCGTGCTGGTGGCATGCACAGCGTACGGATCTGTAGCCATCCGTATGGTCCTTGGAAAAGATGCCGCTCGAAGGGCGCTAGCTTCTCCTTGGCCATGGCATTACTGGGTCGACATCCCGCTCATTCCGTTCGCGCTCATCGCATCGAGGCTCAACATTTTCGAGTCTGCCATGACGTGGGTCCCGACCATCGTCGCTTTCCCCATCACTAGCATTCCCATGGCCACAGCGACTGCTGCTCACGGCCGCCTCTTCGATCGCTACCTCGAATCGAGCATCTTCAGTGCACGCTCCTATCCACCAGGACCGGCACTGACAGCCCTCCTTGTGCCTTGGATCCGCGTCTTCTACCTCGCACTCAAGCGCAAAGTGTACCGCGCCGTGCTGGGTCCGTTCTACGGCAGCAGGAGGAGCGGCTCTTCCAGACGGACGACAGGAACGGGTCGCAACAGACGCAGGGTGGTCATCGTCGGCGAGGCGGACAGCTACCTGGTCGACGGCGATGCAGCTTTGGGTGCACAGCCTATGCCCGACGGTATCGGTGGGCCGATGGCGCAGGTGCAGCAAGACGGCAACGGTGACGACGAGGGCGATGATGGTCCTATGCAGACCGTCTACGTTTCTCATCACTCGCTAGCTCGCCTGTGTCTGGGTGCGCTCAGTCTGCCATTTGTCGCCAACGTCATGGGTCGCATCCTGGGCTATTTTGCACGCTTCTCGCCGCTGCTGGCACGCTTCTTGGGGATGAAGAATGTGCAGCCGCCGTCGTCGTCGATGCTCTCGTCGTTCTACACGACCAAAGCCACGCCGACGACTTCGTCGAAAGCAGCATCCGAATCACCCTCGCCGATCGCATCTCTCTTCCGCGGTCAACTTCCACTCTTCGACAGTCAGACCATAGACGGGAAGAAAAACGTCGCAAACGATGCCAACAAGTCGTTCTCAGAGCGTCTCACGCTGCTCGGCTATTCGCCGCGCTACGATGACCTCGACCCTGTGTGGTTCCGCAACGCAGTGGGCGCCGCCGTCTTCATCGTGGTCAAGGATGCGGGCAGTCTGCTGTATCGTCGTCTGCGTCTTAGTCAGAGGGACAGGACATCGATCAAGGACTTGCCTTTCCAAGCCGGGCTCGTGTCTGGTCTCGATCTGCGCAGTTGAATCCATGTCTTTGTCTCAATCGAAGCGTCTTCTACGTTCTGATCTGGAGCTGATTGTGTGTGGGTGTCAAGATTCATGTGTGAAATGCGTGTGATGATGTACAGCCTGCCTGCCACAGCGCAGAGTGCCATGTAGACAGACACATGATGTGATGCGACGATCTGCAGGGACGAAAGACTACTTTTTACCCTTCTTCTTTTTCTTCTTCTTATCTGATGCTGCGCCTGCTGCCGCTCCCCCATTCGAGGCTGATGCTGATGCTGATGCAGCCGGCGCACCTGTCGTTTCCGTTGCTGTTGTTGCTGGTGTTGCACCTTCCGCCGCTGCTGCTGCTGCGGGTGCAGGTTCTGGATTCGCATCTTGCAAAGGCTGCTTGGATCCCGCCATGGCAAACGTCATTGCCTTGTTGAACACCTCCAGTCGACCCAGGATCGCCGAAGACCGCGTTCGGTATTTGATGGTGGTGGTGTCATCCGTCACTTTGAGCGTAAGGCTGTGTGTCGAGGGTCTGGATTTGATGAGGTAGCGGGTCTTGTGCGGGTTTTGCTGGTACAGCTTGATGCTGCGTTGCTGGAACTCGGGCCAGTCTTTGATGTACACCATGATGAAGGGGGTCTTTGTGTGGGCGCAGATGCTGGAGCGCGGGTTGCGATCGATTTCGTGTGGACGTGTGAGAGGATGCAAGGGAGTCGTCGATGGTTCGAATGCTTAGGACAAAGCCGAGCGCCGCTGTCCGAGGGAGAGACGGCCGTCCAGGATCGTGGAATGAACGTCGGTGTGTCACGCGCTTCTGACCTGTTCGATTTGCGCCTGTCCTCCCGAGCCGAACGATACAAGCGTTCAAAGAAGCTGCTAAGAAAGTGTTGGAGAGAGATCGAGGTTGATGGGGGTTGATGCGGAAAGAGGAGGTCGTCTGAGAATCCTCGATTTGAGCTTTGTATGGCGTCACGTGGATGTGTCGGTGTGCATTTTTGGTGCCCCAAATTGTCTCGAAAGGATCCTCTAACATTCGTAGGCGAGATGATAATTCTCGGTGGTTGAAAGCCTGAATGTGTGCCCGAAGACGATGATGAAGCCGTCAACCCGTCAAGTCTTCCTGCTGCCGAGTCAGCAAGCAAGAGCCAATTCACGGAACTGTCACAGATCCGATAAGTTGGCGTCCGTGACAACCTCCTCCACCATTTTGGTCCTACCACCTATCTCTTCTTCTCGGCTTCTACTGGCACCTTCGATACAGACGACGCCTGCGGACCTCCGAGACTTTCACCCATCTTGAACCCGTCCCACTCTCCGTATCACCAGCGTCCCGCTGTAAGCATCATATCACCATGAGCACCACGGCGTCCTCCACCTCGAGCTCCATCTCGGAGGCAGCATCCAAAACCTACAACTCCATCAAAGATATCGCACCGGGACCCAAGAAGGCAGCCTCAACACCGACCCAAACAGCGCAGCGTCAGGACAAGCCACTCTACTCGCTCATAGCTGGTACCACCGCCGGTGCCGTCGAAGGCTTCGCAACCTACCCTATCGAGTACACCAAGACCGTGTCGCAGTTCGCAGCTAAAGCGGGAGAAAAGGCACCTGGTCCCATCACCATCGTCCGCAACACCATCGCCAAGGATGGCTTTATCGGACTCTACTCTGGCTGTGGTGCGCTCGTCACGGGCAATGCGATCAAGGCCGGTGTACGATTCGTCAGCTACGATCACTTTAAGACGATGCTCAAGGATGAGAACGGCAAGCTTTCCGGTCCACGATCGTTGCTTGCTGGATTGGGCGCAGGTATGATGGAGGCCATCTTCGCAGTGACGCCTTCCGAAACGATCAAGACCAAGCTCATCGATGACGGTAAACGTGCGGTACCCAAGTATCCTCGAGGACTCATCCCTGGTACCGCAGCCATCGTCAAGGAGGAAGGCATTCGAGGAATCTACCGAGGTCTCTTCCCCGTCATGTTGAGACAAGGTGCCAACTCAGCCGTACGATTCGGAACCTACTCGACGCTCAAGAACTTTGTCAGTGGAAGTGCACGACCAGGTCAATCGCTACCCGGTGGCATCACCTTCGGTATCGGAGCCGTCGCTGGAATCGTCACCGTCTACGCCACCATGCCATTGGACGTCATCAAGACTCGAATGCAGACGTTGGAAGCACGTACAAAGTATCGAAACACCTTCAATTGCGCCGCCGTCACATTGCGCGAGGAAGGCTTGCTCGCCTTCTGGCGCGGTGCCACCCCCCGTCTCGCCAGATTGGTGCTTTCCGGTGGTATAGTCTTCACCGTCTACGAAGAAATCATGAGCGTTCTCGGTGCAAAGACCATGTAAGGAAAAGTGTTGCAGCTGAATTCATGTGACACCTGCAAACATCCAAGACCGTGTGCGAAGCGAATCATGTGCATCTGAGCTTGGCTGAGGGTATTCGCGCATGCGACAAGGCGTGCCGTTCGCACGATCGCAACTCTGAGCCTTCTTGTACGGGTTGTCACAGTCACAAAGTCGCGGACTCAATCACACACAACACTCGCGCCAAGCCCGGTTCGGGAAAAGAAGTCTCTGTTCGGAAAGGAATCGAGACGGAAACATATCATAGTACAAGTGCGGTTCGATCGCGGCGACTAGACAAGCCGCATCGACCGTCCAGCGCAGCCAACAGGCCGAGGGGCGAAGCGGTACACGAGAGGATACCACATTGGGGAGAAGAGAGTATCAAAGGAGCTCCAAAACACAAATGACCGAGCAAGCGATCATCGGCGCTTGTTGTAGGCAGCCTTCTCGGCCTCGGCACGAGCCTTGTCGCGCGTGGCCATGTCGTTGTAGGGCTTCTTCTCGGCCTCGGACATCTCCTTCCACTTGGCACCGAGGAGACGGCCAATGTCCCCGAAACCGGCGTCCGAGTTGGCCTGCTTGACACGCTCACGGTGGTCCTGCGAGAAGAACATGTATGCCGAGAGGGGACGCTTGGGGGCGGCGGGGTCCTTCTTGGACTTGGTGGTGCGCTTCTGCGTCGAGGTCGACGACTTGGTCTTGGTGTCTGCTTTGGCCATCTTGACGATAGTCTGAGGAGGCGGCAAGTCCGATCGTGATCGAGAAGGACGCGAGGCAGCAATGCAAGGCGGGTGCAGGTGCGGAAACGTGAGGTGAGCAAAGCGGAACAGGGTCAGCAAGTGTTGTCTGCAACGTCAAATGTCCCACACGGATGATAATGGTCCCAGGCGATGGCGAGAAGAACCGGAAATTCTGAAACACAGACGCGACATTCGAGACGCGTTGGCGGTGTGCGTGGGTTCAACGGTCGAGCCACTTTGTACGTGAAGCCCAGGCGTCGCGATGGTGGGAGTGGTTGCTCACTCTCGTGCTGATCGCGACGAGCGCCTTAGCGTCCGACAACAGCGGGAAACATCACTGCCCTAGTCGTCGTAAGCTGAGTCAGTCTGTATAGGCGTGGTCGCCCACCAACAGCCTTCAGCAAAGCTTCACCGATGCCCCATCACCGCCGCGAGCCAGTGGATGGGTGATCGTGCGGATGAACGGTCCACGCGTGTTGGGGCTGATCGCGACCAAGACGTTGCAGATGATGGCGTCTAAAGTGATTCGCGATGTTGTGTGACCATTGACAATAGCGTGGAAGGGCATTGTCACGTCTCGACGCGTCTGGCTGGCCAAGGGGATGCGAGATTGGAATATGCTCACCTGTGTGTGTGTATGTGTGTGTGTGTGGTGTGGGTGAGAGAGTTGGCGGAGAGAGGCAAAGGGGAGTTTTGAGTGGGCGACGATTTTGGCGGGGGGGTTTGAGTGAGCCAGCCAAAATCGTGCCCTCGACCTGGATTTTTCGAGCCTGGAGTCTAGGTGCCAGCCTGTGTTTCTTTCCATTTGCGGTAGCAGACCAGTCAAATTCGGTTTGGCTCAGCGAGCCTCCAAAATTCGAGGCAGCAGGCCAGTCACCGACGCGCTCCAGCCAAGACAGCACGACGTTTCTGTGTGTCGCGCTTGGACGCTTGAGCCGCGGCGAAATGGCACGCACACAAGTGCCTTCGTCTATTTTTCGAGCCAGCAGATCAGTACATTCGCACAACTTGCCAGAGATGCTTCCATCCATTCTGCCCGACTCGCCGTCGCTTGACGCACATCTGCGCTGTGCCGTTGCAGAGGCGCCATATCGACCATGCTCGACAGCTGACCAGCCGGAACCTGAGAGTGCCATTGCCTAGACCTCCTCCGGTCGTGGACGGACGGCTCGCCATCGCGACATCAGCACCACAAGAGGGCTCTCCTCGTATTGTCCGTTGTCCAGCTTCCATGTTGATTGTGCCTGTTCTCGCAGCCGCCATGCCGTCCTCGAGAATCATTTTCAGCAGCAACTTGGCTCGCTACATCGCCACGTTCGTGCACAGAGATTTATCTGCTGCGTCCATCGAGAGCGCTCTCTCAATATAGAAGAAGAAGGCACGATGCAGGTGCGCAGCAAGCAGATGCAGGTGCGAGAAGGACCCTTGCCAGTTCTCACTGACGTACCCGGCACAGATCGTGAGCTTGAGTTTCATGCTCTTTCGCTAGCTTCATCCCCGCATCGACTTGGCCTCGATACCTTCGCCGCGCTGCACGGTTCAATGTGCGAGGGAGGCTCAAAGTGTCGCATGGGAGGTCGACTCGACCTTCTCGGCTTGGTCCGTGCCATTTGGCAAGTCGAATTGATCTCTGCATCCGTCAAAGGCGGGACGGCACGTTGTTTTTTCTGGCAGACAAGCCAGCTTTTCCTGAGAATTCCCCCTTTCATACGTCGATCTTACATCTCGTTCGATTATTCTGAGCTTCTGATTGCCGAGCCACGGCTGCAGCCAATCCTGGTCACCGTGCAGCAGTTGTACATCTTTTGAGACCCCCTGAATGTGAACCGGCGGCACCGTCGCAAAGGCATGCTGAGTGCCAAACTCTCATCCATGCTATCGAGTTGACGACGACCAGCACCATTGTGGGTCAACATATCCACCATGTCATCACACCAAGACGTAGATCAAGGACAGGAGCACGAGTCGATGGCACTGGTGCTCGAGCACCTCGTCTCGTCGGGACCCGTCCACGAGACAGGCGATCAGCTTCAGGCAGGTACCTCGGACCACTCTGCCATCACGCCCGCACCAGTATCTGTGCAGAAGCATTCGAAATGGTGGGGTCGCTTCTTCCCTGGCAGCCTCGAGTCGACCATGGATCGTCTTTTCGCAAGCCACCACATGGGCAACTATGTCGCCATCCGCGGGCATCCGGATCAGAAGATCTTCGAGAGCATGCCCATCTATGTGCGCGTGGGGATGCATCTGCTGTTCTACAAGAGCAAGGAGCAGTCGTTTCTGCGCTACAAGTCGGTGGAGGATTTGCTCAAGACCGTGTCTGTGCGACAGGGTAAGGTGTACGACGACGAGTCCAACCCGCACGCCGTGCTGGAGCACATTCAGAGCTTCATCAAGACCTACTCGATCAATCTGGATGAGCTACTGCAGCCGGATCCAACCCAGTACCCCAACTTCAACTCGTTCTTCTACCGCAAGCTGAAGCCTGGAGCGAGACCGATCGCCGAGCCCGCGAATGCGTCGATCGTGTCGTCTTGCGCTGATTGCAGGCTGACGGTCTTCAGCGATGTTGCCGAGTCAACCAAGTACTGGATCAAGGGAGACGGTTTCACCTTGAACAGGCTGATTGGCGATACCAACCTCGCCGACCGATGCTTCCCGCCGGGCAGCTCGATCGCCATCTTCCGCCTCGCTCCGGCTGACTACCACCGTTTCCACCATCCGGTAGGGCCGGCCGTGTGTGGACCGACCAAGCACATCGGCGGAGAGTACTTTACTGTGAACGTGAGTAACCTCGCCTGTGCCATGAGTGCTATGATCCGGTGTGCTTGTCTTGAATGCTTCGATCGATCGTACTGACCTCTTGATCCCGATCTTGCATCCGAATTTTTGGTCCTCCTTTTTCGTGTCGCTTTTCCACTTTCCTGCTCACACTCGCGGGCATTTCCGTTGGCGTACCGCCCCGCAACTTGTGCCGTCTTCGACATCGACACGTGGGTGAATCCGTACATGCAGCCGCAAGCCGTCAACGCCGAATTCGACGTCTTCTCGGGCAACCGAAGGGATGTGCTTGTGCTCAACTGGAGTCCTAAGGGCGAATCTGGACCTTCTTTCCCCGTGGCCTTTGTCGCCATCGGCGCGATGCTGGTGGGCTCCATCGGCTGGACGAACGCCAACCAAGGCTCGAGCGTCCAGCGCGGCGACGAATGCGGCTACTATGCCTACGGCGGCTCGACCAACATTGTCGTCTTTCCGCCCGAGAGCAAAGTGGAATGGGACCAGGATCTACTCGACAACTCTCGCAAAGGTATTGAGACCATGGTCCGCGTGGGGGACCGTATCGGCATCTCTACCGCGTGATCCGACACTACACGTTCGCGCTCCTTTCACCATGCTTCATAGTAGACATATATTCACTCAATGCATTACGAAAGAAGTGTCAATGAGAGATCGCTATGCACAGCGTCACTGAGTCCGGCGATGTGCGTGTAAAAGTGCAAGCAGTAAGTCCACGCCCACGAGGGGAGGAACCAACAGGTCGTCTGACTTGTGACACGCCGTCCTTAACGCGTCTTCCAGATTTTTGTCATTTGGATGAAAGGGGAGAGAGGTGCTCGAAATTCATGGCCGCTCTGGAAGAAGACAGCCTCGTGCCGAATGCGTGGAAAATCAGCCTCTTCAAATGCGCCCAAATTCCAGCCACCCTGCAGAGCAGCGGACCGCGGTCGCAAACTCAGCTGCCACTCTGAGGACCCTGTGCTAAACCTTCAATCACTGAGCACGGATCCAGCTCCTCGTCTCCATCCTCTCGCAACATCCGCAAACACCATTGACCACCGACGGCACAGATCCTATTCCAACATCCCATACCTGATCTTAGAGGAAACACCACTGCAAGGCTGACAGCTGAGCAAGTGGATCTTCTTCGCATCCGACACCATTTCCGCCTCACGATTTGGCCTCGCATCTCACAATCTTGCGAGACATGCGGTGACATTTAACTCACGAGCGCCCGAGCTCGTCAACGGGCCACGCAGACTACCTCGTCAGGAGATCTCGTGCGCTGCGGGACCTTCACGGCTGCCTCTGACACCTGCACGCTCAGCTCACTCCAGTTCACATTCTGGCAACGGCAGCCTGGACAGCAGCAAGCATGGTCTCGCCAGTGATACCGACAAGCCGAGCGGCCCCAGCAAGACCAGACATACCAGAAGATCGTACAGCTACACACAAAGTAGAAGCAAGATCTCACCTGGTGATACACGCGTATCTGATATCCGCACACCAGGCGATGCTGCCCAGCCGCAGTGGTGGGATCGAGCGTCTACAGGCTCAAGCCGGTTCCTGGACCAGTCAATGGACGCGCTCAATCGGCAGCTAGCCGCCACGGACTGGCCATTCCACCCATCCAGATCTGAGGATCTGTATCGAGATGCGTATCTAGCACATCCGGATCGCTTCGACTGGAGGAAAAGCTGTGGATCGATATTGCAATCGCCTGGTCGTCATGCTGCCACAGCCCGCCCACCTCAACGCAGAAGAGCCTCAGCCTCCATGGTGCGCGGGCAGGAGAGCAAAATGGCAGCCAAGACCCGACGCACAGCCGAACGCAAGATGGACGACCGATCCCTTCGCATAAGCCGGGAGAAGGCGGCGAGCCTGCTCTCACGCTTCGGCGAACGTGAGCCCATCCGCCAGCAGGCCAAATTGTACCGCGACAGATGGGCCGAGCTGCTGAATCACGAACGCATGCAGGAGCTCTACGCCATCGCAGAGAGACGCAAAGCTCCCATCGACAAGCTCATCGAGGAGGGCATCGCCATCGATGGATTGCAAGGCTATTGGCAAGACGACAGCAAGCGTCATTTCGGCAAAAGAGTCGCTGTCTTCAAGCTCGATGCCGCCGAACCGCTCCCACGGACACTCTTTCGTGCCGGCGACAAAGTCACCATCATGCCATCTGCACCGCATTTAGCCGCCAGTAATGATCCTGCATCGCTTTTAGAGGACGAGGTCGTGATCGAAGCCGAAGTTGTCGAGCGACAGCGCAACTTTATCCGTCTCAAGTTCGACGAGAGCGATGAAGATGTCGATCTTGTTTCGTGCCCTTCGTGGCGTCTCGACTACGGATTCAACGACTTGACCTTCGATCGCATCAAGGCAGCGCTCGAGGCGATGGACCATGATGTTGAACACATCGAGAACCAGTACGGCTCACGCTTCCAGTACATCCTTTCCGGCACCCGATTGAGCGATGTCATCCTCGGCATCGAGGCGCCATCGGATCGCGTGAAGAGGGGCGCATTTTGGGAAGACGCTCGTGTGCAGAGTTGGTACGATCGATTCGCTCGCCAAGATCCGATCGTCGTCCACGGCGATCCGTTGCCTCAACTCAACCGCTCACAGACACAGGCTGTGGCCATGATGCTTCGTGAGCGCATCTCTCTCATCCAGGGTCCTCCTGGCACAGGCAAAACCCGCACCATTGTGACGGCCATCAAGTTGCTCAAACAGGACTTCAAAGTACCGCATCCGATCATGCTCGCCGCGCACACCAACGTTGCCGTCGACAATCTTGCGGACGGCTGCATCAAGGCCGGGCTGCGCGTTGTGCGTATCGGACCATCGGCACGTGCCAGGGCAGGTATCGATCAGCACACGCTTGACGCCTACTTCTTGCGTCATCCGGGCAAGCAACGTCTCGATCAGATCAAGAGGCAGCTCGATACGCTCGACAGGCTCAAAAGCGAATACGAGATGGGTCGTATGGGCGCATTGGGCACGAGCACAGCATCTGCTTTACGAGAAGAGGCCGACCAAGACGAGGCTGCAATCGGCCAAGCCGAAGCGCCGAGCTGGGAGGACATGATGGCAGAGCGAGAAGAAGAGCGCGAGGCCGCACAGCCTCAGGGCGGCACCGCATCGGAAGAATACGAGGCTATCAAGAAGCAGCTGAGTCGTCTCAAGGCCACGTACTTCTTCCTTCGCGCCTCGATTCGCGGGGAGATTCTCAACGGCGCCGACGTCATCTGCGGTTCAGCTATTGCGGCAGGCTCTCCCGAGCTAGACATGATCGATCTACCGGTCGTGTTCTTCGACGAGGCATCCATGGCCACCGAGCCGGTCTCGCTCGTGCCGCTCATGAAGGGGTGCAGGCATCTGTCCATCATTGGCGATCACAAGCAGCTGCCTCCCGTGGTCACGAGCACGGAAGCCAAACAAGGTGGGCTCTCGCGCAGTCTCTTCGAGCGACTCATCCACAGCGGCAACGGCATTCCATCCACCATGCTCAACGTGCAATTCCGAATGCATCCCAGCCTAGCTGATTTCCCCAATAAGACCTTCTACGACGGCGCGTTGCAGAACGGAGAGGGCACAGAGCTGATCCCGCCTGTCGACTCGAGCTACTGGCCCTCTGTCGCGGGATGCTCAAACGAAGACGCACGACGCCTCTGTTTCATCGACCACAAGGGACGCGAGACCAAAGCTGCCGACTCGACTTCGTTGTGCAACACATCCGAGGCGCGCATCGTGCTCGACATGGCGATCGATCTGCTTCAGCGAAACCCAGACTTGAGCGGAGACGACATCGGCATCGTCACTCCGTACGCGGGACAGCAGGTGTTGCTGGAAAAGATGCTGCATAACGAAACGTCCCAAGCTCGTCAACAGGCTGCCAGCATCCTCGAGACACGATCTTCGGAGCTGGGCAGCATCGACATTCACACGGTCGACGGATTCGAGGGCCGCGAAAAGAAGGTCATTCTCTTCTCGACGGTGCGGACCAACGCGCAGGGCTACGTCGGCTTCCTGGCTGATGGCAGGCGACTCAACGTGGCGCTCACCAGAGCCCAAAGTGCGCTGTTTGTGATCGGTAACATTGACACTTTTAAAAAGGCTCAGCTCAGCGAAGCTGCTTACAGCCGTGTCGAGAGCCCGAATCTCGAAGCACTGCAAAATTACGCGGCGTACTTGGAGAAGCGAGGCGCCGTTGTGAGTCGCGACGGATCCGCTGCAGACAACGAGCTAAATGAGGTGGACGAGGAGGAAATCGTGGACAGCGACGCAGTCGAGGCAAGGGAGACGGATGCCGATGCGGCCGACTGGCAGCACGTGCTCGCCGAACGCGATGCCGCTTAGAGTGAAGAAGATGCTGTTCTAGCTTGCTTGGTGTTACTTTCTGCATTTCAATTTAAGGGCATTTGTGGGAGCGATGTAACGGTGATGTTGTGGATCATGTCTGTGCTGACGAGTCGAGAGCGGTGGTGCGACGGTTCCAAAGAAAGGCGCTGTCGACAATCACTTCTTGTCGAGGTTGTTGAGTTGGCTCTCGACCTGTCAAGGCAAAATAGTTACATTGGACGGCAGGTTCATGAGAAGGTGAATTGTCAGCTTCGGCGTCGCTCGCTCTACTATTACGCGGCAACAGCGGCGGTCTACGTACCTCATCAAGGTGTTGGCGCTGCTTCTTGATCGAGTCGCGGAGTTTTTGGAGCTTCTCCTTCTCGGCCTGCTGGACGTACTGGTTCTCTTGGGCCTGGCGGTCACAGAACGATTGTAGAAAGAGGAAGAAGAACAGTCAGCCGCACGATCTGTGTTTGTTCACGAACCACGTCAAAGTCGCAGAACTTACCTGTTCGCGCTTGTTCCAGCCTTGGGAAGAGGCGGTGGCACCAGCCTTGTCCGTAGGACCGTCGGCGTAGCCTCGAGCAGCCATGGCGAAGGTGGGCGACTTGGTGACGCGAGCGAGCGAAGAGGTGGAGACACGGAGGAGAGACATGTTGGCAAGGAATACGAGTTTGCGAAAAGACGATGCTGTTGTTAGTGAAGCAAGCTTGGTCAAGTTGACGTCGATGTAATTGACATCTCGGAGCTTTCTGCGCTTTGGCGAACGTCCGAAAAGGAGGTTCACCTTGTCGAGGGAATTTGACCCTCCTCGCCCGGCGCATCGGACCCTAAGAAAAGGAGGGGGAAATGCTTTGCTTGCGAAGGTAAGGTTTATATAAGTTGGCTTTTGCTGCGTATTGCTCCTCGCTGCCCCAGCATAGCTCAGCATAGCTCAGCATAGCTGCGCTCGTCAGCCGTTGACTCAGCCAGGCTTAGCACGATGAATGATCGAGGCTCCGCAACAGAGGTGGTTGGCTGTGTATGCTGTTCAGTTGAATCAGCATCAGGTGGCCCATTCGCGTGAGATGACTGTTACAGTGTGCGTGCTTGACCAGAACCATTTACGCACGAGAGACGAGACTGATCGCTTTCGAGCGAGCTCGAAATGTTTGGAAATGTTAGTGCGGAAGTGCTCGGAACCGTTTGGCAACTCGTAGATCGGGCACTCAAATTATGCTGCAATTTCAGGAATTTCATCGCAGGGTGCAAGCGGCTTCGACCAGGCAAGGCAGCAGACGGCGCTATTTGGACTGGTTGTTGCATCAAGGGCGAGCCGGTTCCGCAGACTGGAACGTTCGCACTGCGTGGTGGCCATCACCGTCGTCGACATCGTGTTGGTTGATATCGTTCTTCTCTACACCTTGTATTGTCACCAACCACACACACATCGTCCTCATACAAAATGGTTTTCGCCCAGCTCGTTGCCCGCTCCACCTTCGGCGCTGTACGTATCAACGCCATACACATCGCTATTGGCACTCGAATCCGGAGTAGCTAGCTAGCACTTGCACATCTCGACATTCAATTGCATTCGACATCGACTAGGACGCCGCAGCTGACAAAGACGAATCTTCTGATGCATCTGACATTTATGACGTGAACAGGCTCGATCCGTATCGCGATCGCAGGTGCGAGCTCTCTCCAGCTCTGCCGTCGCTTCCAAGGGTACGCATTGGCCATTCTTACAGCATTCGACCTCGCATCAGTTCGGTCGACTGACTTCTACAATCGATGCTATCAATGTTCTGCTCTTCCTTCTTCCGCAACAGACTTCATCCAGGAGCTCTACGTCAAGGAGCTCAAGGGCTACAAGGCTCCCCCTAAGGTGAGTTCGCAGCGCCGAACACATCACAGACCAACACTTTCCTTGAACTGTCCTGGACTGACTCTTGTACATCCCCACGATCCTGAACCATTGGCAAACAATCAGGCCGCCGACTCTCACAAGGGCCAGGTCCGCGAGTTCCAGACCCCCGCCGCACCCAAGGCACCTGCTGTCCCCTCGTCGTCGGAACTTTCCTCTCAGCTCGAGGCGTACGCCTCCTCTGAGCCTGACCACGCCGAAGCTCCCACCACTTCTTCGTCGGAAGGTGCTCTCACCGAGGGCGGCGATGTCAACACCTACCTCCGTGAAGCTGCTGCCGACATCAAGGTCGAGGCTCACCACTAAATTGCTAGAAGCTCGCGCGATCTTGGGATTGGACGCACATACCAACCTTTGTCACACTCTCATGTAAACCCCAATCCGTCCCTTGTGTTGGCTCGGTAAACGCAAAGGACATGATTCTAGACTGATGACGCTCGGGTGCTGTTCGTGCGCAGCTGATGTTCCGTAGACGGACACGAGTAGGCTATTGAGCCAGCTGGACCCGTGAGGAATGAGGCTCCAATGATGTCAAGAGGCCCGAGGACCATCATGCTTTCTTCGCGAAGGCGAGCGCTGAATATCATTCGCACGAAATTGACCGCGAGGACCCAGCCAATCCCTTTGTGCTGGGAGAGCGCAGCAAGTTAGAGTGGCAGTCGTGCGACCTGATTTTGAGAAGAAAAAATGACTCGCGCGTCCTGTCTCTCTTTTGCAACGGCTGAGCCCTCAACTCTGTAATTCGTCCCAGAGCCTGTGTGTGTCTCTCTCTGCTGAGCAGCGACTGGACGGGCAGCACCAGGAACCGAACGACTTTCTTCCTTTTTTTCGGGGCTTTCGAGTTGCGAACGGCCAGGCGACACCGAGGTTTGAGAACGTCGGCACCACCGTCACCTTCTCACTTTCCACTGATCACCCTCACATCCACAGCGAAAGGAACCGGATCACCCGCGCTCATCAGAAACATCGTGGAGTTTTCATTCTCGATCGGTTCGCGTTTCTTGCATCTGTAACCGGTCCTATCGTCACTTTGTCTGCATCGGCGCATCTTCCGATCCCGTCCGTTTCAGCACTTTCACACGGAAGCTCTCGATAGCATCAGCGAGCATCAACACCGTAGCATCACCTTATTCTATTCGACAGGCTCGACGCTCGTCGGACGATATACTTCTTCACCCAAAATGGCAGCAGCAGTTGCCTCGAACGGCGACGTTCAGCAGATCACAAAAGACTTGCAGGCGGTCAGCATCGACTACGACAACCTCAACCCTCTCAGTCCCGAAGTCATCTCCAAGCAGGCCACCATCAACATCGGCACCATCGGTCATGTAGCGCACGGAAAGTCGACAGTCGTAAAAGCCATCTCGGGCGTCCAGACGGTTCGTTTCAAGAACGAGCTGGTCCGTAACATCACCATCAAGCTCGGTTACGCCAACGCAAAGATCTACAAGTGCGAGCGCGAAGAGTGCCCGCGTCCGCAGTGCTACAAGTCATATCCCTCCGACAAGGAGCCTCACCCGGACTGCGAGGTGCCCGGTTGCGGCGGCAAGATGAACCTGCTTCGTCACGTCTCGTTCGTCGATTGCCCTGGTCACGACATTCTCATGGCTACCATGTTGAACGGTGCTGCGGTCATGGACGCTGCGTTGCTCTTGATCGCCGGTAACGAGTCGTGTCCCCAGCCTCAGACTTCCGAGCACTTGGCTGCTGTCGAGATCATGAAGCTTCAGCACATCATCATCCTGCAGAACAAGGTCGACTTGATCCGAGAACAGGCGGCGGAGGAGCACTGGAAATCCATCATCAACTTTGTCAAGGGAACCGTAGCCGACGGCGCACCCATCGTTCCCATCTCGGCCCAGCTCAAGTACAACATCGACGCTGTCAACGAATACATTGTCAAGCGCGTCCCCGTCCCCGTTCGTGATTTCACCTCTCCACCACGTCTCATCGTCATCCGATCGTTCGACGTCAACAAGCCCGGTGCCGAAGTCAACGAGCTGCGAGGTGGTGTTGCCGGAGGATCCATCTTGTCCGGTGTGCTCAAGATCGGTCAGGAGATCGAGGTTCGTCCTGGTATCGTCACCAAGGACAACGAGGGTAAGATCCACTGCAAGCCCATCTTCTCCAGGGTCGAATCCTTGCTCGCCGAACACAACGATTTGCAATTCGCCGTTCCCGGTGGATTGATCGGTGTAGGAACCAAGATCGACCCCACCCTGTGCCGTGCCGATCGACTCGTCGGTCAGGTCCTCGGTGCTGTAGGACAGCTGCCTGCCATCTACACCGAGTTGGAGATCAACTACTTCCTGCTCCGTCGTCTCCTCGGTGTCAAGTCGGACGACAAGAAGCAGACCAAAGTCCAGAAGCTGGCAAAGAACGAGGTGCTCATGGTCAACATCGGTTCCACCTCCACCGGCGGTAGGGTCATGAGCGTCAAGGCCGATCTCGCAAAGATCTTCCTAACCAGCCCAGCGTGTACCGAGGTCGGCGAGAAGATCGCCCTGTCGAGGAGAATCGACAAGCATTGGCGTCTGGTCGGTTGGGGTACCGTGCGTCGTGGAACCACGTTGGAACCCGAGACCAACTAGAACCGACACAGCCTGGTACCCGGTTGGGTTGTGAGGAGCAGTCAAGCTGTTGATATTATCTCGGTGTGATGTAATGCATCTTTCAGTCAACAACGCTTTTCTCAGTGACGTGAATGCGCTCAATGTGCGTGGTTTGAACGCCACTCTCGCTTTTGCAAAAATGTCGTGCAAGCTCATTCAGGTTCGGCGAAAGCAGCGAAAGCGCATCGCAAAGTTGCCAAGTGAATGTGTGCTTCCGTTGCATGTAATTAGGCGAACCGAAACAGACAGATCTAAGAACTGCGACCTCATCACGCATCCCCCACCACCTCCCCCACCTTTACGGAGAAGCAATAAACTTGCCAGCAGTGCACATCCTCACCACCTCCTCAATCCTCACCCCATCCGACCCCGCCTCTTCCACCGTCGTCACGCCCAAATTCGATATCGTCCTACCCACAATCCTCCACTTGAGATGCACGGCACTCGGCACCGTCTGTCCACCTTGAATCTGACACCTCGCCAGCAACTTGTGCACCTCGCTCTCCGAGATCGAAAGCCCTTCGTTGATCTTCCAGAACAACGACTTTGTTTCAGCGACAAACGTCGCCGTTGGTTTCGACATGATGTTGCTGACGGTGGAGGGTTGAACTTGGACGGCGAATTGCAGGTCTTGGATCATAGCGGGTGCGTCGGTGACGGAGGAGAGTCGACAGCTGGCGTTGGGAGTGTACGTCATGAGTAGCGACGTTTGATGAGGTTCACACCTCCACTGCGCATGGAGCGAGAGCGGTACGTACTCGGCTTTGCGAGCCTCGGAGATGTGCACCTGATACTTGAGAACCACCGCTTGCGACCCACTACCCGGCAATCCACTCCCCGCCCCCTGTTCGAGCAACGCCTTCACATCCAACAGATACTCGCCCGGATTCGTCCCGCCCGGCACCGCTTTGAGGAACGCCGGATTCGGAGCCGCTTTTTCGAGTTGCTCGAACGCATCAATCCGAATATGCAGTGGCTTAACAGCACCCGCCAAACTCGATCCGACAGCCACACTGAGCTCACCCACCACCATGACCTTGGCAATCTCCCGTCCGACAAAGATGACGTTGACGCGCTCGGTCAAGCTCGCCTTGACGGGCGAAGAGGTAGAGCTGTTCTCGAAGGGGTTGTTGTTGGTGGTGGACGAAGCAACCGAGGCGATGCTCTGCGTGCGGTGTTTTCCGACGCCTGGCGTGCCGGTGAACGTGCTCTGCGTGCCGAACGGCGAAGGAGATCCGGGCACGCTCGTCTGCGGCGAGGTGGTCAGCGCTCCAAACTGACTGAGCCGGCTGCTGCTGTCGTCACCACCACCACTCGAGCCGACACTTCCAAAAGCAGGGTTGTAGGTCGTGTTGCGTACGTCTCTGCGATCGCGACGGGTGGTGCCACGTCGGGAAGGAGGCCCGCTGGTAAGAAGGGTCGACTTCATACGTTCGAGGGCGGCCTTGTCTCTGGACGCATCTTCGGTGATAGGCTGACTGCTGATGTTCATGGTGCTGACGCGGTTGTTGAGCGAGCTGTCGAACGTGTCTCGCGAGGCCTCCTGATCCTCGTCGTCCAACAGAGAAGATCCAGCGACAGTGCCGGCGCCGACGGCACCGACAGCTGTTCCGCCGAGACCAGCCGTCTCCCAAGGCTTGCGATCTGGTGGTGGAATCGAGTATCCCTCCGAGTCGACAAGAGGCGCAGCAGTCGAGGAAGAGGGAAGGTTGACGGATGGCGTGTTCGCAGAGGTCTTCTTGGCCGGCGCTGTCGAGGGAGTGAGCGGCGCCATCAGGCCTCCGCCCAAGCCAGGAGCCATCGAGTCGATCGAATCATCGCCACCGGCAGTCAGAGCGCCGGCGTCGCGGGATGACGAGCCTGCGCCTGCTGCTGTAGAGTTCTGTCGAAGAGTTCCGCTCCGGTTGATCGTCGAAGAGAAGGACGAGTCGGTATGGTCGTCGGGAAGATCGCCATAGACGGTCTGGGTGTTGGCCGAATCCTTGTTGGAGCGTCCACGGCCGAAACGACTGAAAGCATTCTTGAGCGTCGAGCCGGCTGACTTGGTGGTCGTGCCGTCTTGGGTGCTGCCCATGGTGCGATCGGCCGAGTGGATGGATGCGGTTGATGCGCCAAACTCACCCATGCCGGCACCATTGGACCGACTGCCACCACGCGCCGAGGTGTCAGCCCCAGTGCGACTGCTGATGCTGCGACCGGCGATGGAAGATGAGCGGTTGAGAGCCGCCGGTGCCGCGGCAGCAGCGGAGGGACGCGAGGTGGATGACCTGCCGTTGCGAGCGGTGGAAGAAGTCGCGCCGTTTTTAAGGATAAAGTCCTGCATGTCGGCTTGTGTGTCGAAGCCGAGGCACTCCTGCATGGTCTTTTCGGAGCTCGACATGATGCGCTGTGCAGCATCGCTCTGCGCGGTCTCGAATTTGGCAACGGTCTCCTTGAGCAGCTCAAGCCGTTGCGCGTCGATGCGTTGGTAAGCTTCAAAGGCAAAGGGAGCCTCTGTCTCCCAGATCTCCATGGTCTGCGCTATGGAACGCTCGGTCTCCTGTACTTTTGCATTTGCCTGCGACGCCTTTTTGGATGAGGCGGCTTCGAGCTTCTTGGTATCTTTCTGGAGTTGCGATTCGAGCGTGTTGAGCTCACGCAGTGTGTTGGCGATCGAGTCGTCGTGGTCCTTGATGCGGCTCCATTCACCCTTGGAGCTGGCATTGCGGATGGGTGCCTCGCATTCATCGGCGATACGCCTCTCCAACTCGCCGTGGGCGCTGGCGACCTCTGCCAATTCCTGTACTAGGCGCTCGTAGACGGGTGCATAGCCGGGAGGGATCGAGGAGGGATCGGAGAGGAAGTTGCGTTTAGAGATCTTTTGGAGCTGCTTGAGGTACGTCTCTTCGAGCTCACGACGAGCGGCAAAGTAGTCTGCAAGTTCCTCGTTGAAGAGCTTTGCTTTGCGGAGGCGCTGCTGGATCAGATTCGCCGAGTCGCGAGGCTTTCCAGGTACAAGAGCGTTGGAATAGGCGCTAGGCGCAAACGTTGCGCCCGGATTCGTTCCCGCCATGCTGCTGCCTTTCAGGAGTCCGCAGGATGTGTGTGAATCAATAACCTGCGTCTATGGTTGTGCGAAATGGTCGTCGAAAGATTGCAAAGATTCCGGCTGGGTATATGACGTTAGAGCTAAGGAAGCGGACGTCAGCGATCTCAGAGGGTGTCAAAGGGAAGAAGAGGAGGAGGGTATGATTAGGTGTCAAGCAATGCTACACATGACCACATCGGATGAGATGAGCCGTGCGGCATTCCGCTCGTGATTTTGTACGCCCTTGCCTCTCCCCGCATCACTCGTGGCTCATTCCAAGGTGGAGAGCCATCCCGATTCGTAGCTGCGAAATTCGTACGAGAGACGCAAACAAGTTCCAAGCCGACGCGTCAAACTTCAGGGCTAATAGAAAGGTGCAACTTCCGATCGTCGGATCTGTTTGTTGTTCGAATGGTGAAACTGAGGCGCGAAAAAAAGCAGGCATCTGAGCTGTGTCTCAGCAATATCGGTACAGTGACGACACGCATCCGTCCCGGACGGGGATCGACATTCTGCGCTGCTTACGACCGCTTCTGTGTCGCTTGGTTGATTCCACTTAATGGCTCGAGTGCGGAAACGATATCGACTCGATTTGTCTGTCACAACGACGATGCTCATGACACCACCTGAGGTGAAGACCAGCGAGGACAAGAGACAGAAGTCTGCCTTTCGTATCGCCGCGCACTCGTACAGCGTGCTGTATGGGTTGCTAGCTGTCTCGGCTCGCTAAGGCCTGGCTCTGGTAGCGAAGCGTGACCTTTCCCTGAAGTGAACCCTGGATACTTGTCTTCTTCGCGAGAACCCTGAAATGGATCTGCATCGTGGTTGCCGTCCGACACCTTCGTTCGCTCTCGCCGTCAGAGTCTCTTGCGCGCTGTGTTGGCAGACAGCGGTTTGCCAGGACGCTGCGATGGTATCTAAGATTGCTCTTGACTGGTTGCAAATATGTATCAGCCGTGCAGAGCTGCCGCGACTCGTGCATTTGAGGTGCTCCGCCCTTTTGCCTTCGCTGCTCCCATTCCACCGCTTGAAGCCGAACTCATGTGCCTTGTGGCTTGCAGGATTGTCAATCCTTCCGGCACGATTGCCGCACGCACAACCTCAAAGACGCCTCGACGGCGACAGACACACAGCTCATCTGCGTCAGTTTTAGAGTTCCTGACCAATCCTTGTCCCCAGAACACGGAAAAGAGGACGGAGAAAGGATCCCCCGTCAAGGATAAAAATAAATAAATGGATAAAAGCCCGACCGCTGTGTTGAAGACGTTTCTCTCCTTGATCCGGCGTCGATTTGGCTGACTGCGCGTCAGCGGACTGTTTCTCGGTCTCGCCGTCAGCTCCACAGTGCCCCCCCCGTCGCTTTTCCGCCGTGCTGCTCCTCACTTGCTCTGTGGTCTGTGTCCGCTGCGCTGTCCCTCTCCTGCCTCAGTGTAATCTTCACGTCCCTTGCCACGCAGGGAGACACATCCATCCCTGACCATTGTCTCGCATCCCGCGTCGTCTTTCTGCCACCTCCACCACCATCATCCACTTTCCTCAACGCAACGTCTGCCTTAGTCGAGACTTTGTCCGTTTATCGCTGCTTGGTCCTTTGATCCCGTCACGACCAATCTCCCTCAAGCTTCACTTGGCCCTTTCGACCGACTTTTTCTTGGCGCAAACGGCTGCCCTCCTTCTGATACAAACTCGCCCAATTGGCTCGTCGTGTACAACGTCTTCCTTGCTTTCAAGTCGTTCCCGTAACTCGTCAGGCTTCTCTCAAGTGTCACCGTTCTTTTCTTCCACCTGGACCACACGTCGTCGCATCTCGGTATCCACCCTCGTTGATCGGGAGACCTAGCAACGCTCGCATTATCTCATCGCTCCAGTCCATCCCGTCCACTGTAGCTCCAGCACTGCCAGCAAGATGGCCGACTTTGTCAAGCTTTCCATCTTCGGTACCGTCTTCGAGGTCACCACTCGATATGTCGACTTGCAGCCCGTCGGCATGGGTGCTTTCGGTCTTGTATGCTCCGCCAATGACCAGCTCACCAACACCTCGGTGGCCATCAAGAAGATCATGAAGCCCTTCTCCACACCCGTGCTTTCCAAGCGTACCTACCGAGAGCTCAAGCTGCTCAAGCACATTCGCCACGAGAACGTGCGTATTTGCCTGATTTATGCCTCGCCGCGAGCACTCTCGCACGCCAAGCGTGCCTTCTAGTAATGAGACAGACTTTCTGACCCTTTCCCTCCTTGCTCGTCGGCTTATCCGCACAACAGATTATCAGCCTTAGCGATATCTTCATCTCGCCTCTCGAGGATATGTAAGTGTCGATTCTCCCGCAAGAGCGCGCGCAGACAAGGAAGCAACAGGCTCTATCGCTGGACCGCCAATATGCAACTTTTCATCTCGAAGGATTGCGGCTGACACTTTGCCTTGCGTTCCTCCGCGTACTTGATCAATCATCCCAACAGCTACTTCGTCACTGAGCTACTTGGCACAGATCTTCACCGACTGCTCACCAGCCGTCCGCTGGAGAAGCAGTTCATCCAATACTTCTTGTACCAGATCCTCCGCGGTCTCAAGTACGTTCACTCGGCCGGTGTCGTCCACCGTGACTTGAAGCCCAGCAACATTCTCGTCAACGAAAACTGCGATTTGAAGATTTGCGATTTCGGTCTTGCTCGTATCCAAGACCCGCAGATGACCGGATACGTCAGCACAAGGTACTACCGTGCTCCCGAGATCATGCTTACTTGGCAAAAGTACGACGTGGCCGTCGACGTCTGGAGTGCAGGATGCATCTTTGCAGAGATGCTCGAAGGCAAGCCCCTTTTCCCAGGAAAGGACCACGTCAACCAGTTTTCCATCATCACCGAGCTCCTCGGCACACCACCAGACGAGGTCATCAAGACCATCTGCTCCGAGAACACGCTCCGCTTCGTCCAGTCGCTGCCCAAGCGAGAACGCGTCCCCTTCTCACAAAAGTTCAAGAACGCCGACCCGATGGCGTTGGATCTGCTCGAAAAGATGCTCGTCTTCGACCCTAGGACGCGTATTAGCGCCGCCGAAGCGCTCGCGCATCCGTATCTTGCTCCTTACCACGACCCTACCGACGAGCCCGAAGCAGAGGAGGCATTCGACTGGTCCTTCAACGATGCTGACCTGCCCGTAGACACGTGGAAGGTCATGATGTACTCGGAGATCCTCGACTTCCACAACATTGACAACTCGGGTCAGGATGAGGGTCCCGTACCGCCCGTCGCCGCTTAAATTGCACGCGGAAAACTGTCAGAGCGACCGCAAGGGTTGCGCCCGCCATCCTGCATTCCCACGTGCTCGCCATGTCTGCGGGGCCGACGTGGCCCTTTCTGCACAAGGCAAGCACGCCTCGCGCACGTCAGCATCAAGCAAGCGTGCGTCCGTCAACCTGCTAAATAAACGCCGAGCTGCCCTTCTCGTGGCGCTTCCTTTGTGTCTGGGCGTAGTTGTATTATACAAGAGAGCAACACGCAGTCTATTGTCATTTTGTGAAAAAAGGCCAAGTGCATACGCGAGCGAGGCTGTCATCCCGCACTATGGTGCGGTTCGAAACCCGCGCTGGGGATGCTGAGATCGGTTCTGCAAGCGAAGTGTTGCGAGCAAGCTCCAAAAGAGATGAGCCGAACCGGAATTGTCGCATGGCGCGAAGTTGACCGACCGTTTGCGGAAAAGTTGGCAGGCATCCGATGCGTGCGGTTCTGGACAAGCGTATTCTCTCCACATACGGCAACGCACGGTTCACGCTTTCCCCTTGAGCCTAGCACGACGTTGCCTCGCTACATCCGTCGACCACGCTCGTTCTGGACGACGTCCAAGGGCAAATCTAGCAAGCCTCCATAATGCGACTGAGTACAGCAAGCCTTATCGGCTGCATTGCCGCTGGGTTTGCGTCGCTTCTACACGTGGCAAGTGCTTCCCAAGCCCCTTTCTCCATAGAGCCTGCGGAAGAGCGAACGGATTCTTCGCCATCGCCCAAGTCAGCGGCACCGCACAGCAGCAAATGGACCCTTCCTCGCGACAGCAACAATTCTGCCGTCGTCTTTGACAAGTACAGCTTGGCGCTCGCTGGCGGGCAGCAGCGCCTCTTTGTGTTTGCAGCCGAGTTTCACCCGTGGCGCCTCCCTGTGCCTAGCTTGTGGCGCGATGTCTTGCAGAAGATCCGAGCCGCCGGATTCAACACGGTCTCGATCTACACGCACTGGGGTCTGATCCAACCGTCGGCCCATGCCGACTCGATCGATCTGACAGTTGTCAATGATTTGGACTACTTTTTGACCGTAGCCAAGCAGGTCAGGCTGTTTGTGATCGTTCGCCCTGGACCTTACATCAACGCCGAGACGACGGTGGGAGGCATGGCACCCTGGACTGTCAACATCGATGCAGTGTTGAGGACCAACGACACGGCGTGGCAGGAGGCATGGAAGCCCTACATTGAAGCAATCTCTCAAGTGGTGGTCAAACATCAGCTTGTCTATGACCCATCCAAATCGGATCATCTCACGGGTGGCAGCGTGATCCTTGTCCAGGCAGACAACGAGTACAAGACGGGCAAAGCAGAGCGGGCATACATGAAGGAGCTCGTCACCACACTCAAGGGGCATGGCATCTCCGTACCCATCACGTACAACGATCCAGGACGCGACAACAACTTTGTCGACCTCGTCGATCTGTACGGACTCGATTCGTATCCTCAGCGTTTCGACTGCTCGCATCCCACCACGTGGGTGCCCTTCCGTGACGACTACCTGCAGTACCACATGGAGACCAATCCAGATCAGCCGTTCTACATTCCCGAATTTCAAGGTGGAAGCTACGATCCGTACGGCGGTCCTGGGTACGAGGCGTGCGGACGCATGACCAACGCCAGCTTCACCCGTGTTGCCAACCAGGCTCTGATAGCGCAGAGGGTGACTCTGCTATCGCTGTACATGGTCTATGGCGGAACCAACTGGGGTGGGCTGGCCGAGCCGGACGTCTACACCTCGTACGACTACGGTGCTGCACTCAACGAGCACCGTCAGACCACGGAGAAGTACACCGAGCTCAAACGCCAAGGCAACTTCCTCTCCACCTTCCCGGACCTCGCCATGACCGAACAAATCTTCGACAAGCCTGGCTTCAACATCTCGCAAGCAATGGACCTGGACACCAACCAGACCGTCGACGCAACGATCTTCCGATCCACCGTGCTGGAAAACCCAGAGACCAAGAGCAAATTCTACATTGTGCGATACGACAATACCACCGAGTCGCGACGTATCCGCTTCGCACTAGAGATCGAATCGTTGGGAGAGACGATCCTGCTCGGAGATAGGAGCAACCCCAACAGCCCGTGGGTCGGAAACAACTACCTGGATGGTAGAGATAGTCATATCGTTCCCGTCGATCAGAAGCTTCCAGGAGGGTTGTTGTTACGATTCAGCACCGTCAACGTTTACCGCATCGCCTCGTTCGCGAACTATGTGCTTGTGTCGTTGGATTACATGCCGAACCAGTTGATCGAGTACTCGCTGACGGTGCAAGATCCCAAGAACCGCTTTACGGAGATGCAGATGTTCACGCTGGATGGTGTCACAGCTACGTTGCAAGAAGCGGACGAAGATGAGCGGGAGCGAGTGATGCGGATGCATTCGGCTATCAAAGGTGAACCTAGGAATGTCCGGGGCTCGATTCCGACCTCTGATGATCAGGAGCCGAACCGACGCTACGTGGCGTACAAGACGTTCGAGGGCATCTGGATCATCCTTCAGTTCACACCAACTTCGGAAACGCAGCGGGACTTTGCCGCTCCTGCCAGCTATCAGGAGCAAACGAGTCGTCTGGCGATGCAGCTCAGACGCAAACCGGACAACGTCATCAATCATTTCTTCGGTCTCACTGACGAGACTGTGATCCTGCTTGATGTGGATCTTTTGCGTAACGCCACCTACTCGACCACCTCCAGACCGCTCGACACGATCCACCTCTGGGGGTCGGTGTCCAACGAGACAACGACAGCAATGATGGCCCTTCCCGGTCTCAAAAACGTGTACTGGAATGGGAAGCAGATCGAGACCTCACCGCAGGACGACAACGGATGGTTCTACACGTTGGAGCTTCCTGGGCCTCCCCAAGCTGCACTCGATTGGAAACCTCCCGACCTCTCCGACCTAGACTGGAGGTGGCAAGATTGCATCCCGGAAGCACAAGCAGCTTTCGACGATACAGACTGGGTCGACGCCAACAAGACCAACTCGTTCAATCCCTACGCCCACGACCCGAGCCTCGACACGCACGGCGTGGTCCTGTTCGCGTCCGAGTACGGGTTCCACGCGAACAACATTCTGTGGCGTGGTCATTTCTCCACACCCTCTCATGCGCCTTCGGATGTGTATGTCAAGGTGGAAGGAGGACGATCTTCCGCGTTCAGCGTATGGTTGAACGGGGTTTACTTGGGGAGTGCCGAGTCTAATCGGGAGAAATCTGCTTCCGGTGCCAGCTTTAGCATTCCGCCTCAAACTCTTCACGCAAAAGACGAGGAGAATGTGATCACGGTCCTACAAGATCACATGGGGATCGAGATGGAAGCGGGTCAGCTGCCCATTGGGTTTGCGGACGAGGATCGAGCATTGGAAGCGGTGAAGCTACCGCGTGGTATCGTCGCGTTCAACTTCCCTTCGCTTCGCACTACCGAGCGATCGGATCCAGAGGTGAGGTGGAAGGTTCAGGGAAACTTCAGAGGCGAATCGGCACCGGATCATGTCAGAAGATCGCTCAATGAAGGCGGGTTGCGTGCGGAGGTGGAGGGCTGGCATCTTCCCGGATTCGACACTGCGGATTGGCCCTCGGTGAAGGACTCGAGGGGTGAGAGAGGAAGGGTGGTCTTCTACAGAACAACCTTCTCCCTCGACGTTGCCGAGGACATCGATCTCGGACTGACCTTCGCGTTTAGAAAAGCGCAAGGGAAGAAGTTCAGAGCTCAGCTTTACGTCAACGGCTGGCAGATGGGTAAGTATGTGAACCATCTTGGACCGCAGAGGCGCTTCCCCGTGCATAGTGGGGTGGTGGAGTTGAGGGGAGAGAACGAAGTCGGGGTGAGCGTGTGGAGTTTGGATGAGAAGGAGCTGGAGTGGGATCCGAGAGAGGGATTGAGGTTGGAGGTTGGTCACTTGATGTCGGGCGAACCGAGGGACGGGTACACGTTGGATGCTGGAGGTTGGGATGAGCTGAGGAGTTGAAGGACCGAAATCCCGAGAGCAGATGCCTTTCTGCATGTCTCTGCTCGTCATCCTCATCCTATATCTAGAACAAGCCCGCTGTGACTGTCTGCGTCGTGTGTGACGCTCCGTGTTCTTTCTAGCAACCTCTTCGAACCAGCACAACAGAGTGAGTTCACACAACTTAGGGCCTCCAGAGAGAAGCAGAAGGTAAAAGTACAGTTTGTTTGTATTCTTCATCGTGCTCTCGAAATCCCCCTCCCTCAATCATCTTCCAACCAATACGTGCCTCTTCCACTCCACCCTTCTTCCCTCATCGACATTCCTTACACCTACTCGGCCTGCGCAAACGGGTTTTCAATGCTCTCAAACCCATCCGCCGGATTGATGACCGTCAACGCTGTACCTCTCAACACCACCAACCCGAGATTCCTCGTCTTGTCCGTCACGTTGCCCTCCTCATCCCGTAGCGACTCCTTGACTTCGTCCATGACGAGGTTCATCAGTTGGTCGAAGCCTTTAAGCGTGCCGAAGACCTCACGACCGCCTGCGAATTTGACACGGATGGTCTGGTCGATGTACTTGGAGAGATCGAGGATGGCCTCCTTCTTTGGTCGATCGGATGGACCAGAGTTGGAGTTGGAGTGGGAGCCACCGCGGGAAGAGCCGCGGTTCGAGTGACCACGCGGGGCGCCGGAGCCTCGACCAGGACCACCACCGCGATGCGATGGGCCAGAGGTGTTGCCGCCTCGTCCACCACGGCCCTGACGACGTTGGTCGTGGTGAAGCAAGGAGTCGAGGGGGTGTGAAGGAGGCAAGGAGAAGCACAGGAGTGGTCAGTGAGCAGAACGTTGGCGTGTGATGGGTCGAGCATCTCAGGACTTACTCTTTCTGACATGATGTGTGACGAAAGATTCAAGGAATTCGAGCCGTGCGAAGATTGAGTTGGGTGCCTGTCGTCCGGTAGTTGGGAGTAGTCTTTGATCGATTCGTTGGACTCGAGCTTGTGAAACCAGATATCGGATCGTCAGAGTGTTGACCAAGACTGTGACTGCGCAAACGATTGCAAGGTGTCGAGAAGATGTCAAAAGAGCAACAACAGCGAACGGTCCATCTAACTCCACTCTCCCAACTCGGCCAACCCGAACGCGCCGCACCTCTCATCATTACATAATCATCCCTTTCGACCCGAAGAAGCCTCGCATGCCTCCACAGCTTTGCTTCTCATTTCTTCCTCCTGATCCCACACTTCCCATCCCACTATCCATCGTCATCACATCAGCCATCTCAAGCATGCCGGAAGCAGTCTCAACAGCCGAAACAGCCACAGACGGCGAACCCTCTACACCGCTCTCGCTACTGCGAGCGGTGACCGAAGTGCAAGAACGACGCATCTCCATCTGGCGCGAATACGATGATGCATTCGACCAATTCCTCGACCCCGCCCAGTCTTCCTCCACCTCTGCTCCCGCCCCCGTCAACGGTTCCCAGAACAACGATTCCTCCTCCACCACAACCAACGGTCGGGGCTGTGCAGGGTGCAGCACAACCACCGTGCCCCTCTCCTCCCGCCTACTCGCGCAGATCCTTCAACTCACCACCCAGGCACTCATCGAATGCGGCCATCGACTCCGCGCCATCCAGACGGAACTCTCCCACTCCACACATCCGGAGCTGGCTACGTTGGTAGATCGAATCCAATCCAAGGAAAATGCATTGCTCAGAAACGTCGTTCAAAGAGACCAGCTGAGGAAGACTATATACAAACCCGATTCCCCAAACGACCTGGATAGGGACAACAACGATTCTCAAACAGAAACGTTAGCACAGCTCGAAACAACCATCGACGAAATCAGAAGCGATATCACAGAACTCATGCAAGATGTCTACGCTGAATCCCTCGACCTACAACAATAACAACACTTCGTCTGAATTCCTCTCAGAATTTCAATCTGTGTGTGAAGCAAAACGTGTGTGTAGGAAGCAAAAGAGAATCTGTGATGTGAGAATTGCCTTTCTTTTTTGGGGGTGTTTGCTGTGACACTGAAAAACCAGCTAAGGTCTCAGACGTCGACGAAGAAGGTCTCTCTCTTGTGCGAGAGAAGAAAAATACAAGATACATGTGCATGATGATGATGACGAACCGTCGTCTGTCAACAACGGCTGAAAGGCAAACTAGCCGGTGCTAACAGGGACGAACGCATGTGTGTGTGTGAATGTTGTGTAGGGAGTGAGAATGCATGGCGAAGTCGAGTGTTGTGGAGGTGTGAACATTTACTCCTCGTCCTCCTCGGCGTCGTCACCGCCAGCAGCGTCAGCGGCAGCACGGGCACGCTTGCGCTTGACACGACCGGCACGAGCACCACCGTAAGGCGAAGTGAGGGCAAAGTCAATGTGCTTCTGCGAGTCGAGACGAACGACGAACGAGGGGACGTTGACGATCTGCTTGCCGACGCGGATGTGGCGCTGGACGATCAGAACACGGGCGTGGTGGATCGACTTGGCAAGACCCGACTTGAACACCTGGGTCTGGAGACGTCGCTCCAAGAAGTCCTCGATCTTGAGCGCGAGCACGTAATCGAGACGCATGCGGGTCTCGTCGAGCACACCGATGCGCACCAGACGACGGATAATGGCGTTACCCTCGAAGAGACGCTTAGGGTCCTTCTCGTCGAGCTTGAGCAGCTCACGGGCAGCACGTCGGATCTTGGAGAGAGTGAGGGCAATGCGCCAGATCTCGCGCTTGTTGCGCAGACCGTACTCACCAGCGAGCTTGAGCTCGCTGTCGAGACGGGCCGACTCGAAAGGTCGTCGGGGAACCTTGGCGGTCTTGGACTGCTTGCGAGGAGCACGAGGCATCTTGTCTATTGGGAGGGGGGGAGCAAATCAGTCAGAAGAGTCAGATGATCAAGGGCGGGCATCAATGTGGTCAGTAAACGCTGACCCATCACTGGTGGTTTTGCCTGTTTGTGCATGCGAGGGTCAAAGCTCTTGAAAATGCTAGGTTGCCTCGATCAAGTCACCCTTGGTTGTCGGACTGCAAACGACGAAAGAGAGAGTATGCGGAACGACGATGACGATGGGAAAAATCCAGCGCTGAAGAGGTAGGGAAAGTTTGGATTCCAACGTCCTCATCCCAGACAAACGGCGGCAGTGAATAAACACCGCCAATACCGTTCCCGAGGCACAGACTCTTGATGTAGAATCCAAACACGTCCTGCCAGCTGGTTGCTAGTCGAAGGATGGCGCCTGAAGTCGAGTGGTAGATGGTTCGACGATGACCATTGTGCATCGTGCGTGCGAAGTTGCATCTACGCGAATCGACGACGACGCATGCGCAATGCTGCTGAACTATCCTCCATCCTCGTGATGCCAGGCCAGTGTCGAGCAGATGAAGCATGGTCAATGGTGCGTTGCTATGACGTTATCATAGATGAGGCATACTTCGAAGCGCTGGCATGAAGTCGTTAAAAGGTCGAATGGATGAGCGGAAGTTGCTGAATGATGTGGGTATCTGATAGGCTGCTGGGTATACGCGAAATCTATGGGTATATGGTCGAGTGGTGGTGCTAGTGCTCTCGAATTCGAATCGTCATCGTGTCGGGATACTCCTTCTCTCTATTGAACTGCTATCGTCGTCGGTGCGATTGCTGCCGTCGCTGGCGAAGGACGTCGGGTGTCTTGGATCGAGGCCACCATGGGCATGTTCTCCAGCACACGACCGCAAACGGGTTCGGTGCAACTTACCTTGATGGGTATGGTGAGAGGCTAGAAGGTAGAAGTGTCGCCGGACGAATCTGTCAACTAGCCTGGCTGGCCGGCCTCCTGCTGTCGAATCTGGTGCTCGCCGCGCAGGGACTCGTCTCGGTTGGCTAGCCTGCTAGCTGGCTGAGAAGGGCTTCCTAGACCTGCGTCTGCCTTGCGCTGGTTCTCGCCAATCCCTTGTTGCAATGTAGTCTTCCAGCTTCAAGCCAGAGCGACCAGCAGCAGCGGCGGCAGCAGCAGCAGCCCAACGCTAGCGATCTCTTCTCGACTTTGAATTCGATTTCTCTGGCAGCAGAACCAGTCAGAGGACAACTTCTTCGCTTTTCGTCCCTTCCTTTGCACGTGACTGCTTGTATTGGAAACGTGACCGGCCGGCTGTTTTTTGTATTTGTTCTTCGAAAATTTGGATTTTCAGCAATTCTTGAATACCTGGCACAGGTCGCGGGCTGCAGCCTCTACGAGTCGAATGCCAGGATGAGTCTCTCTCCACCGTGGTCGGTGTGCAGACTGGCCCTGAGTGTGAGGCAGGCGACGAGAAGGGACTGGCTGCAGACGGAGACGAGACAACGGGGCAAAGATTCCAGGCTACGCCAGACGGACAGGCACGAAAGAGTGAGCCTTGGCTGGAGAGGCTCTGTGTGCGCAGAGCGGCCTGTGACTTGGAGCCTGACAATCAGCTAGCGCAGCGCAGCCAAGCTAGACCAAAGCGATCCGAGGTGGCCATCATCAACATCCTTCTCGTCACCATCACCACCTCAAGAGATCATTAAGTCACAATGCCTGTAAGTTGCACATACAATGTCGACCTCAGCATCACATCATACTCCTCGCATCTACCGGAGCCAAAGGTTTCAATTCAGCACAGCATCCACCGAGCAAAAGCAGCATCCCGTTATCGACCTTGTCATCACAAAGCATTCGATAGATATAGCAAGGAGCAGGGACATTCGCAGAGCATGAAAGGGCAGTATGCTCATTTTGGAAGAAATACGGCGTGAACAGCTGCAAAGCAAAGACATAGCATACCAGGATCGACGGGGCAACAGCAAAGCATGACATCTTGGCTGGCAACCATCCGGCGGTAGTAGCATGTCGGTGCGTCCCACATCGACATCTTCGCGCGAAAGAAGCGATGGATCAGTTATCATGACTTTGTGATGGACAGTCCGGACTCTTGCTAGGATCTGCACCCCAGCATGCCGCAGAGCAAGGATCACCTGTGACAATGTTCCACGCAATCGAGGTCTCGTTCGAATCTTCAACGCCCAGCATCCTCCAACACACAGCACTGCGCACCACATTGGTAATGTCAGCCGACTCTGCTGGGACCCAGATGAGGCTGTCGACACCGAGCACATGCACTGCAACCTCCAGCACAGTTTGAAGAACCTCACCTCGTCACCACCTCATCATCGATGCACGCTACCGTTAATTTGCGCCTTACAACGTGGACCCGACATAAACCTTCTCTGATGGCACGCTCTGGCGCGTTGTTGGCACGCAACTGTTCACGGATGGGCAAGCTTCTGTGCCGCGACCTCTTTGCTCTGGAAGATGCAGGATTGATGTGACTGATCCCGACACAGAGGCCCTTTCGTCTGTTCGCCTTTCAACCGTATACTGATATCTTCCCCCCTTGATCGCCATTCATGAAACCGCCAATAGCACTCTTTCGGTTACAGGGCCCGCACCCGCCACCTCTTCGCGAGGAAGTTCCGCCAGCATGGTCCCATCAAGCTGTCGACCTACCTGCGACCCTTCCACGCCGGTGACATTGTCGACATCAAGGCCAACGCTGCCGAGCAGAAGGGTATGCCCCACAAGTACTACCACGGCCGCACCGGTGTCGTCTTCAACGTCGCCCCACGAGCTGTTGGTGTGATCATCTACAAGGTGGTCGGCAACCGATACATCGAGAAGCGCGTCAACGTCCGCGTCGAGCACGTCAAGCACTCCAAGTGCCGTGACGACTTCTTGCAGCGTGTCAAGCGCAACGCTGAGCTCAAGAAGGAGGCCAAGGCTAAGGGTGAGCGCGTCCAGCTCAAGCGTCTGCCTGCCGCTCCCCGCACTGCTCACACTCTCTCGATGAAGAACAACACCCCCGAGACCCTCGCTCCCCAGGCCTACGACACCTACATTTAATGGTGTAGTCTGCACTTGCACTCAACGTCTCCCCCCGCCTGCCTGCATATTCTTTCCATTCGGTCTCTTGTTCTTTTCATATCTCATCTTTTGATGTCACGGCATCACATGTACTTTCAACACCAAAAACCTCTGGTCGAAAGACCACATTACATAGTTCCTTGACACTGCAAGGAACGAAATACACATGCGAAAGCAACCATTCTCACGAAGATTCGACTAGCGTCTGCTTTTTGTTCGTGGGCTTATGGGATTTTGAGTCGAGAATTCAGCATCTGGGCGAGTCTGTCGGATCGACACTGGATTGGTGAGTGCGGTAAGCTGGCAGTTGCCTGTGATTGACAAACTCGTAGTACATTGGTCGATCCACTGTCGCCCTCTGACATTGCCTGCAGATGTCCGTCTAGTCGTATTTGAGCGCAGAGATCACTGTGCAAGTTCGTTCGGAGGTGGACAAGTGCTTCCTGATCGGCTGAATTGACCTTGAAAATCGGCGATGGAATGCGTCGGAAAAGATCGGCAGCAGACAGGTGGAGTAAAAAGCATGCCGCTTTCAACACGCTTTCACCCTTCACCCCTCAAATGCGAAGGTCGATCCGGACCCTTAGTGTCTGCTGTCTCTGTGTAGGATGTGTCACACACCCGGCCTATCGGAGACTTTTCACACTTCCTGCGCTGCCCCACGCGAGCGAGCCCGCTGAGCGAGCCGACACAGAAAGGGTGCTGCAGAGAAGATTCGGTTGTTCCGGTACAAAGGTGGTTGAGGATCGGCACGAGTGACGTGACTCCGCGATAGTGCGTGACTGAGTGTCGAGCCGGCTGATCACACGAAGAGACGGTCATGACCGGGTACAGTCGACAGCTGGGTTACAGTATATAGACATGGACAGACTCGCAGAGATCAACGAGCTTCACCCTCTATTGCTCCGCAAGGTCCTTTGATACCACAACTTCAGACGCCCTTACCCCGCCCTCAAACCTCGTTCCATAGTAGACTCGAACGAGGCCCCGATAAAGCAGCACATCCAGTATCTCAAACAACTCTGCGTGTGCAACCTCTTGCGCTACATCGGCTCGTTGCGTAGTGCGGTCTTCTGTTTGAAAGGCGAAAGCGAAAAGCAGCACCATCACGAGGCAGCTCGATCTCCGCATTTCTGGCAATTTCTCCGGAAAAGGCACGCAGACCAAATACTGTACCGAAAAAACGGCAGCAGACCGCACTCGTACGCTGCCCGAAAGCGACAAAACGGTAGCCGGTCACTTCCGAGCGAGTCACGCCGATCCGAGCTCGAGAACAAGCTTCCGTGACAGTCGGAAAAAAGGGCGGCATCGTACCGCATCGTGCACTCAAACAACCTCACCATACACAACACTTTCGCAATCGAGGCGCAGCTGTCACTGCAGGATAGAGGCCGCGTTCCCCGCATTCTCTGTAACACGCTGCTTGCAACGAGCACGTATCAAGAAGCGCTTGCCTAACTCCAATGGACAAGTGAACTCAAATAAGCAGCAACATTCACATCAAGGGGCTTGTATAGAACGTGATATGCTAACATCGATAGAAAAGCTGTCTCTGCTTTGATCTCGCTCACGCACCCATATTCGCGACCATGGCGACTATGGCAGACTCGACGCGCCCAATGGCTGGCCTCACGCGCTCGAGTCAGGCGTCCACCTCGGCGTCAACTCTCGAGAGCTTCCTCGAGTCTGCGACCGCCCTCGTTTCGCTCGCAAGCCAGACAACCCTACCATCGGCGCCAACCACTGATCGACCACCAATACTGCGCGCTCGACCATCAGTCACCACACGAGCCGGCTCGACCGCAGCATCGGATGCGTCCTTCACACCTACCGAACTTGCTCGCGCCAAAGCGTACCAACAGCTGCATCACACCGAGTCTGCGCTCAACGCATCCCCCGATTCCGATGTAGGAGAGACAGAAACCTCATCTGCGCAGCAGACGAGGGACAACCACTCTGCACACGCACACGCACACGCGAATCATGCCTTCCTCATCACCTACTTTGTTGCTGGTGGTGCGGCAGGTGCCACCTCTCGAACCGTCGTCTCCCCCCTCGAACGCCTCAAGATCATCATGCAGGTTCAACCGCAATCCTCCCGATCTTCGGGCGTAACCTCTTCAGCAGGCAAAGCAAGAGCAGCACAGAACCGAGCGTACAACGGCGTCTGGACCGGTCTCGTCAAGATGTGGCAGGAGGAAGGTTTCGCCGGCTTCATGCGAGGCAATGGAATCAATTGCTTGCGAATCGCCCCTTACTCTGCCGTCCAGTTCACCACGTACGAGCTGTGCAAGACGTATCTACGTCCAGAAGGGTCGGGCGAGCTGGATGTTGTTCGCAAACTCACCGCTGGTGCCGTTGCAGGTATCGCGAGTGTCGTCAGCACCTACCCGCTGGATCTGGTCCGATCCCGAATCAGTATCGCCAGCGCGAACATGTACAACGAGGCCAAGGGCGAGGCTGTTTCCGCTGCATCCAACGCATCGTCTTCAACAAAAGCCGCTGCAGGAGGCGCCGAAAAGATCTCTCAAGATGTGCTCCGAAAGCAGATCGAAGCGAGACAAAAAGCCGTTCCAGGAATTTGGGCAATGACCACTAAAGTCTATCGCGAAGAAGGTGGTGTTCGCGGACTGTACCGAGGCTGCGTGCCCACTTCGATCGGAGTTGCACCTTACGTAGCCCTGAACTTTCACTTTTACGAAGCTGCGCGCAAAAAGTTCTCTCCCGCCGATGGAAGTGAACCTTCGGCGTTGCTCAAGCTCGCCTGCGGTGCGCTTGCAGGAAGCATCTCACAGACTCTCACCTATCCTCTCGACGTACTGCGCAGACGGATGCAGGTAGCAGGAATGAAGGATAGCCAGGAAAAGCTGGGTTATAAGGATCGAAATGCGATCAATGCGATTCAAAACATCATCAAGGCGGAAGGTGTTACGGGATTGTACAGAGGATTGCTGCCGAATTTGCTTAAGGTGGCTCCGAGTATTGGAACTAGTTTCTTGACGTACGAGGCGGTGAAATCGTTCTTGGAGGTTCATCTGGATGACTTGCACAGAAGCGAGGATACAGCCAAGGCCGGGTGAAAGAGCGGACCAGGTGGCGATACAGTAAGAGGACAATACGAGTTGGTGGAGACTATAGAGTGCAACCATGTACGCAGCATCAATCCTCCTCTTTGCAAAAGACAAGAAGCATTTCCTCTCCACCAGTTTTCTTTCCGTGTGGCTCACAGGTTAGTCGACCTCAACTCGGACCAGATCCGCACACTCTTGACGCTAAACCGTGATGGAATCATCTTCTTCTTTAGGATTACAGTGTGTCCCATTTTTGACAAAAGACGGTTCCAAATGTACATTCAGTCGCCTATTCCCCTATCTTCTTAACCCATGGGACCTTCGCTCTTCAAGCTGCTTCTTCCGGCACGCAGGATCTCGTCTACGCTGAGCAAGTTGGAAGCGATGACCGCTGAACTGTGAAGCATGTGTCTCTTGACCCTGTAGTTGTCCCAGATGCCCTGGCTGATGGGATCCATCGGCTCGCCGGTCTGGACGTCCAACCCGACGACGTTTCCCTCGGCAGCTTCATCCTGCAGCGCTACCAGACAGTCCTGCACGTCGAACCCGGAGTTGCTCGCCAGCGTCTTGGGAATCACCAACATGGCATCTGCAAACGCTTGCACTCCCAACTTGGCCCTTCCCTTAGCCGACTTCTTCACTTCTGACGAGAGGTACTGACATGCCGAGATCTCGAACGCCCCTCCTCCTGCGATCAACGTCGTATCTTCAATGGCGTTCTTCACCGATCGTAGTCCGTCGCGAATGGCATCTTGGATCTGAGACATGGTGTGCGCGTTAGGTCCCTTGATGAGCAGAGTGACGGATTTCGGATCCTGACACTCTTCGACAAACGTATACTTTTCCTCGCCGAGAGTGTGTTCGTACACCAACCCGGCGTACCCCAACACATCGGGTGTGAGGTCGTCGACCGAGTTCTGTGCAACACCACCGCAGCACAGTTGCAGACGCTCCATGTTCCTCCTCTTCGCCCTTCGCAATGCCAAGATACCGTTCTTGGCCAAGATGTCGAGCGACATGGGATCGATTCCCTTTTGGTTGAAGATGACAAAGGTCTTCTTCTTCTCGTTGCTCCCCTCGGTAGGTGCGTCGCAGACGGCCTGTTTGAGTTCGACGATCTTCTTGAGCTTGGCATCGACGAACCTGCGTTCGCTTTCGACGAGCTTCTCGCGCTGGTCGGCGGAGGAGTAGAAGAAGCCCGAGTTGACCTCTGTCTTTTCGTACTCGAGCGATACGTTGAGCGTCAGCACAAAGGCGTTCTCGAGTCGCTTGGGCATGTCGGCGTGGCGGGCACCGTGGTCGAGGACGAGACCGCGCACGAGCTGGGTGTCGGTCTCGGTCTTGTGCTGCATCTTCATGATCTCGACCATGTGTAGGTCGATGGGGTCTTTGATGTTCCACTCCGAGACGGATTCGCTCGAGCCGTCGGCGGTAGGGGCGGGCGCTTCGATGGTGGAGGTGGTGGCAGGTTTGATTGCGAGCACGGCGTCGACGATGTCGGCGGCGAGCTGGGTGGCCAGCTTGGCGTGCAGCTTGGTTGAGAGCGAGGTGGTGGCCACTTTGATCAGCGTAGCACGGTCCATCTCGGGCGCCTTTTTGAACTGTTCGAGGAACTTGAGCGCCCCCGTCTTGGCCACGTCGAAGCCTTCGCTGATGACACGGGGGTGAACACCCTCCTGAATGTACCGTTCCGCCTGCTTGAGAAGCTCTCCGACGAGCAGCACGACCGACGTGGTACCATCGCCGCACTGCTCATCCTGCGCCACGGCGGTTCGGGCGATCATAGCTGCGGTGGGGTTCTGGATTTGCATCTCGGTGAGAAGCACCTTGCCATCCTTGGTCAACTTCAAGTTGCCAGAGCCGTCGACGAGCATCTTGATGGTACCACGAGGACCGAGGTTGGATCTCACCACCTGTGCGAGACCGATGGCACCGGCGGTATTGACTTGGAGAGCCTGGGTTCGACGAACGGACTCGGCTCTCGGGTTGATGAGCTCGATGGCCGACATGGTTTTGGTGTATGATCGGACTCGAACACGACAGGGTGGTGGTGATGGCGTGGTGAGTCGTAGCAACGTCTGGAAGAAAGCGTGTTGAAAATGAGCTGTGCGCGAGTCTGATTGAATATTTCGGTGTTGGTCTTTGGCAGTCAGACAGACACAGCTGCTGCTCAGTTGGAACATTGCGCGCTGTGCAGCCCAACGGTACTTTGGCGTTCGAAGCGCGAGGAACCTTTTCTGCTTGCGCACTTTCTTCTCACTCGCTTCGAAATTGGACGCCTAGCTCATTCGCACGATATACTAAGCGTGTCTGAAGCTCGGCAACATTCACGTGGCTCGTTACCCTCCACTACCATACCAACACAACACAGTCACAAAGCACTCGATACGACTCAGCACAACACCATCACAAGCGCCACTGGCTAAATATAGACCACTCAACATTCTCAAAACGGAGAACATCGCCGCGAATCGCTTCCTGGCATAGTTGCAAAGCCCGTTCCCAGCAAAACGAACCCCTCCCACTTCGAAACAGAATATGGCGTCCACAGAATCAAATTACCGCTCCGAGCTGTCGGGCTTTCGATGGGCGCAAGGCAGAACAGACGACTCTCGCCCTCAGACCTCTTCAGCAGGACCCACGAGCTACCTCTCCACCATCACAAATAGCATCTCTGGCTATGTTCCACTGCGATCCAACGAGCGTACCAACGAAGAAGAGGCGTACCTCAGCCTGAGTCGATGGGAGAGGTTTCTCGGCTTCCTAGCGTGTCTGGCAGGCGCCGCCGTCTGCTTCTTCTTCAGCTTCATCTTCCTCTCTCCACCCATCCTCGCGCTTCGACCGCAAAAGTTCGCGCTCGCATTCTCGCTCGGCAGCATGCTCTTCATGATCGGCTTCTCGGTGCTCTCGGGACCGGTGGCGCACCTCAAACACATCTGCAGCAAGGAGAGGCTTCCCTTCTCCATCGCCTACTTTTCGTCGCTAGGCCTGACGATCTACTTTGCAGTGGGACCGCGCAAGATGCTTCCGACGCTGGTGTTTGCGATCATCCAGGTGGGGGCGTTGGTGACGTATTTGGCGGCGTACTTCCCGGGAGGTACGACGACATTAAGGTATGGTGCGAGCATGGTGATGCGTGGAGGAGCGTCGTTGTTGCCGATCTGATCGGATGGAAAAATTGGACAATGCGAAGCTGTACAATTGTAGTCAGCATGATACCAGACATCGATGATCTACGAGGATACCATGGACTGCCATCGCTCAAAAGTGTGTCTTTGAGTGCCGTCCAGCTGAACTTCATATTGCAGCGGGTCTACTTTGGCCGCAACGCAGAGACACTTGATCGACAGTTAGCTACAAGTCGAGGGTGCAGCAGCGGGTCTTCTACCCACAAGAAATCCGGAAGGCAGCTCTCCTCCACGTCCGAACTGCTGAAGATGCTGAGCCATAATCGAGCCGCGCTTACTGTGCGGCCACGAGATCGGGAGTTGATCGGGACGCGCTTCGAATCCCCATCATCAAGGGTCGAGTTCAGGGGCCGAACCTTCAAAGCTCGCGTGGGGTTCAAAAAGTGCCGGAAACTCGTAGACGGGAGATGTGCTTTCGGCAAGGGCCCCACGCAGAATGACGCGCGTCTGCTTCGAATCCACTTGCACACACAAACACAGCCTTGCTACAGTGTACGAACGAATCGATCAGTCACCGTGCACCCGGTTCAATTTCCGACTCCTGCGCAACAAGAGCTCCATAGATGAAGGAGATATCCGAAAGCGATGCGGTCTTCGAATCGGCAGGAGGCTTGACACGTTTTGCACCGGCGTCGATGGACGCAGTCAGAGCCGGACGCCGGGCTCATACGCGCTCAGGCTTTGATCCGATCTGTACCTCTAGATCTTGGCCCATCGACGCCTTCATTTTCTCCTGCTGCACGGTTCGATACCGAGAAAGCGTTCCGCCCTTGTCCGTTGCTGCAACTTGAGAGACACACGAGCGCACACGGACCCTTCCGATGGCTTTGCTCGATCCAAGAAGTGACGACAGGAGATCCTTGGCATTTTACGTATCAGAGCCACAACAACATGAGTAGCACCTGGACCGGCGACGGCGGTCGGCTCGGCCTGTTTCTTGGTCTTCGGACCGTCCGACAGAGAGATGATACATCCGTGCATTACTCTGATCCGAGGAAGTCCACCGCGAAAAAAAAGGACGCCCACCTCGGCTGTCCTGCTGTGCAGCCTGTCATTTCTCAACCGTGTGTGGTGCTGTCCCTGAACGTGGCTTGATGCTTTTCTTTGCCCGCTTGTTGGAATCGCGCCTGTCGACTGCCCCGTGCTCACCAACACAGTGACGGTACTTCGTGTGTATGCTCGATCCTTGCACCATCTGCTCCCGTCCTTATTCCATCCTTCCTTCCTTCCTTTCCTTCCTTCCCGTCTCCATCCTTATACCATCCCGGTCAGCCTACAGCGCCAACACCTGCTCAACGTCAAACAACGCGGTCGAGCTTAGCGCACTACTACCACCCATCCCTCCCTGCCATCCCTGCCTGTCCCCTTAGTGACACCAGCTCGCAACCATGGCTGACCGCAATCACCCTTCCGCCAAGCCCGCCGCTAGAACGGTGCTGAACCTCGGCAACCTCCCTCCCAAAAAGCAGGGCTTCGGTGCTGCAGCCCAGTATGCTCGTACACCCTCGCGTGTCGACCCCAACAACCCTCCCTGGCCTGCGTACCGTGGATACCACGAGTTCTCCTTCGCTCACGTAAGTTGCAATTCCGGATCGGACTACGACGAAACACGTGCATGTGCTGACTTTGATGCCGAATTTCTCTCTCCCTGAATTGAACGATGACAGGAAACCATGGGCAAGCGTCTCCCCACCATCCTGGGCAAGGCTGTCGACGACGTCATCAAGACGCTCAATGAGCTCTCCGAGGAGGAAAAGATTCTCGATCTTCTCAAGTGCATCGAGCGCATGCACGTGCTCATGGACGATCTTCAAAATAACGCCAAGCTGCGTCCCATCATCGACGACGGCGAGGGAGACATCCCGCTCTGGAACAAGGAGATCGCCCGATTCTTCCGCGGCAAGGACTTTATGAACGCACCTTGGCTCTTTGCCGAGGCGTACAAGTACCGTCGTCTGCACGAGTGCTTCAGCATCTCCAAGTACTGGAAGGACTACGATGTCTTCTTCCGTCAGAAGTGCGACACCTTCTCTCGCTCCGGTACCGCCGTGTTTGAGCTCTCGACGCGTTTCGCCGAACCGTTCGCCTACGAGGAGGGCGCCAACGAGGAGCAGAAGCTCAAGGCGCGCGAACTGCTCTTCCACGAGCTCACCCAGGTGTGTCTCTGGGGTAACGCTACCGACCTCTCGCTACTCATCAACATGACCGAAGAGGATATCAAGAACCTCCAGTCGACCGGTGGTGAGCACCTCGCCGCCACGGAAAAGAACATCCTCGGAAACCACCTCGACCGTCTCTGGAAGCTCGTCGCCAACATGAAGGGCGGCCGGATCGACTTTGTCCTCGACAACGCCGGATTCGAGCTGTACTGCGACTGCGTCTACGCCGACTGGCTCATCCAGTCCGGCATCGCCAACTCGATCCACTTCCACGGCAAGCGTTTCGCGTGGTTCGTCTCGGACGTCACGCGCAAGGACTGGGACTGGCTGCTCAACTCGATGCTCTACGGCTCGCTCTTCCCGCAGGCCTCGGACGCCGAGGTGCAGTCGCTCAAGCAGATGGGTCTGCGTTGGAAGGAGTACGAACGCAAGGGCCAATGGATCTACGAGCAGCACCCCTTCTGGTGCACCGGCTACACCTTCTGGTCCATCTCGCAGGAGGCGCCCGATCTGTTCCTCCACCTCGCCGATTCGGACCTCGTCATGTTCAAGGGCGACCTCAACCACAGGAAGCTGACGTACGACTGCCAGGCTCCCAGCGATACGCCGTTCGACATGGCCATCGGCCCGCTGGCCAGCGAGGACGGCGCACCGCCCGTGGCGTCGCTGAGGACCATCAAGTCGGACGTGGTCGTGGGCGTGCCGGACGACGTGTCGAACAGGCTGGACAAGGAGGAGCCCGGTTGGAGGATCAGCGGAAAGTACGCCGTGGTGCTGTTGAGCGACGGGTTGCCCGGTAAGCCCGTTTCGTTCTCCCAGCAGTGAAGCCGTACAAGGCACCTTTTCACAGATCCGACGGCTTCGTCGTTCCTCCTACATAGGATTTCAAAGTTCCTTGATACCTGACGTAGCTTTGGAAACCTCTCAAGTTGGCGAGACACTCTCATGATATACACGAAAGAAATGCAGAAACGATTTCACGTTACGACTCTCGAACTCGCATCACCGTCGTCTCGCATGGCCATGCTATGTGCTTGTTCAAGTGTCTTGAAGAACGATATGAGATGTGTAGAATTGCGATGATTTGCATTGTGCATCAACCTCACTCGTCATCCTCTACATCATCCCTCTGCCTCTTCGCCTTTTTCACAGCATCACTGATCTGAGCGCTGTTCAACTTGATCTTTGCTCTCTTGCCCTTATCGCCACCCATACCCGCGGCATCTCCCTCGTTGACGAAGTGTTGTTTGGTCTTACTCCTCTGCAACTCGACCTGTTCTTCGTTCGATTCGCCAACTTTCGACCATTGAAGGACCAGATGTCTGCCTAGCAGATGGGTGTGTTTCAACGCCTCCATGGCGGATTGAGCTTCTCTGACCGTGGTGTATTCTACGAAACCGAATCCTCTCGTAGTATTGTCGAACTTCTTGGGAAGACGAACGGATTTCAGTTGACCTTGGGAGGAAAACAGTTGACGGATATCGCGTTTGGTTGCTTCGAAGGGCAAGTTTTTGATGAGAATCTTGGTGGAGCCGGATGAAGAGCTCGATACGGTGGTAGACGTTTCAGCGTTACGACGCGCAAAGGTGACCACGAGTGTATGTCCATCGATGACTTTGGAATCCATAGCCTTCTGCGCTTTCTGTGCACCATCGACGGATTTGAATCCGACGAATCCGTATCCCATGGATAGACGCGCGCCTGGTCGTCGTGGATCCGGTTTGGTTTGAATGCGTGCAAATGCGAAGTCGGACAATCCGGAAAAAGCGGATGCCAGCCTTTCATCGGTTGTCGAGAAGGAGAGGTTCTTGATGTACAGCGTCGCCCCGTCCACCGCTTCCGCATTGTCGAGGTTCGAAGCTGGATTGGAGGAGGTCTCGATGGATTTCCCAACGATAGGTGCTTGCTTGACGTTCTTCTCACCCGCGGTCTGCACAAGCAGCCCGACAGGCGCCTTTTCAAGGTACAAAATTCCTCCTTTGAATCGTTTGTATGCGATCGATCGAAACGCCACCCTCGCCTCGCTCACCACCGGCATCTCGACGATCGCAATCGTTCCACTAGGCGGTATCAACACCTTATCCACCTCACCGTGTTCCGCAAACAACTTCTCGACCTCCTCCACCGACGTCCCGTACGGAATGTTCTTGACGAGGATCGTCGTATCCGATCTCGCACCTTTCCCATCAAATGCATCCACATCGATCCCCTCCTGCGAGAAGAACTCCTTCGTCTCTTGGATGATCCTCGTCTCTGCAAGCGCCAACCGCACCGCTGCGTTGTCCGCTCCACCGTCAGCTCCAGGATTGAGGATGTCGGGTTTGCTCACGCCCAACCTGTCCGCGATGGAGGATGCAACCGCATCGGAAGACATGTAGAGCATGGACCAGTTGAAGTCCTTGGCGGCATCTTGCTTCTTCTGCTCGGCTCGTGCCTGCTTGAGTGTTGCGGACTTTTTGCTGTCCGTCTCGGCGGTGGCGTCCTTGTTGACGGCGGGGAGGAGATGCAGGAGACGACCTTGGAAGGTGGAGCCGTCCTTGGCGCGGTAGGCTGCAAGCGCGTGGGAAGGGTCGGAGAAGGAGACAAAGGCGAGTCCTTTGGACGCTTTGGTCTGCTTGTCGAGCGGGATGTGTACCTATTGCGTCGAGACAATGCCGAACAAGGCAAGGAAAATGTCAGTGGTCAAGATCTTGATCCCGAAGAGAGGAATACCGACAGCATCGAGAGCAACGTCGACCAGCCTTTGCTACGGATCAGAATACGAATACATTTTACTATCTAGATTCCAGTAGGTTATCAGCACCGCATGTAGCTCTGCTGTCCCTATACTAAGCTGTCATCACAAGAGCAACAAAGGTCCGGATCGCCGTTGCTATCGTTGCCGCATCACCAAGAAGACTTACCTGCTTGACGGTGCCAAAGCTCTCGAAGAAAGACTGAATGTCGTCCTCGTTGGCGGCAAAGGGCAGGTTGCGGATGAAGAGTCGACCACTGTCCATGATCTGATCGACGAGTTTCTGATCTTTTTCGGCGGCCAGTTGCGCCTTTCTTTGCATCTGGGCCTGTTTGCGCTCAAAGGCTTCGTCCTTGACCTGTTCGTCCTCGGCATCGGAATCCGAGTCGGCAGCTGCCGCGTTGGCATCATCCTTTTCGTCGTCCGACTGCTCGAATTGAGGAGCTGAGGAGGATTCTGGGAGGGTATCGAGGTCTGTGCCGACCTTATGCTTCATGCGGAGGCGCATGTACTCTTCGTCGGTGAGGCCGACATCGTTTGCTGTTGCATCAGGCTCCGGTGTCGATTCGCTTGGCGAGTCCTGTTGCGCTGTCGCTTCGGCTTCGGCTGCGCTGAGAGCAGCGGCTGCTGCATCGGCTTTCTTTTGCGCCTTTCTGGCAGCCTTTTTCTCGATGGCTTCTTCGGGCGCGACAATGTCTTGCATGGTTTGCTCGGGAGGCGCATCTTCGTTTTGCCACGCTTTGCGTTTGGCTTTTGGCTGCATCACCGACATGAACTCTTCAAACGAGATGGCGCCGCCCTTCTTGGACTTTTTCTTGCCGCTACCGTCCTCTTGCTTGGGGTCTGACTTGTCGGCTTTCCTCTTGCGAGCATCGCTTATCGAAGTCGAAGTGGAAGCTTCTTGTGAGGCAGCAGCGTTGCGCTTATTGCGGCGCTCTTCACGCTGTTGTGTGAGCTCCTCGTCGCCGATCTTCTTGGCCAGCTCGACGGAGATGCGTGAAGTGTCGATAAAGGTGCGGTTGAAGTAGTCGAGTGCTTGCTGAGCTTCGTCATCGGAACGGTAGCCGACGAAACCAAACTTTCTTGAGGTGCCGTCCGGACGGCGCATGAGCTTGACATCGGTGACCGCGCCCTTCTGCGAAAAGTGCTCGCGTAGCCTGGCATCCGTGAGGTACGAGGGCAAGCCGCGAACGATGAGGCGCGACATGGCGGGCGAAAGGGATCAAGTATGGGTGGGGATAGGAGGGTAGGCCGCGGATGGCCAGTTATCTAGCTACGTGCTGACCAGAGCCGAGCGCAGTGCAATGCTTGGAACGAATGCTTGAGCGAGTCAATGACTTGGGTATATAGATGCTTGGTATCGAAGATGGACGCTGAAGAGCAGTCGAGGGAAGTAGAAGAGAAGAAGAATGACGAGGACGGGGAGAATTTAAGTCAGGTCTTCTTCCTGCTGCAGCTCCGATTTAGAAATTTTTCGGCTCAAAAAGGAGAAAAAAAGGAAGAAAAAGAAAAGCGAGTGCACGTGACCCTTTTAGCCGACGCGCCAAAAACACGCAGAGTGGAGGAAGAGCAAGGCGAGAAGGTTGACTTTTTGTGTGCCGCTCCTCTGCTTGCCAAGCTTGAGCGCTGCAGGGTTCGCAGCGTATCGGCAAATGCGAAGCTTGAATGCAGCTTGAGCTGATCACGATGCGTTGCCGTCACCGTCACCGTCACCATCACCATCGTCTCGCCTTTCAATATCACCCATTCAAAGCTTTGATCATTCCGACGTTGAGCGGTTCAGCTCGCGCAACGGACAAGCTTCGACAGTATGATGGACGCCTCGCTTCCAGCAGACCAAAGCGGGCTCTCCGACCTGTCCGCAGCATCCATAGAGGACATCGAGCCGCATCTTGCACCACAATCACCTTCGGACGGATTCGATGCAGCTCCGGCGACGCCAATGCAGAACTCACCTCCGGCTTTGATTCCCATGCATCTCAACGCAACGCCCGGGCCAAGCCGTCTCCGCACGGAGCTGAACGACAACTCTCGCGCAGCTTGGACACCGAGTCCAGAAGCTGAAGCTTCTCGCTCAAAATCCAGCAGCCGGTCAATACACAGAGCATCTCCAAGAAGTTCTGGCCGTGGCAACGAGAGCATGGGCTCCAGCTTGGGCACCTTCGATTTCAGCAATGCTTCATTCAGCGAGAGCTTCCTCCGACAAGCAGGCGCACACATGCTTGCTGGTCTTGACGAAGCACCTTTGCCATCTGCGCCATCTTCAGCTTCCTCACCCAGGTATCGCCACTCTTCGTCACCCACAGTCACTGCCAAACCCATTCGTCCTGTCGATCCTAGAACACCGTTTACGGGAAAGAGCCTGCGCACCCGTATGGCCGAGGCTGGAATGCTCGACAGCCCTGCTTCGTCCGACGGCAGTAGTCCAGCATCAAGCCCCACAGCGCGTGTACTGCCAGATTCATACACTCGCACACTTACCGTACACCACGAGGAGGACGAGGGTGACAGTTCGCAGCTGCCGCTTGACTCGCCACATGACGACCATGTCTCGTCCTCAAATTCGCCCGTGGTGGACAAGCTAGAAAGCGACGTTTCGCCACTAAATCATGATAAATTGACGGTAATGGACAGCTTCGGGCTGAGCGAGCATCACGAGTGGCAAGAAGGCTTGTCCATAGTACCAGAGGAGTCCTACATCGAAGACGCATCTCAACTACCTTCGTCTCCCTTTGGCCGTCGCATTTCGCATACATCCGCTGACCTCGACGAAGCTTCCAGGCACTCGATATCGGAACTTCCTCCCACAACAGATGCGCCCGAATTCTTTCCCTCAAAAGCATCTTTGAGCGATGCCGCGGAGAACGGCGCCGAACTGTCCGCAGGAGTATCGTCTCCGAAGCGGCTCAAGCAGGGTGACAGGTCAGCATATAGCCCGGATGAGCCTGCCAGAGATTTGGAAACTCAAGCCGGCGATCGAATCAATTACCCCGTCCGAGCTCGCGCTGCATCTCCAGCAGCTACACCTCCATCAGCTCCTCGCGCTCCAAACACTCCGAGGTCTTTTGCAAGGCTTCGCGTTGGAACGCCCGTTAGGTCCTCACCTCTCTCGCGCGTCGTCAACTTCTCGCCTTCTTCTGCAGGCTCAACTCCGTCTCAGTGGCAGAGTCCTGCCAGCCAGAGGAGTGTCGCAGAAGCCATCGGATCCTCATCAGGACCGTCAGCCGGCGGGTCTAATGTCGCTTCACCAATGAACCACATTCAGCTCGAAGCTGGCGACCATCAGCTGTTTCCTCAGACACCAGGCAGCACGAAATCCGCACAGCAGGTGACCTCAACTCCGTCTCAACAATGGTCTCCGGCAACTTCCGCTTCTTTTGCGACTCCAGCATCACAACGACCTCTTCCACAGTCAACACCGGTCACGCCTGCGAATTTCAGAGCGGCAGTCGACCACCACGCCTCCACTTCGGCATCAGCTTTCGCTTCTCCCGCAGCCGAGTTCGGCACACCGCAATGGACCCCTTCCCCCGGGCCCTCGTCTGCCGAATCTCACCAACCCGAGACCGTAGATGAAGCAGCGCAGCCAGATATCAGTATCAAGACATCACTCGAAGTCGAGGAGGAAGAATCTGCCTCATCATCCGCCTGTTCGTCTGCCTCTGCTGCTTCCGAAAGAAAGCAGAGCGGCGACGTATCGACTGCATCTCAGCCTGAAAGTAAAGCATCTCCTCGAAGTGGGAAAAAGTCTCACAAGCTCGACACATCCCTCGCTTCGACCAAAGATTCCGACTCACCGTCAGTGGCAAGATTCTCCCGCATGCAGCTATCTCGCGCCTCGCCACCGATCATCCTGCTTAACGAACTCGAATCGGTCCCGGAGCTCGGGATCGTAGCAAAGGCATTCGACTCGCTCAGCCATCTTTCCGATTCGCGTGTCTCTCGATTGCTAGCGCAGCTCTCTGCTGCAACAGCCAAGATCGAAGAGCTGGAGAATGCGCTGGACGCCAAGGAGGGCGAAGCGGTGGAGTTGCAAGATGTGCGTGTCACGCTGTCACAGCTGTCGATGCAGTACGAGGAGCTGGTGGCGGAAACGGACGCGAAAGATGTCGCTGTGGCGGAGATGGTGAAGCAGCTTCAGGTGGAATTGAAGGAAGGCGGTCGGGGAAGGGAGAGAGAATTGGGACGTCAGCTGGAAGAGGAACGACGGTTGAGAGAGGTCGATCGACGGGATTACGAGGTTCGAATTCAGGGGCTGCTCAATCCAGCTAACAGCTCCTCTGTCCCGTCGGACTATGCTGTTGATCAAGCAGCTTCGACGGGTGACGCCAAGCTAAGCACAGCGGTAGAGCAAGCAAAGGAGCAGCTGCGACTCACGTTGGAGAAGGACTTTGACATTCGACGCGCTATGGAGCAGCGAGAGCTTCTCGCCAAAGTGGAACGACTGGAACGCGAGCTAGCATCAGCACCAAGCCCCACCGATGTCGACGGATACGCTGAACAGCAGCGTCAAATCGACCAGCTCACTACGGATCTAGATCGACGTTTCGAAGAGCTCGAAGATCTGCGATCCGAACTTGACGCCGTGGCGTCGGCGAGGGATTCGGCTGAAGAACGCGTGGCGATGCTCGAAGAAGAACTGGAATCTGCACGAATCAGCCAACGCGGCAACAGCCACAGTCACGATTCGAAGAGCGAGGACGAGCTTGTGGAAGAGCTCGAGGCGCTCCAAACAGCACTCGCGGAAAGAGACGCGCAGATCTCGAACTTGGAGGAAACGCTCTCCCTCACCACATCTCGACTCACCACCGTCACAACCGAACGAGACGCGCTTTCGCATCAGAACACCGTCCTTTCACAAACGTCCACAGATAGCGCGGAGAGGATCCAACGGCTCGAATCGCACATCCTGACACTCGAATCTGAACTTCGCGTCCGCACACCTTCGTCCAAATCCACCTCCACCAACACGGAAAGTGCATCACCCGAACGACTCCTCCGTCTGGAACGCGAGCTCTCCAACCTCCAGCTAGAGCTCGTCAAGGCGACCAAGGCCAACGAAGCGCTGCAGGAGGACAATGTCAATTTCTCGATCGCACTGAGTGCCAAGCAGTTGGAGCTGGGGATGGTCAAGAGGAATGCGAGGTTTGCATTGAAGGATGCAGCGAACGCGAACGTGGGGGTGGAGAAGAGTGTGGGTTTGCCGAGGAGTAAGGCCGTGGCGGTGGTGTTCCCGACGGTGCCCAAGGGAGAAGTGCAGGAGCGGAAAGGTGGACGGGCGGGGTACAAGGAGAATGTGGTACCGAGGCGGGAGGAGGTGGTGAACACGGCTAGAGCGCATGCTAGGCAGATGCTGGAACAGAGACGCGGAACTGGTGTGGGTGGAGGAGAGGGAAGAGTGGAAGGAGGGTATGCGGCGAGACGACGTCAGATGATCGCTGCTTGATCACTTCGCTCGACAGCGACATCTCATCACTTGCGTCACACAATCGAGTCGTCTTCCACCGCATCAACCGACTGAGAACGCTTTTGAGACCAAATGTTCGAATTGTGCGTTCCCATTGCCATCCTGGAACAACCGCATCCAATCCTCGACCGCCTACAAACTCCTCGCAACCTCAACCTCGCTGAAACACTGCACCACATCTCCCTCCAGCAGCTCCCCCCACCCCTCAAAGCTCATCCCGCATTCGGTACCCTTCCTCATCTCGCTCACATCCTTCTTCACATGCTTCAAATGATCCAACCTGCCCCTGTACACCTCCTTCCTCTCCTTACCCCTGACCACCCTCACGTTGCTGCTCTTGGCAATCGTACCGTTGGTCACCCTGCACCCTGCGATCTTCTTGAAGCTCTTGCCCTTGACGTTGATATCGAACACCTGGCTGACGGTGGCTTCGCCGTGGACTCTCGCCTCCATCGTCGGTGGTAGCAGGGCGGATACCGCGGAAGAGACGGTCTCCATCAGCCGGTAGATCACGTCCGAGACGATCACGGGTACCGGGTGCGGTTGGGCTCGCGCGGCGGACTGCAGTACGGTTTTGGACGGGGTCACGTTGAACCCGATGATGGTAGCGGAGAGAGCGGCGGCTTTGGCAATGTCTGATTCGGACGGTTCTCCGGGAGAGGCTGAGATGATCTTGACGCCAGCTTCCGAGTTTCCGATGGTGGAGATAGCTCCGACTACAGCTTCGACGGTGCCGGAGAAGTCGGCTTTGATGATGACGTTGAGGAACTTTTTCTTCTCCTCCTTCTGAACGCTCGAGAGCTCTGAATCTTCGACCTGTTCGAGATCACTTGCTGAAGCAGTGTCCGCAGCGGCAGATGCAGACGACTCCATGGCAGCAAGTACAGCCAGCGGATCCTTGCCATCGTCAGCTGCCAACCTAGCAGCCCTCCTCCTCTGCCTCTCCTCAAACTCCCGCTTCGCCTCCATCTCGTCCTCCTCCGCCTTGACCCTCCTCGCCTCGTTGATCTGCTCCACGTCCTCCATCAGCCTTCTTTGCTCCTGCAACTGCTTCCGGTTCTCACACGCCTTCTTGCACGATTGCTCGTCCGTCGCTCCCAACAGCATATCTCCGGCACTGGGTAGCTCCCTCCAACCCGTGACCAGCACAGGATCGCCCGGGAAAGCGGCTGCCAGCGGTCGTCCGCTGGAATGCAGAATCTGTCGCACTTTACACCACGCCGTGCCCGCGACGATCGGAGCAGCCTTGTTGAGCACACCGCGTTTGATCAGGACGGTGGCGACGTTGCCTCTGCCCTTGTCGACTTTCGATTCGATCACGTAGCCCTCGGGTAAGCCGGTCTTCTCAGCACGCAGTTCGGCGAGCTCGGCGAGCGTCGCAACGGTCTCTTCGAGAGAATCCAATCCCCTGCCCGTTTTACCGGATACGTGGACGCAGGGAACGTCTCCACCGAGCTCCTCGAGTTCGACGCCGGCGGCGAGCAGTTCTCGTTTCACGCGTTCCGGATCGGCATCGGGCTTGTCGATCTTGTTGAGAGCTACGACCATCTGCACTCGAGATTGCGTTGCGAGGTCGTCCGTGTCGATGTCCGCGTTGGCGTTCTTGACGAGTTGAATGACCTCCTTCGTTTGAGGCATGACGCCGTCGTCGGCGGCAACCACCAGCACGACAATGTCGGTCACCATCGCGCCTCTACTTCTCATCGCTGTGAACGCAGCGTGTCCAGGTGTATCAAGGAACGTGATCGTCTGAATCCCCTTGTAACCCTTTTTCTTGCCCTTGTCTTGCTCCCTTCCACTGATGGGTACGCTGAACGCACCGATATGCTGCGTGATACCTCCAGCCTCACCCTGCGCCACAGAAGTGGAGCGCAACCTGTCCAACAGCGTAGTCTTACCGTGATCCACATGTCCCATGATCGTCACCACGGGAGGACGCAACGGGAAATTCGCCGCTTCCTCCGCCGATGCCGGCGGCGGTCGTGGATAAATATCGAAACTAGCTTCGTCGTTCGGGATGGCGACAACGTTGAGCTCGGCAGCGACCATCTCGGCGTCTTCGAACTTGAGCATCAGATCGGGACGCGTGTCGGGCATGCCGAGGTCAGTCATGACGTTTTGTACCGCGCGAAGCTTTTTCTCCATGCGGGTGGCGAGCATGACGACCGAGATGACGGAGGGCAGGAAGATGTTTCGGTCGACCTTGGGGAGGAGTTTCGGCTTGATCCGTGGGGTTTGCGGTGCTCGGTCGAGGTCGGAAGGGAGGCCGTCATTGTCTTTGGAGGAGAAAGCGTGACGGGGCTGTCGGGTCGAATGGGAGGTAGAAGGTCGTCGCGAGTTGCGATCGTGGTCGAATTCGGGATCGAGAAGGGAGCCTCGACCTTCCTTTTTCTTTTGCTTTGCTGTGTGGTGTCGATCCGATTTCTCGAGGGCGGTTCTGCCGTCCCCCAAACCTTCATCTGCCGGAACTCCTCTGACTGCAGACGTAGAAGCGTCGTCTTCGATCGCACCCGCTTCTCCAAACCTATCAGCCCCTCTTCCACGAGCTCCTCGGTCCTCACCATCTTCGGAAGGGCTGTTGCGAGCTCTCAACCTCGAAAAAGTGGAATCCCGCTTCGCAGCTGCATTGTTCGCTTGCGATCCTGACCTCAGCCCGTCCTGAGCAGATGCGCCGAACTTCATCGTCGAATCATCCCCACCGCGCCGAGACGAGTATCCTTCGCCTCCGCCGCTACGACTAGATCCTTCCCTCGGCCTCCTATCCCTTGACTGGTTTCCCCTCTGATTCTGGTTACTATTCGCATCCCTATCCGATCTCGGCTTGGCATTCGGATGAGGTAGACGCTTCCTCGTGCCGTCAGCTGCAAATCGCTGGTTGCGGCTGTACTGCGCTACCGGGTTGCCATAGTTCGAACCACCCGAACGCTGATTGCCCGACGCCGAACCGCCATCTTCCCTGCGGCGAGGACGATAGTCCGAGCGATCCTGGCTGCGATTCGATGACGAAGAAGGTCGTGCACCTTCTCTCCCAGAACGAAGCGTTGAAGTGGTAGTGAGACTTCGGGAGATGCTGGCCGTTGCTGTTGCGGTGGTGAGCCTGGTCGAGTAGGAAGACGTCCAGCTAGCTAGTCGAGAAGAGCTGGCTAGAGACAGAGACGTTCTTGACAGCATGGTTTGGTGTCGAGGGACGAAGCTCAAGTCGGGAGTATGGTGGTGTAAGAAAAGCCAGCGAGGGGTGCTGCTCGATTGATGGTCAGAGCGGCGGCGACTTTCGGAACACACCTGTTGGACTTTTTTTTTTGTTCAATGCAGGGATTTCTTCTGAAAAAGGGGAACGGAAGAATTTGAGCTAAGTTCAGACGTGGCCAAGCACCAGAAGAACTCTCAGCTCAGCAACCTTTCTTCTCCGACAAAATAAAAAGAATTCACAAAAGGGACACAAAAAAGGGACACCAAAAAGGCAACGAGCAACGCCGACCGCCTTGCCCGTAAAAAGGGATTCTTCACACGAATCTTCCGGTCGCACGACGTGTGACCAGGAACTCTGATGTCGAGTGTGACAATGCATGCTATTGACGCCGATATCGATTGCGGAGTACGCTTTGTGCGAGAATGTTGTGATGGCGATAGAAATACTCACTCGTCGTCCTCATCCTCGACCTCCATCTCGTCCTCATCCTCGTCCTCGTCCTCCTCTTCGCCACCATCATCACTCTCCTCATCCTCCTCATCATCATCCCTAATGACCTGCGCCTGTGCCTTGATCAGCGCCTCCTGCTTCGCCCTCACCTTCTTGGCCAATCTCAACATGCCCTCCAACGGATTCTCCTTGGCCTCCATCTCCCAGTCCTTGACCTTTTCCAGATCCTTGGGTGTGAAGTCGATCGCATCTCTCTGCTTTGTCACCCACAGAGCCGTTTGGAGCGACTTGTCCAGCACCTGCTTCGCCTCGGCCTGGAACTTGGCGTTCGTGGTGCTCTTGGACAGCCTCTTCAACTGGATCTGCAGTGGCAGCACCAGTTCCGGGAAAGCGATCGATCGAGACTGCGACGTCAAAAATTCGATCAGCAGGAAGGAGTACTCGGAGAGCAGCTGGTTCGAGTACGGTCGTGTTCGTACCAGTTGCGTGGGTGCGCGCAAGGTGGTACTGAAATCGATGGGTGCTGAAGTGCTGCCTTTCAGCTTGCGTTGGAACTCGGGCGATTCGAAGACCGACAGGATCGACGGTGCCAGTGGGATGTATGTGCCTGTACGCGAGACGATGCGCATCATCGACTTGAGCAGATGCAAGCGATAAGGGAAGTATCTCGAGTTGGGCACCAAACCCACCACACCTGTCGCCACCTGCACCAGCGGGTAGACGAGCGGCTTCAGCGGCGACTCGACGCCAGCTTGACGTTCCGATTCCAAATCGCAGGATCGAGACAACAGCAACGACCAAAAGTCGATCGCAGAGACAAACTGCCAGTTGAGGATCGCTTTGAAGGCGTCCTTTGCCTTGGTCTTGACGCAATTGCGCAGGTGGATCGCCAGCTGTCGGATGAAGCCGAACGCTTGCGTGTAGGCGACATCCGCATCGACGAGGTACAGCTCGACCGCTGTGTTCTTCATCAGGTTGAGCATGGGTTGCGTGTGGATGCTCACCGACCTGCTCGATTGGATGTAGGACGAGTAGACGCCTCGCAAAACATTTTCCAAAGAGGCCGTGCCGCCAGACATACCCAACCTCCTCAACGTAAGGAACGCCGACATCCTGACACCGTCCTCCGACACCTGGCTCGACCAAAGGTTCAGCGCCACCTTGATGAACTCCCTTGTGGTCTTGGGGATGCACAGCGCATACGGGACCATACGCGTGCTCTCTCGCACCACGATCTCGAGCATCCGTGGCTCCGTGAGCGTCTCTGTGAGCTGGAAGAGGTTGCTAAAGTACGACTGGATGGGCTTCTTGATGAGGTTCCACTTTTTGTTGTTCGAAGGGATTTTGACGTTTCCGCGCTTGTCTTCTGTGATGGGCACGTGGTGTTGCAATACGACGGGAGTGTATTTGAGCGCGGTGAGGACGAGCTTGTTAAAGACGCGTGCTTCTTCGACGATGAACGAGGCACCTTCGGGTCGTTGATCCTCTTGCTCGGGCTTGACGGCGCAGCGGAAGGCGATGAGCAGTCGACGCAGCGCTTTGAGCGAGCGGTGGGTGAGCATCGATTTTTGCCATCCGGCAAGCATCTTGAGTGTCACTCGTTGAGGGCCCGACTCGACTTTGGCGGCCTTTGACGATGATGCTTTGGCCTTTGATGGCCTTTCTGCCTCCTCTTCCTCGTCATCGTCCGACTCTTGGCCGAATTGCAAGAGCTCCTTGTCGTTCTCTTGCAGGTAGGCGTAGAACTCCGGGTCCCTCTCCTTGAGCTTTTCCAGGTCCTGTGCGTGCATGCCTGCACCCTCCTCCTCCTCGTCAGACATGCCTTCAACATCTTCCAGATCATCGACTTCGTCATCGTCCTCATCCTCATCATCATCCTCGTCATCGTCCTCATCCTCCCCATCCGCAGCTGCACTCTTGAATCCGCCTCCCAAGAAGTCATCCACGCTCATCCCCTTCAACTTGCCTCCACTCGCCTCCATCTTGCCCGCTACATCCTCCTCATCCTCGTACTCTGCCAGATCCTCTGGCTCATCCGCATCTCTTCCGCCCTTACCCTTCTTGCCTGTGTTGCGAAGTTGTTTCTGCTTTTTCGCGGCGGCGGAGCGTTCGATGACCTTCCTCTTCTTCTGGTGGTCGCGACGACGCTTGATGGTGCTGTCGAGCTGAGTTCGCAAGAACTTCTTTGTCGACTTTGTCTGTTTACCCATCTTGTACGAGACTCTATTCGCCCGTCGTAGCTGAGCTATTCGATCACGAGTCGGTGTTGAATGTCGATCGAGAGAGGGGAAGGAGAAAGCTCCAATCTGCACTCGAAAGGTGGAGTTCTGCAAAAGCTCAGAAAAAAAAAAGTCAAGTCGGAGAACCCTGCTTTGCCGCTTTTCTCAAAAATTTCGGAAGAATCCACCGCCAAAATTCGGCTACGTGACATGCGGGGCTTTGTAAGCATGACTTTCATAGGCTCGCAATTTCGCTTCATGTTAGGTTTGACAAAGCTAGAGTGCTCAACCCGATGTCACCATGAGTGTTGAAGCCTCTTTGTCAGACTTTACCATGCCGAAAAAAACGATGTAGAACATGCTTTCAGACAGAATGCGGTTCGGGCTGCAAATGCTGCGATTCGACAAGTGACAAGGCCGCGTCAAGAGACGAGACCGCGCGAATCGACCTGGAACGGGCGCCATCGGAAAAGACTCGCTTGGAGCTGCCTCAGAAGCTCCAGGATCCGCTGGTCCTGCTTGTCAGCGACGTCCTCAGGAGGTGAATCCGCTAGAGAGGCTCCTGTTTGTGCAGTGGATTCCTGTGCTTCTGGCTGCTCTTGCAAAGCCTGCCCGTCGGATGCGCGATGTGCCGCGACGCTGGTTGCGATAGCGCCAGCCTGTGCTCGAGCGTTGACCCGCTCCTTCGTCTGCGTCCACAACTCGCTCAGCTCTGTCTGCACTGCCGGTGGCACCGATGTTATCTGCGCGTAGCGATGTCCAAATGTACCATGTCTGAAGAGCAACATTCTCCACACATCCTGCCCAAGAAAGCTTGGCGGCCAACCTCGGTCGTGACTGACCGGTTGAGAAGGTGCGTTGCGGCCGCCGTATTGCTGCCGATGACGCGGCATCACCGCTGTCCCTCCTTCGTCGTCCCACATCTCGGGTCCGCCCAACGCGACACTGAAGGCAGGTCGCTCGTCGCGAAGCCTTGCGGGTTGAGGTGGTCTCGTACCATTCAACAACGGGGCTAGCGTCGACGGACCTTCGGATCCTGCGTTGTTCCTGCTGGAAAAGCGGCTGCTGCCAGTACCCATGGACGGACGACCTGCGGGACTTGATCTTCCCGAAGCCTCGGACTCTTTGCGTCCACGTCGGATCCCCAGTTGGTTCGTGAACACGATCGTCGGCACACACAGCTTCTCAGCGGCGTCGGAACAGTGTTTCCTTGCCGCTTCTCGCTCTTCTGCTGTCGCTTCGTGGTGTGGCATGTACTCGAACGGCTTCTGAAGGCGAAGTACCAGATCATGCACGCGCTCGCTGACCTGTGCTGCAGTTTTGCGATCTTGACCGCTTCCGCCTGAAGGTCGCAAGTAGTACGATAGAGAGTCGATGAGGATCAGGGAAGTCCGCAGCGGTAGTGCTGACGGCAACGCCTTCTTTGAAAGACCCTCTTGTAGCTCGTCGGTGGGTCGAAGCGAGTGTAAGAGTGCAACGAGACCGGCCAAGCTCGTGACACGACTTACGTGAAGGCCCGTGAGAATTGCCGCCACAAGACGACGGACATCCTCTGGCATGGCTGAGCGCTGACATTGCAAAGTCGACTTGCCCGATTCCACGCGATCCGAGCCATCTGATGGACCAGGTAATGACGCCCACAATTCGATCACGGCGGTCCAAGCTGCGTCAGCCACCTTCTCCGGCGTTAGCGCACCTTCGCAGTCGATGATGAGGACTTGATCCGCAGTCGCTACTTCAGCGTCCCAGAACTCCTCGGAAAAGTATGACGAATCAGTGAAGGGGTGATTGATTTGAGCGTCATTTGGGGCCAATGCCTCGTCATGACCGTGAGGAATCCAGAGGGATTCTCGCGCTCGGCGTAGCGCACGTAGCCTTTCGGTAATGGCGAATTGGAGAAGGAAGCTGGACTTGCCACTGCCCGGTGGACCAAGCATCTCGAGGATAGAGCCAGACGGAAGACCACGATCTTGGCACCCGCAAAAGGAGGCTCCGAAAGTGTCGACGAACTCTAGTTGCGGCTGAGTGCGAGTCGGGTCCGATGGAGCAGAGTCGTCGGCACTATGGAGGCGATCCTGTTCGAGCTGCACGACTTGGGCGATGCGATCGAGGTCGAGGTCGAAGGAGCGAAAGCCAGTCAATGACCACGAACGCCGACTGGGAAGCGTCTCGACTGTGGGAACGGTGGGGTGTGTATAGTTTCCGGCGTTCATATTGCCGGTCTGTATTGGCATGGGAGGCTGAGGTGGAATGTTTTGAAGCAACGCGCGCTGAGGAGTGTCTGTGCGTGAGTATCGAGCGGTGGAAGGCTGAGGCGGAGGTAAGAGCCTCTGAAAGTCCTCTATGCTGCGTTGTGGCATGGGTATCAAGTGAGGGGCGTTGGAAGTCGAGGGGGAGGGTCGCTGCGGCCGTGATGGGGTTGCGGGCAGAGGACGGGGAAGCGAGATGCCCGAAAGCGGCCGTACGTTCGAAAGCGAGGATGCGGACAGCGAGGATGTGTCTGTCGAGCCGATGCTGGCGTTGTGAAGTGAGTTTGGAGTTCGCGACAAGGGTGATGCAGTGGTCGTCGCCGAATCCGTCTCTGTGTAGCTGAAACGAGTTCGCTTTGATTGGGGCGTGGCATGCTGTAGAAAGGAGGATGACGGCGCGGGCGGAGGATGACTGAGACGCAAGCTGGTCTTGAGTGGTGTCGCATGCATCGGCGGCAGTGTTGCCGGTGCATGATGTGGAGAAGGCGAAGAGCTGGTCCTGGACGTGTCTGCAGCACCATCTCGATGTTGGGGCGCATCCTCGCGGTGGGACGATGAACCGTGAGCCGGAGTCATTTGAGAGAGTCGATGCTGCGAACTGGCAAAACGACTTGGACCTGGAGTCGAAGGGCTTTGCGGACCGTTGAGGAATGCATGGGAAGATGAAGGCGACATCCGTTGATGTGGGGACCGAGGGGCTACGACTGCGAGCATGGAACTTGAGGAGCTTTGAGAGATGACCATGACGGACGTGCGCTGTGGAGACAGCCTAGTGAGAGTCGAGCATCATGCTGCGTGCGATATTGCCGTGCAGATGGAAGCGGGGAGGAGGCTCTGCAGTGTCGAGAGCAGAACAAGAGATGTGTAGCAAGGATAGGACTGAGCCAGCTGCGCCACCACTGACAGTTTCGCTTAGATGCAGCAACTTCTTGGCTCACCAAGTGGAGCAGTCTCGAGAAAGACCAACACCCCTTCCGTGTGAATTTCATGTGTGCTGCAGCTCAGTTACGCGTAAAGGCGCGTTTCAGCATGTCAATGTTACGCCGAAGCTGCTGTTCGCCTCTCATGAAGCCTCCGTTCTGACCGCGACGCCGAAAGCGGACCGCGATATGGGATTCGAACCGGTAACTTAGCGGTTTGAGCCTTTTTTCTTGCGGCACAGTAATGGTTTTAGGTTGGCTCAACTTTACTCGCCGTTCATCGATAGGCGGCGTACCGACCGTCGGATGGTGTGACTACAAATGCAGGTCCTCAAGTCGCCTGTAAACTGTCTTGTCCAGCCCCGAAAATCTTATCTATGCCGTGGAGTAGCTTGTTCAGCCGTGAGAGCTCTTCGTTCGCCCGTCTGTATGGGAGGTCACAGTCCCTCTATACAAAAGATGCGCTCAAGAATGAAGCTATTCTGTGGCTTTGAAAGAGGAATATGCGTGCTGTTTGTCGCAGGAGCGCCGAGGGTCGTAGAGGCCTGTCGGCACGAGACCGAGGATCCGGGTTGCCTGGTGTTGGCTGGTGAGCGGGTTGATTTGAAATTGCAACGATGTCACACTGCACACAGAGTGAGGAACGTGGCCCGAACAAAAATAAAATTTGGATTTGGCAAATGCCTGGCCGACCGGGCTGGGTCGAGGGCGACCAACGTCGGTCTCTGAATGCGCGAGCCAAATTTTTCTCCATTCTCCCTCTTGGGACTGCAACTGTCCAGAACGGCAGTGCGAATCAGTGTGACTGAGACTGTATGTGTGGGAGATTGTGTAGACCAAGGCACGCGTTGCAATCTGCTCCCTCTCGCTCGCTGTCCCTCCTCCCGCCTTCCTTGCTCTCTCTCTAACACCATCTCCAAAACGATCCATCACACGATACTCGCCAAGCTTTCCAAGGAGTCAAATCCTCTCTACCAACCAAAACTATACTACACAGACAACCTATGCTCGATCCCAGTTGTAGACCCTATCAGCCTGCTTCATTCCCTGTTCGATCTCAGGCAAGCTGCTCCCTTGTTGGCCAGCTGCTCCTCTTCCTCGACTCTTCGGACCGTCCTCCCTAAGGTAGAAGGTTGCCTCGCCGTCGGGGCCTTCTATATTGAATCATCACCGGCTTGTGCGCCACGTCGATCTGTTCTCCATCGCACCAACCACCTCGCTCTCAGCTCTACCATCGACCCAGGCACGTCAATCCGTGCTTCACCTTCGCGACACCTCTCACCTTGTCAGAGACGACGAGCTTGGCCTCTACTGCCAACCGCCTTCTGTAGCCAACCCATGATCGGCGCCATCTTTGCCATCCTCCGTCTCTCCACCCGCTTGGCTTGAATCCCACGCTGCTGGGCAGTCCTCCTGAATCCCAGCACCACCTTCAAACCCCCTTGATCTCTTTTACGAGTTTGCGTGGCGCTTCAGTCTCGCATCCCTTTTTTCATCACGCCTCCTTTCGACTTTCTACGGCACATAATACACGCAGCCATCTGATCCTCCTGTTTTAACCGTCCCGTCGCAATGGTTGCTCTCGCTCTTCCCGGACGCCAGAAGGATTCGGGCTCTGCCGAAACTACTCCCTCGTCAGAAGCACCGCCCTCGCTTGCTCCCATCCACGTCGCCTCGCTCAATCGCAGACCCTCACCCGAGCTCGGTCACGCCGATACTGCTGCTGATGCAGAGCGTGTCAAGCCTAAGCGCTCTTCCAGCTTTGGTCGTGGCCTCGGCCAGCTAGCGTCCCTCACCACAAGCAAGCCCAAAGCTGTCGACCTCATGTCGTTCGGTCGCACCAAATCAGGCGCTTCCACCCCTCAGTCGCCTTCCACCGTACCTGCAGCCGACAATGTTACCGGAGCCGCTGCCATCTTGGCCAATGGCGGCATCGGCGCTGGCTTGATGGGTCCGCCGTCCACCCCGGATCCCTCTCACCTCACCCACTTTTCGCTTCAGCTCAGCGACCTCGTCAACAAGGCGTTTGTACCCTGCACCGCCGGCAGCGCTCCTGCAGCTCACACCACCTCGGTCGCCTCCAACGTCGCTGCTGCAGCCAAGGGCCCCACCACACCTAAGATCAACCAGATCACCTACGAAGGCAAGCATCTCCCTGACAAAGCCAAGATCATCGAGATTGCTCAGCTCGTCGTCGGCGAGCTCCGCTACGCAGAAGCAGTTGACGCCTACCTCTTGCGTGCCGTCTCGCGCCAGATTCTCAAGGCCCTCACCCTCTTTGCCGCTCGCATCGACAGTCTCCTCGTCTCGCCCACCAAGGATCCTGGTGCGGCTCGCATCCCCACCAACGCCAAGGAGGGCCTGCATCTCCCAGCGGCTATGGAATTCAACCTCGGCCTCGTCACCCTCGAATGGATCGTAGAGGACAGCTTGGAACGATGCATCGAAGGCGACCGCGACGCCCGTGGCCAACTCATCGCCGACGAGAATGGCGCCGTTCACGATGGAATGCCTCACTTTGTCTCCGAGATCCTCACTCCCGTTCGCAAGAGGATGGAGGGCACCATTCTCCACATCATCCAGCCCATCTTGACCCAGACCAAGCAGTCCATTGCTCGATGCATTTCCACCGCTGTCCCTACCCCTTTCGTCAGCCCCGTGACGCTTTCACCCGCCAGTACCTCGGCGAATGGCATAAGTGGTGCTGCTGACGGTGGCACCGCCTCTCCCCCCACTTCTGCCACCGCTTCCACCACTGCTCTTGCCGCTGCTACTCCTGGCAACGTCTCTCCGCCCCTTCGTCTCGGCGAGACTGGGCCCGGCTCTGCTTGGCTTCGCGATCTCGACGGCCGCCTCGAGGGAGCTCGTAAGCTTCTGCTACCTCGCATCGAGGAACGCTGCGGCCAGGACGGCGAAGGCTGGTTCATCTCGGTCGCCATCCATGTCATCTGGAAGGGTCTCATGATCCTCACCTCACGCTCCGTCTCGCTGCCTAGCAACGCTGCTTTCGAGCTGCTCACCGGAAGCAACGCCGCCAGCGCTTCTGCCTTCGACCGTCTCATGGGCGAAGTCAACCAGAAGCGCAGTCCCTCGCCTGCGCAGCTCGCATCTGCCCTCAAGGCTGTCGGCGTAGGCGCAGCTCGCAGCAAGAGTCGTGGCCTCGATCCCGCTACGCACGTGTCCGACTCGGGTCGTCAGACCCCTTCGCACTGTGCTGCCTCGGGTCTGAGCTCGATCGCCCCCTTCTCCCTCGTCAGCGCCCGCCCCTGCGCGCACCAGCTCGCCGAGCTGCAGACATTTGAGAAGCTCATGCTGCGCTTCTGCGACGGCTTCCTTCGCAAGCCAGGAACCCAGATCAAAAAGGCAGGCAAGTACGGAAAGCGATCTCGCTTCGCACTCTTCTCGTCTGGCGGTCCGAGTTTCGGCGGTGCTAACCAACCTGTGCTCGACCTCTCGGCCTATGATCCTGACGAGGAGGATGAGCTCGCCCGAGCTGCACTCGCTGAGGCGATGCACGCGCTGCGCAGCACCGTCATTGTGCTGCAGTCGCTCGAGCGCGAGCCGGCCGTCATCTGTGCCGGCCTTGAGCATCTCAAGAGCCTTCCTGGTGTCACCGACGGCGAAGAGGCTGGCAACACCACTGCCTCGGCGTCTGCGCTAGGAACCGAAGCAACCAAGGCGCTCGATGCGATTCCGAACTTGCTTCTGCTGCACATCCTCTACAATCGTCTTCCGCTCGGTCCTGGTCGCCTCGAGCTGCCTGCGCCACCGGCCTTGTTCGGCTACACCTGGACCGACTACGAAAAGGCCATTGCCGGATTTGCGGGCGGCGAGCAGTGGGCTCAAGCGGTCGCGCTGCGCTACAAACCCGAGATCGAAAAGGCGTGGAGGTCGATCGCCATTCGTCAGGACGAACGTCTTGCCGCTCTGGAGCAGAAGTTGGCCGCCGGTGGCAAAACGGGAGCTGTGCGATCTTCGCGCTCCGTGTCTGGGCCTCTGTCGAGGGGCAAGTCGGCGCTCGCGCGCGGCGGCGAATCTTTGCAGTCGGGAGACGACAGTGAAAACGAGGATGCAGACGGGGATGTGCCCGAGGGCATGTCGCAGTCGGTTCCTGAGCTGAAGAAGCCCAACGCCAACGGCACTGACCGCGGTGAACAACTTGTCGACGGTGGTGACGACGCTGCTGGAGCCACGACTCGTGGCAGACCTTCGCCTGGTCGTTCGCCTCGACGCAGCTCGACGCTCGCCCATCCAGCTATGGCCGAAGCCACCGCCGCCGCCGCCGCCGCCGCTGCTGCTGCTGGTGGCAATGCCGTCCCTGCGACCACCGCCACGTCCGCACCCCGCTTCTGGCGCCGGAGCACCTCCAACGGACGCACTGGATTCCACCTCTCCTTCTCGGGTCTGCGCTCCCAATCCCCTCGCGTCGATGGCGCCCCGACTCCGCCCATCAGCTCCACCACTACCGATCCGATGCTTTCCACGCCCACACTCACGGCATCGCCTCCCAACTCGACAACCCATCTCGTAATCAGCCCTGCCTGCGAGGTACCCGCTTCACCCCCTCGTTCCACCACCAGCGAAGCTCGGCCTGCCGAGATGCTAGACGCGGCCGAGGTGACGGTCAAGCTGGAAAAACGTTCGTTGTGCGTCTTTGCCACTGCCTTGACGTATGCTGGCAGAGGATCGGTCAACATCGAATTGCGTTGAAGAGCGTGTATATAGTCCCCGTTCCACATAGATGTACCGTGTTGAGAAGTTTGTCTCATAGGTTCTTCATAGAATTCATATGGTTTTGGTTGCTAATGGTCAATGATTTCGTTTGCGATTGCTGTCCACCTGGGTGTGACGTTTGGAGAGGAAAGGGCGAGATGAGCCGGGATTGAAGTGAATCACAGACTCACAGATGTCTCTATTCCTCGACGGAAAACTTCAACCACACATTCAAAACACGATCAACGTCCAAGCAAGAGCAACAACCATGCCGATTTCCATCAGCACTTTCGACCCCTTCCTAGATCTACCTCACAACTTCTTACTCCTATACAGCAGGATGTACGCCACGCTATCCTCTCCACCTCCATCCAACGCCTGGATCTTGTCCCTGCCGACGACGCTCACCTTATCGTCGTCGAACTTGTACCACTCTTCGTCGGCCTCAGTCTTGTCCAACTTCTCCTTTCCTTTACCCCTCTGGCTCTGCTCTTCGCCTGCATTGACTTCGATGTTGTGCTGGGTCTCTTCGTCGAGATCTTTTCTGACCCAGGAGATGTAGTGGCCGGCATCGGCGGCTGCACCCTTGTGGGTGACGACGCCGACGAGCTCGTACAGTGCGGAAGCGTTGCAACCCGTATCGAGGGCCAGGTCGGGATGGACGGATTCCTGGATCTGCTTTCGTTCCTTCGCTCGCTCTGCCAGCTCTTCCTCCTCCGACAGCGGTACACCCAGCTTCGGATCCTCGACCGCACCCGATCCTTCTCCCTCCTTCTTCTCCTCCGCCCCACCACTCTCTTTCATCTCAACATCCCCATCCTTGGCCTCGCGCTTCGCCTTCTCCTCCGCAACCCTCCTCGCCTTCGCCCTCCTCCTAATCTTTGCCCGCTCATCCCTCTCCTTCTCCACCTGCTTCACCATCCCATTCGTCCCCTTCACCTTCTCCTTCAGCTCCTCCGTCAGGAACGGCAGCGCATCCAACACGAACGGGAACTTGACCTTCCTCATGATCTTGGTCTTCTTGTTGATGTCGCGTCTCCAGTAGAAGCGCACAAAGTGGGTGGCCAGGTAGGCGGGCAACCGGTCGATGCGCGAGACCTCGTCGTACACGGCGGTACGGTTGAGTGTCGAAGAGGTCTTTTCGATCTGCTGGTTGAGCGAGTCGAGGATTCCCGAGGTCATCTCGTTGGTGGTGGAGGAGATGTTGCACTGGAGGATGGAGAAAGGGTCTTTGCTCATCGAGGCCGGTTCGTCGGGTGCTTCCGAGGTGGAGCGCTTGATCACCATGTGTCCTGTGAGGTACTGTTCGACGAACTTGCGGGAGGCGTCGGCTGCCGCTTCGCCGGAAAGTCCGTGGAGGCTGTTTTGGAGCGCTTGGATGATGCGCACCCACACCTCTTCGGCGTCTTGCTGTGCGAATCCGTGACCGTCGCGCGTCATCTCGGCGAACTGAGGTGCCACCTGTCGCAGGATGGTGAGGAAGGCAAAAGGTGGGAAAGGCTCGGTCGTCTGCGAAAGGTTCTTGTACAGATCCCTGAGCGCAGCGGTCAGATTGCGTTCTCCATCGGCGCCACCCAAACCGCCATCAAAGTGACCCAACGCAGTCTGCAACTCCGGAATCGCCCTCAACACCTGCAACGTCGAGTTCAGATAACACGTGTTGCCCAGATTCGTCAACCCGACCCTCGACTTAGTCGCCAGCGCCAGCTCCGAATCCGTCATATCCTCGATAAAGGTAATCGGCCCCTCGGGAGCCTTGGGCAATTCACCGGCGGTACCGATGACCATAAACGTCTGTCCGGCTCGTGCGCCTATCTTTGTGAGGTCGTGATCGTCCTTGAGCATTCCACCTTTGACCATGACCTTCATGCGATCCGAAGGCACTCCCGTCTTTTCATAGATGGCCTGTTTGAAGGCTGTGGCGGGTTGGGTGGTGTCGAGGTTGAGTTCGTGAAGCTTGCCATTGTGCTTGACTTTGATGGGGATTGTGGATGACATTTTCGCCATTGAGAGGGGAACTGAAAGCTTCCGTGGAGATGATGCGGAGCTATCCTGAGAGAATGGGGAAAGGGTGTGTATGTGTGTGTCGTAAGGCAAGAAGGGGTGGAAGTGTGATTGCTCATAGAAAATGCTGAGTTGGCTGGTGCGGTTGCGTGGCAATTGCGAGCAAAGTCAACAGGCACGAGAGCAGTCTTGGGTTTTGGGAAGAAAGTGGAGTGGCAGAGCAACAAAAAGCCTTCTTGAATCAATTTTGGAAGCTGCGTGAAGCGACGCGTCCTGTGTTCGACACGGCGCTTCTGTGTTTCGTGCGATCACCGCACAATGCAGAGAATCAGCAGTGCGAAGAAAATGCCACACTGGGGGCACTATATCGTAGCTTTGCATCCACCTTTTGAATGAACGCAAAGAAAGTCACAGAACGGTATCCTCACCTGCCTGCTTTCGATTCCGACCGTCTTCCGATGCTCGTCTCTGTTCTCGAACGTGTAGCGAAATCAGGCAATGTCGATGTGGTCTAGTGCGCGAAAGAAAATGCTATGCGAGTGAATACAAGTACAAATGCGGCGTGGTGAGAGCATAAAGCAGGGAAGTGGCCGCTGAGAAGGCTGCCAGAAAGCGGACCGGTGAGCGCTGTCACAAGGGATTTCCAAAGACAAGACGAAGCCCCAAGACAAGCCCCTCAGAGCAAGTCAAAGTCGTCCAACTCATCGTTATACCTAGCGATGGTCCTCTTGATCTTGCTCGTGTCCACCCAGGTCACAAAGTCCTCCATGTTCCTGGTTACCATAAACGCTGGATCACTGATCGTATCCGGTCCAACCCTCACATGTCCCTGCTCGACGTACTTGACCGCCTGTCCCACCGTCTCCGACATCTTCAACCTCACCATCACCACCGGCAACCTCCTCCTGCAGAACGCCGAGACGTTGAGCTTGTTCATAATGTCGGACATCTTGGCACCTGTGTCCAGCAGACCCATGTCGTACAGCTTGGCGAGCATGCCTTGTTCGTGTTTGCCGCGGAAAGGGTCTGCGACGGGAAGCGTGGAGAGTCGCAGGGAGAGGTGGCGAAGCTTGCCGACCAGTTTGTTGTATTTGTGATAGTCGTCTCGATCTTGGATGTGGTAGCGTCGCATGACTTTGATCTCGCGCATGCCAGCATCTTGTTTCCAGTCGAGGAAATCATGCCTGTGCAGTACAGAGTTGCGATCAGTGAGACGAGGGCAGAAGGGTAAGAGAAGCGTCAGCATTCGGATCTGAGGTTCCGGAGATGGTATGTGTGGTTCATACTTACTTTTTGAGCAGCTTCTGCTCGTGATGTTTGAGCTGCCTCATGGTGAAAGTGCTGGAAGCAAGCGAGGACGAAGAGTTTTTGCTGTGCTGCGTATGTTGATGTCACGAAGCGACTTGAAGCTCTGGGTTGAGTGGATGAATTCGACCGTGCTCTCTGCGATCCTTCGTTGAAGCCGATCTATCTGCTCCTTGTCGTTCTAGGCTTGCTCGTGCGACGATGAGTTGATCAAGTACGAAGATCCGACGTCGAAGAGACAGAAGATTTCGAAGGGTCTGATGCAACCACGCTGCAGCAAAAAATTTGGAGTTCGGGTTTCGGTCCCTTACCATCCAAGTTTTTGGATCAAGGCTGTAAGGCCGCTCGACGCGACACTATTCACAAAATCGCGGTGCGGCTATCCACCTCAGACCTTGTCGCAGCTCAAGTCGGCACATCTTACACACACTCTCGAGCAGAGTCTGGACCGTTCTCGGATCCAGGTCGACGCACGGCGCAGAATACAGAATGACGGGAAAAAGTCCGTTACAGGTGACACAACGACAGGATACAAAAAGAGAAAGCATGGAATAAGAAACAGGTAGAACGCACTGGACCGTGCATCGTGAGCTGCCCAGCCATAACGTTGCCTCGGCTCGAGGCAACTGCGTCACAAAGTCATCTAGTTGAGGATCGCCAGCAACACGATGGCAACCACGAATCCAACCACCAACAACAGACAGATGCACCTCCTCCCCGCCCTCCTCTGGTACTCGTGCGCAACCACCAATTCTCGGTCAGCGCCTGCGGTGTTGTCGGCAATCGAGTTGATGTTGAACTCGATGTTGTCGATCATACCTCCTTGTTCCTGAACGATGTTGCCGAGGTCGCGGAAGATTTCGTTGAGTTCTTGGACGCCGGACTCGATCTCTCTGATCTCGGCTTCGCGCGAAGTGATGAGCGATTCCTGATATTCGAGATCCGCCTGGGTCGGTCCTTCGGGTAGCAAGTCGAGTTCCTCTGCTTGCAACGCACCCTCTGCACCGCCTGGAGCACCAGCACGATCCGACTCCTCGGTGTCGATTAGGAGCTGTTGCGAGTTGCGCGACTTGAGCATCTGTCGTTCCTTCTGCTTATCCTGTTCCAGCTTGGCGCGCGTCTTTGCAACCGCCTCCTTCTGCACGCGCTGAAACTGCAATGCAGCGGCTTGAAAGTCTCGCTGCAACTTGCCCTGGGTCAGCTTGGCCCCACCGTTTGCTGGACCAAGCGGGAAGGTGGAAAGCTGCTTGATGTCGGTGGTGGCATCTTTGACGAGTTCGCGCGTGGTCTCTATCAAGTCGTTGATGCGTTTGCTCCAGTCCTGTGATGCTGCTTTGGCGGATGAATTGGAGGAAGAGAGCGAGATGAGCTTCTGGATGGCTGTGACGTTGGATTGGATCTTGAAGATCTGGATGCCGATCTTGCTGGTGAGCTTTTCGAACTCGGGCGGCAAAGAAGATGACACTTCGTCGCGGTAGAGGGGAAGCGGAGTTTTGCGGGAGCCGCTGCCACCACCGCCGGATCCGGATCCGCCTTGACGAGAAGATGAGCCGCGTTCGAGGTCGTTGAACGACATTGTATAGATCGATGAAGCCGGAGTCGGCAGACGAGGTTCGTTCTTACGGCACCTGCCTGATTTGGTCGCGATGCTGCTGCGTGAGGTCTGTGTTGGAGAGGAAGTTGCGTTGCGTCGGGCAATGTTCAAGGACGAGCGATACGACGTATGATAGCGAAAAGGACTGGCGACAAGGATTGAAAGTAGAGATGGCGTCGATGTGGTGTGCGCAGCCGGGATGGTGGTAGACGAGATCAAAGTGGATGCAGTGCAGCCCAGGGTTCAATCAAGGAGCGTGTTGTACCGCCCCTGTTGAGTGACGCATCCGCACCTGTGCTCTTGTGCTGTGCCGCGCCGCCATTCTACCAATTGAATCGCCGCTCCAACGCTCAACTTCCCTTTTCTACCTTGGTGCCCGTTACCCAGCAGGTCTAACACCCGGAAGTTTTCCGACTCTCGAAATTTAGAACTCGCTTGCTCTTTGTAGCCGGCAATCACATTTTTTTCCTGCCGCAACGATTTCTTCTTGCGAACCAAGCTCACCTTCGACTTGGTCCTCCACCAACTTCATCAGCCATTGCTTCTCAACCGTACACCCATCCATCCGTGGCAGCAGGATCGACCATGGATCAGGACACGGACCTTACGCTCTCAGGAGCGGCACGAGCACCAGCGCTCGCCTCCTCATCCAACGTCCACCGAGCCAAGGAGCCTTTCCACGTCCAGGTCATTCCACCGAATGCCTACGCCAACGCTTCGCCTGCCTACGTCACACATTTGCTCTCGCTTTCAACATCCTATGGTACACCAACGCTGCTCGCAGTAGCGGACGACAGCACTCTTACGCTCATCGACAAGTCATCCGGTGTCGTGGCCGAATCCCACCGTGCGTTCAAAGATGCCAGGATCACACAGGCCAAGCCGCTCTACCGTGAGACAGGGGCTTCCGGAAGTTTCGTAGCCAGTGTATCGAATGGCACGGTCGCATGTTGGGATACGAGATCCGGTCTGGCAAAGCCGGTGTGGACGCTGCAAGGGGCGTCGAAAGCTCCATATCTGTGCGTCGAGCCTTCACCCACTGACGCCAATGTCGTGGTAGCTGGTACCGAACAGTACGGTCATGGAGACAGCGATATCGATATTTGGGATATCCGTTCGGCAGCAGCTCCGAAGAGCAAGTACAACGAGGTTCACAGCGACGATGTCACTGTCCTGCAGTATCATCCGGATGCAGCTGCTCATGCTGGCATCTTGCTCAGCGGGTCAACAGACGGTCTGGTTTCAGCTATCGACACCACCATTGCGGAAGAGGACGACGCCGTGATCTCGGTCGGTAACACAGGCAACTCTGTAGCGAGAGCAGGGTGGATCTATCCCGCAGACACATCATCTGCAACAATGACGTCCTCAACGAGCTCGTCAGCAGGCGCAATGGATACCAGCACGGATGGTGCTGATGAAGATGCCGACCTGAGCCAAGTGGAAACGGAAGCGCGTCGTCGTGCTCTCGGCAAGGTGTGGGCCGTCGGCGACATGCAAACCCTCTCCATCTTCGACGCGGACAAGTTCGACCCCATTCTCTCCACCACCGACGTCCGTTCCTCCGCCTCCCTTCGTCCACCCTGGTCGACGGACTATGTCATCGATGCCTTCCCCATCCTTCCCTCCTTCCCCTCCCCACCCTCCTCCGATACCCTCACGCTCTTTGTCGGCAGATCCGAAGGAGCCTTCGCCACGATCTGCATCCCCACATCCGCCACATCCACCACCGCACCTCCATCCTGGGGTCTCAGAGCAGTCTTCCCCGAACAAGGTGACGGCACGTTCTACGGTCATTCCGATATCATTCGAAGCGTCGAATGGGACCCAGCCACCAATACGCTCTATACGGGAGGTGAAGACGGAAATCTTTGCTTTTGGAATTTTGATGAGTCGAATCAGGTGGCTTCGACAGGCGCGATTGCTTTGAACACAGCAGCGGTAACGGCGGGAGCGGCGGTCGATAGTCCTGGTTCGGGTAGATCGGGTGGCTCGCGAAATGCTACTCCGGCGAGATCTCAGCGATACACCCCGTACAAATAAAGCCTCGATGGAATTTCGTCCATGTCCGGCCACAGCATGCTCATGTTGATTTCCAAATGATTGTATTACTAGCGACGCGGATATCAATCAAGACAACTGGGGCGATGCAAAGAGTGTGAGGGTATCAATTCTGGTAAAACCATCGTACAAAGATGGGACGGGAGTCTGCGGTGCTATTCCGACGATCGAGAGTCTGGATTGGATGCCATCGTCTAGCGGGAGTACCATTTCTTCTTGGCCGAGGCAGATACAGGCGCATTGGAAGCGGCCTGCATGGGTTGCTGTGCCTGTCCAACACCTTGCGATGTTCCTTTGTACTGATTGCCCTGGACAAGGTTCGAAGTCGAATTGCCGACTGACGCGTTTGCGCCTGCGGCAGCAGCTCCACCTGCCTCGCCCTGCAAGTAATTCTGAGCAGCGTTCTGCAGCGGCTGTGGATCGTTCGGCGAGCGAGGCGTCAGATCCGGTAGACCCTTGGCAATGTTCTCCTCACCCTGCAGCCTCATCAGCTCCTCCAACAACCTCGCGTTCCTCGAATTCGTCTTCCACGCAGCCATGATCACATCACCCGCCAGCGGTACAAATCCGACTCCCGTCGACACAGCATTGTTGAACACCATCTGTCGGATCAACCAATCCGGACGTTCGTCGAATTCCTTCTTGACCGGATTGACTACGAGCGTGTGATTGAGGATCGCATTGACAAGGTCGCCGAGGCCGGGGACGATACCGATGAAGAAGGTCCATCCGAAGCGCAGACCGCAGAGGTGAAAGCCCTTGTCGAGGTAGTGTGCGCGCTTTTTGATCTTTTTGAGCAGCTTGGCTTGTTTGCGGGTCAGTCCAGGGGGGAGTGCGCGTTTGCGTCGCTTCTGCTTGCCATTGGGTGCGGTGTAGAACTCGTACAGCGGATCTTCGGGCTCGTACTTTTTGGCTTGGCCGGAGACGAAGCGCTTAGTCACCTTGTTGGCGATGTAGCTGGCCATGGTGGAGATGCTCTGAGATGCTTTGAGATGTGGATGTGGAGCTACGATGGTGGTGGTGGCAAGAGAAGGTCGCTGCTCATGGAAGTGTGTACAAAGAGACTGGCCAGACCCTTTCACACTCAGCACAGCACACGCGACATTCGAAACATGAACAAAATGTGGAGAGGAGTGTGCGTGCAGAAGAGGCGCTGTCAAGTTGTTGGGCTTGCAACGAGAAGTGTGGCTGTGACGTAGCCAGCTCGCGGTCTGGACCCTGAATCAAGCACGGCCTGGCCAGAAAATGCGGAAATTCTAGCGACGAAATCTCGCCAAAGAGTCTGGAATGTTGGATAATATAGCGTTAACAACATCACGGAACGGCTTTCTCTCATCGTCTTGTCGACACGCTGCCCCGCACGAGACTTAGGATACAGTATCTGCGGCATCGTCCGTGACTTCGGCAGCGGATCGGCCCTGGGACCAAGGCAGAGGCCTATAGTCGAGCGCTAGTCAGACTGATTCCGTAACATGTGACTGCTCGAAAAGTTGGACGACAATAAGCATTGCTTGCAGCTTGAGGACAACGCAACTCATCCGACCCAAGTCACCTTGACAGTTGCGATGAAGCTGAGCTGAACAAGTCGCCGGTCACATGGACTGGTTGTCTCTTTGAGCAGATTGTTGTGGGCGCATCGTGACACACTCAGAGACTAGACGATCCACACTCAGGCTTCTACTTCCCGATGCAAGCATTCAAGTCGCCCGAAAACCTTGTTTGCTCGCACTGTCACTGCGATAGAGAATAAAACCGCGAGCGTAGCGAAAGAATAAGCTCTACCGACAACAGGTACTCTACCAGCTGCCTCGGTTGGACCTTATCTAACTCCTCTCCTGAACGGCTGTAGCAGGGAAGTCAGTATTTGCTCTGCTCCTGTTGACTGGCTAAGAAGCTCATCAAGTCTGAGCTAGAGCTCAAAAGCTGCTTGCTCGGCCTGCAACGACATCATTGTGCACGCCAATCTGTCGGGCTGCCAGCTGGTTCACCGGCTACATTGCCGATGTGTCAGGTTGCCGACAGCCCGAACACTCTGATCATCAGCCGGGGCTCGTCGAAGATATATCTGTTCCACCCCTTGCAGATCACCGGAGATACCGCACCAAGACCACACTCCAGCCGAATCGGAAGACAGGCAGAATGTCTACGCTCGATGGAGCAGTTCCTCTGGGTTTAGGCATCACGAAACTTCGACTGTGGGACGAGATTCATCGTGTGCATTACGAATCAATGCACACCATTACCCAGTCGTCCGGACATTGGACAGATTACACTCCGCGTGTGGACAGTGGAGCTTCGCAAGGCGATTCAGTTTCCGAACATCTGTCCGTGCCTATCAAGCCGTCACGTCAACCTCACATTCAACCACACCGGCCAGCATCTGAGACACGATACCCTCGAACGAAAAGGCGGAAGACGGAACATCGCAGTGAAGACCCTTCGAGGGTCGTTGATCTATGCTCAGCGTCGAATGAAGCAGATCCATTTGGCATCCTCCTACCGCCTCCGCCACCCAAACCGGGGCCATCCTTACGAAAGCCGCCACCGCTAGTGTCTCGAATCAAAGCCAAAGCACGTCGCGCCAACCGCAAACAGCAAAAAGGCGAGCATCGACGACGACTCTTCCTTTCCCATCTCATTCAACTCATACGCCTCACTAGTCAACATCACATCTCAAAGCCAACACCGCCAACAACTCTCAACGACGTCCGTCTCGGTACGAAATTGCCACAGCACACGACGCTGCAAGCAGTCTCCTCGTTCCCGGAATGTCTCGGCGTTGATTTAGAAAGCTTTGTGGAGACCGTCTTCGACACCGACGTCCAGTCCTCCGAGATTACCGACCCTTCCGATATCGAGGACGAAGAGTCGGCCAAAGTAACGAGGATGGAGATCGAATTGAGGAAGAAGATTGGAGGTGAGGATGTTCGCGTGCCGAGAGGAGTGTTCAGATGGATGGTGGCGAGAGATTTTGCGGAGAGATGGCCGGAGAGGGTGACACATGTGAAGAGGAACCCTTGGCCTGGATTGGAGGATGTTTGGGGGTCGCCTTCGCGAGGGGGAGGAGAATTGGGTGCGAAGCGACGGGAGGAGCCGGTACGATGGCAGAGCGGTCCACGCAGCAGGTTCATCCGGAGGACGGAGAGGGACGATTCAGGGCAGAAAACAACAACAGTGAAAGTAGCGGAAGGCGATCACCATGTTGATGGACTGGCAGGACTGGCAGGAACGCAAGAATCTTCGACTTCAAGTGCACAAGATTATAGGGCTCGGTTTGATGCGATGGTCGGATCGGCACGCTATCCTGGGCCTTCGACCATGGATACAATCATCGTAGCAAAACCCACAGAGGTGAGCCATGTATCGAAGCGGCTTTTCGACTCTGTCGGGCACTTTCCTGTCTCGTTTGATGCATCCTTCAACACCTGGGACTCGAGCAGCGCAAACGCATGCTCGCAAGAGGCCACTCTACCGAGCACAACTGTCGGCGTTCCAATTCGCCTCTGAGCTCCTGCATTCCGCACCGTTCTAACTTTGTCCAACCAGATCTACTTCTTCTCCGCGGTATCCAACAAGATCGTCACAGGTCCATCGTTCGTCAACGAAACATCCATCATCTCACCAAACGCACCGTCCTTGATCCTATCGTGCGCATAGCCATCTCCCAACTTCTTGAGCAGAGCTTCGTAGATGACCTTTGCACTATCGCCTCCCATGGCACGGTGGAAGTCGGGTTTTGTGCCCTTGACTGTGCGGGCAAAGAGGGTGAATTGGGAGACACAGAGCACTTCACCACCGAGTTCGACGACGGAGCGTTTCCAGGGTTTGCCACCCCAGACTTGTTCTGCTCTTGCGTTGGTGGATTCTGATGCTTCACCGTTCGATGCGGCTGCTGCGGAGGTGGAAGAGGGTGTGTCTTCGTTGGCGGTAGGTGAAGGTTCGGGCTCGTATTGTGGTGGAACGAGGATCTGAGTCGCTTGTTGGTTCTCGTTCCACAGTTTGGTGTTGAGGATCTTGTTGGCGAATGGTACAATTTCCGCTGCTGTGTCTTCGGTTGAGATGCCGACGAGGGCTACGATGCCTGGTCCGATCTTTGACACCAGTTTTCCATCCACTATGTTGTCGATCGCACGTGTCACAAAAAGGAGAGTCAGTCTAGGCCGTTCAATCTGCCAGGTGGCTGCAAGGCGAACAAGCAACTTACCGTGAACGGTGGCGCCTTTGACGCGTTGAAGTACGGCTCGCATGGCTGGTGGGTTGATCTAATTGGGGATCGAGGAGCTCGACGACGATGATGGTTGATAAAGATGTCGATCAACCCCACAAGGAAAGCTTATCATCCAAGGGGAAAGATGCGATCCAGTTTCTTCTCCAGACTTAAACGTGTGAAATTGGCCGAGGACACGCCGAAAAAGTTTGCCGCGGAGACCCTGATTCAAGCACTGCCAGCGCTCAGATCGCAAACCCTATTGTTTCGAGATACAAATCTGTGTGGGGCAACATTTGAGTCACGTTTGGGATTCGAAGCACGGTTCGCTTCTGGCTCGATGTGTTCGGCACCTTGTTCATGCTTGCAAAGCTGCAACGTCGGAACGCTTCAGAATGCTCGATTGGAATCGTCTTACCGATGCATTTGGTCTCTGCAGCTCACTGAGCATGGTGGTCAATACCTATGATATAGATGGAGCGAGCTACAAAGAATCATCGATGTCCAACACATCACTCGCTGGCATCCTTGCCCTTTCCCTTGGACATCTCCTCCGCCGGATCGGCCATCGCGGTCTCCTCCACCTTCTTCGACTCGACCTGTGGAGCACCAGCACCGGTCGTCGACCCGGCTCCAGCCAGCTGCCATGCCGGGATGCTTGGCTTCGGCACATGCGGTGGCGTGACATCGCCCGTCGGTGTACCGATCGTAGGCGAGCCATACGATCCTGCTCCATACCCTACTCCGTACGGACGAGGCGGCGGCTGCACACCTGCTCCGCTGCCACCCCCCACGGTCCCCCTCGACACCAAGAGCGACTTCAACGACTTGAGCTCCGACTGCAGTTCCGAGAGCGAGTTGGTCTGTGCTTGCTTGGACTTTTCAAACAGGCTGCTCAACTCCTTGCGGATCCCCTCGACGTCATCCTTGATTCGGTCGAGTTCTCCATCGCGACGCTTCTCGTTCTCCCTAACGCTCTTTACGCAATCCTCGACCTCTTTGATGCTCTTCTCCACCTCGGCCTTCTGCTCGTCAAGCCCCTGTTTCACCGCCAGCGTCTGCGCATCCAAGGCCTGAAGCTGGTTGGCCACTTCGTCGTATTTCGCCGTCAACGAGTCAAGATCCGCCTCGAGCACGTCCGCGTTGGGAGGCTGCAGATGCGGCATGAGGTACTTCTTGGCTAGCGAGATGACACCGTATCCGATGGTACCCGAGACGACAGCCATGATGAACCAATCCCTCCAATCGCGTCCCTGCTGTTGAGGCGCGCCAGGGTAAGCACCGTATGGTGCGCCGCCGTAGTACGGCGCAGGCGGTCCAGCCGCATACGAGGCGTAGCCTGAAGAGCCGACGGCGGAGGACTGGTTGGCTTGACGGATGGCTTCGTCGATCTCGTTGGGTCGCAAGCCTTTCGACTCCAGGAACGAGACTCGCTGCGACATGGACGACGACTGGACTTTGGGGTCGGAGAGGAATGTGATGGCGGAGGCGACCATGTCGGGGCGGACCGGACCAGAGCTGATCTGCTGCTGATGTGCGCCCACGGCAGAGGTGGATGGATCCGACATCTTCGTGGTGTGATCTGCGTGACGGTCTGACTTGCGTTTTAGGTGGGTGATCGCAGATCGATGGAGCGCAGAGCGTCTTGTGTGTGATTGACCGGATGGCGAGTCACGAGGTTGGAACCTTGCGTGCGTCCGGACGACTCCAAACGAAAACGATGGACGTTGGAAAGGATAGTTGAAGCGAGTTGCAACGACGACGAGGTGGTGTCCAAGTGGAGAGATGGAATGTGGGGAACAGCTCTCACGGCGCTTTCACGTCGAGCTGAGTTGGTGACAGAGATGCCCCCAGCGCGCTTGAAATTGCATCCGGTCTCGGGTCCGTCGATACCGGGGCTGAAAAGAGGTCGATTTTCATTGTTACATTTCGCACATCAGCAATTTCGGATGCCGTGCGAGAATGACAGCGAAGACTGAACGAGAAGAAGAAATCGTGCTCGCGCTTCCAGGCGTGCTTGGATCGCACACGCCTTTTTTCGCTGCACCACCATCCAATCAACGACCGTCTCGACGCATTCCTCTCTCTTCAAAGCCGTGCTCACGCTCTGCGCAAAGTTTTCGACGCAGCGACTCGTCGAGCAGACATACAAAAAGGCGGCATCCCTTCACTTGCTTCCGTACTTTCCTCTCCCTTTCTTTGCGCCTCGCACTCTGCTCGAGTCGGGTTCGTCACTCCTTTCCCACATCCACACACGAAGGCAAGATCTGCCCAGTAGCACCCTCATTCTCGCTTGGCTTTTCACACGACCGCAACAGGTAAGTTCTCCTCTTCGATTCACACCGAGCACCGACGACAGAGACGAGCAGCAGCGGCAGCTAGCATATACCACATCGCGCAGCATCGATCGGAAGCGTTTCCGCGTTCAATCTCGCGGCGACGGGCAAAGATTACATCATATTCACACTGTTTGAGGGTGCCCTATTCGAACTTCACTCAAACGCTGACAAGCGTGTCGAGTGGGGTCGATGGGTTTCCACTGATTCCTAGACTACAACGGTAGATGAGCCTATAACTTCTTCTTTGCGTCGCTGCTCGGTCTCTCTGTCAGCCCAAAGTTCGACGCAGTTGATCTGACCTCATTTCTCCCCTGGTCTCGATCTTCGCACAGCAGCCTCTTTCACAATGACGAACGCACCCAACCGATTCGACCTCTTCATCCTCGGTCCGGACGAGAAACGCGTCGAGATCGTCGAAGACACCAAGATCCCCAACGCAGCTACCTTCTGGTTCAACAAGGAAGACCACACGCTCGGCAACATGCTCCGACACGCCGTGCTCGCCAACCCCTCGGTGCTCTTCTGCGGCTACAAGGTACCGCATCCTCTCGAACCCAAAGTCTTCGTCAAGATCCAAACGGACGGATCGATAACGCCGACCGATGCGCTCACGCAGGCGTCGCAGAAACTCATCGCGCAGATCAGCTCGTTGAAGGGCGCCTGGCGTACAGAGGTGCAGATGAGCGGTGCGGGGACTGTCGATGTCGGCGGGTTCGGGAGACAGGATCCCTTCGACGGTCAGTACGGTGGTGAGGGGGCTAGTGGATACGTTGATATCTAACCAGGCGGACAGCTCTTCGCGCTTCCCCAAGTATACCCAAGGCGACGTCAGCTCGCTTCGCAATTGTATTACTATCTGTACTTGTATCCCATCTCTCTCCAAACGTGTGTTTGAGTGTGTGCTTGCGATTGCTCCCGTGATCAGTCCTGGCTCAGTCCAGTACGGCAACGATCAAGGGCAGCTTTCTCTTGACATATGTATACTATGACACCATCGAGACCTACACGCCGTTGATCGATTGGTCCCAACAATCTAGAAGGAACCGAACGGGCCGACGCGTGATGCCTTCATACTGGATGCTTGCCATCATCCCGCCCATACTATATGCCTGCTCCGACGAAAAGTAAAGATTCGCATTCATCTGGTCAGTAAAGTTTTCATTCTTCTCAGACCTTCTTCTGTAAAAACCTACCTCGATCAATAACGGTGCGGTACCCAAAATCCAAGCGACAGCCCAGAGCCAGCCCCAAAAACCATGGACCTTTCTCCTAGTACATCGTTCAAACATCTGCTCTCCAAACATCGCGACGGGTTGAATCGCAAAGAAGAGGGTGACCTTTGTGATACCAAAACCTGGTGTTATGGCCGCTGAACCGAGATCGTGGATAATACCAGAGACTAGGAAAACTCCGCAGATGCCGGCAATGTTGGCGATGCGACGTCCGGCGACGCCAAGCAGGGCAGCTCGAACAGGCCAGTAGCCCACCGTCATAAAAGTGACTCGCAACGTCTGATGCCAACGTCTCGACCAGAAATGTGCGACCGATGTCGATAGCCAAGGATACCTCATGATGGGCGGATTCCATCTCGAAGGTAGATCGTGGAAGAGTGCGACGGAAATGCTCGCTAGCATGGTATGCAACATGTACTGGATGCAAACAAAAGAAGTCCCAAACGCAAGACAATTCAAGTAGGGTCCCGCCACACCGAAAGAGCCCTCTCTGTGAATCCAAATGCTGCCGCCCACCTTGCTGTCCGCATTGGGATTGAACCGCGGCTCTTGATTCAGAACAAGGACGACGTCGTAGACGAGATAGTAGAACGGTATGAGGACCGCACGTTTGAGGATCCAGTCCCATCGTTGGCGTGAGTCGAAGACGAGCGCCGGGAGCGCAGGTGCGTCGTCCTTGATACCGTGCTGCCAGCCCAGGGCCCTGACATTGAGGAGTAGATCAAGTTCGAGAGGGCAATTAGTCCCTGGAAAGAAGGTCGGCAGCGGATCTGTTGAAGCCACGAGCGTGCTGTCATCCTTTTCTCTGCCATTGTTGGTGCTAGTGCGGTTGCCATTGTTCGCGACCTCACGAGTCTTGAGTCGAGGCCTTTGCGTGGCCAAGCCAAATTCGAGAGATCGGATGATAGCAACGATGGCAGCACATCCGAGTGTGACGTTGACTGATTGGCACCTACCGTCGAGCTGTCCTTCGCCGTCGACCATGTAGTAGTAGGCGTATGCTGACCTTAAAGAGAGGAGCATAACAAAGGGAATGAGGGAAGCGCGCAGCAGCCAGGTCGTCTTAGGATCGTAGCGAAGCAGTAGATGAATCTGTGCGAAAATCAAGGGCATCATTGCGACCGCGAGCGGAGCAGTAGAACGAGTGTAAGGCCTCTTGTCGCGAAAGTCGGGGAGAGCCCATTTCCACGTTGCCACGGCGGCTCTAGTCCATCCGGAGTGTAGCTGTGGCGTGGCTTCCATCTTCAGGACGTGATCACCCTCGTCCAGTTGGGTTGGAGGAACACTTCGTGCGCAAGAAAGGAGGATGATTTGGGGGGACAGGCTGACGAGATGCTGAGCAGGTTGGCCAGAAGGTGGACTATTTATCACTTTGTTGACCGCTTCAGCTGAGACGCTCGCATAGCATGGACCCGTCAAGCCACGGCTATGGAGGCCGAATCTTCAAGACCATTTGTAAGCGGGTACGCGCAAGGAGCTGTGGTGACCCACCAAAGGGTGGGTCGGTACTAAAAAGACGGCCTTAGCGTCAAACGATGATGGCTGAGACCTTCGAGGTCAGGGCTGCTTCACAAGCCGGAGCAGAATCCCTGCGTGGCCCCGTTCATGGTAATGCATGGCCCGCGAGCGTCTGCTGAAGTGCGAAGATGGTCTTTCAGAGCCCCACCATGCGCGAGTGGTGGAGCCGTGAGAATGGCTGACCTCATTTGGCTCTAGGCTAGCGACAGGAAGCGTCGGGAGACGCCTATAAAAGACAGCCTCTACAGCATGCTGCCGACTCAAATTTCGTCGGCTGCAGCGACGCACTTGACATCAGTATGCAGTGTCGGAAGTCACCTCGAGCCTCGGACAGCGACACTTTATATGACCGTTCAAGTCGGCAATCGTGGCGGTCAACTCCACTTAAGCGCTTCTGTGGACTGAAGGCTGCCGACCAGCGAGCTGAGTCGGATCATCGATCCGAAAAGGCTGCAAGAGACGAGTTGGCGTCGCCGACCGACGCTTGCGTTCATGTCGGAAGCTTGATGTTGCAGTGACCCAGCTCGGTGGATACTCACTCCTCAGCAGCCCACCGAGTCGCGGTCAGGCAGTTGGCCGAATTTTTTTTCCCATGCACTTGTCGAAATGTAAGATTAAATCATTTGTCGGGCGTGGCGTACGCCGACACACCTTGCTTGGCTTCTCGAAGCGACCCTTTTTGGGATGCTTCTTCTGCCGTGCGTGCCTCTGCAGGGAGAAAATATTGGATCACAGACTCAAGACTGCAGAGAGCCAGCCAATCGGGGTCGCTGCTCTGTGCAGCCAGAAGCGCAACTCGAATTTCATTCGAGTGAAAGGGAAAACGGATCATCTTCCTGTCGACGTCGCTGCAGCAGCTTGTGTCCCCTCTTACATCTGCACCTTGATCGTCTCAAGTCGCTCGACTGCGTGGTATCCGACCGGGAAACCTGCAATCTGTAAGCTGCTAGGATCAGCACAACGGTGACGCCCTTCCAGCACTGGCCGCTCCGAGACAGCATACATTTGGTTCGGTCGTTGGCCTGACAGCGATTACATCGGTGACAAATGCTTCCATCAAGCCTGTCGTAGCAACGACTTGCGTTCGCGCCTCGCGCACAGCCGGTCCTTCGGCGGAAATCCGCATCAGCTCCGCTTGACCGCTTGACCCTCAACGGCTTCTCACTCCTGCAAGCTTGGCGCCTTTGAACATAACATCAGTATGCAGTCGCAGCCACAGCCACAGACTCAGCAGGCTTCGCCTCACGAACATGTCGGCTCTTCCCCAGGCGTCAAGCAAGAACCATCCCAAGATGCTTCGCGCTTTTTGCTAGCTGCACAGCAGCGCTTCAACACAGGCAGCCAGTCACCTCTATCAGCTTCCGCATCCGCCGACCAGCCAGGATCCGGATACCAATCGAGCAGCGCACAGTCTGCGTCGGGTGACCCGACTCATGAGGAGAGCCTTGCTTTCACCTCCGCCCCAGGCTCTCGCCGACCTTCTGCGTTGTCCCGAAAACCATCGGAAAGCCACCGAAGTCAGAAACACAAATGGTCCGCCGAAGAGACGCAAGCGCTCGTAGATGGATGCAACAAGCATGGCGTGGGAAATTGGAAGAAGATCCTCTCGGATCCAGAGCTCTCGCCGCTCTTCTCGGACAGAACCGCAGGCGATCTCAAGGACCGATTCCGAACCTACTTTCCAGACGCTTACCACGAGATGTACCCCAACGCAAAGACGCATCTCAGCAAGGCAGTTCGAGGTCGAGACGCAGAGGGAAAGAGCATCTTTGAAAAGGGCAAGACCAAGGAAAGACGTCCCTTCACGCCCGAAGAGGATGCGGCTCTCCGCGCAGGCTACCAGCAGTACGGATCGCATTGGGCCTTGATAGCCAAGAACCCCATCTTCAACGGCCAGAGACGAGCCATCGATCTGCGTGATCGCTTTCGCAATGCCTTCCCGGAGGACTACGAACGCGCCGGCTTCAAACCGCGTCCGTCCAAGGCACGCAAGGAACGCGGTCCCAGCGCAGCCAAACCAGGTCAAGGACATGCGGCGCGGTCCGCTGCCATGTCCGGCACAATGTCTGACAACAGCCTCTCTGAGGGCGCTTGGCGTGGCTCCGACCATCCTCTCAGCGATGCCACCAGCGACGGACATCTCACTGATCACGGCAATTTCACCGACTACAGCTACTTCACCGACCAGGGCAATCTTACCGATGGCGGTGCTGAACCAGTCTTGTCGGGGCCCTCCAGTGGAACGAGCAGTGCGCTTGGTCGATCCAACTCCCTCACCCATGGCATGCCACGCTTCGTGACGGCACAGACAGCCCAGAGCGAGCAGCTCAGCTTCGGACAGGCGCTTGCGATGCAACAGCAGCAGCTCCAGTCATCCACGCAGGCGAGGCCGCCATTCCTGTCATCCAATACTGCACCGCTTCCTGGAGCTGGTCTGCCGCTGCGAGCAACCGATATGGTCACAGGTCAGTCCATTCACAACCTCTTTGAACAGCTTCAGCAGGCTAGTCTCGAGGGACCCGGTACAAGCTCCGAGACGAGCAGCATCCGTGAACGAGTCACGCCACCAAGCGCCGGCGATAGCGACGTGGCGCATCAGCAGCAATTTCAGCAACCATCGGCCTCCTCACACGCCAAGGCTGTCTCGGCGGACGACGCTCGCCGACAGGCCGGTAAACATGCCATCCACGACGGCATCCAGCACAAGAGAAGGAGCCACACATCACGTGCCGGAAAGAACTCGGCGCTCGAGCGTCTGCCTTCTGTCCATGGTCACCTCCATCACATGCATGGCCACCCATACGGCTCGGCGCATTCCAGTCCACATTCGCGACCTCACTCACAATCATCCAGTCAGCACGATTCGCCAGCCGGAGGTGCTGTGCCCGTCCAGTCGGACCCTCGACTCTCGCCCTTGGGCCACACCGAGTATCCTGTTCAGCCTGACGTCCTAGCGTGGTTGAATCCGGCCGGTCAGAGTATGCTGCCTCCGAGTGCGGCCTCTATGGAGATTGACCAGCAGCGCGCCGCAGGTGAAGGGCCTTCATCGTGGTCCGCCTACAGCTCGAGCGCCAGCGACACTTCTGGTGCAGGTCTCCCCGGCTCGTCCTCTGCCAGCTTTATCGGCAATCAGCAACCTATGTACGGCACGGGCTTCAATTTTGGCAGTCAGACCGGATACATGTCGCCGCCGCACCCAGGCCAAGTTGCTCGTGCTGCAATGATCCCCGGAATGGGCAGCGCGTCTGATTCTTCGGCTTCTTCGGCAGCGGGCTCGCGCAGATCTTCGGCAGCGGGAAATGCGTTCACTCAGCTGCAGCAGTTCCAACAAGCTAGTGCCAAGTCCTCTGGGGATCAGCAAGCAGACATGGCCGCCAATTTCAGCACCGGCTCGATGCGGAGCTTTGCCGACACGTTCTCCGGCGCACCTGGCGATGTTGCGCAATGGAACGTCGACTGGGATCTCGGTAGCATCTCCGACTCAGGGCTGCGACCGGATCAGGTCGACGAGCTCCTTGCTTCCTTCCCGCTCTCGCATCACCCTTGGGCCGGTGATCTGAATCAAGGAGCCTCGGCAACTGGCGCAGGAGAGTCGGATCGACGGAACCCCGCTTTAATGGAGATCAATGTCGCTCAGTTGTCATCGGCTCCTTCACGCGGTCAGCCCGAGATAAGCAGCAACACATCCGGAGGCACCGGCATAATCGATCAAGCTCAGAATACCAGCGAAAACATGTTGCGGCAAATGCAAGCGCTTGGCAACTTGTCGCAGCTGCAGCAAGGCGTGCAGCAACAGCAACAGCAACAGCAACAACAACATCATCAGCAGCCGCTCGACAACAATCAGGCGGGAGCTTCGACGAACACTGACGGAGCAGTCTCGTTCGCAAGCGTCACCTTTGGAGATCCGCTGATCCGCGAAGATCGCGAAGGCTCGCCCGACTCGCTCGAGCTGCAACGAGAACAAACCTTCACCGCCAAAGACGTAGGCAAACGCTTCGGTCTTGACGGCTTGGAACTGAACAAGGACGTTGAAGAGTCGGACGACGATCAGCGTCGTCGCTCCACCGATACGCTGCGCCGTGCTGAAGGTGCGCTCGACTTGGCGCTTGAGTCTGTCGAAGACACTCGTGCGTTGGCGTTTGCTCAGCAGTTCCAGCGCGACCTTGACTCGGACGAATACTCGGACGAGGAACCAGACGAGGACGGGTACGAGGAGGACGAGGAAGACGACAACGAGCCCGACTACGATTTCGAAGGTACCGCACCGGATTACAACTTTCAACAAGTGCTGGACGAGCTGTCAAATTCGGAGGGGATGTCAGGTGACTTTTTCGACGGACCGTTCGACGCTGAAGGAATGGGAGCAACGCCTGGTGCGCCTGGTCAGCTCGGCCTCGACGGCAGCGATCTGTCTCTATACCCTGAAATGGGCAGATCTGTTGCCAGTCGTCAGCAGCAGCAGGATCTGATAGCGCAGGCCTCCGATGGTGCGCCCACGGATCGCAGTCAGGAGCAGCAAGGCGGCGCTGCTGCGGCTGCTGCCGCCGCCGGTCTGATGAACCAAATATGGAATGGTGGAATGACATTCGATAACCAGCAACAGCAGCACCAGCAACACTCGATGGGCAGTGCCATGCACACTGTTGTGCCGACAAACACCGACGCCTTTCCTAATGTGCAGGCAGCAGGCTGGACGTCGAGTCCCGTCGACAACGAAAGTACTAGCTACGGGATGAACCCTAGTCTGAGTCGAAGCAACGGCAGCGCAAAGGCTAGCCCTGGACGGCAAAGCACGACTCACAATCAGCAATGAAGAGTCTCACAGGAACGCTCACTCACTTGACATACTAGACAATCTCACCTGGAATGGCACAGTCGCACCAACGTATCGCAATTCTCGCAGCTTTTACGGTGTGTTGAGTCGCGTTTTGTGTCAAGGATCCAGCAAGTGTGAGGATGGAGTCACCGTCGAGCAAGAACTCGTTGATCTGAATCGCAACAGGAGGTCTCTCACTTCACTGTACTCAATACCCTGGACGATGTCAAATTGGAATGGCACAGTCTTACGAGCATGGAGCAGCTCTGATGGTGTGTGACTTGCATCGCAGTAGGAGATCTCACTGCCCTTTACTCTATACACTGGACGATGCCAAACTGGAAAGGGCACAGTCTCACGAACATCTCGCAGCTTTTGACGGTGTGAATTAAATTGCACATTGTGTGTCAAAATACCAGCATGTATTAGGGGATGAAAGTGTGATCAAGCATCGTCGAGCAAGAACTCGGTGATCTGAGCCTTGATCTCGGATGGTTTGAGTGGTTGCGGTGTTGATGTGGGTTGGTTGTGATTTCCACATCCGGTTGATGTGGCTGGTGTTTCGAGCGTGTCTTGATCTAGCGCACTGCTGAGACCGTTTGCGTCGAAGTGAGTTTCGGTGTCTGGCAAGTGGGATTGTTGGATGTGTCGCAGAACCGTCGATGGGAGCAAGGATTCGTTGTTCGATGTAGGTGGTGCGAGCACCAACAGGCATGCGTAGCAGAGGTGGGACGAGAGATCCATCCATCCCTCCTCCGGCTCTTCGCTGGCCGTACCGCGTGGGACATCGCTCCTCGGCTCGGTCTCGTCCAACCTGGAAATCGTAATGTCCCTCTTCCACCACCTAGCACCCTTCTGACAGGGCATCCCACACAATGCACAACCGTTCCCGGTACTCCACCGGAGACAACTCGCGCTGAGTTGGGCCAGTTTGATGCCCCTCGATCCGATTCGTGGTTCCTTGCTGTTGACGGTGAGATCCGACATGCTGGTGTGCAGGGCCTTGCGTGCGGTGGTTCGAAGCGGTACGCTCGGTCCAACGTTTTGAAACGCCGCTGTGGAACTCGACACATCGTGGGCTAGAGAAGAGGGAGAGGTGTCGTTGAGCACGAGCTTGCTGCCTGTCTTTCCGATCGTCGTGACCGTACTCGGTACACCTTTTTCCAGATTGAGGATGAAGGTTTCTGTCAACCTAGCGATCGAGCTTTTATCCATCACCGGGGTGACACCGCTGCTGTTATTCAAGATGTCACTCGTGGAAACGACAGGGGGAACGACATTCTGTTCCGGTTGGATGGCCTCGAGTCCAAGAGCAGAAGCATAGAACAAGACCTCCTGCAAGAGATGAGATTTGAACGGCCGGACGAGAAGCAAGTCATCGATCCACGCTGCGTCGCTGCCCTGGATGGGGAGCTTGTGACCTGCGCCCTTTGCGAGGTCTTCGATGAGACGGATCGAGATGCGCGTGGCGGTGTCGCCGAGGAGAAGGGCGGAGCAGTCGAGGCGGGTGGCGGTGCGACGGAGGAGGGTGGAGATGAGGATGCGGTGGAGGTCTTCGATGCGAGTTCTGGCTGAGGAGACTCCTGTGCGTGGTGTATCTGACGGGTGTAGTGACGAGAAGAGATCTTTGAGCGCCTGCGTTGAGTCCGGTATTGTGGCAGTCGAGGTCGAGATCTGCTGGCCATCCGCGCCCGCAAGCTTCCACGCCACCCCCTCGACGACATCATCGTCGGCGCGGAAAACATCCTCCATCTTCAACCCGACAAACTCCAGATCCGCACACACTTCCTCCTCCACCATCCTGCGTGCTTCTTCCGTCCGATCCATCCCACCCGCGATAATGGCGCTGTCATCGATGTAAAGCACGTAGATCTTGCCGACTTCGTTGAAGCGACCAGCTGCATTGACTGCACCACGAGTCTTTGCAGACGTCATCGAAGCTGCATCGTCCTCGAGCTCTTCACCACGAGCCTTCCTCCTCCTCGCATCTCTATTGGTGAAGGCTGCCTCCGGACGAAAGTACTGCGTTGCCGTTCTCAGCAGAGCTCGAGAGCTAGCACCGCCAGAAAAGGCGACGGCGATGTTGGCAGAAACGTTCACCTCGGCATTTCCACCTCCGTTGTTGACTTGCTTGCCGTTCCTCTTGTCTCCTTTTGCGGCTGGAGGCGTTGAAGTCGAGGAAGAAGCTTCTTGACTGGATTCGGATGCGGAGGATGCTTTGGCCGCGGCGACGTACTTGGCTAGACCTGCACCACGAGCGTACTCGAGACCGGTTTTGGATTTCTGGTAGAAGACGGCGCCGGCGCAGGGTTGACAGTAGATCGAGTCGCGGAAAAAGGCGATGGCCGGGTTGGCTTTGCAACGGACGCAGATGGTTGGCGTGTCGGTGGCGATGGGAGCGCCGGACGGTGTTGGATCGTCTGGCTGTGGACAGGGCATGATTGGGGGCTGTTGAGGTGAGTGCGGAGTGATAGGTTGAGGAAAAGGAAGGGAGTGAGAGTGGAGGATTGAAGGCGTTACTTTGCCACAAGGCTGCAGTGCGCTTTGACAGCTGTCGTGCGTAGCTTCTTGGGAAATTCTGAGCTTCAGAAAAATTTGGCAGCAGCGTTCGGATCTCGGACGCAAGGATTGCGAAGCAAGCAGTTTTGACATTTGACCCGACCCACTCGACAATGTCGACTCAAGTTCAAGACGACCTTCATTACCACCCCCTGATCCCCATTAGCAGCTCCAAAGATGCCTTCCAGGACACGCAATCGAATGCATGACCCGCTACCATACCCAACGAGGCCATACCTGGCGCTGGGTCTCGAGGGCAGCGCCAACAAGCTGGGTGCGGGCATCGTGCTGCACAAACCATTTGACCCTTCCGCACCCTCCTCATCCTCCTCATCTGCTCCTTCGTCCATCTCCTCTCGCTCCGTCGGTCAAGTCGAAATCCTCTCCAATGTTCGTCACACGTATGTCACCCCACCAGGCTCCGGCTTCCAGCCTAGCGACACCGCCAAGCATCACAAGGAGTGGATCATCCGAGTCATCTCCGAAGCGGTGCGACGCTCGGGCATCAATTCGCTTGCCGAGGTGGATTGCATCTGCTTCACAAAGGGTCCGGGAATGGGAGCACCGCTGCAGAGTGTCGCTGTTGTGGCTCGCACTTTGGCGCTCATGTACAACAAGCCACTGGTCGGCGTCAACCACTGTGTCGGGCACATCGAGATGGGGCGAACGATCACAGGTGCGCACAATCCCGTCGTACTCTACGTATCAGGAGGAAACACACAAGTGATCGCTTATTCAGCGCAAAAGTATCGCATCTTTGGCGAAACGCTCGACATTGCGGTGGGCAACTGCCTCGACCGTTTTGCCAGGGTCATCGGTTTGAGCAACGATCCAAGCCCAGGACAAAACATCGAAAAGGAGGCGAGGAAGGGCACAAAGCTCGTACCGCTACCGTACACCACAAAGGGCATGGATGTGAGTCTGGCCGGCATTCTCAGCGCCACAGAGGCGTATACGAGGGACAAACGATTCAAGCCGAATCCTCGTGTCGAGTACGATGATGCGGCTGTCGGAAGTCTAGCGAATGGCGAAGTTTGGACGGGTGAAGGCGGCGGAAAGCACATTGTCAACATGGCCGACTCCAGCTCCGCGCCCGAACCCAGTGCAGCAGTAGACGTCCAGCCGGCGAGAACAGACGCAGACGTCGACGTCTCTCAATCTGGCCCTTCCCAGCTCGACGCCAGCATCAACACCATCACACCAGCCGATCTCTGCTTCTCGCTCCAAGAGCACATCTTTTCCATGCTCGTCGAGATCACGGAGCGTGCTATGGCACACATCGGATCCAAAGAGGTGCTCATTGTGGGCGGTGTAGGCAGCAATCAGCGGTTGCAGCAGATGATGGGTATCATGGCCGGCGAGAGAGGTGGGAGTGTGTTTGCGACGGACGAGAGGTTCTGCATCGATAATGGTATCATGATCGCTCACGCGGGATTGCTGAGCCATAGGATGGGGCTGGACACGAGTCTGGAGAAGAGCACGGTCACGCAGAGGTTTAGGACTGACACGCCGGATATTACTTGGCGTGCGTGATTCGTTGTGACAGGATGCAATTCATACTAAACGTTGCTCTACATGAAATGACGGTGGCCTGGATTGAGGTGTCGTCGTGTACAGACGGTTGATAGTTGCTCGAAAGCAAGCATGAGTGGGTCTTCTTCGTTTTGGATTGCTTGAGAAAAAGTACAGCAGCGTGGGGAAGGAAGAGCACAAGCCAGGGTGAAAGTGCGCGACTTTTCCTCTTGCGCTTCTTTCGGAAATCAGGGTCCTTTTGCGAAGCAGCCGAAATGCGGCTGAGCTGTGTGGGAGTGTTGGTTGTTCTTTGACGTGCACCGTCGATCATCACATCTCTCATCCTACGACCACCATCCTCTTGTTGCAGCGCAGCTCGTTGTCTTCTGGGTAGCTGGTGCGATTAGCTCTGCAGACATGAGCCAACCGCCGCTGGCCAGCTCACAGCCACGCTCCGTTTCTGCCGGCAACTATCCATCATCGTCCTCATCGGTGCCAATCACATCTTCATCGGCAACAACTACACCGCTTCTGGGCCAAGGCCCGCTTCACGCTGGCAGTCCCGCCTCCTCTCTTCTACCATCGTCACCCTACGCCGCCGCAGGATTCTCATCATCATCAACCGCCTCGCCCGCCTCGGCCAGCTTTCAACACAGCTCTACCTTTGCCGGTGCGTCGGCAGCACTGGCCACTTCCACATTTCGAAAGCTCGTATGGGAGGGCACCATTCCAATATGCGTATCACTAGATGCAGCCGAGCTACCACCGGGCTCCGACTCTTCTGTTGACTCGACGTATCTCGTCGTACCTCGGATCAGCTACCTCCCGCTCATCGTCGCCGAAGTCAAGAAGAACCTGCTCGATTTGGTGCTCGAACAGCCTGCGCTCAATGTGCTAAACGAAAAGGAGCTTTGGTTCGAGTATGAAGGTCAACCGCTTAGATGGCATTGGCAGATCGGGCTGCTTTACGACTACCATACTTCGAACCCGGCTCGCACCGCTGTGGCGTATCAGTCGACGACGGCCAGCACCACCGGGCTCGGATCGTTGCGTTCGGATACCCCTTTGATACCTCAAGGTGGCCCAGGGAGTGAGTCTTTGGCTGCGGCCGCACCATCGAGACTGCCATGGAACATTCGATTGAGGCTGTCAAAGCCGCCCGTGGAACGACTTCACAGCAACTCTGGTCTCGAGTCATGCAAGACGTCGTTCATGTCGATGATCAAAGAAGCTGACTTTGTACGCTACGGGTCGACGAAAAAGGTGGTCAACCTTAGGAAACAGGAGCAGGACACGCTGTGGGATGGGGTTGTCTCGCATGACTACGAGCTGTTCTGGAGCATTGCGAACAAGCTTGTTCCGAGCGCAAACGTGTCGAGCTTCGACGCTGGAACGGGGGCAGGCTCCATTCGGTCTCCTATCGCTGCGCGCACAATGTCTCTCAAGCTCGGACGCACACAGGACGATCGGTCTGTAACCTCGATCCAACGCGGCCTTACAACCCAACCGAACGAGTCCCAAGCCAGCCTTGCGCCGAGCACAGTGTCGACCCTCACGAGCACTTCGTCGTCCGATGCACCGGCAAGTGGCACAGCGACGCCCACCGCAGGCAGTGCGGTGCGCAGCATCCCGCTCCGTTTCTTCCTGCCTGACAATGCCCCCATCGTGCAGGAACCGGTACCGCCGATGCTTGAGGATGGCAGGTCCAACACGCTGGGTGCTGTGCTCTCGGCGCTGTTCCCTCTGCTGTTCCCACCACCGCCGAGTTTCAGCAGCTTCCAAGCACAAGCTGCGCCGCTGGCATATGCGCTGGTGCAAGGGCTGAGGATGCCACTGGATGCAGAGATCGCGTGGTTGGGCAGTGCGCTCGTTGGACCTGATGGGTGGGTCGCTGTAGTGATTGGGTTGGTCAGCTGAGAGTGGTTCCGGCGATCTGTCTTGCAATGCTGACTAGATGCCATCTCTTTTATTATCGGCTAGCCCGTGGATGTGTGTGTTCATGTCTGTGAAACGTTAGTAGGCCCTGTCAGACGCTGCTTTGACGGTATACCACTACACATGATACAGACAAGCTTCTCGGCAATGGTGCCCGTTATTTGCTTATATGTTAGACCGAGTGAGTGTGGATCGGCGATTTGTGCTCTTGATGAGATTTCTGGAATTCGGGCACTTTGGTGACATCGAAGCAGATCGCGCTGCCCGTCGGCATCCAACTCACCACCACTGCCGCATCCCTTGAACGAGCTTCCTGATCTGGCATTGCTCAGCATTCGTATGCACAGCACTATTCACCGGCACGAACGCTGAGTGTGAATTGTTCTGCTGCTGGGCGTCTCGTCTCGACAATCGGCATCTCTCAGCATCTCTCGGCGCGGATCACCCACGAGTGTTAGCCCGACCCCCGCATTCAGCTTCAGCTCGTACGTCCACACATATAACCCGCGATCATGAACAACCAGAACCAACAAGGGCAGCAGCCCGGTCAGCCTCAGACCGCTGCGCAAGCTGCACAGTACAAAGCAGCGCTCATCCAGCAGCAACAGATTCAAGCTATGCGTGCACAAGCGCTTGCGCAGCAGCAAGCTCAGCAGCAGGGTCAGTCGTCCACGCAGCCGCAGCAGCAACAGCAACAACAGCAGCAGCCTGGTCAGCAGCAACCAGGACAGCAGCCACAGCAAGCGGCGAACCTGCAAGCGTTGCACGCCTTGGTGCAGAACAACCCGCAGGGCCTCGCGGCTCTGGTTCAGGCCGCTCGCGAGGGCAGGATGAGCCCGGATCAGCTGGCTCAGCTCAAAGCGTTCATCAGCGCTCATCAACAGCAGCAGCAACAGCAACAGCAGATCAGACCACCTCAGCAACAGCAACAGCAACAGCAACAGCAACAGCAACAGCAGCAGAACCAACAGCAAGTTCGTCCGCCTCAGCAGCAGCAGCAGCAGCAGCAGCAAGCACAGCCAAACCTGCAACAGCAGCAACAAATGGCTGCCGCACTCCAACAACAACTTCAACAGCAGCAACAGCGTAATGCGCAGAATGCTCAACAGCAGCAGCAGCAGCCCCAACAGCAGCAGCAGCAGAACCCGGGCCTAGCTCGGCCTCCCCAGGGTGCACAGCCGCAAATCCCTCAAACCGAGCAAGCGCTGTTGGAGCAATTCAATCGCATCGCTCAACCGCTCAGGATGAAGGTCCAGGCGTTGGAGAGCGCGCTGAACAATCCCAACTTGAAGCCGGAGGAGAGGCAGCAGTGCCAGAACGCGCTGCAGGAGACGAGGAATCAGCAAGCTGCGTTGGCGAAGCAGATCCAGATTGTGAGGGAGAGCTTCAGGCAGCAACAGCAGCAACAACAACAGCAGCAGCAGCAGCAGATGGGGCAATTGCCTCAAGTGAATGCTACGGCTGCACAGACGGGTACACCGCAGCAACAGCAGATGGCGAGCCCGGTGGTTCCGCCTGCGCCTGCTGCGGCTGCTGGGACACCAGCCACACCTGTGCCGACGTCAGCAGCAGCAGCAACGCCAGCAGCCTCGGGAACGCCCAAAACGCAGGCGAAAACCACACCCAAGGCTCCTGCTAAGAGCAAAGCAGCGCTGAAGAAGGAGAAAGAGGCCAAGGAGAGGGAGGAGAAGGAGAAGAAGGAGAAGGAGGCGAAGGAAGCCAAGGCTGCGAAAGCGGGGGGCAAGGGGAAAGGTGCAGCGGCTGCGGCTGCGACAAATGCGACTGCTTCGCCTGCTCCCGCTGCTGCGATGGCCAAGTCGTCGCCTGCCATTGGCACGCCTGGTCCTGCGGCTGGTGGCGTGGCTTCCACACCTGCCACGCCGGGATCTACCGCTGTAGCTGCAGGAGCCAAACCGGCAGGAAGCGCCATGATCCCTCCTCTTCCCGGCTCCATCGCAGCCCCCGGTGCTGCACCCGGGACTGCACCTGCAGCGCCCGCTGCCGCCACTGCTACCGGCTCCACCCCTACCCCTCTCTCCGCGATGTCGACGTCCACCGCGGCCACCTACACCAACGCTGCCATCCCACCCGTGCTCAACGTCAACCCTACATCGACACCGGAGCCGTATCCGAATGCTAGTGGACCACGATCCTCGATGACGGCGGGGTTGGGTGTGGCACCCGTTCTGGGAACACCTGCGATCCTCACCCGTCCCGCGGTGGAAGGTGGAGACGAAGCGCTGGACGAACTTTTGGGCTTACCCTCTCAACGCACCTCCGCGGCTGTGGACGAACTTCTCTCGCTCCCCGTCGAGGAGGACATCGCCTCCGCAGCCGCAGCTACCGCCTCCACCGCCCTTTCCACCTCCACAACCATCCCCACCTCCAGCTCGTCCATGTTGACAAAACGCAAGATCTCCGACCTCATCTCCGAGTTGGACGCAAACGAAAAACTCTCCGGTGCCGTAGAAGATCTCCTCCTCGAACTAGCTGATGAGTTTATAGAGAGCGTTACTAGTGCCGGATGTAGGTTGGCAAAGCACAGAAGAGCGGATAGATTGGAAGTCAAGGACGTTCAGGTACATCTGGAGAGAAACTGGAATTTGAGAGTCAGTTTCCCGGGCGTTCAACCGGTCGCTCCGCCCAGGGTCAAGGTCGGACCACAGACGGGCGGCAACACTACAGGTGCAGCGGGTGGAGGAAAGTAAGGATGCAGCCGCCGGTCGTAATGTCAACATAAAAGTTGGTTCGTAATCATCGATCTGTGTGTGTTTGTGTAAGGATCCGTCATCCATCTCCTCCAGCCGCTGTGTCCAGCCACGAGCCATCCCACACACCGCACACACCGCTCAACCATCCCTTCCCCACTCATCCATCCATTCACATTCTGAAACACTTCACATTCAAGATCTTTCATATTGATAAAAACAACATCACCACCAACACCATCCCCAACGCCATCGCTGAGTTTGTCGAGACACGCACTACAACCCAACTCGTCCGTGCCAATTGTCCCGACCAGGACGTTTGCTCGGCGCAAAGGGTTTCCTGTACACCACGACTTCGTACTTTACTGGTTTCGGCTTGACGGTCGATTGCGGCTGCTGCTGTCTGGGAAAACCGAGGACTGGGACGGACTTGGCTGTGTTCGTAGTGGCAGTGGCAGCCTTGGTACGAGGCTGGTTGCCGGAAGCAAGAGGTGCCGGAACGACCTTCGTTGCAGGGGATGAAGATCCCACAGCTGCGGCAGCAGTTGCAACGGGAATCTTCTTCTTGACGGGCTGAGCGCTGCCACTCGAGGCAGATTGCGTCATGTCGTTCGAATCACCTCTCGTGACTTTCTTGCGCTTGCGAGTTTGTGCCGTCTTGTTTGGACTGGATTGAGCCGCCGCAGGCTTCGCAGCGACAGAAGCCTGGCTCGTAATTCCAGCATGCGAGCTGGTCGGAGCGGTCTTGGCGCCCACTGCTTGCACCACGAACCCGCTGGGTCCGGGTATCTCGAATGTGAGCTTGACTTCCTCACCTGTGCTTCCACTCGCTCCCGCACTTTTGCCTCCCGAAGCTGCATTCGCCTTCTTGTGCAAGCCAAAATTCGTCTTTGCCGGCTTAGTGTTCGACTCTGAAGCAAGCCTTGTATTCTGTTGCAGGGCTTTTGGAGCTGGAACCGTGACGGTGTTTGGAACTGAAAAGCGGAACCCTCCGGCGACGGCGGCTGCTGGCTTGGCGAGATTGAGACCGACGGACGCAATCGTGGAAGGAGACATCGGAGCAACTTTGCTGGCGCCCAACGGCGTGACGTGGCCGAACGATCTTTGGGGTGGAACCGAAGGCTTAGAAGGAGTAGTACCGAGGGCTTTGTCCTCCGGTACAACCGAAGACCCAAAGCTAGAAAAGAGCTTTGACTCTTTGGCCTTCCCTTTGCCCTTTCCATCCTGAGCGGTACCGCCTTGTTCTTCCTGCTTGACGGCGTTGCCAGCCTGATTGGCCGCCTTACCCTTACTTTTCTTCTTGATGCTCTTCTTGCTCTTCTTTTTGCCTTGCTTGCCACCCGAACTTGTACCCACTCCTTTGCTGTTCCCCTTACCGTTCCCCTTGCCTGGCCCGCCATGGCCGTGATGGTCGTCGCCCTTGAACAGGAACCCGCCACCTGATCGACGTCCCAGCGACGACATGAGTTTCTTGGGTTTCAGGTCTGTCATGATGTCCATGTACTCTTCGTAGTCGTCGTAGAAGCCGCCGCCATAAGGAGGGTAGCCTTCGTCATTGTCAAAGTAGAAGCCGTCGTCGATTCCATACATGTTGTCGCCGAATCCATATGGAACGTCGTCTGGGTCGTAGAGATAGTCCATGTCGTAGCCGCCATCGAGCCCGTACGGATCGTCGAGATCCATAGGGGGATAATCGTCACCCCAAGGATCGCCGAAGTCGTACGGATTTCCTGCTTCGTACGCGTCACCAAGACCACTGCAATCAGCGCATTCGCAGTGGCCCTCATCGACATGGAAAGGGGAAAGGAAAGCTTCCATGTCGACAAAGTGACCATTTCTTCCAGCGACCTTATTCTGCTCGTTCTCGCAAGCATGACCCGACTCCATGTCTCTCTCCAGCTTGTCTGTAAAAAATTCTTGCAATCTCCACACTCGCATGAACTCGTTAGCCTCCCACGTCTCTGAGCTCCTCTTACCATCACCTTGCAGTGACGGTGTAGCGGCTTTACCATCTTCTGCATTCTTGCGCCCTTCCGACCTGTCTGTTTCCTGCTTGCCCTTTCCGGAGTCGTGCGAAGTTTTACCCGCCGGTCTAGCTGCGAGCGGGGGCTTCGAGGTGGCATCGAGCATCGACGCGTGGTGGTCGCACAAGTCGCCCATCGCTGGCGGAGCATACTGATAGCCACCAGGATAGCTCACGTGATCATCGTAGATCCGGCTCGGGGTCATCTTTCCATTGTACTTGAAGCCAGAGGTCTCGTTCCAGTCGTGGCCAAACATCGCCACCATCAGACTATCGCCAAAGGCGATCATCGCCTCCTTCCTTCCGGCAATGTCATCATCGAACTTCGGCAACTCGATACTACGAAAACGGCGTGTCTTATAGGATAACCAGAGCACTTTTTGAGTGTCCAGAAAGGTAGCTTGGCGTGGCGTGAGGGAGAAGAGATTGACAGAGGGAAGCTTGGCGATGATCGGCGAGAGCGCCATCTCTTGTGTCATTTCGAATGGGGTGTAGCTGAGATTGCTTCGAGCGATTGACTCTGCCTGCGATCGCTTGTATTTTCGTAGCCGTTCCGAATGGGCTGCGTATCCAGTCGGGTCGAAAATCGGGTCGGGAGCTGGACCAGGACCGGAAATGCCGGCATACGGAGATGTCATCACTGATGCCATGAGCTGCTGGAACAGCATCATGGCAGCAGGATCGACGGTAGCAGGGTTCATGGTGTAGGCGTCCCGAAAGACGAACGTCGCCCGCGCGATCGATTCGAAGGAAACGCGGTAGAGGGATTGCGTACCGACGAACGAAAGTAGGCTGTTGGAAGCGACGGTGGTGAGGCTGTGAAGAAAAATGCAGGCGTGTCCGGACCCGATACTTTAGAATGTAACAGGTTCGCCAACGACAGGATGCAAGTTGAGAGTGAAGGCTGAGCCAAAGCTTGCCCAGCGCACAGCTCGGTCTTTTATACGGCTGAGTAGTCGATCATGGAGCTGATTGTGCCTTCCGCTCTTCACGGATTGCGGTGGGACCGCTGCGTGACGATCTTAAGAGTTGCGGCACAGTATTGAGAATTCTTTGAAGTCACAACATCATTCTTGCGTGCCTTTTGCAGAGTGGCGGAATACAAATTGTATTTTGCAGCTTCCCTTTGATGCGCAGCTTCCCTTTGTGCTTGGACCTCCTCCGCCCACTTGCTCAATTCAAACCGTTCCGTACGGTCCGGGTTGTCAGCGCAGGCACGGCGAGGGATCATTTCAATTCGCACAACCGCCGCGACCGCACAGAGTTGGGAGCTGCGTAGACATCGACCAAGAAAGGCTCTCTCGTGAAGTGGCGTTGTATGGCGACATCTTTCTCACAATCAACAAGCAAGATCACATCAATGATTCATAACTGGATGCTGAAAGACTGCATTGTGCCCTGCGAGAAACATGAACGAACAATTGAAGACAATCAAGCAAAGCTGAACAGCATGGCACAAACGTCATGCGTACCCGTCTGATCCACCTTCCTCTTCTTGGCCCTCTCGGCCCTCTTCAGCTCTTCGATCGCCTCTCTTGCTTCCCTCTCCTCGTCATCCTCCTCGTCGTCGTCTTGGCCCAACTTACGCTTTCGTTCCGCACGTTCCCTTTCGACTTCCTCTTGCTCCTGCTTCTCTGCTTCCGCTAGCGAGGCTTTCGCGCGCAACCTCCCGCTGGTGCTCGGGAACACGTCGACGCGGTTGTGAGCGGTGACGTCGGTCGATCCACCTGCACCAAAGCCTCCTGGCAAGCTGTAGGCGAGCGCGGGGATACGCTTCTTACCGACACCGTCTTTGGGCCTGTTGAGCGTCTTGCGAGTCTCGGTCTCGAACAGCGTTCCGTAGGTGATGTCGAGGAAATCATCGAGACTGTATCGTTCTCTCGTGAATGGTTCGGCCAAAATTCGGGCGAGGCTGGTGACCGATCCCAGGTAATGTGCCTCTCCGGGCAGGACGCTTTCCTCGTCGGCACCCATGGCAGGACCTCCGCTGTTTCCTTTGGCTACTGCTGCTGCGCCGAAGGATGCCAGCTCCCACAGGGAGCTCTCGAGCGCTTGCGTGTTGAGTGGATCCGTTCCGAGGGGATCGAAAGGATCCGAAACGCCAGCCGGTCCAATGTTGAGTCGATCGCCATCCCATTCCTTGTGCACCATCGAAAGGCATCGAGGGTGCTTCTTGAGCAGGTTGTAGACAAAGGGAACGACAGACGCGATCGCTGCCGGCGGGGCGCGCAGACTGAGGCGTGAAAGCCGCTTCACGAAGCTCGCTACGAGCGCCGACGACAAATGCGTCGACGACAAGAACGTCTCGAGCATATGCAGGAATCGCGCACGATACTTCATGTGCAGCACCGACGCATCGAGCATCGAGTAGAGTCGAGTGTAAAAGTGCGGATAGTCGAGGTTGTACTTTGTCACCAGCGTGAAGATGGCGTTGAGCGCAAGCAGGGCGGTGGCGCCGCGCGAGTCGAGGCACGAAACGAGGAAATCGTGTAGCATGGTAGGTTTGGTGAGGTGTGGAAGGATCTGCGCGTGGAGTCGAACGAGAACTTCGTGCGTTGCTGCTAGACTCAGCATGCCACCGATGATCGAGTTGGGAAGGACACCGGCAGCGGTGGCAGAGTCGGCGGTTTTACGGCGTGGCAGGAGAAGGTCGAGCCATGCAGTCGAGAATGCGCTACGTTGAGCGTTGATGCTGTGCATGGCTTGATGGAACGTCTTTTGCTTGCGCTTGCTCGCAGCAGCAGAGCGAGCGGCAGAACCGAGTCCACCGAAGGACTTCTTGTCTGCTGCACGCCGTTGCTCGCCGGCTGTAGCACCTGCTCGAGCTCCGCCTTCGTCGTCGGAATCCGAGAACCAGCCTGCCATGTCATCCTCTTGCTCCTCCTCTGCCTCCGAGTCTCCATCGTCGACGACCGAGAGGTTCTTGCCATTTGCACTGCTGCCTGCTCCCTTTGTCTTCTTTTTCTTCTTTCCCGCGGCTCCCGGCGGAGGGATGGAGAGCTCGTCGACCAGAAAGTTGTTGAGATCGTCCGAGCTTAGCGGGATAGCAGTGAGCTGGATCAGCAGCGTCAGCGTATGCGCTCGCAGAAGCTGATTGCCGATGATGCTCGCAGATGGCTTGCGCAGCGCATGGCTGATCTCGCGCAAAGTGGCGAATCGAACGTCGTCGTACTCCTGCAATCCGCTCTGCACGAATTTGGTTCGTACATCTTCGGAGACTCCTGCTTCGACACGAACAACTTGATATCGAGTTCCTGCATCTCCATGCCCGAGGTTTGCGAGGCTCGGAGGACCGGCAATCAGAGCGAGCGACAACGCGCGCCAAGGCGATGCGGACCACAAGGCTGCTGGGCTTTGCACGGGTTCGGGAGCGTCCTTCTTGCTACCCGAAGCTGGTTTGGTCTGGGCCTTTGCAGCTGATGCAGCGTTCGTGATGCGTGTCAGTGAGGACGATGCAGATGTCTGAAGCTCTACCAGCATCTGCAGCGCTTCAAGACGAAGGCCCTCGACACTGTGCCCGAGGAGACCGCAAAGAAGCTCTATCGTCTCGTTCCAACGCATCCTGATCCAGTCTTCCACCTTTGCTTGTGCTTCCTTCGCTTGAGCAGAGGCCGTGGTAGCGACCTTGTTGCCGGCTTTTGCGCCATAGGAGAGAATGTAGCCATCCTGATCGACGTCCTTGTCGAAAGGTATTCTGTCCTCGCCACTGAGTGACTTCATAGCCCTGACCAACACAAGAGATGCTCGATGAAGTGCCGCAGCAGCTTCCTTCCTCTCCTTGGACGTGCTATCGTCTCCAACCTTGGCAAGTTTCTTCGAGATCGTCAGAAGGTCGGAGAGCGGATTGAGGTCGGAAGACGATAGGAGGGCAGCCTGGAGTGCCTGCACCTGTTCCAATGGCGATTTGGTCGCAGAGCCTGAGCTGGCGCTGGAGCCAGCTTTCTTGCTTGAAGTTGCCTTCGCCATTGTGATGATGGGACAGACAACAGCAAGAGTGTGGTTAATTTTGCGATATCGTCGTGAAAGTGGGAGGAAAGGCTCGAACTGCAAGCAAAACCTCGAAGTTTTTCCTGACCGCTGCTGCTCTTCAGCCTCGGCAACCGCGAAGAAACACCAAACCGAAAAATCAAAAAATGCGTACAAAATTCCGGGAGTCGGGATTTTTCCTTCTCAGCCTGACCATGTGGCTTCCCTAGCACCAACCTCGTCCTCTCAAGATTTGTTGGTCTCGGCGCAACCAAAGAGACATGTATGGCCAGCACATCATCGATGTAGCAAGAGAATCTGGAACGAACGATGGCAATTGTTTGAGATGCGACGAGATTGCGTGGATGAAGGTTTACATGCAGGAGGGTTGCAGATGCGAGTGCCAAGAATGTCACCAGGACAGACGAGACGGTGTTTGTAACGTAATTATAGAAAAGCTATGGGAGGCCACGAATGCGATGTAAGGAGAGGTGGAGCGATATGCGGACGTGACTAGAAAAGTCGCTCAACGGAGAAGAGGCTGGAACTCCTGCACTTGGTACCAAAGCTCCTTGCGCAGATCCTCCTTGGTGATGCTCTCCTTTTGCATGTCAAAGTAGAAAAAGTCTGGGTCGAGACGCGGTGCGCCGGGCTCGTCATCCGGATCGTGGTATGCCGAGAGGTAGGGGTGCTGAAGACACTCCTCCACCGTCAGACGGTTGCGCGGGTCGAACGTCAACGTCTTCTGCAGAAAGTCGATGGCTTCCGGTGAAGCCTTCGGGAAGAGCGTTCGGAAATCGCGACGTTTACGCAAAGGCATGGTTCGAATGTAGTCGCGCGAGCGACGGCTGTTGATGTTCTGGAACTCTTCGAGAGTCGGCGTTCCAAGCACATCGAGGATGAGGGAGAGCTGCTGGTGATAGTCTCTGCCGGGAAAGAGCGGTCGACCGGTGTGCATTTCGGCCAGGATGCATCCGACTGCCCAGACGTCGATGGCTTTGGTGTACTGCTTGAAGGTGAGCATGATCTCGGGAGCACGGTACCATCGTGTGGCGACATACTCGGTCATGAATCCCGTGTCCTGGTCCGCGGTGAGCACGGAACGGGCGAGTCCAAAGTCGCACACCTTGAGATCGCAGTTGGCGTTGAGTAGTACGTTGCTCGGCTTTAGATCGCGGTGAATCACATCAGCGCAGTGCATGGGCTTGAGTGCGCGCAGCGTCTGATAGGTGAAGTACTGGCAGTGATCGTCGGATAGCTCCTGTGTGCGGATGACGCGATGCAGATCGGTCTCCATGAGCTCCTGCACCAAGTATACCTCGGTGAACGCTTCGTACGTGCTGGGCTTGATGATGTCGAGGATGCTGATGATGTTCTCCGAGACATCACACTCCTGAAAAAAGCGCAGCAGCTTGAGCTCTCGCAACGTTCGCAATGCAAACATCTGATGCTCGAACGGCTGGATCTTCTTGATGGCCACCTTTTGGCCCGTTGCGCGGTGGATAGCGCTGCAGACGACACCGTAGGCGCCTTCACCGATGATCTCGCACACCTTGTATTTGTTGCCTACGCGGAAGCTGATGGCGTTTTTGTGTTTTTCGTTACGCAGCATCGATTCAGAGGGAGCAGCGGCAGGCGCGACCGCAGCGGCCGCGTGCGTGTTTGTTTTGGTCGTAGCCGGTGTCGGTGCGGGAGCGGCGTCGGCATGCAAGGGTCCCGATGGTGGTCGTTTACCAATTTGATCGTGATAGGCATCGGAAGAGTTGCGAACAGGTTTGGGAATGGGTGCCATGTCGAAGCAGACATCGTCGACGTCGTGCGTCGGTGTCGATGGAGCGTTCGACGAAACAGATGCCAGCGAATCCACCGAAGATATCGAATGCGATTTCGAAGGTGGCCGATGCGATTGAGCATCGCCAGCGACGGCGGATACAGCCGAAGGAGCGGCGACAGGTGCATACGTGGTGCGGTAGTCGAACGGCCGAGACGCATTGTGTGAGACGGGCGGAGATTTGTGAGCGATCGACATATTGGATAGATCGTGTGGAAGCGTGGACGATGCGGAGGAGGCGTTTTGCAGATAGACACCGGCGTTGTCGAAAGTAGACATAGTGGTCGTTGGCGGAAATGAGGGAAGGTAGTGAGGAGACAAGATGGAATGTCAGAGACCTGTATAATGGCACCGCATACAAGAGGGTGAACGGAGCCTGCGAAGTCGAGGCGAAGCACACGATTGCAGGAGACGACGTTCGGAAGCTATATACGATCAAGCTCGAAAGCGTATACAGCAAGACGAGCAGAGCAGCCGAACACGAGACTTCAGGATCAACCCGAAAGCTCGAAGGTCGAACGACGATGAACGCAGCGTGGGGAGAAAGGGGGATGCAAGAAGCTTCCAAAGAGAAGCAAGGTCGGTGGTACTGGGCGAGAGACAAAGGGGGAGCGGAAACCGTTGGCGAACAAAGGGAAGCGTCGAGATGAAGGCGTCCGCATATAAGTACGGAGAGCGATAATGCCCTACCTCCGTCCGACAACAAGGTTCAGGCAACCTTTGAGCCTGTGCCACCACGACAATCGGCGTGAGAGTCCAGGAGCCCGGAGGGCCGTCGAGCAAGTTTCAGGGTTCAACGTGGCTGAAGGCCAAGAAGAACGCATGCGAAGCATGCCTCGCTCGAAGCCCCCGTTGTCCGAACACGCCGCTGTGCATACAGCCAGCGCCGCATGTAGGACTGTCTGCAAAGCATGAAAACCGAAGCCGAAGTGCGCATGCATGGCTGAAAGAGAAGCCATCGGCGCCTCGATTCCGCCTACTGTATGCACTCCCCGCGCCGATCCTGTGGCAGTTCGTCAAAGCACGCAGCGATTAGTAGAAGCAGGCGAGCTCGTTCTGCGAGGTCCGAGCGCTCGGAGCTGTACAACGAGCAACGGCACGGCATTCTGCTGCCAATGAGCATCGAGGGGCCTGCTGTCCGGCTCAGCCTCTGTGCGCCGGAATGCCAACAAAACTTTGAAGTCCGACACGAGACGCATGACAGCCATGTGGACGTGTAGCCGACATTGCTCATGGAGAGCGGAGAGTGATGTTGCGGCAAGTGCACGATCGTGCAGAGAGGGTGCGGTCACATCGCAACCCTATAATGTGTTTCTGTACCCCTACTCTTGCTAGCCTTGGCACGATAAAAGACGACAACGTGCAACTCGGAACCTGTGACCGAACCAGTGAGCCGAGCGTTGCATTCGTGGGTTCCTGACTGGCGGGCGCAACCAATTGGAAGGAGAAAGCGCACGACCGAACAGACCAGCCAGATCTACCCGCTAACCTTTTCTTTTGTTTTTGACAGCCAGCGAGGGCGCAAGACGTCGGCGCCTCGATTCCGACGCAAACCCTGCAGCCGATGCAAACAAAAAAGGGACACAGCAAACGGCGCCCTTTTTCAAGTCCGACAACCTCTCTGCTCCCTGTTGCCAGCACATGTGGCAGTGACATTCTGCACAACCCTCGTTTGGTCACATTTGCGCTCGGATAGCCGAGAACAAGCATGAATCTGCAATGGGTGCATCACCTTGGCAACCGCGCCTTACGCTTTCCGCGTGAACCCGCGCAAGCACGAGAGCGTGGTACTGTAGCGAGGCTGTGTTCCCCCCTGCCTTCATAGAGTGACCGAAGAGGAGAAGCAACGGTGGCGCTGCAAGGAGGAACCCCATCTCCCACGGGTTGAGCAACATTATGCGCTTCCACCTCCCCCTCGTCTGTCCTACTTCTTCCTGCCGGGACGGAAGCACGTCGGTGTGGTGCCGAAGCAGCGATCAAGAGCGGCACGGCCGAACAGTCCTGGGTGAACGCGACAACAGGCTCGCGGAAAGTGGTTCAGAACCTGCTCAGGCCGACATTGTCCTGGCCGAGCATGTGACGGAAGAAGAGAGAAGTCCAATTTTACCCGACCGGAAAATCGGATCCTTTTCCTCGGCTGGACCGTCGCGTGTTCTGAGACCAACAAACAAATCATCCCAGAGTCTGACACAAAGGTCCGCCCTCGCCGACAATGGACGCAGGCAGAATCCTTGCAAAACATGTTGCTCGGACGACATCGATCTTGCACCAGTTTGCATGACAATGAGGAAGCGCAGAATGTGGGATGCCGGGTTTGCATTCGTCGGATGCAGCGTCGATCGCGATGGAGGACAAAGGGCAGAGCGAGACAAGATGACACTTTCCAGTTGAGGGAGACGCGTCCGATTTCGCGACAAAGGGAACGAGAGAGGATGCAGAGCGGCCTTCTACAGGCGCTTTTAGGAGGCTGAGCGATCGTCCTTTCCAGGCGAACGCTTGATCACCGACTGTGCACCACTTTCTTCGCAACAAACTCACAACGGAAGATTGGGAGAGAAGGCAAGCGTCGCCAACCTGTCGTTGCATTTGCCAATCCGAAACCGACCTGCCGAACCGGAAGTCGTGGAGCCAGGAGACGTGTGTCACTTACCGTACTTTACGAACCGACGCATTGCTGCCATTGTCGACGTTGGGCTCTGTGCTGCCTTCCGTCTGCTGCTTGACATCCACGCCCTTCGACTCGCCTTTGGCGTTGTCCTTCTCGGTAACATGCGTATCGTGAGCTTCCGACCGCGCTTCAGCCTTGACGCCCATCTCGTCGACCATCATCGCTGAATCGGTCGCAGTACTGGTCTTCGTCATAACCACCGTCGAATCGGTGCAAGCTTGAGCAAAAGCTGGCTGCGAGTGATACTGTTCGACCTTGCCCTCGTCGCTGGTCTGATTGTTGACCTTGTTGACGTTTACGCTGACTTCCGAACTGCGAAAGGTACTGTGTTTGTTGTCGAAGGAAGGGTTTTGGAAGATGGCAGAGGTTCGATGGTGAGAATGGAAGTTGCTGGCGGTGGAAGACGGAGGAGGCTGCTGAAGGGAGGGAGCGGTAGAGCCAGGTAAGTGCGATTGAGCAACTGCGGAGGAAGGATACATCTCCACGTTGCTCATCTCGCATCCGGTCTGATCGAGGCAGTCCATATCAAGTAATGCGATCTGTGTAGGTCGAGTCTATTCAAGGATCAGCTTTGAAAAGCAAGAAGGAGGCGTGAGACGAAAGTGGCTCAGAGTCAATCGAGCTATCAGTCTTTGCTGATGAAGGAGGATGGAGGAGGGAAAAGATGAGATTGCGACGCGCCCTACGCCTTTCCTCTTTCAGGACAAGGATCGTAAGGATAGTGTCAATTCGAACTCGAGTTCTTCAGTGTGGTACAGAACCAATCATACCGTTAGCAATAGATCGCCAGCCAAGAGGGGACTTCGTTCGGATGAAGAAAGAAAAAAGTGGGTGCGAGTTCCCTCACGCAAATTTTGTTGATGAAGTATGCCTGTTGACTCGTTCCCACACTTTCTGATTCCCAACACATGAGCTCGATCCGGATCGCTCACCTTTCACGTACCGATCCGAACCGCCACATATCCCCTTCAGTCATCTCCTTGCATTGTGAACGATCTTCTCGACCAGAGACAGGGTTCTACTTGGGCGCAAGGCACGCCCCCCATTTCTTCCGATCGGGCACAGACTTTGACGCCGTAGATAGTGATACTGTAGATGGCTCAGTCAATTTCATCTCGCGGGTGGACACAGATGTCGCCGCATATCGCCAAGCTGCCACTGCATGCATCCTGCCCTTCACCTGAACACTCGGGTCCGATTGCGTACCGGCAAGAAAGAGTTGCTCGGACCGTCAATTGGAGCGCCAGACTCCCGAAAGACAGAATGACACGGACCAAACGGGCGTTGGGCGCAACAGCCTTCTATCGAGTCAATGAACGCGCAGGCAGGGAAAAAACTTGAATACTGCGGCAACGACCTTTCGATTCGGAAGCGGTACAAACGAAGCTAGAAGCGGATAATTTCGTCTACCTGTGCCGACTCTCTATGCGAAGTACGAGCATCAAGACGTCGCTTTGATCGATGACGCGAAACTTCTTTTGAGCCGATATCCACGTGTGGACTAGACGGCCACGCCACCTGTGATGCTTGACTGAAAGTGGCACTGCGTTGACGCATACTTACGGTGGTGGAGCGACGTGGTGATAGTGCAGACGATCGACTGGGAGAATGATCTTGCCATTGAATTGCAGGATCGTCCGCTGAAAGCCCTTGTGGAAAGACCGAAAGGTGGCCGGAAGGTAGACAGCTGTCGTAATACTCGGCGTATTCGAATGCGCTGTGTGGTTCGCTGATAGCCGGAGATGTACCGAGGGTCTTCTCGGCAGAATCTTCCTGTGGCGACATCTTAGAGAAACGAAAGCCTTCGTTCTTGGCTTTCGACAGAGCTTCCTCGTTGAGCCTGATCTGTGACCGTCGTATTCTCTCGAGCAGATTGACGGTCTTGGGGAAATTGACGGCTCGTTCGGGAGTCTGGGCGGGAGTGGTAGTCACGACAAAGTTCTGTTGTTGTGGTATTGGAGACCGCAAGTCTGGCAAAGCCTCATGTGGGACGGAGGCGGTGGTTCGACGCTTCATGTAATAGCTCAAACAACGGTCAATGTGTAGCTCGCCTCCTTCGAGCGTCGTTTCGCCATCTTGAGAGCTCGATCCTCGATTTGAATGTGGTGAGGGACAGGCGGCTCCGCGGTCACCCGTCTCTGAAGATGCGGTTACTGTGGCAGGTTGATCTGCACTGAGGGTCGATAGTTCAACGTCGTTGGCGTGCTGAGCACGGCTTGCAGAGTCATCATCTGGGAGTGCCACACTGTCATGCTGCTTCCGAGATGCTTTTTCCAGACACTCTGGTATCGTGTAGCGGGAAGGCTGTTGTCGAGACGACAATGAATTCGTCAAGGTCGGAAACTTCGAATCCGCCGGACTCTCTGTCAACTTGTCCCTACTGGGATATACGATTTCGATGCGTCGAGCTTCTTTTGCTGTAACGACTGCTCTGTTACGACTTCTACGTTTGCAGAGTAAGACGCCAAGTACGCCCAGCAGAAGCACAAGTCCTGCGGCCACGGCTCCTGCTATGATGCTGGCGGTTGGCCTGTGGCCATCATCTTGAGAAGAATGAGTCCGTGGAGTTGATGACTGGTTGGATGAAGGGATGAGCGCTTTCTGCGCGCTGATGGAATCCGTAGGTAGCTTAGGTGCGTCTTGATGTAATACGGCTGGACTCGGACCGCCACTATCGGCTTGCACCGGTGAGTTCGTCGTCTGCACTTTGGGAACTGCTCCCGATCCATCCGAGCCACGCTGCTTGCCATCGCTCTGCTTGTGCTTAACTTGCGCATGTTGGTGGTGCTTTTTCTGTTTTTTGCGATCATCGCGAGCCAGCTTGCGCATCCGTTGTCGAGGCCGACCTATCGTCTGCTGCAGTTCTGCTTCCGCGTCTCGCGGCATTGTTTGATCTGAGAGAGCTAGACGTTACAGCCATCTCAGCGTACCAGCTAGCTAGTAATGTAAGCAAAAGGATGTTTCAGGACACTTTTACATCACGGATCCAGATTAGGCGCATCTTGTACATCCGCATGAGCTGATGTTGAGCGACCTCGACATGAAAAAAGTGTGGGGTGTACAAAACGCCGATTGAAGCCTAGCTTTGCAGACCTTCATTCCGGATTGATGAAACAGGGGTCGTCTCATACGATCGGACAAGACTCCAGTGAGTTCCAAGGACTGTCAAGTGCAGCTCGCCGTTCTTGGACGAAGTATTCAGATGCTCGCTACAATGATGGTGCCTTGCTCCGGCTGCGTGGTCTAGCAACGGCGACTTTTTCGGCTACAAGATATGCGACCCTAGAACGGGCAAGTGTCCCCCTCAACGTCTTCATGAGCGAGATGCTCGCAACAGCAGAGCGGTATCAATACTGTTGCCGCACCCATTCCTCCTGTATGGGACTCACTGACGAACGAATGAATATAATGACCTTGCTACCTTTGGGCCTGTTGCCTAGTTCGCGGGACGAATGGCTCGAATGGCCATGTTATAGGCGCCGTTGTGATCACGATCGGCTACGTACTGACACTCCGGGTCCGAGCAAGCAAAGGTGCGACTTGAGCCAAGACGATCGTTGAGATTGCCGCACTGGCCGCACGTCTTGGATGTGTACGGCTCTGGTTGCACGAGCAGAACGGTCTGACGCTTGCTTTTGTATCGCTGATTGGTTCCATTCGACTGATAAATCGCGTGCGGATTGCAGACGCCGGGATCATCGGTGGTAACGACGATCGGTCCAGAGAGTTGCGTGGGAGCTGGACCAGGATCGTCGACGTCGAAGGGGAACAGGAAGTTTCAGTGGCCGTACCTGTCGAACTGGATCTGGAACTCGTGATTGGGCGATAACAGGTTGCAATTCTTTCCGCATGCAACGCAGTGGTTGACAAGGAACCTCCGTTGCACTTGACCACGGAGTCGGATCTGGGCGTGAATGTCTTCTTTGCGATACGACAAACCCATTGCGTCCCTTGCGTTGATCGGGCAGAGTTGCAGCTGAAGCCCGTGAATGCCAGACTCCTTCTCGTCAAATTTGATTGTCCCGGCTTTGTCAACAAACGTCAGCGTGAAGCCACGCTTGCGGTCTTTGTCGTCAGATGCCGGAGAGAGAAGGGGCGGGTCCGCCGGCCGAGCATGAGGTGCCGTGTTGTAGTGGCGGGTCAGCAAGCCTTGACGACTGCTGATCGCGTGCGCAACAAGCGTTCCGACTTTGCAGCTTTGCATGCATGAACAAGGTGCCGAACACATCGAGCCAAAAGCGAGCCGTGCGTCAAATTGCTAATCGCAGCCCCCATGCACCCCACACAGTGCTGCATCTCGACACAATAGGGTTTAGAGACCTGCGTTGCGATCTGAGAGCTGACAATCATGGAGACGGCTGCGGGGTAGAAGCGTCATGGACTCGGATCCTCGATGCCGATGCTAGCGTGTGCATTAGCGACAGCAATGGCACTCCTTTTGCGGGGGTGTAGTGCGCTAGATGTCCTTCTCAGAGCTGAGTCTCACCCAACGATGGAGTCTCTTATCGTGATCGCTGAATTCGAAAAAGGATCTCCCCGCCCGCGACATGGTTTCTTTTCCGGGAAGAAATCACCGAAGCACCGTTCCAGTGCCGCTCGCGTGGTTTGGCCGGTCCCTTAGTTTGGGCTGGATCAGGCTGTGCTGTGACTTACCCCTAGATGAGCAGACTCGCTTAGGTGACAGAAAAAAGGGTCCTTCTGGATCATCGACACCTCGGTCAAATTTCCGTCGAGGTGAATTCAGCAAAAGGGTTCCGTGCGTGCTTGCATGGTGCAGTCAAGCCACGTTGATGCAGCTGCCTTCTGTCTCCTGACTTGACGGAAGGGCCCGGAAACCTGACAGGATCATCCGATCCGCTACTACCTTGATCGAATTGCAACAGCTTGACTCTGGTCCACCATCTTGCTGCTTCTGACATCCAAACCGAGTCCACAGCAGACGCAGTGCAAGTTCGCGCACGAATCGTCCAAGTCAAGCCGGGCCGAGTGCCACCTAGCATCTTATACTCCCAGCCTCTTCGTCTGGCTCCAAATTCTCGCCATCATGCCGTCCCTCACGCCGAGCAAATCAATCCTACCCAAGCGACCGAGCATGCTGCGCTCATGGTCGTCTGGTCTCGGCTCCAAACTCTCCACCGCTACCACCACACCTACCGACTCTGACGCTGACGACATCGCCCTCGAAATCGAGCAGCGCAAGAAGGGCATCGACAGCCTGTACACCTCCACCGAAGCATACTGGTCCTACCTCGGCAAGCGGAAACCCATTCCGTTCGACACCTCCTCCCTCCCCGCCTCCGAGGACAAGATCGAAAAGGTGCTGCCCGTCGAAGCACTCGGTCTGGCGATGAGCTCCTACTCCACCGCTTTCCCACCGCACTCGACGTACGGCTCCTGCCTCGGGTTGCTCGGCGAAGCGCATCTCGAGCTGGGCGCTCTCCAATCCACATTCACAAAGGACACTTCGCGCATCTTCCTCGCCAGGATCGCACGCTCCAAAGCCACACTCGAGAGCTTCACCGCCGCACTGAAAAAGTTGGACGCAGCCAGCGCTCGTTTGGATTCAGCAAAGGCGAAAGTTCAGAAGAGTAAGAAGGAAAAACGAGAGTTGGAGGAGGAGTTCAGGTCGGCACAGGCGGGGTACGATGAAGCGGTGGCGGATGTGGAGAAGAGGGAGGAGGCGGTGAGGGAGTCGGAGGGGGAGGATTGGGTTTGTCTGACCAAGTACCTGGAGGCGCAGATGGAGTACGTGATGCAGGCGAGGGGTGTGTTGGAGCAGGTCAAGGCGAGATGGAGCGAGGCGCCGGCCGCGTTGGCGACGCCGATGACTCGGCCGAGGTCGTCGTCCTCGGTGGCTCTGAAGACGAGGCCGGCCATCTCCCGCAGATCGTCAGCGAAAGAGGCAGTCGAAGGGGAGACGAGTCGCTTCGCAAGCCAGTCGACCCTCAGCCTGTCCAACAGCGACCGTCCGTCGACCGAGACCGACTCGGAAAACCCAAAGAAGAACCGCCTCCGAATGCCATCTTTCACCAACACAAAGGGTACCGATTCGGTGTCGTCCAAGACAACGTCGTCGTTTAGTCGCACGAGGGCGAGCAGCTTGTTCGGTAGTGGAGAGACGAGTCCGGACAAAGACAAGTGGGGGTTTGGGAGGAAAAAAGGGGCAGGGTTTGTGAGCATGGACGGGGATGCGGAGGAGGGTGGTGCGCCGCCGAGGCTGCCGGTGAGACCGAAGGAGGGGCCAGGGATGAGGTTCAGCGTCGATGGGTCGGACGACGGCATGTCGAGCGAATCGCCTTTCTCGCCGGCTACTGGGTCGGACGGCTTCCTCGCCGTATCCAGAGCCCACGATACGATCCACGAACGCGGCGAATCGCAGTTGAGCGACATCCACACAGACCACTTCCTCACCTCGCCTCCCGTGGGTCTGCACCACACGGGGCTCTCGGCCTACAGCGAAGGCGGGGATCCCTTCAGCGGCGGTGCCATGTCCCCGCAGGGCACCGGTGGACAGTTCGACAGTGACGATGAGGAGGCGGGAGAGAGGCAGCGCCTGACCGTCGGCGGTGGTGCCAGAGCGGATAATGCGGGTGGGTGGAGGGGTGTGATGAGCGAGATGGTCGAGAGTGGAGGCGTGAAGGGGAGACTGCCGCCGCCGGTCCCGGGGTACGTGAAGGGCAGGAGTAGGACGCCACCGCCGCCTCCGCTGCCTTCTAGAAACAGTTCTTAGCGCTGCAGCGGTTTGCACGGTCTTGCGTGTCGCCCATTCAATAGACAATCTCAGTCACAAACAGCAATCAACACAAACGACTTCCATTCCGTTCCACTGCGTGTCCGCATTCCATCCGTATCACACCTACGATCCGCCCTCTTTTCGAGCTTCGCTTCCCAGCCTGCCTCTCACCAAATTAGCCCTCCTCACAGCTTCCAGACACTTGCCGATGCCATCGACATCGCTGAACAGCGTGACGTGGCGGTGGGAGCTTTCGACCACACCCTGCCCGTCGAACCGCATCTGGTATCTGTCAAGTTTGAGCCTCCCTTTTCCGGGACCTTTCTTTTTGAACGGTGGCCCAACTCCGTGCAACTCGGAAGGTAAGGATTCTGCTTCTTCGCGTTTGACGAGAAGCGAAGACCATCGACCGGGGAGGGAAGTTGCTGAGCGACGGGTGATGACACCATCGCCTGCCCCGTAGGTCATGCGTGAATAGTCGCCTGCTCTGACGTCGTCTTTCCAGCCTCTTGTGCCAGTCGCCGCGATGTCGGTGGAAGTCGAGTCGGGATCGACTTGGTGGGAGGCAGCATCCACACCGACAAGTGCACCTCGCACACATGGCGTACGTCCGGACGTCATGATCATGAGTGGTGGATAGCTGCCGTCTCGCAACTTGGATTCGTCGAATCCTTGCTCAATGTCAGCCCAGAATTGGCGTACCTCTCCCAGCGTCCGTTCGAGGTAGAGCCAGCTTTGAGTAGCATAGTCGAGCTTGTCAAAGTCGATCTCGTCGGAAGTGCTGTCCGACGCAGGTTGATTTCGTTCGGCGCCCTCGCGATTCTCCGGTTGAAGCGCTTCTTGCTCCTCTGCGTCGACAGGAAATTCCGCAGAAGCATCGTCCTGACCAGAAGTGGCGCCATCGGTCAAGCCTTCCATCACGCCCATGCTAAGACCGTTCGGCTTGCCCTTTTCTTCGCCCTGCGGACTCGCCACATCCAGCTCCGACGATGCGTCATTGACCGATCCGCTCCTCTGCACCACCTCAGAAGTTCTTTTCCCTGGACCAAAGTCCGCACCCGAATTGACGAGTGCAGCTTTGTCCTTCTCTTGCGCTGCACCAGTCTTGCGCGCCAAAGCAACCATTTGCTGCCTCCTTCCGACCTCCAAGCATGGACTCAAGCCGAGCTCGTTCCAAACGTTCGGATCGAGAAAGTCGACATTCTTGAATCGATCCTTCTTTTGCTGCTCGGTGAGATCTTCCTCATCTTGGTCAGGATCACCTACGGGAACCTCAAAGCACCTGCCGTCCGGAGGGAGCAGGTAGAAGCTGCTTCTGAAGCTAAAAGTGGCTCGAGGGGAGCAGATGGTGTCGTTGAAGAGAGCAGCATCGCCAAAGCGGAAAGGTCCGAGGATGTTGGGCGTGCCGCGGAAAGGCGTAGATGCAAATACGAGGCCTTCAAAGATGCGCGGATTGCTGCACGTGGCGAGAGCGTGCAGCGCTACGAGTCCTCCCATGGAATGTGCCACCACCTTGGCGCCTCGTTTACCGCTCCCCGTAGAAGAATCTGCGGAAGCGTCGTAGAGCTCTTCGAGGAACTTGATGAGCTTTCTCGACGAGCGCGCAAGGGAGAGGCGCCAGTCGTAGCCCCAAGCGTATACTTTGGCGTGCCTGCGACTCGCTATTCGCTCCTCCAGACGCTTGCCCATATCGACGAGCTTGCCGATGGATGTGCACATCTCGGACGAATAGACGAGCTCCTCCGACTTTTCCTCGGCGCTTGTCGACAATCCCAGCTCGAGAGTGGGTCGACGAAGGCCCACACCGACTTTGATGGGGATCCACATCATCATTGACGTCTCGGCATCTCGCAGCACGCTTCCTCTGTATCCTCCCATGATGACCACATTGCCTGAGAGATTTTTGAAGTAGTCGGGACTGCCAGCGTCCTTCTTCACAGTTGGGATGGCTTCAGGCTCGAGCATGTTGCCAGAAGGATTGGCCGCTACCTCCTTGCCATCATCAGTCGGGCCTGCAGAAGTGGCGAAGAAGTCAAAACTCGGCAGAAATCCCCAAGCGCTATGCATGGCTTCCCTCCAGCGCGAGGAAGTGGCTTCTTGAGAAGCAGGTGGCTGGAATTGGTCGTCGAGCCGGACTGGAGTGGTGACATCCTCGCGAGAGGCATGACGTGACACGACTGCCTCGACCTGAGCGGCATCTTCCATGGAAAGGCCGTAGCTGAAGCCGGATCGCTGTGCGGCGAGGCCGTCTGCGGCACCCTTGTACAGAGGAACTGGATGGGGACGTTGTGGAACCTCGCCTTGAGACTGCTGTGCACCGTTGGCTTGTGCATTGCCGTCTGCAAATGCGGAAGCAGCACCTACGCTCTTTCGGCGTGCTTTGGTGATGAGCTTTGAAGCGGTGGCGAACGGCTTCTTGACGGTGGAAATGAGAGAGCCGGACTGGGCATCGCCTTCCGTAATTTTCGCGGCGGCGGAGCTCTTGGGCAGGTCGTTCTTTTCTGTGGATGACCTGCGTCGTGCTTCGAGCCTGGCTGCGCTTAGATTCAAGAGCGAGCCGGAAGCAGGGAGCAAGCCACGATAATTGGATGAGGAGCCGAAATGGGTGTCGTAGAAGGCCTGCTTGGCAGTCGCATTGCGATGGGCTGGATGGATATACTTGGTTTTCGGATTCTTGCTGGATGGCTTCCACGGGTATGATTCTGGATAGACAAGATCGTCTGGATGACGTTGAGCGTCCTTGCCTGCATTGTCGACCCGAGTTGAGAGCGCAGCATCGCCGAGTGGGTCATATCGCTGCAGATAGGGTGGGGTCGGTTCTGGTTCGTCATCCGAGGAAGATGACTCAGAAGAGCTCAGTTCAAGAGCTGTGCCATTGAGAACGATCGACTTTCGCTTGGGCGATACGGGTGCTGAGACGAGTGTGCGAGATGCGTCAGCAGACGGAAAGGTCGATGCATTGTGATGAAATTCTGGCTGATGTGAACGAGAGCCGGTCGTGTTGGGTCTCGGGCGTGATTGCGATGCGATTTCATGGCTACGCCGCGCTTTTGCCGCATCTGACGGTGGAGCTAAGGACGATGAGGATGCCTGACTGTAAGGAGGATCGTACTTCCAGCCACGCTTACTCTCTGGGATGAAGCGGCCGTGGGCCGGTTCTGTCTCGTTGACGTCTGGCCTGGCCGTCGTTGCAGGATCTCTGAAGGAGGAGAGCAAGGAGAAGGAATGGCGCTTCTTGCTCGTCTCGCCTGTGCTGGTCATGATGAACACAAGACTGAGACGGCGAAGGGCATGTGTCTACCGTGTGGGGAGGGATGAGGTTGATGGTTGGCTGGTTGGTTGGTTGGTGGATGGTGGAGCGGAGACAGAGGCAAAGGGAGTAGGTGGGAAGAGGGATCATTGGACCATGTTCTGTGTCAGAGTACAATCCTTTGACACTTGGGACGGCCACAATATCCGAGAATAGCGGATCGGAGTTTCCGTATGATGATCTTGTTGGACCCTGATGACACGCTTAGCCGACGCTGGCTGGAAAATCGAGAGCGGCAAGTGATGCCGCCGCGGACTTGTTTTGCCGAGCAGTGCTGTGCTGGCTCGGAACCGCCGCGTATCATGCTTGCTCATTGCATGTGCTCCAGCGATCATTCGTTGCGGACCGTAGCACTTGAGATCGCTGGTGACCTGTGCGACCCGTGCTCAAGCATGCCAGTCGTGGTAGACTCGGATCAGTCAGACAGCAGCAGCCGAATGCCTCCACAAGCCCCTTTTTGCAGTCCGAGCGGAAGTGCTTTTCCGGCTAAGTTAGCGGCCAACATCGACGCGTTGGCAAAAGTCAACTGGATTAAAAGGGAAATCTATCCAAAAATAGAGACACAAAAATCAAGCGACCCGAACACTGTAGATCGGAGGTCCCGATTCGGCGAGGCTTACCAACGGATTGATCGCTGCTCTCCGCTTATCGCCATTATTGCAGGCTGGACGATCCTCGATCCGACGTCTCTGCCACACTCGCAGAGGTCACAGACGGAATCGATACCAAGAAGATATGTGTGTATTGTACAGGATACGAGCTCGTGGCTCTGATTTACAAAGCAGACAAAGAGGCAGGCAGAGCGGTGACGGTTTGCGTGGTGGCTGGGTTGGTTTGGGTGAATCCTAGAGGACAGCGGACGACTGAAGAATTCACGGTCGGCAATAGTCGGCGACGGGCGTAATGACAGCAATCTGACGTATTTGGAGCAGGTCTTGATGCATCACATGCGAAGCGTCCGACTGTTTGTGGTGATCGCGTTAAGCGTGAGGAGGACCTTGCAACTTGTCCGGGAAGCCTCTTTGGAAGAGCGACGAAGCGCGGGCTGCAGCGACGCTGCTGTCAAACACAAACTCGCCGAAGCCGAGGTACTTTTCCAAAAGTCCTCTTGTCGTGGGTTCCGAGATGCGTTGAATGTCAGGCTGAAGACCCGTTTGGCGCTTGATGCCGGCGAGCACTGTGGAGACGAGCAGCGCGTCGCCTGCGTAGTGCAACAATCGACCTACGACCATGTTTGTGTGCGCGTGATTGAGAAGCTTGGTGACCGGAAGGCGATGAACAGGGTAGGTGATATGGTATATGCGATGGAGGTGTGAGCTAGAGAGTCAAAGAGAGGGATAGCTAGAGATGCAAGTGGTCGTGCCTACCTTGCGCGCATGAAAAGTGACAGCTGTTGCAGATGCGTGGTGCTGGTCCGTGTCAAGAGACAGAACGCGCCTTTCCAAAAAAATAAATCTGGACGCGCACCTCTCGGATTAACACCTTTCAAACAAAATTCGAGCGCGATCTCATCTCGAATCTCGATTTCAAGAAAAATCTCGGGAACAAACACACACAAACGCTCGGTCCTCCATCATCATCATCATCTTCTTAACCATCTCAACACATCCTCAAGCAGTGTACGCAACCATGGCCTTCTCGTTCGGAACACCCGCAGCACCAGCTGCAGGCACAAGCGGCACCTCTGGATTCTCGTTCGGCGCCACACCCGCACAACAGCAGCAACAACAGAACAAACCCGCTACTGGTGGTTTCTCCTTTGGTACACCCGCAGCAACATCACAACCAGCAGCACCATCCGCTGCTCCCGCGACTACCGGCGGGGGGCTATTCGGAGGTTTTGGTAGCTCTCAGACTGGCGCAGCATCTGCAGCGCCTTCCGCGCAGGCACCCGCAGCATCGTCCACCGGCGGTCTGTTCTCGTTCGGTGCCAAGCCTGCTACCTCCCAACCGCAGCAGCAAGCGACATCAACGTTCGGTTCCGGCTCTGGCACGACTGGTGGTGGAGGTCTGTTCGGTAGCAGCAACACAAACACACAACCTGCCTCCTCCGGCACTGGCTTCTCCTTCGGTGCGCCAGCCAACTCCCAACAGCAGCAACAGCAGCCAGCACAACCATCCACAACCTCCCTGTTCGGTGCTCCCGCATCCTCCTTTGCCACCTCCAGCGCACAGCAGCCGGTGGCGCAAACCCAGTTCTCCCAACAAAACCAGCAGCAGCAACAGCTCACCCCCGCCCAACCGGACAAGAAGCTCGGCGCTCCCCTCTCATCCAAGCTCGAGCAGATCCGCGCCGCCTGGGACACCAACAACGCCGCCGCCTGTCGCTTCGTCTATTACTTCTACAACAACGCCGGCAACGCGTCCAACCTCAAACACATCCAAGGTCGACGACCGGACGCTGTCGGCGCCATGCACGACCAACTGTGGGCGGCAGCGATCCGCGAAAACCCGGATCCGAATCGACTCTACCCCGTGCTGGCGCTGGGGTTCAACGACCTCAAAAAGCGCATCGAGTCGCAGGCGCGCGAGGCGCAGAGGCAGCGGGCGCTGCTTGCGAACCTGGCAACGAGGCTGGCGGCGTTGGAGCAGAAGCATTCGCTCTCCAACTCGGTGAGGGCGCAGGCGGCGCAGAGCAGGCAGGCTCAGCTGCATCAGAGGTTGATCGGGCTAGTGGCCAAGACACAGCTGTTGGTGCCGGCGTTGAGGGGAAAGAGCGTGGGGCCGGAGGAGGAGAGGTTGATTGCGATACTCGAGGCGTGCGAGGCCGAGATCACGGGGTCGAATGCGGCGGTTGGTTCGCGCTCGGTTGTGCTGACCAATGCGAACGGCGCAGCGGGAGCTGGTGCGGCAGGGTTGCATGCTGCCGCCGCCCATCCCGCGAACCACGCGCGTCTGAGGGCGAGGATCAACGAGCTCTGGGCTCAGCTCGGCGTCGTCCGCGCAAAAAGAGAGATGCTCGCAAGAGAGGGCAGAAGCGCTACCACCGAATGGGCCGTCGTCGACCCCAGCGGGCTCGAAAACGTCACGCGCATCTTGGCGCAGCAGCAGCAGGGTCTCAACCATCTCAGCACCACGTTGGAGCACGACTCCAAGGCGATGGATACCATCACTAGCGGTCTCACGGGTGTCAAGTTGGTCGGAGTTTCAAGGTGACGATATCGTCCACGTTCTCACACACACACTTATGCTTGTTGTACGTTTCAGCCGTTTCGTTTTGAGGAAGATGGTTGGTACAACTTGGACCATGACTTCTTATGCCCGGCTGTGCGGCATGTGTTCAAAAAGGCGAGAAGCCAACGAAGGCAACCTGTCCAATATCCTTCTTCTCCTCCACCTTGTCCAACTTTCCTGTCTCGGCATCTCTGCTGAACACGACGATGTTCTGATCCGTCTGATGTCCCACCACCAGCCACTTTGCCTGGTCGTCCTTGCCGCTCTCGGAGCTCAAGCTGAAGTGTCTGGGCATCCTACCGCCGCTCTCGACCCATTCCTGGAAGTGCAGTTGGCCGGTGCTGTAGTTTCTGCGGAAGATGCTGATGTGGTCGGACTTGGTATCGCCGCGGTTGGAGACGTAGACGTAGTCGCCCTGGGGTACGACTGCGATCTCGGCGGTGGTGCGGTTGGTGGGGAGGATGCCTTCGCCGCTGAGGGGTACACCGGGGGGAGATGCGAGGATCGATTCTCCGATCTGCGAAAGTTGTCCCGTGGATTCGTCGACGGTGAATGCGCTGACTGTGTTGTCCAGTTCGCTGGCTAGGTAACCCCATGTCTTGCCGGAGTCGTCTTTGTAGAAGGTGATGTGTCTGGGACCCGATCCGATCTTCACATTTGTGCTGCCCGTGAACTCGACTTGTCCACCCTTGATGTGCAGGTGGTGGATCTGATCCGCACCCAAATCCACTACGTACACCCACTTCCCGCTCGGACTGATGCTCACCTGGTGTGCGTACGAATGATCCTGTCTATCCGCCACGGGTCCCACCTTTGGCTGATCGCTCGGTCTCGTAAACTGAATCACCTTCCTCGGCTCACTTTCCAACGTCCCATCCTCTTTGATCCCCAATACACCTGCCGAACCGCTGTTGTAATTCGCCACGAACAAAAACCCTTTCGACTCACCGTGGCCGATCAAACAGCTGACAGGGCCATCACCACCACTGCTCGTACCGTTCTTCCTCTGCTCCGACGTTCCGGTTTGAACGATCTCCCCCTTTTTGGGGTTGTAAGTGTGGGAAAAGATTCGACCCGGAGCAGCTTCGTCGACAGAGTAGAAGTCGGTCACCGAGTACAGCTTGTCTTTTGCACCTGGTCGGGTTGAATAAGCGATCCAGGAGGGTGAGGTTCCGGAAGCGTTGGCTTGAACACCGCTGGAGATCTGCACGAGGTTCGGATCGAGAGAGAAGGGTACGATGGTACCGTTGTAGCCGGCTGCGAAGAAGGTCATTTTGTGCTGCTTGTGATGCGGACCTGCGTTTGCTGTGCAGATGCCCGAGACGATAGCTAGTGTCCAAATGATCTGTACGAAGGTGAGCATGTTTGCAGCAAACCAAAATTCAGGATTGACGATGGAAGGCGTCGAAGAGGAGTAGTAAGAAACATACTCACGTTTGATGTATGCCGTTCTATCGCAACAGCTGCGTGTCGGAAAACCTTGTTCCTCCGATCGGACACCCAAGCTTGCCGATCAAAACAAAAGAGTACTTGCAGATCGAACGAGTGGCTTGGACAATGAGGTGACAGCAAAGCAAAGTGAGCTAACCAACCTGCATTATAAGCTCCAAGCGAATGGATCCACACGCAGCTTGGCTGGCGCTTTCGTCCGTGCACACGACAAAATTCGCCGGTCAAAGTGGGGGACGGGAATTCCCGAAGATCCTCAAATCCTCAACCGAATCCCTGCCCATCTCCGTCACACTTGTCACCAACTAAGATGGGCTGCTACTGCAGTCTCAATCAAAGCTTTGAGGTATTGCTGTTGAACGGCGATCGTCCGCGCTCAAATGAAACAGGAGGTCAAGCCATGGTGTGAAGAGCAGCCAAAGTCGCGTGAACCCTCACGTGGCTTACAACCGAAACCGACAACTTGTCCACGCCGATCTATCGCTATCTCCCCGCCTCCTCGAGCGCTTTCAACCACCTCGGCTTCAGCTTCTCCCTCTGTTGCCTGACACTCAAATCGTCCGCCGCAATCGTCTTCCACGCCTCCTCCCCGCTCACACTTCTCCCATCCTCCAGCTTTGCTTTCGTCAGCGACCGATCCACATCGTACCCGTTCTCCTGGATGCTAGCCATCATCTTCCTGCTGTTCAACACCGCCGGGATGGTTTCTGTCAGATAGCGACGGTTGGCGTAGACGTTGTGGGAAAGACGTTGGACGTGAGGCGATGTCCAGTGGATGTATCTGCCTAGACCGGCTTTGCGGTCGGGATGGTTGAGCTCGGCTTTTCGTTCCTGCTCGTTCGCTAGTCGTTGGAACGGTCGTGGTTCGGTGGGTGATGTGGCGGCGAGCAGCTTGGTGCGTTCGTGACGGTCCTTTTCGGTGGGTGTCATGGAGGCGATCGGCGGGATGGTGGGAGAGGTTCGTGTTTCGAAGGCTTCTCGCTCGTCTCGTTCCCAGTGGATCCAGTCGGCTCGCTGCAACATCTCTAGACTGCGCTGTTCTACCGCCACTTTGATAGGTAGCTCCGAACGCAGCTTTTCCATCATCCTCGATCGCAGGTCCGACCTGAATGCCTTTTGATTTTCCGCATCCTCTTTGTCCAACTCGGCCTCCCATTCTTCCCTCGTCTTGCGAGACTTTTTCGATGCGCCCTCTTCCGCCTCGGCGTCTTTCATCTCTTGTGCGTACGCCTTGCGTCTCTCCTCCCGCTCCTCCTTCCTAGCTCGCTCAAACATCTCGTTGAGCGTCGTCTTGATCGGCGTGCGCGGGTACATGTCCAACAGATCCACCTTGAGCGGTTCCGTCTTGAGGAACGACCATTGCCAATCTTCGTCCTTCTCCTTCATGCAGAATTGCAGTCCGTTGGTATCCCACGCGCCCAACACCATGGTGATGAAATGTCGATCGCCGGTCTCCTGGTCGGCGTAGCTGAACTCTGCCATGTGGAGCGGCATGAGGATCGGGTACGCGGCCATCATATCTAGCTTGAGCGTTTCGGGTTCAAAGCGTACGGGAGGAGCGGTGATCTGTTCCCCCTCCTCGTTGACTAGAGCGATGGTGAGCCCCAGTCCGTGCACGCCGCCTCCTGGAAGCTCGATACCGGCGGCCAAGTCGGGAGTGAAAGTGACGTCCTTCAACTCGAGCTGTCTCCTGATCATGTCTGGCAAGCACAAGGGCGAAATGGTGAAAGGCAATGGATCCGGGATACCGCCTTTGATCTGCACCTTTGATTCGGCCTTTCTCTTCTGATGCGATTCATATGACTCGTAATCGGCCATGGCCAAATTGTCCCAAGCGTCTTTGGGTGTGTGTGCAGCATACTCTGGGTCTTTCCCCATCGTGGGCATCATATCGTGCGGTGGTGGTGGGATCATCGGTATCGAGTCCATGGGCTTCCAGGAGTGGCCTGGAAACCTCGATGATGTGGTGATGAAATTTGCTTCGGCCCTGCCGTCGTTTCCTCGACACTTGATCTCAAACGATGCGTCGACGACCCAAGTTGGTAGATAGAGCGCTGTCATTCGTTCGAGCTTGACAATGTTGCCGTCTGGTTCCGATAGGCTCTTGATGCCGATGAGCGAGAGGAACTGGTGCTTGATCATGGACCATCTGCTCATTACGCGAGGCATGACCTCGGTGGTTGCTAGCGTGGTGAGGTAGTCTTTTGCAGCTTTTGTGGGTACTCGGAAGGGGATGACTTCGACTTTGGCTTGTTGATGCCGTGGAATGCCGGAGCTGGATGCGACAGGCGTGGAAGACGTGGATCTTGGAGGTGGAGATGTGGTCGCCGGGGTCGATGCGCTGGGTGTAGCTGGGATGCTTGTTCTCGTGGAAGGTGACGAAACCGCAGAGGCACGAAGGGAGGATCGAGGTCCGTGAGTGGGAGATTCACGCCGCCATCGCACGGCGGTGGTGTGCAGGGCGGAACATCGTGACGGGCAGGTGCTCCGGAGCGAGATACTGAGAGCTGGTGCAAGCCGCGATGGCCCTGCTTGCAGCATACGTGCGGCGCTCATCGTTCCTATGCTCGTGGTGTATGATGTTGGTGAAGAAGCTGAAACGTTGTTCGCCTCGTTTAGCCGTGACAGGGACAAACGAGCACGGTCCAAATTTTTCGAAACGGAAAGCGTGACGTTGAAAGGATCGGCAAGTCAGACGACGCCAAAGTGCCTTTCTTCCTAATCCCACACTCTCGCCTTTTCATCTCATCACCTTTCACTTCTCCAGCACGCACCTCGTTCGCACCTTTCCACCATGCTGGCTCGCTCGCTGCGCTTAGCAGCTCGTCGGCCACAGACGTCCCTGCCATGTCGCCGACTGGTTCGACACGCATCATCCTCCAGCAGCAATGCATCTTCCGACTTCTTTGCATCTTCTGCAAAGCTCCCAACCAACAAGATGGCTCTCGCATCGTCAGCAGCTGCCGTCCTTGGAGGTCTGGCACTGTACGCTACCTTGGCCCCCAAATCATCCTCGACCTCCTCGTCCGCTGTACATTGCGAAGCGGCCAAGCCCACCCCTGCTTCTGCCACAAAAGGCGGCAACCAATCCGACCTTCCCGAAATCTCTCACCTCGACCCTAAAGTCCTCTCCGATACCTCGGCTCCCATGCGAAAGCGTATGGAAACGTACATCAAGCTTCTCCAATACAACATCGTCTCGGCTCTCTCCCAGGAAGAACCAAAAGCACGCTTCCTCATCGACAGCTGGCTTCGAAAGGAAGGCGGAGAAGGGATCTCTTGCGTCCTTCAGGACGGCTCTACGTTTGAGAAGGCTGGCGTCAACATCTCGGTGGTGCATGGAATGCTTCCACCAGCAGCGGTCAGGCAAATGAGTGCCGACCATGCCGGGCTCATGGACAAAACGGGTTACAAACTCGAGGGCAAAGATGCGGACGTCAAAGGACTGCCCTTCTACGCAGCAGGATTGAGCCTCGTAGTGCATCCCAAGAACCCGTTCGCACCCACAGTACACTTCAACTATCGATACTTCGAGTTGACCCATCCCGAAAAGCTGGCTGATGGTTCGCCCAATCCGCGTCACCCGAAAAACCGCAAGGATGGAAAGCACGACGACGAGCCGGTCGCATGGTGGTTCGGCGGCGGAACGGACCTGACGCCCATCTACCTGTTCGACGAGGATGCCAAACACTTCCACTCGACCCTCAAGTCTGCGGCTGATCAGCACGATGCTTCGTTCTACCCGACGTGGAAGAAGTGGTGCGACAAGTACTTTTTGATCCCACACCGTGGTGAAGCGCGCGGAGTTGGAGGCATCTTTTTCGACGACTTGACTCTACCGCAGTGGGCCTCCTCGGACAAAGCATACATTCCTCTATCGGATGGCACCAAGCCGTCGCCCGCAGCACCACTGGTACCGTCGATATCGTCGACCAAACCACACTCTCAAGATTCGCTCTTCGCTACGGTCCGCTCCATGGGCGATGCCTTCCTGCCCGCCTACCTGCCTCTGATCCAGAAGCGCAAGAACACGCCCTTCACCGAAGCACACGAACGATGGCAGCAGATAAGGAGGGGCAGGTACGTCGAGTTCAATCTGGTCTACGATCGCGGCACCAAGTTCGGACTGCAGACTCCCGGAGCGAGGATCGAGAGCATCCTGATGAGTCTGCCGTTGAAGGCTAGATGGGAGTACATGGAGCGATACAGCGGAGGCGGGGCGCAGGGGAGGGACGGTAAGGCGACCAGGAAGGCTGATGCTGATGGCGGAGACGAGGAGGAGGGCGTGCTGGAGAGACATACGCAGAACGCGCTGAGGACGCCGCGAGATTGGGCGTAGAAATCTCTGTGTCAAGTCTCGATAGAAGGAGAGCACCTCTCATGCTTGTTTCTCGTGTGTCTGTGCAGTCGTGCGTGGAGCTGCCAAAGGTGGATATCGACAATACTGTCTAGGTAACACCAAGGCGCTGAATGTGTCTAACGGGATCTATTGCATCAATCGGGGTGACTGCTCCAGACCAGGGGAAAAACTCATGGCGATCAGGGATTAGCCACTTGATCGGCCAGCCTGGAAGTCAACTCTGCCGAGGTATCCTGTGACGGGGTCGAAGTCTCGGCTACGGGTGAGACGATGGTCTGTGCTGCTGTGGGGTTTGACGTCGCTGGAGTGCTTGTGTCCGGGTCATGAATCTGCTCTGTCTGCTGACCGCGTCTGCCGCTGGTACCACTACCACCTGCCTGGTTGCCTGGCGTGGTCACGGGAAACGGCAGCAGTGCACCGGGATTGCTCTTCCCCACCGCACCGTATTGACCCTGCCTACCCGACCCGGTCCTACCTGCTCCGCCGGCGACGGTCGGGTTTACATTCTGCAGCGTGAAGTTCGGTGGTGGAGTAGCTAGCAACAGATAGTGACCCGAACTTAGACCTGTTGGTCGGTCCATTCCCATCAGACTCAATTTGGGAGTCCTCGAAGACGAAGAGTATTGATTCGAGGCGGATCTGGATAGACCCGATGATCGGTCGAAGGAGCCGGAGAGATGGAGCGAAGTTGCTTTCGAGGGCGAATTGGTGCGTGATCGGGGACGTCGACCGGGGCTGGATTTCGTCGCGCTAGGGACGCGGAGGGCGTTGCTGGGTCGGTCGAACGGCGGTTCGAGAAAGTCGATCCGTTTAGGTTTACCCTTCGGTGACGATCCATCACGTCCATCCCCAAGCAGAGGTTCTTGTTCACCGACCTCCTCCTCCTCTTCCTCGTGCTGCTCCTCAAACGTCTCGTCTCCCTCCTCCTGCGATTGATCCTCCCGTCTCCAAGTCAAAACGAACACGCCAGCAAACGTCGTCAAACATCCAAATAGGAAGTTGATCAACCTATGAGCGTCCATGTTCTCGAAATCCCTGTACAGAATCGCTGAGCCCACGATGGCCGAAATCGTGAAAAACACGAATTGAGTCGGAATCACCTCCCTACTGTCAAACCTCTGCAGCGCCCTGTTCAGATAGGTGATCTGGATCACCGCTGTCACTGCCAACACCACCACCAGACCATACGTGATGGGGAACTTGAGCGCCTCGATCGGTTGGCCACCCGAGATGAGCGAAGAAATGCCTTTGGTTGAGAGAACCGTGAACCCGCCAAAGATCGCACACGTTCCGACATCGATCAGCACCCACCTATCACCCAGAGAGGTGGTGGAGAGGAAGGCGAGGAGACAGCCGGAGGAGCTCGATATGGCGGTGTAGATGAGGAACTCGAGCCTTTTGATGGCGGTGAGAAGCTGGGAGGGGTTGAGGCGGGGGTCGTTTTGTTTGGAGGAGAAGACGACGGTGACGGCGCCGATGATGGCGAGGAAAATTCCGCCGACATCAGAGGCTCGGAAACGTTCGTGAAGGAGGATGGGGGAGATGATTACGTTGGAGAGGAGGGCGACGGCGCCGAGGGGTGCGACGAGCGAGGCGGGGGCGAAACCGTAAGAGATAAAGTTGCCGCCTTCGCCGATGGTCATGAGCGCCAGGCCAAGCCACCATAGTTTGCTGTGAAGAAACATGGTGTCCATGCCATTGCCACTGCTGTTGCCGTTAGACTTGTGTCCGTTGGTTTGTGTATCAGATTGTCCATTTTGCTTGGCGACAACAGCGCTTGCGGAAGCACCTTGGCCTGTCGTCGATCGCCGTCTGTCGGTGCTATCCTGTCGTTCTGCGTGGGTATCGTCGTGCTCCTGGGTGTCCCCGTTATGGTCTGATTGTCCATGTTGCTTTCTTTGCAGCCGAGTATGCGCGAGTTTCTGGCAGTTGAGCGCCAGACTGATGGTCACGTTACCCGCCACGGCTACGACGACGCCGATCCAGGTGCGACTGGAGGAGAGCATCTCCATGATGGTTTCGCTGTAGGCGTGTGTGAGGGTGCCTCAGATGCGGTCCGATCCTTGCCTTCAGATCAACATACTGTGGTATGCCTTGCGGCTCGTCCGTGGAGAGCAAGTGGATGCGGTGCAAAGTGTCGTTGAGAAGAAAGCTGGTGCGAGCGTTCTCAAGGTGTGGAGGATAGAGAGGCATAGCGGCAGAAAGGCGTCATCGTGATTCCAATATTTTCGGAACGTCAGAACGGCGATTCCAGCGGAAAACACTTTCCAACCGGCAGACTTGTTAGATCTGTGTCGCGGGTTGTTCTTCGGCAGTCGGGCACATTTTGTCCTCCACACCATCATCCTCGACCTTGCTCTCTGCCCTCACACCTTGCCCTGTAGCCCGTCAACCCCACTCTCTCAACCGTCATCGTCATCACGCTTCGCAACAATGACGACTCGAGCTCTTCTCACACGCACAGCCCATACAGCAAGAGGATCCATCCGATTCCTCTCCCACTCCACTGTTACACGGAACGCCTCCCAACCAGCCCCCGTCTCGTCCTCCTCTTCTTCCGCAAATCCGCACGCCGCACGCCTCGCCGCCGCCTCAGAAGACTCCCGCTCCCGCCTCGCAAAGCTTCAAGCACAGCGCTTGGAAGAACTTAACCGAGGTCGTAGCAGTGGCTCTTCATCATCAGGACGAACCAACAAACCCGAACAAAAATGGTCGAACCGTACCCTGATCGCACTGGCAACGTCCGTGGGAGCATGCACGTACTTGATGGGTACCTATCACGGATACAATGCGGGTAAAGCATATGTGCTGGAAGAGCAGCAGCTGACTGCGGGATCGACGAGCGCACCGGTGACCGCTGCACCACCAGCTGCTTCCGGTGCAAGAGTACCTGCTTCCACCGTGCCGACACTACCTGCCTCGGATGCAGCTTCCACATCAACAGGTGCCATCTCCGCAGCTCTACTCCAGCTCCTCCCAACAAGACCTTCCCTTCACTGCGAACCAGCTCCCACCAATCCCACTGCGCCAGCTAAGTGTCGATTGGCAGAACTCACCCAGTACCACTGCGATCTACAAACCAACCGCGTCGTCTGCCAACCTATCGACCGCATCTTTCGCCTGTAAGCTCCTCCCTCTTCCCCCATACCCTTCCCCTTCTCACTTTCAACCCCACAACTGACAACCCACATGGACAATTGTAGATGCAAAGGTAGACCGGCAGTCGAAGTTTCTCATATCGTCGAATTCGATCAGTCTGGCAAACCCTTTTTTCCCGATCATCTGGAGTGAGTTGACCACCATCACATCCTCAAGCCCAGTCGACATACACTAGACAGCTGACGCAAGCATCATCCCCATTTGCGACCATACCACCTACTCCCGCAACACAGAGAAGCAATGCCGCCCTCATCCCACTGGCACGAGTTGAGATCGCCCGAGCTCTAATCTTCTTTGGCACGGCATCAGACCTGACATTCGCAATTCACTTCTCCTCGAACAACACTCGGGACCGCACATAATGGACACTCGGGAATGGAATAGAATGATCAATGAACGGTGGTGACTGGCGACCGTGACTGAAACCGATTACATTTTGGAATCTTTGGGGGATGCTTGGGCGACGAACCCGTTCGCTTTTCTCTGCAGACACTCCTCCCCGTCCATCTCTCCTTCAGAAAGTCAAGTCCGACTGTCGGCGAAGCAGAGCCGGCAAACGCAGCTTGGCCTCGGATCCCACCGTTGCGCGGCGACGCGTGGCCCTGATATCAATGACCTTGACCCCCGTCGTGGGCAACGAGAACAGATCGCTTACGGCACGGTGGTGACCGAGGCGGTGTCGCTTGCGCTGAACTTCCAGTTCCCGAATGATGTCATCTTCCTGCTCCTTTTCGTCCGGGGACCTGGTGGCGGGAGGGGTCACGACGGCTTCGAGTCCTGCAAAAGCACCCGGGTTGGCACAGATGGGCATAGCAGGACGCACAAAGTGGAGATGGGCGTCGAAGGGATCCTTGCCGTCTTGCCCTTGCTCCGAGGCCGACGAGATTGGACTGGGGTCCTCAAAGTTGTCGAAAACCATCGTATCGTGATCGTTTCCTGACAGACTGGGTGGGGCCAGCCTTGAACCCCGACGTCGGTGCTTGAGACTCTGCTTGTTGTTGCTTTGGGGATAGCGGCCCTTGTGCTGTGGCAAATCTTCGTTGTCGAGCTCCATCAGAGGAGCACGATTGTCGAGATGGCGACCTCGATTGAAGCAGTGTTCCACCTGCAGTGTCGAATGGATACGCTTCTTGTCAACGTCATTGACGTAGCGCTGAAGGCGATGGTGGGTGGTCGTCTGTTCGGGAAGCAGAAGTGGCTTGGTGTGACGTTCTCGACCTCGAGTGTTCTGGTCTTGAGCCTGACGATCAGCGTCGTCATTCTCGTCGTCGCTGCTGTCCGTGCAATCGACGAGGAGATCGATGTCATCCTTCTTGCGTCTCTCAAACAGAGGAGAAGGTCTTCTCTCGCGTGCATGGACGCTGCCAATATCGAGATCCAAATGACGATCCGAGTGTCTGCGCTCGAGACCGGTTCGGATCGGGATAGCTGTCTGCTGCTCCTCGATGACCTGGATCTCGTCCGCCAGATCCGACATGTTTGCCTTCGAATAGTGGTCGTGACCACCAGCGATCTGTCTGTTCACGTTCGCTTGAGGCTTGAACGAGTCCGAGTAGCTTCGTCGTGTTACATTCGGGCGGACAGGCAGACAAAGATCTTCGGTGGTAGCGAACATGTCGTCGGCGTCGTTTCCTCGCGGAAAGATGCTGAGATGACAAGGAGGGCTTAGGACGGGAATGCCAATCCTGCAGCAAGGCGAGGGGCGACGTTGGCGAGTTGTGTCTGCTGGTGAGGCTGATAGGTGTTGAGATGAGGTCGTTTCGATGGAAGAGGAGCAACAGGAATCCGACGAGCAAAATAGGTGCCCTTGGAGGGCGCGCTGCTCAGGCACCGAGCTTTAGGAGATGTCGAGGTAGGAGGAAGCGAAGTTCCAGAGTGGATGACGAGGTGCAAAACGATGTGTGAGGGTATCGCGCTAGAGAGTACTCGAGTGAGAAATGCGTAATTCGGGCTTTTTATGGCTTGGCGACGAGTGTCGATGCGTTGATGCTTGGTGTTGATCCGGACAGACCAGGCTTTGGATGGACGGAAGGGGGAAGCGGATGCAGAAAAGGGGGCCGTATATATCTATCAACGACTTCGAGAGGAGCGAACTTCCGAACGTGCAGCTTGTAGTGATGACTCTGGACTGCGAATCGCCTGGCTTGCATGAGACACTTTTTGCCTTTACCCACCAGCCCGACGAAATCAAGGGTGTGACGTTTGCGAAAAGATGCGACCGCAAAGGTTGCCGAGGCAATGCAACGGCAACGGTACTCGACAGGCAATCCAAGCCAAGTTTCCGTGCCCGTGCTGAGCATGGCAACGTTGTCATCCGAGAGAAGCCAAAAAAAATTGTCCGAGTGGCTGAGGCGTTGCCGTGCTACAATCACAATCACAATACCAAAAATACACAAAGTTTGCGAAACTCCAAAGATTACAGTCACAATCACATTCGCCGTCCCAATCACTTCCGCAATCCGCACACAAGTACAAACGCAGGAATACAGCAGGGTGTGCAGTTTCACTCTGAGGAAACCTCGGCAGTCTCTGCATTCCGCATGGCAAGGTTGAAATGAAAGTCTGGGCCGGCCCGAGCGAGCCCAGATCGCAGGTAAAATGGGGTCCCGGCTCGAGCAGTCAAAAATGAACGAACCGGCGCAAAGCGATCGCAAAGCAAATAACTGCCCCAGCAAGAGGCCGATCGAGAAGGGCACGGGAAGTCGCCGAAGCATGCATCACGATCGAGTCCCTCCTTCCGTGCTTCGGAACTCGGGTCGCGAGGAGGACCTTCCTAGCCTTGCGGACAGGCCGGTCGGCGACCGTATTGAAATGAATGGCATCCAAGCGAGGCAACGGGACCAAGCGGCAACATCCGGATCATGGCAAAAGAAGAAGAAGAAGAAACGGAAACTGAAAGCATGCTCGAAGGAGCAGCGGTGGGTCCAGACGCAGGGATCGGCTGGCGAGGTGCGGGACGAGAGTGTCAACGGCTAGTTACCGAAAAAAGCCGTGGCTTCGTGCCTCCGTAGGCTGTGCAGACCTGTGCTGAGATCTTGGAGAACGGTGGGAAGCGATCCCACACTTACACATAAACATAAAGTACAATCAGTGCACGGCGCGGACCGGACAGCGCCGTTGAGGCAGGCGGTGAAGTTGCTCGTGGTGGGACCATGCATCTGATCACTTTTGCGTCGTCACAAGCACGTATCCACCACACACATGCATCAAACGAAACACATCCGGCGTCAAACTTTGAAAAGCGTCGTCGTTGCAGACCAATGCTCTTCGCGGCAATGGTGCCGAGATCGCTTGCTTACCTTTGCCATCAAAGTATAGTGGGGTACGGGGTGTGCTGTGCTGCGTACGTCACTTCCACCCGCCTACTGCGTCTGCACGAGCTGCTTAGCGTGCAGCTGCCACCACTGTAAATCTTCTGACAATGACTTGACATCTCGGCTAAGGTCACGGCAAAGCGGAAGCATGTACAGTATGCAGTTGGATGTGTGGCTTTTTCGCGCGCCTTCCCTTTTTGGGGTGTGAACCTGATCCTCTGCTGAGAAAATGTGTGCACGTTGCGTGCGAGTCTCGAAGCTAAACGAAGAAAATGTCGTTGTTCTGGCTCTTCGATGTTGAGAGTATGAGCTACAATGCGGCACGCACAAGCTCGAGGGAGGTGGCTGTGGAAGGGTGGCTGACGGTGGTGGCACTCCGAACCCTTTTTCATCTTTTCTTCTTCTTCCTCCCACGATCCGAAGGCTTCCGAATGTGGGGTTGCACAACGTTCCGAATTGCGGAGCATCGACTCGTTTCTCCCACGGTACGTCTCCTTCCCTTTGTTCTCACCTTTTGCACCCTTTGTCTGGCACGTCAAAGCTTCGCCAGTTCTCAAGTTCATCCTCAAACTTCTCACAAAGCCAGGTAGTAATGCCACACTCGTTCCTAGTTCGAGAAATGTAATGCCTGAGGATACGACTCAATGAGCGAGTGGAACAGATTGCCTGATTTTGCTTGGTTGATTTGGGCTGCGACAGCGGATAACGATCCGACAGGAGCTTGCATGTAAGCAACAGGACTGGGTCAATCTCGCTGCAAGCGATGCCCGTTCATTGCTTCAATGATACAGACACTGCAAGCAATTCCAGCGACGCTCACACCCCTTGTTTGCATTACAAACAAACAGTTTGTCAGACCTCATCCTTTCCATCGGCTGTGCCGCCGAGAACGGTACCAATGCGCCGAGTCCCAAAACGATACTGTCACGGTCGATGGGCAGAATTTCGTTGCACTGAAGACTGCACAACCGATTCTTCCGTCTGTTGCCTGGCGTTGAAAGTTTCCTCCCCGCCAACGAGGAGTGAGCGGTGGCTAACCGATCTGGTCGTTGCTGCTCCGCGAGAACAACCTCATAGCTGCTTTTCGATCTCGATTTGACCGCCGCACTCGGTCACTCGGCAACACTTTTCTTGGTACCCACAACGTCGCTGCCATCGGACCTCGGCCTCGAATAGCATGATGTGCCAAGACTTCCAAAGTGTTCGCAACCGAGCCTCGAGCCCCCGAAAGGAGTAGACTCCCCATTTCATCCCGAAATGCGGTGATGCACCCGAGAGAAAGGCGGCAAAGTGCGGAAAAGTTGGGCGCTGCAGCGAATCGCGTGCGTCAACGTGGAAGCTGGCGTCGCCTTCTGTCACCTCTACAATGTTTTATCTACAGGATACTGTACCCTTCACACGGCTACGGCCGCCGCCTTCCGAGTTACGCAAGATTGCGTGAACCCCAATTTCTCTTTCCTGGGCAGTTCGCAAAGGGGAGGAGGTGACTCAGCCGTGATTATCGGCTCTCAGGTCCAGAACCCAATAGCAGCCTTTCCAGGGCCAGGGCGGAAGAGCCGAAGTCGAGGCTTCGATCGAGCAGCAGACACGATAAGCTCGCAAAAAGTCTGGAACTCTGTGCTGAGTGAGCAGCGTTTCCGTCGATAACACCCAAAACAAAAGGAAGAAAAGCCTACATGATAGGTCGCGGCCTTGACCGAAGGATCCCATCGCCAACACCACAACGCTGAGATGGTCGAGGCAGAGAGCCGCTGTACGGTGTGCATCCGGCTCAAAGCCGAGGTCGACATCAATACTGCCCTGCTCCTCAGAAACAAACTTGAGCGAGGTTGACTGTCTCAAGCTCGAGTGCGTCGTTCCTCGGGACCCGGAAGGCGTACATGCTAGTCAAAGTCGCCATTGTGCCGACACCTTGTGTCGTTTTTCACTTGGTGAGGAACAGAGAAGTCTGAGCTTGGTGCGGCACCAACCGCAGCTTTACACACTCGCAGCAAGAATGCTTTGAGGCTCAAAGCATACACAACAGTACGAGCAGACATAAATGGTCTCAACGAAGACAAAAGAGTGGCGTGATGAGCTGCCAGCACATTATGCGAGCTCGTCGGTCGCACCGACGTTTCATCGAGCGACGACGCTCGTCCTTCATGTGAAATCGATCATCTCGAAGTCGTTGTCGATGCGCAGCGTCGAGCGAATGCGGCTAGCCAGCAAACAGTTTACGGAACATCTTCACATAGAACACGGAATATGAAACTAGCGGACCCCCGGGCCACACTCGTCGCACCTAGGCATCAATCAAGGCTTCGCTCGGTCATCCCACGGAACGCCTTTGGCTCCGCAATTGGAATTCTGAACGTTGGTTCAAAGGTAGGTGGAGACGACACTCGATTGTACCATAAACCATCTTCACCAGAACAAAGCCTTGCAACCTTGTCCGAGACACAGTTCGTCGGGCACCGGCCATCACCGCCTATTCCACCGGTAATGCTTAGGACAGCCTTCTCTGCCTCACCGATGAGGTCGCCTATGCCAAGCTCAACCGTCTCTCCTCGGTTCGAACAACCATCCGCTAACATTCATCGCCAAGCCTCACACTCCAGCGGCGGACAGTTCCATCCCTAAGAATAGGATCAAACTGAGGAGTCGAATCAAGGGCACGTATGGATACAATTCAATTCCAGGTGGGGAAACAAGGTGCGTGCCGGTCACGGAATGACACGGCAACGGTCAGGGACTTTGTATGTGGGTCGGTGGAAGCTCGACGACTTCCGCTTTTGCGGCCGAGTTGCCATCTTGCTTGGGTTCGGCTTTTCCGCCTGCGACAGGCGATGCTTGCAAACCGAGCTCCAGTGTACGCAAAGCACTGGCAGCTGCAACACCGGGTTTCATTGCTTCGTTGCCATTTGCTGCATCGCCATCAATCGAGGAACGAGCGGCGACATCGACATCACGAGGGGCGTCCTGCTTTGCGGCCTCGCTGGTGCTGCCGGGCCCGGCTGGTGAGGCTTGTAGGCGCGACGGCGAGCTCAACAGCGTCTCTGCAGGTGCAGGTGCGGCAGCTGCGGCGTTGTTCGGCGAAGCAATCGCTGCTGCTCCCGACGCACCAGCTGCCGAAGAAGCGGGCGAGAACACGTGTCCGAATACGTTGCCCAAAGCCGTGACCGAAGGTGCGTTAGGTGCTGCCGCCACAGCAACGTCGGCCGAAGCGGAGGATGGATGCAGCGTCTGAGCCGTTGCGCCGAGGCTAGCAAAGTGCCCCGAGGTCCCACGGCTGGCCGAGGGACTCGAAGCACGAGCAGGTCCTAGGCTGAACCCATTGGTGGGCGGATCGCCATTCCGCGAGGCCGAGGAATCGTAAGGTCGAGACAAGGGCGATTTGGCCGGAGTGTGGCGCATCGGAAACGAACCGGACGGCTGAGAGGGTCGCCGGAAACCAGGGCTTCCCAATGTGGCTCCACACGACGGGGAGCGTGGTGACATGGCGCTAGCCCCGTTGCCCTGCGCGGCTGATGCAGGACTTGGAGAGGCACCACCAGACGAAGGCGAGCGTGGCGAGCTGATTGCAGGCAGCTGCGGCGGCTGCGTTGGTCGTCCCATGCCGAGCGCTGGACCGTTTTGGGATTGCCGAGCCGAAGCATTGCTTCCATTGGTGGGCTTGCTGGAGGGAGCAGTAGGAGCGAGGCCGCCTATGCTGGCAGCCGGAAGCAGAGGCCGTCCGACAGTCGACGACGCATCGTTGGCTCCGTTCGGCACAGAGTGACTAGAGGGAGGCGGAAGCTGGCCCAGTCCGGTCTTTGCAGGAATGGGTCTGGATGCTGCACCTGACGAGGTCAACGCACCCGTCTCGGCGGGCTGTGCACCTGCGGTAGGAGGTCGCAAGTTTTGCGGAGCAGGTGTGGGCTTTGCAAGCTCATCGCTGACGGCGCGGATAGACGGATTGACCGATGCTGGATCTTGCATCTTGACCGGCTCGGCGGCCTTGCCGCTGGACACGAGCTTGATCTTTGGCCTCGGCGATTCTGCTTTACCATCCAACGCGACCGCCTCACTCGCCTTGCGTGAAGGAGACTCTGCTCCATCGCTCGTGCGTTTGTTGCTGCGCGGACTCGACTTGTCGCGTCGTGAAAGGATGCCAGGATGCGGAGCCGGCGTGCCCGCCGAAGGCGGACGGCACTTGGAACAGAAAAAGTCGACGGATTCCCAGTCTCGCTTCTTCTTGAGACCGAGGATCTGTTTGTCAAAGCTGTCCCAACACTTGATGTGTTGCCAGACGCCGCATTGCTCGCAGCAGACAATCTCATCGTCCTCGTCAGGCGGACTGATGGCGGCTTTGCCGCAGACTTCGCAGTTGAGCTCCCATTCCTCCTCCTCTTCCGCAGCAGCGCCTTTGACGGCTAGCGAAGAATCTTCTGGCACGGGCGTCGACTCCTTTGAGGGTGGCGGGATGCCTCCGTTGGCGATGATCTCCTCGCGTCGGCGGATGCGTTCCTGACGTTCATTTTCTCTTCGTTCGCGCTCCTCCTCTTCGCGAATGGCTTTGGTCTCGATCTCGAGCTCGCGGGCGCGCAGACGCTCTTCTCGTTCGCGAAGTCGCGTTTCCCTCGAGATCTGGGCTTGCTGATCCTCCTCTTCCCTCTGACGCTTCTGTTCCTCTTCCTTTCGAATCAGAGCCATCTTTTCCTCCATCCTGGCACGAGCTTCGCGGTCTCGCTCGCGTTCCTCTCGTTCCGACTCCTTGATGGCAATACGGCTAGATCGCTTTCGGTTGGCGAGCGCGAGTTCCAGAGCACGCTGGCGCTCGACTTCGTCCATGGCCTCGAGCACTTGTTCGAGGATCTCGTTGTTGATGAACTGGTGCAGATTCTTCTCGTTGGGGTCCTTCGACTTGGCGAAGCGTTTGGCAAAGTCAAGCCACTCCTGGCGAGTGACGACGATGGCCTCGAACTCGACCCATTCATCTTCAGCGGTGGCGTCCTTGCCAGTCTCCATGTCGTGGTTGTCGTCATCGCCTGCTGCGCCCTTTTCCGCTTCGTCTTCTTTTGTATTACTTGTTTCTGCTTCTGCCCCAGCCTCATCATTCATCTCGACGTCTTTGTCATCTTCCGTGGCGTTGTCCTTCTGATCGTCATCATCCTCCAGCGTCTCGGGCGGCTCGCTGAGCTCCGAGTCGGACGAATAGGTTGCACCTGCCGTCCGCGAAGCACGACCGTTCGAAGGAGTACGAGCCGCCTCATCCTCTTGAGGTGCAAAGCGGGCTGATGTCCTGGTTCCACGTCTTGGTGGTAGCCTTGATGGTGTGGAAGCGGCTGAGTCCGTGAGCGACGACCTTGTTCGCTTGGACGGCGTCGAGCTCGGCGTCACGTCTGATGGACGACTGCGCTTGCTGGTAAAGGATTTTGACGATGTAATTGGTTTCGCAGCCCCCGAACTCGCACGTCGCGCAGCAGCAGCTTCCATTCTAGCCCGCTTGGAGCCTTTCTTGGCGGGCGCACGGGTCTTGGCAGGTGGTTTGGGGAGTGGCTGCGGACGCTGGATCCAGATGCGGTTGTCGTCGAAGAGCCAGTATGCATTGTCGCCGGCATCCCAGCCGATTGGCGACACCCGCCACGTTGTGATGTCCTCTTCCGACTTGACGAGTTTGCGGAACCTCTCTGGGTCCATGAGCTGCCATTCGCAAAGGTCGTGGAGGGTGGCGATCTTGTCCTCCAGACAGAGCTGCGCCCAGTCGATGGGTTGTTCTGAAGTGCCGAAGCGGCTAGTGGCATCGACGTCGCGAAGGTTGAACTGAGCCCTCAAGTGATGCTGCCAGTTGTCAAAGTCGATGGTGCGGTCAAGCGTCAAGGTGTAGAGCAGACGTTTGATGAGATCGGGGACGACGTTGGATTCGTTGTTCTCAAAGTCGAGCTCGAGCGCCTCGGTCTCGAAGCCGCTCATGCCGAAAGCCTCGTCAAAGACGAAGAGGAACTGGCAGACGGCAGCAAACTTCCACATCTTGCGAAGTCGCTTCGTGATCGGGTGAAGCTCGACCACCGGTGCGGCTGCAGTAGCCGATGGACCGGCGACAGCGCCGAGCGAACGACGAGCAGGCATGACGGAGGCGTAAGCGCGCGATCAGCGCTGGGCTCGGGATTCCTTTCTTGAGCTCTGTTGTGCCGTTCTGTTCATGCAGGCGCGTATGGAAAGCGACGCCGCCAGGTTGCTGGCTAGGATGGACGGACGAACTCCCAGCACTAAAGTTGTCAACTTTCAGCTGATCAGACTGATGTAAGCAGTGAATGACAGTCTCCTGTTGTTGTCTGTGGGAGAGGACGACAAAGAGGTCGAGTCCTTGATGATGACGGAGCCGCTTGAATACGGAGGGAAACGGTTACCGAGGTGGAGAAGGAAGATTGGACGGAAAGCCAGAAGCAATGGTTTGTGGTCGTTGCGGAAACGCGCATAGATTTCATTCCAATTTCGGGTTCTTTCTTTGTTGAGATGCCCGATTCCGCGAGCACTTGTCGAGGAATTTTCGACGCACGGAGGCGCGCTCTCGTGACTGATCGGGCGACATCGAAAGACGCGATGCAGCTAATAGGCCCGAGCAGCTCCTGGCTCTCATCGTTCTCGGCTGTTGGCCAGTATGTTGTAGCTTCAAGACGACACAGTCCCCGACGTGGATCGACAAAGAGCTCTGAGCTCTTCGGTGGATCGGCTAGATTCACATCGGTCGAGGCCAGCTGCGTCGTTTCGATGAGCTGCATGATATGGAAGAACGGATAAAATGTAGAATACAGTGCAAGGTGGTCGCGACAAAAAGATCGGCTAAAAGTTGATGAAGATGCGCACATGAGACATGACAAGTCGCGGTGCGTCAGACAGGGTATGTGAAGCGCGAAAGCACCATAAAGATCGCTTGGACTACCTTGTGCGTTGAGCAAGCGGCTCTGGTGCCTGTGCCTTGTCCGCCGAGGCGTCGTTGAGACGGTAATGTGCCAACGGTCTGTTGAGCTCGCCTTTGGCACGACACTTGTACAAGAAACCAACCACCACCTCGCCTTCTTTTGGAGCAGGTTGTGATGCGAAGTGCTGTGTTGCGACTTGGCTCAGGTAGTTGGTGGCCGCGTCGGCATCGAAAAAGTGCGGCGGACATGGGATCTCGTCTTCGTTGGTTTTGGCTGCATTGACGCCGTAGGCTGCGGCAGTCTCGGCAGCACTGCTCTCTGCTGCATTGCGCTTTCGACTCAGACTAGTTGTCAAGGGAGACGCGGCGCGACCTTTGCGCTTGCGTCCATTAGAAGACGAACCCGCATCCTGCTGTGAAGAGTCGATGGGTGGATACGCTTGCGCGAGATCGTAGAAGGAGATGTACGACTGGACGACCTCGGACGGAAGTGCATTAAAGTCGACGACAGGTTCTATTCACCGTTCAGAGTGGCAAAGGGAAAGTTTTAAAAGTCAGTAACAGCTCAAAGCATTTCGGGATCACCGGATGGACGTACCTCGGTCAGTGTCGTCGTGGGCCTTGCTTCGGTCCTTGTTCTTGCTATCGTCATTTGCGACCATGTTGACAATTGGGAGCGCGAGCCAAGAGGCTTAAGATGGAGTAACTGTCGGGAAAAAGTGGAACTGCGGAGGTGTGGAAGTGTTGGAGGATGCTGTTTGAGAGTCAAGAGCGCTGCTGAAGAGAATAGCATAGCCAAAGCAGTCTCCGCACACTGGCGGAATTACGACCCGACTTCCGAGGTTTGTATAAGCTCGACACAGACTTGGCCCGTGGCCGACCGCGCGAGCTTGTCTCGTCCTAATCATTCAGGACAAGCTTAAGCTCGGACCTCACAGTATGGAAGCTGCGTTGTCTCGATCTCATCATCCCAGCCCAGCTGCATCCGCCGACGTTGCTGAAGTGTCGAAGCAAGGTCGATACAGCTGTGTGAGCTGCGCCTGCTTTTGCTAGGTGGCGGCACGCAGGCGTCGCTCAATTTTGAAAGTGGACCCTGAGAAATGGTGTCGCAACTGCAGCACGCCTGCACCCTCGGCAATTCAACTCTTTCTCAGAAACCACACATGTCCTTCGGGTGCAGTCACGAACCAACACTGCATCAGTTCATACAACTTCGAATGAGTTGACCCTCCCCTTCCTGTCACGATTACGCTGACACCGTGACAGCCCGCACATCTCAGCCAGCAGGACCACAATTGTCTCAGCATCAGGAACATCGCATCCACGCTGTCTGCACAGGTCAAGGTCACCCCACCGATTTGCACAGGCAGTCTCTCTAGTGCTCAGCGATCGCGACGTCATCTATACAGACTCGGTCACCATCGTCTTTCAACGCTACATTTCCCGCTCGATGCTTCGACTAGTATAAGATCACTGTCGCCAAGACAGGCCGCCTCGGGTAAGCCGTGCCTCACCAGCTCATCCTATCATGAAGCGCTTCTTCTCTCGCTTCTCGTCGGCTGGCCCGACCTCACCCACCAAACACGCTCAAGATGCACCATTCGACCGATCGGAGGAGCGATCCTTGAGCTCAGCCGCAACTGCACCTCTCTCCTCTTCTGGGTACAGCGCTACAGGCCGTACCAAGGCGTTGGTCGCCCAGTTTGAAGAAGCTTGCCTCGCTCAACCGGTCGCGTCACCGTTCTCTGATACGACGCCAGCGACACCGCAGCACACCATCTCCACATCACCAACCGAAGCGCCGGTCGCACATGTTGCTCCCTTCTCGTCAAGCACTAGGAATGTCTCCAACGATACTTTGTCGCCGTACGTGAAAGCGTCCGTACCAGAACGCGTACCCGGCTCAAGCTTGCCCGATGAGTCCGATCAGCGACTCAAGCATGCTGCTCTGGGCGCGAGGAGCAAACGGAACGGGAAGCGCATCACCAGCGGTCAAGAAGAGGAGCAGCGACAGGCAAGCGCTGGGAGCCACGCCGCCTCATCTTCGTCTCACGCCAGCAAGACGGTCGCTTTTGCACCTTCCCCGCAGAAGCAACGCTCCACTTCTCCTGCTCATGTTGCTCACCTACAGCGTCTCTCAGTGTCTCAACCACTTTCCCGTACCAGCTCATCCGACGGCGATCCTCATATACCTAGTAGCTTTTCACGACCCACCGCCGCCAGCCAAGCGAGATCGAGGACCTGGACAAGGTCGGCAGCGAGCGACGCAACACATCCTTGCGCTTCAACAGCTCTGCACGGTCAACGAGAGAAGCCACCTGGGCGAGCTGCGCGTCCTCCGAGACCAACCCATGCAGCAACAACTCGTGCTCTGTCCCGTCGCAGCTACTCGTACTCAAGCGCCACGGCTGATATCGATCCTCTCGCGATTGGGCCCTCTTCACGTGCGGCTGCAAAGCATCCTCCATCATTCGCAAGACGTGGATCCATGGAAGCTCCATCGCATCGAAGTATGTCTCCGAGCGTGGGCACTGATGATGCGATGGCTGCGTCAGGTCCGCTCCAATTTCCCAGCCGAACATCCCTGTCCATGCGGCTCGGCTACCCTGGCTCAGCCAGCAGTCGACCCACAAGCCGCAGAAACAGCGTCGACCCCATGGCGTCACCGGGCTCCACTCCGGCGGTCGTCTTCCCGCCATCTGCCGGTGCTGCCACTGGATCCTTCGGTTTTCCTACTTGGAGCGAAATGACGCACCAAGAACTCGTCAGAAATCTTGGTCCACGCGAAAGGACGCGCCAGGAGGTCCTTTGGGAGATCGTCGCGAGCGAAGAGCGCTACGTCACTGAACTCGAAAAGGCGAAAGAGATCTACATCGACGCACTGCTTCATCCACACACGTTTGATCCAGAGCGTGTCCTTCCGCCGGTCTCGGCGTCTGCCATCTCTTCTCCGGTCGAGCAACCTCGGTCGCGAGACTGGCCTCCCAATGCCAAATCGGTGGAAATGCGGCCCAGCAGCTCCAACGGTGAAGCAACCGCCTTCGAACCGGGATCGCTATCGAGCACCCGCGGTGATCTTCCCATCGCTGCTCGGTACATGTCGACCGCATCGATAGGCAAGGCTGATCCGAGCGAATCGGCGATTGAATATCGTCAGACTCAGCAAGGTGTGGGCAGTCCGTACTCATCGCAGCGTGCCAGCTTATCAATCCCGGACGGCGTCGCACTCCGCTCTGGTACGTTCCGCTCTCAAGCCGATCCGTCATTTGGCCTTGGGCTCGGTCTCGGCACGATGGCAACGAGAGATCGAAGCGTTGCTGCCTATATGAATGCGCCCACGGCGTCTCAGCCGACGGGCAAGCTCTCCAAAGCACAAAAACTCCGTGGCCTTGCACGAAAAGACAACGGCCACGCGGATCCTCTCCGATTGTCGGTGCCGTTGCCACCTTCGCTCAGAGAGATTCTCGCTTCAATGTCTGACGGCCTCGTTGAGGCACACGGATTGCTTTCCGACGCTTTGAAAGCCAGGTATGAAGAACAGTGGCCTCTGGTCCGAAGCCTTGCCGACGTCTTCATGAAGTACTCCCACATCCTCCAACACTATGCCAGCTATGTCTGTCATCTGCAGCGAGCCATGGAAGAGCTCGAGGAGGCTGGCCTCATGGAACGCGCCTTCCGGGGCAAGCGCCTCAAGAAGGAGCGTCTCAGCAACACGGTTGGCCTCGGACGTACAGTAGCTGCACTCGAGGCATGCGCGGCCGAGCAAGGCTATGCAGGCCTCTCGATCTTTGTTTCCATGCCGTTCCAGCGACTGCTTAAGTATCCATTGCTATTCCAGAATCTGCTGTTCCATACGGACCCGTCGACGCTCGAGTTCGAAAGCACGGTCGCTATGGTGGTCGAAGTCGAGCGACTCGTGCGCTCCATCGAAGACGAAAAGGTCAATGCGGAGGAACGGGACAAGGCGCTCGACTGTTTTGCCCGCATCGATGGCATCACCGATCGCCAGGTGTTGCGACCGCGAACGGACAGGGTGCTCATCGAAGAGCAGGCGCTCTACGACGTAAACGCACGTAGGACGCTATCCGAGTCAGCCCCAAAAGAGGGTGACGCTAATACCCATGCGTCTGACAGCGAAGGTATGGACAGCGGGACCGAAAGCGCGAACCAAAGTGGAGGTTGGAGGAGCAGCTCGAATCAATCGGGACTGAGGGCCGCTTTGCGAAACAAACGCTCGTACCGACGGCTTTCCGACTTCTTGTCGTCAGACGACGTGGCACACACCTCATCCAAGGCGCCGACCATGGGCAGCAAAAAGGATGTGTGGCTCGTCCGCTTCTCGGACGTCGAGATCAAATGTCAGCGTATTGGCGTGACCACCTTGCCCATGGTCAGCAAGGCTGCTCTCCGCACCGCCGATTTCGCTGATGAGCAGGAGGCGAGCGACTTCACCGCACGAAGCAAAGAAAGTCGGGGGCGTCTCAAAGCTCTGCGCAACACGACCTTGAGGGCAAAGACTCGGAATCTCTACAAGTTCCTTTCCGTGGTCGCGTGGCGCACTGCCACCGCTCGCGAGACCGGTGTGGGAACATCCGCCTTTGTCGACGGTCTGCCAACCTCCCACGAAGTCGATGAGGAGGATGGGGCGGATGTCGACGATGGAGCTAGTGTGAGCACCGCAGAGAGTAGCAGCGCCAGCTGTACCAGCTCATCTGACAGCCATGATGGCGTTGGAGGTCAGGCAGGCTCGGAGAAGTACATCAGGTCCACCAAGCTGTCGTTCACCTATTGGGGCGACCGTATCGAGCCAGGCCGCGCGATCACTGGTGGACATGCAAACGCGAACGCTCACGAGCAGCCCAAAACATCGATTGGACAGCGGTCTACGACTCAGCAAGTCGACCACGTTTCTGTGCCCCCGGCCACTACCCACACCGGTACGGACAGCGCCTCTGCTCCCATCGCCGCGTCCTCGATCGGGTCTACGCGAAGCAGCCGGCAGTCTCGTCGCAGCACGCTCGACGGTGCTCCGTCCACACTATCGAAGACTCAGGGTCGGCGCGGGATGTCAGGACGGCTAAGCGAACCCTTGACAGCCTCGTCCATGTCATCCGCGTCCGAGCCCATGCAGAACGCCGTCGCAAGGATGCACGCGAGGCAGCGCAACGAAAAGTTTGGTGCGCGATTGCGTTCCTCGATGGGCAACGGTGCAGACGGCTCCCACGTGTCGGTCAACGGAGCTGGCCCTGACTCCGGCGGCACAGGTAGTGCGGCGTTCCGGAAGGGCAGCATCGCTGCTGCGGCTGTTCCCCGAGCGATCTGACAGCCCGATTCCACGAAAATTGACAGGCGTCAAGGTGTGACGGAGGCTGAATTTCACACGCCGTCGTGAAACAGTGGCCAAGTGCCGTGACGCCTTACTACATTCCTGACGTTGCCAAGTAAGGTGAGACACTAACCAAGCCTTCTACGTCTCTCAATCCTTGCACCTAGACAACATGAATCCTACCCACGGTCTCCATTGTCACCTCCCGTGTATCCCTTGAAGACCAAATCACCGTGTGTCATGAGCGTGGTACTAGCTGGAGACCAGTGGGTGCGAGTTTGGGACCTTGGCGAGAGTGACCGTTGAGAAGAAAGGGTCGTGACGAGGCTGGCCGGAACCTCCACTCGCTTGGCAACTCCTTGCTTTGAGCTCGCAAGCTAACTCTCTGCTGCGATTCCTCGCAAAGGCTATTTGCGTCTTTCCGCAACATCAGTCCATCGCTGAACGGGCGCTCAGCTCGCTCATCGCCAACACCACCATTGCTTCTGCTTTGTCTGCGACACAACCATCATAGGACTTGCGCGGAATTGAATCTTTCGCCATGCAGGTCGCGTCACGCTTGGAGGTGGCATCCTTGGCGCCGCCCTCCAGAGCCACTTCACGTGCATCATCGTACCACACGGTGCTCGACGAATTCATCGATGCTCGCACCGATCAACCAGCTGAATCTCCAACGTATGCGGAACCACCTCGTTCCGCCCCTCTGAACGCCGCGTCCTCTCCATCGACCGAACCAAAGGTCGAATACGAGACCTCCAAACACTCTCGACAAGGCAAAGCCCTGATCATTGAGCACCCTACTCTTGTCAACTTTGTTCCCACAAGCGAGATCCAGACCGCGGTCAGTCAGACAGCCGATCGACTCATTATCGATACCATACTTCCACCAACAGCTGTGCTGCGCGCGAGTGACCAGAACAGTCGTCCTCATGCATATGTCCGATCACCAAACGGTACGGGAGGAGCAGGATACGATGCGAAGGAGGTATTGAGGAGACATGAGGATGAGCTGCGACGGACATTGCAGTCAAAGATGACGAGCAATTACGATCCTACGGGGAGGATCAAGGAGGATATCATGAAGACATTGAGTGGGGTGACGAGGTTCCCAGATCCAGTTGGCATAAAGGGAAAGGAGTACAGCAAGGGGAAGTGTCCCTGTGTTTGTTGCGAGATGGGATGTGAGAATCCGGTTCAGCCTTACAAGGAGGGGGAGATGGTTGCGCCACGTATATCGACCAATGTCGAGCAGCCTCAGCTCGGTACTGCACACATCACGCAACAAGGTATCTCGCAGCCGACTATAGCTCCCGTTGCACCACACCAAACAGTGCCACAGAAACTTACCGAATCGCAGCCAAGCACAGCAACAAGTACGTCGACGCTAGGTCCACAGCAACCAGCACTTGGGCCAGCATCCGAGCCAACTAGTAGCTCCGAACCTATGCACTCGTTCCTGGACATGAAAGAGGCATCGACTCGTCGATCCGGTCATCGAAGATTCGGCTCCTGGAGAGGACCTAGAGACAGCGCAGACGGTACAAGCAGCAAGAACAGGTCATTGTTCGCCTTCTTGACTTTTGGTCGACACAATCGTTCGCGATCGCAACTGGATCTGCCTTCTCGTTCCGAGTTAACACAGCAAGACTTTGCGACGAAGCAGGAGCCACTTTCTGCACCTGCGTTGGCGCCAGCACCTGCTCTAGCTACCAGTTCACGAGATCCGTCGGCTACACACCCTGCAGAACCGACACGTTCGCGATCGTTCTCCGACCTGGTCAAGAGACGACGTAGCAAGCACATCGCTAGTATCTCCGAACCGATTCCACCTCTTTCGACTTCGATCACCTCGCCCACCCTCTTCGACACTACTCCCGAATACAACGAGCCTCTGCCTTCACGATATTCATCATCCGAACGACCCTCCTTTCTCAACACCTTCCCTACCACTACACCATCTCTTCCGGTCAGACACTCAATGGACAGCACACGACCGTTCTTCACAACACCCGCGACCCCACCGCGTCGAAGCAGCAAGTTGTACGCCGTCATCAGTCGACCTAAGCCGGGAGGCGGTGCGCGTACCGCCTCCGACAATCAATCTGTCAGACGATCGATCGACAGTGCGATCCCAAGAAACTCCACAGGTACCTTTTTGATAGGTCAGATCGTTGAGGAGGATGAGCTGGCAGGGATGGTTGGTGCGGGGAGAAGAGAGTGGGATGGAGGGGAGGCGTCGAGAAGACAATCTGCTTTGATGTCGAGTTATCGACCTGCTGCGGGGTCGGAGGTGGGGCAGGATCAAGCTCATGCCGTCGCGAACGGTATGACCGAGCGGGGCAATTCCGACGTGGTTTCGCCGGATGGTATCGAACAGCCTCATTTTCAGATCGGTGTTGCGCTGTAACGTCCCCACGTTTCGTATGGCGTAATCTAAGGGACACTGAAGTGGAAGTCATGTGGATAGATTGCAGCTACTGTAGATGTCCATTGGAACGGTGAAAGATGTGACCGCAGAGTGCATTGCACTGAACCTTTTTGTGTGAAGTTGAATTTCGCCCTCCCATTGCGACCTTGCTAAGCCTCATCCGCGTCGTACCTGGGACTCCACATCTCGCCCTGCACCCAGTCCCTCAACTGTTCCTCGTCCATGTTGGCCGTCTTGCCGCCGTCCCTGGTGACCCCCTGCTTGTTGGCCATCTGGATGCACCTGACAGCGATGTCTCTGGAAATCTCGCGGATCCTCTCCGTGTTCGGGTAGAGTCGCCCCTCTGCGCGCTCTTCCTCATTGAGCGCGTCCGAGAGGGCCAGTGCCGACTCTGTGATCATCTCGTTGGTGACACGTGCCGCCTTGCAGAGTGCGGCGCAGAGACCGATTCCTGGAAAGACGAGGAAATTGTTACCCTGACCCGGGATGAGACGCTTACCCGTCGGAGACGATCCGGCTTCGATCTCGGGGAACGGCGATCCAGCAGCGAACAGCACGGATCCGTCCGTGTAGCGGACAGCCTCTTCGAACGTGCACTCCGAGTTGTCGGTGGGGTTGGAGAGCGGGAAGATGATGGGACGCTTGTTGAGCGTGGCCATCTTGCGAATGACGGTCTCGTCAAAGGTTCCCTTGATCGTCGAAAGACCGAGGATGGCGGTGGGCTTGACGTAGTCGATGATCTCGGCGAGATCCTTGATCTGTCTGCCGGAGTTGTCGTCGCGAGCGAAGAAGACCTTGTGCTCGGCGAGCTTGTCGCCGCGATCCTTGGTGACGAGACCTTTGGAGTCGGTGATGAAGATGCGTTCGCGTGCCTCGTCCTGAGAGAGACCCTGGCGCGTGAAGAACGACATGAGCTGCTTACCGACGCCGACAGCGGCGGAGCCGGCACCAGCCATGAGAATGCGATGGTCGTGCAGAGGTCGACCGGACTCTTTGGACGCGATGCGTGCGGCATTGGTGAATCCAGCGAGAATGACGCTTCCGGTTCCCTGAATGTCGTCGTTGAACATGGGGTATTTGTCCTGGTATCGGTCCAGGAATCGGAATGCGTTCTCGGAGGTAAAGTCCTCGAACTGGATGATGAGGTTGGGGTAGCGAGAGTGGAGCGCCTCCATCACCTCGTCCATGAACTCGATATACTCTTCGGTGCTGGCACGCTCGCGTCTAAGACCGAGGTATAGAGGGTCTTCGAGGTTCTTCTTGTTGTTGGTACCGAGGTCAACGACGATGGGCAGCGTCGCACGCGGGTGAATACCAGCACCCGCGACGTAAAGCGAGAGCTTGCCGATCGAGATACCTTGACCATTCCAGCCCAGATCGCCGAGACCAAGGATACGGGAGCCGTCCGTGATGACGGCGATCCTGGGAGAGCCGGCGGGCACGGGCCAGTTCTCTACGATGCTGGCGATCTTGCCCTTGTCCTCGAGCGAGATCGAGAGACCTTCAGGCCTTCGGTAGATGTGCGAGAACTTCTGGCAGGCTTCACCGACGGTGGGGGTGTAGATGAGCGGGAGGATCTCTTCCTTGTTGGCGAGGATGGTAGCGTAGTAGAGACGGGTGTTGGTCTGACGCAGAGAGGCAAGCATCACGTGCTTCTGGAGGGGAGTGGTCTTGGCGCGAAGCTGGTGAAGCACGCGGAGGACCTGAGTGTTGAGGCTCTGCACGGCAGGGGGGAGGAGGCCGCGGAGGCCGAGCTGGTCGCGCTTCTCATACGAAAAGCCGGTATCTTGATTTGGGAAAGGATCGGAAACGATGCGATGGTCAGCGAGCGAACTCGAATTTGTCGAAGCTGACGATGTCGAGAAAGAAGCGGCCGATGTTCTGCGAGAAGCTGTTCGATGCCGTGAGCTGGGATAAAGCAATGCAGAAGCTGCACGGCGTGGTGTCGATGGCCCTGCGACGGCTTCCATTAAAGCAGCCGTCTGATGCCATTCTGTAGCGGCGCACCGGACATTGGTCGCAACAGCTCGAGCAGATGGGCGAAGCATGTTGCCTGAGCGCGAGGACAGGCAGGCAAGAGGGAATGACGATGGCTTGGTAGGAAAGAAGGAGGTTCGCAAACTCGAGACCATCGGAGTGTATCCGAGCGACTTTTGAGAAGAACTGGGAGCGGCAGGGTCTTTCACGATGCTCGGGAAGGTGCAGGGAAGACGAGACTGGTGAGGCGCCACGGCACGTCAAAAGTGACATTGGGCCGTGGGGTATTCCCTTTGACCAACAGACGCCCTGAGACCTGACTCGACATCCGAAATTCCTCTGTCAAGAACAATCTCGGGCGAAGTCGCGAGCTGGGGAAAAGCCACATTTCGCAAGATTGGGTCCCACGAAATCCAATTCTTCCAAAAAAAAAAAAAAATAGAGGAAAAAAAGAAAGAAGCGGACTAAAGCGAAGCAATGGAACATAGCCCTCTACGTTGGGACGATAGACGCAGCGGTCAAGAGGTCGTGCTCGTGCGAACAGAAACATCTCGATTGAGAAGAAGCAACAAGCCGACCAATGCTCAAACGGCTGATGGTGCAGCTTTGCTGCGCTGGGTCTGCGGAAGCCTGCCGTGTTGCAAAGGCGCTTTTCTACCGAATCAAATTCCCTCTTCGGCAAGTCGCCGAACACTTCGCAGGGATGCAGTCCTGAGCACGGCTGCCAGGACAGCTGCAGCCAGTCAAAAGCCAGACCTCACGGAGCGACATCATGAGATGGTCTCAGGAATCCGTTCGACGACAAGTGAAGAGGACTATGAAAGGAAGAGAACGGCGCTGCGAGCAGAAATTGGCCGGCACAAGTTTCGTTCCAACCCCACATCGGCGCGGTACGTAAATTCCTGGTCGCCGGCCTCGGCTGACCTTTACCATGCAACTGGTGCAGCTCAGTTCTGTGCATACCGACATGAGCCGGTCATGCTTCGGCCTGCGCACCTCCAATCAGGATTCGTCCACGCTGCGTCTCTCCGCATCCGTGCATCCGTCCTTCCCCGCCGGAAAAGTTCGGAAGCATCCAGATGCATCGGCAGTGAAGAAGGCAGTCGTGCAAGGTCCCAAAAATTGACCGAGCTTGCCAAAAACGATCGGAGCGCCGGACCGGTCTACGGCAGCGCACTGCACGCGGTTCTTCCTCGCCGTGTCTTCCGGCACCAAGCTTCGACCAAGAATCTCGTGGGTGAAAGAATTGCCGCTCTGCCTCGCAACGGGGTCTGTATCAACTCACCTTGATTTGTGAAGACATCTCGCAGGTTGGCGGCACCGCCGAACGGGTGCTCCTTGATAGCGCGGTGAATGTTCGAGTCGCGAGGATCGTTGGTGGTCTTGTCATCGGGTGTGATCTCTGTATTTTTGCTGACAATCGGTGAGGCATGAGCCTGTCGAACGTCGGAGACTGATGGCGCCATCTTGTCGATTTGCTGTGGCGGACAAGGTTGCGAAGGTCGGTGAAGCCGAACGTGTATAAGGGCGCCAAACGTATATGCCAGAAGAAAGGCGAGCGAGGCAGTGAACGTCCTTTGGAACAGCAGCTTGTAGAAAGTTGTGTGGGAGCAAGAAGGGGAGCAACGAGTGGGCGGTGTCTCTGTTATATGTGTTTTGTCTATCGGAGTGGTGCGACGCAAGCAAGCTGCCACTGACTGAAGGTCATCTTGCCCCAAGCTGGTCGATGTGACAACTTGCGCTCAATCAGGGTCTCGTGAGCGCAGCGAGATTGCTGGAACCCAACACCTTCTTGCCGAGTGTCTCCAAGTGGGGGCCGTAGCTTTGTCATTTTTACCATATACTTTGTGGATATTTAATAATTTATAAAAATTCCCAAAAGAGTGTTGTCTGTGTCCGGTACCTTCCGAGTTGCACATGGCAGCTCCCACTCGCCTGCAAGGGCCCAGGGTGCCTCAACTTGCCGCCTCTGTCGTCAGTCCCATCCTTCCCGGTCTCGGCCAATAAGGGAGCAATCATTTGAAGGCCACCGTCGGAATCAGAATGAGCTCTCGACCACTCGGAGCTAAGTTGGAGGGTGCTCGACAAGACCCATGTCCATCTCTCTTGGCACCTTGATAAAACGACCTGAACTTGGTCGGACCCTGCACATGAGTTGGTTAGTAGTATGCTCACGATCGCAAAGAAGAAACAACACATCGAGGAGCTCGACGCCTCGATCGAAATAGGCGGAAGTGAACCGCTGTTGGGTTACCGAGTCAGCAAGTGAACGAGTCGGACACGGACGGCGAGTATGGCGCCAATAGGCGGCGAGACTGCGGAAACACTGCCGCCGCCGTCATCATCGTCGCATAGGGCAAAGGAGTTTAGTGCAGAAGTGTCTGCGGTGGACTAGCCGACGTGGCAGGAGGACCGCGATCGACGACAGCGCTTCTGGCAACTGCGAGTCACAAATGCGGGGTAAATGACGACCAAGCCGCTGCAACGCCAACTGTCAACCGACCACGGCTCGATTCGGCTGTGCATCAAGTCGCATGTGGACGTGACGATGTGACGAAGTATGGCTCACGACGTCAAAGTCACAAGCTCTTCAAGCCACGACGAAGACGCCTGCACCTGATTTGATCCGTGAAAGACGATAGCGGGACATTGAGTGGCTGATCGTCCACTCTTCCTGAACTTGTCCCAATCTAATCTCGGCTAGATCGCTCGAGTCACTTTCAGCTCCGCCAGACCCTTCCGCTCACCGTGGTGCCATCGAGCGCGTCTCAAGACAAGGCGATCTTCGATGCTGCTCCGCCTGATTACCGCTGATAGACGCTGAAAGCCCACATCCTCCTTTTGAGAGGCATGTCTTTGGCAGACGCGGGAAGAGACGGGAAGATCGCCCAGCCAAAGAAAATTCGCGATCGTGGATCGTCGCGCACTCGGGCACGCTTTCACAATGCAGAGGACAAGCCCACAGCGCCGCACCCGTGCTGGCTTTCTTCCACTTGCTGAGGATGCAGGTGGGCTTGCCTTGTCGTCGAGAAGGGGCCAGCATGATCCACCGAAACACCATCGTGGAAGGAAGGACCCGTTGACGTTTCGATATTTACGGGATTCGGAGTGGAAGCTTTGGTACACGCGAGGAACAGCGAATGAAGTGCAGCTGACCCGGAATGTGAATTTTCAGATCGACACCAAGCTTGTGCCTCTGCCGTCGTCTTCAACTCGAGCCTCGAAGGTGACAAGGATCACGGTCATGACGGGCGAGTTTGTGACGTCTACAAGTGATGACGCAGCCTCGGGCGGTCCGTCCGACTCGCACTTGAGGTCGGGCATGACGATAGACGAGCAGCTGATCAAGGCCGAGCAGCTCAAGTCGCTTGGCAACAAGGCATACGAGCAAGACGTTTTGACAGAAGCGCTCAAACAATGGCATCATGTGAGTGCAGGTGCCAGCCTATAGCGAGTTCAGCTGCGTCAATCAGGAACACTTTGCTGAACCCGTCCTTTTACTGTCGACAGTCCTTGCTCTACTGTGCTGGAATCAACTCATTCGCTTCTCTATATGGTGCCCGCTCTACGGACGTCGAAAACGAGCGCGCTGCGGCAATCGCGGGCGCCGTCTACAATAACATGGCTGCGTGTTACCTCCGTCAATCCAAATGGGAGAAGGCTGTCTACGCAGCTTCCAAGGCGTTATCGCTCGTACCCGATAATCTCAAAGCGCTGTACCGAAGAGGCGAAGCGTATCTTGAGCTCGGTCGCAATCAACTTGCAGCCAGAGATATTGATACGGCCCTCGACTTGAGGCCACAAGGTAAGCTTTCATCTCCTCCTATGCACCATGAGGATGAACATCCGAGACTGATCTCGCAACCCTCTTCGTTTGCCATGCCTAGACCCAGTCATTCGGAAGCTAGGCGAGCGCTTGGTACAAGCTTTCGAGGACGAGGAGATGCACCGACAGCTCGACACAGCGCGAGACACCTCCGCATGACACCCGGCAAGCTCATCTTGGCTCGATCCGATCTTTTGTGCCGCAGGGAATTCCACGTACAATGCCGCTTCGGCGATCTGTGATCAGGAGCCCTTCCTCGTAGTGTCTGAAGTCTAACAAAAATGCAAGGGTCGCGCGAATCTGCAATGCAACGCAATATGCGAGGACGGTTTGGGCGCCAAGTTTGACAGCCAGGCGCTGCTCCTGCAGCTCGTTGCTCGTGCGAGCAAGAGGCTCGATCCCACTTCACAACCTCCCTCTCCAAGATCACATCGAATCTGCATCTTTTGCAGCAATCACAAAGAATCACTTGCGGCAAGATGCCAGGCCGTGCATCGTGGGCGGAGCTTTATGTGTGGGACCGCAAGTCTAATTTGCACGACGAACGTGCACGAGTGTGCACGCTCTTCACACCGTCAACATAGCATTCAGCTTCTTGAAAGCCCTTTCACAACATGATCACGCCACTCGTCATTCCTAGTTGGTAGTACGCAATCCGGCGCCACCTTCGATTCTCTCTCATGGATGGTGATCGAGCATCGGCGGCTCGCAAGCTGCCACAGACAGCTGCCAACTTCTTCGTGGGACCAAATTCCAGGGTGCCGCGCACGACATTGGCTCAATCATCGCATGTCATCTCTACACCAGCAATCAATTCTCCCGGCCCCGCAACATCGCCTCATGTGGCCAGACAGAAGTTGAGAGCATCGCCGTTTCCGATTTCGCCGACCTTCACCAAAGATCTGAGCTCACCTCGAAGCGCGGGCAATCCAGGAAGCAAGGTCGCTAAAGCCGTCCACCTCTTCTCCAACCTTGCCGACGAGGCGGGAGCATCAACTTCTAATAGCCTAGAGACACCTGCAACATCCTCATTCTATATCGAAACAAGTCCGAATTCGAGCCCATTCGTCAAGTACCTTCCGAGCTCTCAGAAAACAAAGCCCTCGCCTTCAACGAACGGCTCCTTGATCGCTGGATCTGAGGTCGACGTCTTGCATCGAAATCTCACAGAACAACAACACAATGGTGAGGCGTTTCGAGAGATCATTCCCGCACCAGGCCCTGTCACTCTTCATCCCCAGTCTGCGACAGGCACAGAGTGTTACCTCCCTCCCTTCGACACTTTAGAGGACACACTGGTCATTCCTGCGTCGGCTTTCTCAGATCTTACTGCTTCCCTAGCTATCGCTGCTAACGAGAAGACGGAGATCTTAAAGCAGGAGAAGGACAGTCCCCGAAGCGAGAAAGCAAGCTCGCATGTACAAGACGAGGAATGTTTGACTCAAGCCGACCATAGACCTGGTTCACCTCCTCCACGGGAGATTGCGAATATATTGATCGCGCAGGCGACATCTCATCGATCTTCGCGCGCATCGATGTCAAGCGGCGATACTAGGCTGCCTGCCACTCCACGAAGCTCCAGGGATTTCGAAGTTCAGGAGAGCAAGCTCTCTTGGACAGCACATCGAGCTCTGTTGGGCGAGCTAGAGCTGTTGGACTCTCCGCCTCACATTGACACCCGCTGCCATCAGAACGGTATCGAAGGCTCCGATAATCGTCGTCATCAGACGCTCGTCGCAAATGAAGCCCTAGCCGGTGACATTCCAGAAATCTGGAAGCCCTCGCTCGATGACTTGGATGAGACATCACGCAGTCCTCTTCAACAAGAGGAGGGTGGAGACACTGCGTCGCATCAAGCCAAGAGAGACTCGTCCCTCCTCAGCAAGGAGAGGGTCGGACAAGGCGTGAACCAGCGCACCCAGACGCACCCAGCGCTGCTTTCAGATCGCTTGACGTGGCATTCGCAAGATGACCTGCAAGACTCATCGGATAGTGATCGATCCGTGGCAAACGGCGCAATGCTGTTCGACCTGATCGATATGGTCGATACGCCTGCCTCTCCGATAGATAATGCAAGATCGAGAGACTCGCGCCTCAGTAGGACTGCGATCTGGATCAAGTCCACTATGAACGAGTTCGGATCCATCCCGGAGCAACCAGCTAGTCCGCATAAAGGCCATGATGCCCCGACACCACTGTCACTCGTATTGACCTCAGGTACGACAGCAAGGCCGGCTCAAATTGAGCACCAGCGGAGCCTCGAGACTCTTCAACAAAACGTCTTCGAAGAGGAGGCAGCCTCTGTCGACCATATGACGGACGGTCGCTTTTCGACGAGAGAGCCAACTCATGGCCCCGATGGAGATCCTGTCGCAGCCGAGATCAGATCCCTTGACTCGAGGCGTGATCCAGGCCGATCCTTATTACCTCACATATCGCCAGCGCAGCCAAACCGCGAGATTATAGGCAGGTCATTTTCTCAACGGGCCCGTGCCGGACAGCAGGCAGTAGAGAAGGTCAGACGGACTCCTGGTCGTCTCAAGATACCGGAAGCTCGAATCTCCAGCTCCACACGTCAACGCCGAGACAGCTTGAAACTGCTTGACTCGCGTCGAAACCAGAATGTAGCCGGAGACGAGCGGACTACCTCATTACGTCTAGACACGTCAAGATCGCGACATGTCGCAGAGACGGGTCGCAAGAACGCTGTCACCAACATGCTGCACTCGTGGTCAGCCACAAAAGACGAGCCGTCGATCCAGGCTGTCTCTTCAGATCATACAAAGCACCACGTCGGTCGAATGGTCGAGGATTGGGACGGTGTCAATATGGCAAGTGACGACGAGGAAGTCGCGTCGGTGGCGACGTACAAGCGCCTGACCCTGAGGCGCACGTCAGACTTTGCTGTGCACACCACGCCTCGTCGGGAGTCACGTCCGCTTCCAGGGAAGCTGTCGCGATTCGGAGCGGAAGCACCCACCACGCAGACGACCCCAAGACGTGAGCGACCACTCATGCGACTTCGTTCTTCTCCATCCTCTCCAGTCGTTCAGAAAACTCCTCTTCAGCCTGGACGGCGCACAAGGCCGGCTGGAACGAAATCGCCGCCAAGTCCTCCAAGCCATGGCAATTGTCCAGCTTACCGGAATGGAACAGTCCAGCAAGATACATCTGACAGCTCAGACAAGCGGAAATGTGACATAGTCAGGTCCGGTCTCACTCTTCCTCGTGAGAGCGCACTCTGCACTGACCTGAAAGGCTTGTTTAGCGATGCTCAGGATGGTAAGCTTCGATCACCTTTGCGTCCGAGCGACAATCCTCTTGCGGACACCGCAACGCAGCAAGAAAACGTGTCCGTGACGAAGCGCAAACCGCCTACAAGGACTCTAATCTCGGGCCACGAGGAAGCCTCGTTCAGACCAGCGAAGGTGCAAACGTTGAGCTCCGCGTTCAGCACACCGAGACGACTGGCCGTCAGCACCGTCGAGACCTCCCCTCGGACGATCGTATCGGAGCTGTGGACTCCTGCACAAAGCAATCCTGCAGGCTCTGCCTTGACAGATGAGACTAGGGTCAGCATTCCTGATGGATCGCAGAAAGCACCTCTTGCCGAAGTTCGCCCGGGACAGAGGTCCTGGGATTGCTTGAGACAATATCAGCGAGCGATTCCACGTCGTGTTCTGTCCGACTCAAGTCGTCATGGCGCTCGATTCAACAGCCAAGACCAACATCTGGCGTCACATGATAGCACGAGTCATCTGCAGCCAAGGCCTCATTCCACTCCCCACGATCATCGTTTCCTTGCCAACACAACGCTGGGAGCGCGCCACAATCGCAGACGACCAAGCGATCCTCCGAGCGGTCTGAAGCAATCGAACTACCAGCGACAGCGCACGGCGGCCGCATCCGAAAACATATCCGACACCAGCGTGCCTGGGTTTGAGATCAGTTTCCAGCTCACAGAGCCGCAAATGGCGCCCGACGTCCAGCAAGGCACATTGTTGGAATTCGGCCTGCGTGTCCACATCAAGCCGAGCAGGAGCGCACCATTCGACGAGGCTTGGACGCTGAGACCCCCTTCTCAGGCGTGTGCCGACTCAAGCATCGGCTCAGCTCGCCGGGAAGCCTCGTCGTCCCGCTTGCCGCAGTACGAGTACGACAATCTGAGCGCGAGCGACATGAGCAGGGTGCAAGAAGAGGCACAAGAGCACCTTCACCGCACAATCACAGTGCCAAAACAGCGCGCATCTCGTATCAATGCAGGCGGGGTCGCAACTCAACCCTCGGAGTACACCGAGCTCGATCCCGACTTTTCCTTCCACAGCACAGCGGTCTCAGACACAGCGGATTCACCCAACTCGAGATCGTATCTCCGAGCGATGAGGTTGACAGGCTCGCAGCAGTTTACCGGCTCGCGTTCCGTCGGATCATCCAGCATCGTTGATCATGATCGAGTGTGGGTTGCCAGTCGCCGGACAGCCGCACGCAGACCCATTGCGTCTCCCGGACTCGCATCTCCGCTTCCGTACATCAAGCGTGCACCACCTAGAGCAGCGTCCTTGTCCGCTGTCGCTTTGCATTCGTAGAAATGCTCTTCTCATTCCAGTTTGCTCGAAACCAAAATGACCGCGCAGCCAGCGGCTAAAGCGCGATCAGTGCAGCCTCATCCACGTGCCCCAGGGTCGGTCGCCGCAGAGCATCTCGATTCCAAACTCAGAACACGAGCTTGCCTCCAGCGCGTGTGAGAACTCACTGCTCGCTGTGCGTACGTTTTTGAGATCTGCACCTCCAATCAAGTATACTGTGGCTCACGTCATTGAAGCACACAGTAACGTAGATGCATGAGGGTTTTGCTTAACATTGATCATCACTTGCAATCGTTGCAGAAGTTATATAGCTGTAATATTAGATAGAACAATTCTTGTGGGTGAAGATTTTCAAGCGGTGGTGGAAGCATCAGTCTTGTTACCGTTAACCAGTCCATGCACGTTGGAGGTCAAGCCGTACACGGGCTCCCTCGTCTTCTTTGCGCCATCGGCTCGACTCCACTGACCTGCTGCACCAGCTTCCTCGTCCATGTTTCTACCCAAGAAGTTGTGGGAACCGTTGAACACCTCTCCTCTGAGATCGGTCTTGTACTTGCCCTTGAGACCGAGGGGCTCTGCGATCTTTTCGGCCAGCTCGGGGTCGACCTGGTGCCAGACGCTGATGGCCCGCTTGAGCACATCTTGGTTCTTGCACGTCGACATGTGACCCGAGATGTTTCCGATCGTCTGTTCGCGGTCCTTCTGGCTGAAGACCTTGTGCCACATGGCGCGGGGCTGGACGAAGTCGTCCTCCTGAACACCAGAGAGGAATGCGATCGCATGGCCCTCGTAATCGCCATGAACGGAGTCGATGTCCACCTGACGCGAGCGGAATTCGGGCGGCGCAAGGGACGAGATGTAGTTGGGGCGTGCACCTTGGTTGTAGAAGGCCATACCGCCGTCGCGCTGGAAGTTGGTAGGGATGTGCTTGGGGTGGGCCTGGTTGACGGGGAGCTGCTGGTAGTTGACTCCGATACGGTGACGGTGCGTGTCGGGGTAGGAAAAGAGTCGAGATTGCAGGACGGGATCGTTGCTTGGCTCGAGACCGGGAACAAGGTGGGCTGGGTTGAAGGCGATCTGCTCGATCTCGGCAAAGTAGTTGGCGACGTTCTTGTTGAGCTCGATCTCACCGAGCGGGTGGAGAGGGAACTTGTCGCGAGGCCAGACCTTGGTGAGATCGTTGACGTTGACGCCAGAGCTGGGCGCATCCGCGGGGTCCATGATCTGGTACTTGACGTCCCACTTGGGGAAGTCGCCGTTCTCGATGGCGTAGAAGAGATCCTTCTGATGGGCGTCAGGCGATTGCTCTGCAGCCTCCTCGTTGGTCAGGTTCTTGGTTCCCTGCTGCGAGAGAACGTGGATCTGAACATACTTCCACTTGCCCTCTTTGTTGACAAACTTGAACGTGTGGCCCGAGTATCCCTGCATGTGTCTCCAGCTAGCGGGGATACCACGAGGACCCATCAGGTACAGGAACTGATGCACGGATTCAGGGTTGGCTCCCATGTAGTCCCAGAAGTGGATCGAGTCGTCGCTGTGGGTCAGGTGCGTCTGAGGATCGCGCTTCTGCGTGTGGATGAAGTGCGGGAACTTGGCAGGATCACGAAGGAAGAAGATGGGCGTATTGTTGAAAACCCAGTCCATGTTTCCGTCTTCGGTGCGGAACTTGATGGAGAAGCCGCGAGGATCACGAGCGCAGTCGGGCGATCCGGACTCGCCGCCGACGGTGGAGAATCGCGCCGTGATGGGACATTCCGTCTGAGTGGCGAAGAGGTTGTTCAGGCAAAGATCGGGGATGGGGTGGGTTGTGCGGTAGATACCGTGCGCTCCACCTCCCTTGGCGTGGACGACACGCTCAGGGATGCGCTCTCGGTCAAAGTGAGAGATGAGGTCGATAAGGTGGAAGTCCTGCAGAAGAAGAGGTCCTTCACGACCAACGCGCTGAGCCTCGTAGGCGTGGGGAATGGGGACACCGTTCGAAGCGCTGTAGACGCCGGGCTCGTCGGACGTGTCCTCCTGAAGGGAGCGAACTCGCAGTCCTGATGTGGTTGACGACATGTTGTGTGATGGTACGGATGCGGAGATGCTTCGTGGACAGGTTCGAGTCTGATCAACGAAGCAGTCGCCTTATGTATGTTCCACGATCTACGCTTTGCAATCAGGGAAGCAGAGAGCAGTGAAAGCTCGATGTGGCAAAGAAAGGCAGTCGGGTGACCTTCTCTGGCACATACTGTCATTCCGGAGGCAGAATCGCTCAGGACCTCTTCTGACAAACGGAGATAGACGCTGCTGACTGACCGAGACCCCGACCCCCGACTGACAGTGTACATCATCCCGCGCTACCGGCTTCCTGCCGTCCGAGCCTTGAATCCCGAGAAACATGGCTGGCTTGCATCGGTACGTCCGTCGATGCTCCATAAGCTGAGCGTTGGCGCGCATGCGCAGTTTGACATTTCGCCTCATGACGGAATATCAACCGAACAAAAATCGCTGTCACCTCCACCGCCACTGCGCTGGGACGGACCCCTTACAAATATTTCGCTTAGACCACACGCGGAAAAAAAACGCTCGGCTTCTGCAGGGTCTTCTGAGCGAGCGGTGGCGATCGAAATGCAGCCATGACTCACACTCCACACTGTGCGGGCTCCCCTGTCGAATCGTACATGATGGCAGATTTCTTCCGCACGTCACAAGCCCGGACACAGTTCGGGCGCTCTAGTCCGAATCGAATGCTCGCGGCCTGATTTCCAATCCGATGGTATTCGCTTGGTGTGCTGATAGCCCGGCTGATTTCTCCTCCGTGACATCATCAGCAAATCTTCTATGTACTGGTGTCGGACATTGACAGCGCCATGCAGGGTCTACCATCGTACGGAATCGCGTGCTTGTCCAACCAGAGATGCCCGCTTTCAGATCAACTGATCGCCCGCTTCCGTGTTATCCGAACTCAAAGGTATCAAAGCTCTGGGTCTGCGCGTAGACATGGTCAGGGGAAGAGAAGGTAGACATAGAATTAATACAACAGAGCTCCGGCTCTGTGAAGACAAGAAAAACTGAGGATTGAATGTAGCGGTGACGTGATATATCGGAACAGGGAAGGGAAACATTGTCCATTGTTAAGAAAGATTGCATCGCATAGACGGCGCCTTGAATTTCAATTGCTGCCAAATTGCAAGGATGGCAAATTGGGGGAGGATCGGGAGTGCGAGCCTGCGAGATTCGAGCTTGTGTCGCCGTCGAGGTGCTTGTGAGCGTCGTGCTGCGCGGGCGCCGATACAAGTGGCGAGGTATCACTTGTTGACGAGGGGAGACCGCTCTGGGTTTGCTGCGCGCCTGCAAGCAGATGCGGCGTAGATTTCGAAGCACCAGGCGGCGGTGTCTCGGTCGAGTCGCTGTAGATTCCCGTGGAGCGCGCGATGTTGAGCTTCTTCTCCTCGAATCGCATCAATTCGGCGACGAACCCGATGTTGGGACATATCGCGCTTCTCTTCTCCGAGACGTGGGAGTAGGATCGCTGAAGGGTCCAACCGAGCGCGTGGATCAGGTAGGCGATGACGATGGTTACGGAACGTGATTTGCCTGCTTTGCAATGCACGTACACGGGCTCTGACCGGAGGCGCGCATCATCGAGGAAGGAGCAGGCCTGTTCAATGCTGCTCTGCACCCCCTTTGCTTCGACGCTGTCCAGCATGGGAAGCTTGAGGTATCGGTCGAACCGATCTGCAATCCTCAAAGGTCCAGTGTCCTCGATTTCGCAGGCGACGTTGAGTATTCGACGCACACCCATGGCTTTGAGTTGCTCGATGGCCTCGTCTGTCTGCACATCGGGCCCAAGGTAGAGGAAATCAGGCAGGATGGTCGAGACTTGAAACTCGACGCTTTCGAAGCTGAAGTTGTCTCTTGTCCGTTGCACATCACGGGGTGGAGCATCGGCCGACGCCTCGATATCCCATATTGCCGCTCGAGCTGGAGGTTCGCCCATTGTCGTCCCCGTAATGATGCTATCCTTTTCGCGAGCCGACGATGCGGGCGATAGAAGCGTCAAAGTAGGATGTGGTGGTGTTCTTTGATTCGGCTTCTTGCCATGCGGGTAGCTGCTTAATGTTGCAGATCTGCGTGGCACCGAGGTGTCGAGTTGCAATTTAAGAGCCGAGGGCGATTCGCGACCTGCAGCCGGCCGCGTAGGCGCAGGTTCGAGAGCTGTGCTAGTCTGTCTTCGCAGCATCTCGGACGTGTTGAGTCGTGCTAGAGTCGGCCTGCCCGGACGAGCGGAGCGTGATGGGACAATGTCTGCATGACCATTGAAACTGGTGCACGGAGAGCTAGTGAACGATGGCGCTGCGACGGCTGATGGCGACCTGAGGGAAGGGTGAGCAATGGTCGCCGATTCCGGGCTCGCTGCAGGGCTTGTCGAATCGATGGATGTCGACGTGGGTGCTGCGCTGTGCGCTCTGTCGTGTGGCTTTGGCGGGAGATTGTCACCCAAAGACTCTGCATCTGAGCGCAGGAAGAACACGCTAGGCGAGAGCACCGGGCTTGCGGCCAATGATGGCAAGGCGGAAGAAATGTCGAGCTTGGACTTGATCGAGGCGGAACGGGAAGGAGGCGTCTCTGCGCGTTGCGACACGGAGTCTGGCTGCCACAAGGCATCGATAGGCATGGTGTTTCTGATCAGGTCGTCGATCGCGGGACCGGTCGCGACTGTCGCCATGATTTGGACGTCCGTTAGGACGTCGTCGTCGGTATACGAATGCGGGACGGATGCGACGGTGGTGAGGGCACGGCGAGACCCCCTCCGCTGTAAGAGGCGGTACTTTTGGGCACGATAAATGCTAGTTGTGATGTCGGAGAAGCGTCGTTTGCTCATGAGCAAGATGGCAGCGAAAGCGCGGACGGCTCTGTTGGGTCACGGAATAGCCAGAGCGATGGCTGCACAACAGGTCTCGCGGCAGAGATTCCGTGAAGCGATCCAGCAGTGTTGTAGAGAAAGTATGCGTTGATGATGAGGGGCGAGCGGTGAGGAGCACAGCGTCGGATTTGAAACCAAGCGCAATGCGTGAAGACCTGGTCGGCTTGGAGTGCCTCGAGATGTGGTGGTTGTTGTTGACGGTGACGACGCGGATGCTAAAGCTGAGAAGGTGAGAATTGGTGTCGATCGAGCTGCAAAGATGATGACCGAGCCGAGAGCGGGATAGCAGAAGAGTGTGGACCGGCCAGAATGGCAACGACGTGCGGGGTTGCTAGAGGGTGGTTACTTGCGCCAAAAGGAGCTGCAGCGGGCGGCGCGGCATCGGCGTGGGTCGACGTGTCGCCCGAGCGGGCTGAGTTGAGCAGGTGACAGGTGCACACCAGAGCAGCTTTGCGGGCTTGGCTGTCTCGTAGGTGCACAGGCGGTCCATCAAAGCGGTGCAATGATGAAGGGCGAGAAACAAAAGCCGGCTGATCAAAATGTGATGATTGGCCTGAGTTGCAGATTTGGGCGCTGCGCTCCTTTCTCCACGCTCGCGCTCTTGGGGCTTGCTTGCTCGTGACTCTCGAGGCTGTGTTTTTTGGACCTTGAAAAGCGGTCAACATATTCGAGTTTCTGTTGTTGTTTTTTTTTTTGGTTCATCGACACAGCAGCTCAGCTGTGCGGCGAATTCTGCAGAAACGCTGAAAGAAACACCAAGACCCTGTGTCGCCCAGCAGTTGAAACCCACCTGCCGCTGAGGGCGAGATGAAGGTGGCCAAGCCTTTTCGGTCGGCTCTATCCCGGCGAGCAGGCAGAGCCGCGCTAATTCGAGAACGCAGTGAGTGATGCGAGAAGCCATGTCTGCGAAAGGAAGTGGCCTGGACCTGACGACGGAACAACAGGCATCTCCGATGCGGTGGAACCTTCCCTGCACCACGCGTATTGTCCCGGACTGGCTGACTGCGTGCCGCGGAGGCACGCGGTAGGCGGAAAGCGTGGTTTGGCTGCCGAAGCAAGCCGATGATGACCTATGCTCGACGGACCTTGTGGCCGAAAAACAGCGCAATGAAACCATCTGATTGTTTCTGTCTCTCTCCTGCGAGAGGGAACGACAGTAGCAGTGGTTTTCAGACACCAAGCAAGTCGGTTACGACCCCGGAACGCCGACGAGAAACGATATGGTTTGCCACCGTCTGCGAATTCACAAAGTCAAGGTTGGTCCTGTCGATGCACGCTTGCTACCGTGCTGATCAAAGGCTCATTTACCTTACTACAACAGTATAGGAGCTCGTTCGGCAGCTCCGCGGTCCAACTGGGCATCTCTCCGTTGTCTTGATTGACGTTGGCCCTGGTCTTGCGAGCAGAGCACATGATGTCAGTCTGTGACGCCAAGTTGGTTGCGGCGTCTACTTCGGTAGCTTGCACTGTCACCACCTTCGCTTCTTCAGTGCCGGCTCGAAAATCGCAGAGCAAATCGCAGAGCTGCTCGCTTTCGAGTTGCGAACGCTGAGCTGTGCTGTATGATCATGTATCGGCCCTACGCCACGAGGCCTACCAGCAGAGTTCATTCACGGGTGAACCGATTTTCCAGGGTCTTTCGACAGTGGCATTCGTGTCGTACGATAATTTCGATATCCGAGGACGTCAATAAGCATGACTAAGCCGCCAGGACAGCCAGTCGACGACGAGTGTCTGAAGCCAAGAGCCACCATTTCTTTGGCTCAATCTCTCCATCACAGCATCGCCCCTTTCCGTCAGTGCGCAGAATTGTGCGGAGGCGGGCACTGGCGCCGGTGGACTTGGCGAGGTCATCCGACCAAGGATCCCGAGTTGAGCATCAGCTGCATTTGTTCAAAGCTTTTTTTTTTACTCAAATTTTGAAATCAAATTGAAATCGAAACCGGCCTGTGAGTGAAAATTTGAATCAATGCTGTCGAGTGAACCAAGCTTTGCTATAGAAAGTGGCCTTCCGTGAACATCATTTTCAATACAATGGACTCGATCACCTTCTGCGCAAGGAAAGCGAGAGGCGCTGCAAGAAGAAAGTGAGCTCGGACCCTGTTCTTCTGTGCTCGAGTCTCTCTGCCCTCAGAGCCTTTGCGCCCTCTGCGTAGGCTAGGCACTGCGCGTGGCTGTTTGCATCCTCTGTGGCACTGGTAAAGAAGAAAGGGAAGTCTCGAGCCCTGTCTCTCTGCCTGCTGCTTCTGTACGTGCGTAAAAGAACAAGGGTCAAGTGCACGAGACGAAGTTGAAAGTTGGAACATACCAATTTTGGCGCTTTTTAGGCAAGCCACACTCCACCGAGTCTGCTTTGGAAAAGACAGAGAGTCGGCGAGAAAGGAAGCCAAATTCCAGGCTGAGTCTACTACAGCATTCGGCGCACTTGCCTTGATGAAAGCGGTCACAAATGACAGCTTTGGCTGGCCGCGCGCTTGCGCAACAGGTGTTTGTTGCTGTGTTCTTCCAGAGTGTCGGATCAGCTTTCGCGCTCGCACTCGCACTCATCTTACGCTCTTCTTCTTCTCCTCCATCCATCTCGTTCCTCCGCGTCTTCTCGTCAGCGTCACGAACCGGCTCGGTACTCTTCCTTGCGTTTGGCTCTCTCGACAAGTGCATTCGGCTGCCTCTTGTTTTGATCGTTGTTCTCGTTTCCATCCTGCTCGACTCGCTTTCTCGCACCCGCTAGATAGCCGTGCAAGCACCGCCCCGTCCCTCCCACCTCCATAAACACACAACTACATACATACTTATAAAACAATGTCGACCACAGCTGCGCGCAGAGGGTCCTTCCCTCGCCCCAAGGGCCGCTCTCATCAGGTGCAAGACGACACGGAGGAGGTGCGCACACTTCGTGCCAAATACTCGGAACAACTCGCCATGATCCGAGAGCTTTTCCCCACCTGGACCGACGAGGACCTCCTATTCGCTCTCCAAGAGTCGCTCGGTGACGTCGAGAATGCCGTCGTTCGCATCTCGGAAGGCCAGGTCGAACAGTTCTCGTCCGTCAAATCAAAGAAGCAGGTCAAGAAGGAGACCGGCTCACACCACAATGCCGCTGCTGCGACTCCCTACGCCTCGGCCGCTCCCTCCTCCACTGCTGCTCCTGCGGCTCGCGGCAACCACGTCGGCGCTCCGGCAGGTCGGGGTCGTGGAGGTGCCTCCGTTCGGGGCGCTCGAGGCGGTCGAGGTGGATTCCGCGGCGTCGGCGGACGAGGCGGTGGCATTGCCCCTCAGGCCAACGGACACGAACTCAAGACTCCTGAGACCCAGACTGTCGAGGCGACCACCGCCCAAGCTTTCTCCCCCATCCCGACCCCTACGTCCGGAACCAGCTGGGCCGCGGCTCTTTCCAGAGCCAACAAGGCTGCATCCGCCGCCTCCGCTACTACACCCGCTCCGGCACCCGCCATCTCCAAAGAGATCACCGAGCCCGTCGTCGCACCTTCGCAGGACGCTGCCCCCCTCACGGCTCCAGAACCAGCCGCTCCGGAAGCTACCGAGCCGGCCACCACCACGGCCGCTCTTCCCACCTCGGTCGAGACTTCGTCTCCTGCCGTCAAGGTACCTGCCCCTTCCAAATCCACACCAAAAGTTGGCGGCATGAGCTGGGCTCAGATCGCACGCAAGTCTGAGGCTCCCAAACTTGTCGATGCTCCAGCACCCGCACCCGAGGTCGCTCCTGTCACCGAATTTGCCTCTTCCGAGCCCGTCGTCGCCCAATCCAACCAGGAAGCCCAGCCAGAATCGATTGAGCAGGCTGCTGCCGTCGCCCAGCCTTCATTCGAGGCTCCACCCGCTGCCACCACCGACACGGTCATCGCTGCTGCTCAACCCGAAGCTGAGGTCGCTGCGCCTCTCGAATCCGCACCTGTCGCCGAAAGCACTCAGGCTGCTGCTGCGCCAGACGCAGGAGCCGCCGCCATCGCTCCACCTGGCCTCTCCAAGACTGCGCCTCGCGGTACAGCGCAGCGATCCTCCCAGCGTGCTCGTCAAGATGCACCTGTCGTCATGGCTGGCGGTTCTTCGCAGCTCGACAAGCTCGGCGTTCAGTTTGGTTCACTCAACTTCCTCGGCGGTGACGCCGACGAGGCTCCCGAGTCGGCCGCCGCTGCTTCGGCCAACAAGACCGAAGCAGAGGCCGCTCCGGCTCAAACGCAGGCGCCTGCACCTGCTGTCGCCGCTGCTACATCGCCCTCTGCCAACCGACAAGATGCTCAGGTCGCTCAGCCTCAGCAAACCGATTCGTACGGCCAGCAGTACAACGGCTTCAAGTCCGACTCGTTCGACAACTCGTACGGCTTCACCGGCCAGCCGCAGCAGCAGCAGCAGCAGCAGCAGCAGCAGCAGCAGCATCAATCTCAGGACCAGATCCACGGCTACAACGGATACAGCTCTATTGGCCAGAACCAGACCTCTTCGCAGGCCCAGTCGCAGCAGGCCGCTCAACCTCAGCACGGCCTACATGATTACTCGTCCATGTATGGAGGCCTCGACTCGCAGCGCCTCGCTCAGTTCTACGGCGCATACGACCAGGGCTCCAACGCCTTTGGTCAGCGATCCGACGACAAGTCGCAGTCGCAGGTCTCGCAGCAGGGTCAGCAGCAGTCGGCGTCCCAACAGGGCGCCGACCACCAGAGCCAGCAGCCGCATCAGCTCCAGGGCCATCAAGCTGGGCCCGGTCTCCACCAGCAGCAGGCTCCTCAGCAGCAATTCCCCGGCATCATGCCCTACTACTACCCGCACTACTACATGCCCAACCAGTTCCAGCACTACGGCCAACCAGCCGCCGGCTACGGTCAGTACCCCGTCTACGGTCAGCCCGCCGCTCAGCCCCAGCACGCCTCCAAGCCCGGCACACCCGCCGCCGTCAACTCGCCCTACTCCCAGGGACCTCAGTCTGACGCCAACGCCTACGGCGCCCAGAACCACTACGGCCAAACCCCCAGCTCTGGCAACCTTTCGTCGTACGACCAGGGCTTCGGTCGCGGCGGCGTGCCCGGCCTCGGCGGCATGTCCGACTACTCTAAGATCTACGGCAACGCCATTCCCGGCCTCGGCGGATTCCTTGGAAGCGGTTCCGGCAACGCTCCTCCTTCTCAAAACGCTGCTTCGAGCAACGCCGCTTCTGGCAACAACGGCACCCCTCACCTCGGCTCGCAGCAAAAGGCTGGCGCCTCCTCGGGCAACACCCTGGACAGCTACCGTCAATACGACGCCAACGCCTCCAAGGGCTCGACTCAGTCGGCATCGGCCTCCAGTCAGGTGGGCCGTGGCCAGTCCCAGTCGCAAGCTGCGCCTCAGCAGCACCAGCAGGGTCAGCAGCAGCAACAGCAGGCTCAGCAACAGCAGCAGCAGCAACAGTACTACCAGCAGTACGGCGGATACGGCCACCAGGCAAGCAGCAACGCCTACTCCAACTACCCTTACGCGCGTCAATACTGGGGACAGTAGATGCACCCTGCGCCGGATGCAGCCTTGTGCCACCTCGAGTCAACGACGCAGCCCTCGACACCACTCGCACCCGCAACAAGGGGTTTCCTTGCCTTCCCCTTCCTCTCTTTCATTCAACCTACTCTCGTGCACATGTAGGAGTGTTTGGAACGAGACCCCGGCTTGACATTCATAGGCGCACCTCGATGCGAAATTGCAAGTCGTAGCTGATGACTCTTTTTGTGTGTATACCTTTCGCTTGTGGCGGATGTGGCTCTCGAAAGCGACAATCGGGAGGGATGCTGAGATTGGATCTTGAGATTGGATCGGCCACTCTTACTCATCCGACGGATCTTCTCAGGTCAGACACGATCTATGTGCCGATGTCGACTTGCCCCGCTAATGGCGACGTCATTCGAGTCAAGGATTGAACGAGAGTGAGACTCGCCGCAGTCCGAGGTGTCAAAACCCCTTCGAAGGAGCCTAAGATAAAGCTGCAGCGGATGGCAAATTCCGAGCTGACGCGACCGTCGAGCAGGATGAGAGATTGACCTTGGCTGCACACCAAACATCGCGTTGCCCTACCCCCAGCAGGTTAGCGAGGTAGACGTAGCGCAGACGCCATCGATCGTGTGGTTGAGCCAAGAGGGGGGAAAGCAATGAATTGTTTCGGCGTGTTGGTTTCGGTTAATGAAGCAAGCCATGCGTGCTCGACAGCTGCATGTGCGCATATATTGGACTCATCTCTTTTTCGGATTTTCCCCGCTTCCCATGGTGCTGCATTCTGCGATCATCATCGTGGTCATGACTGAGCTTCGTCAACCTCTGTGGTTTGCATCGCTTAGGGAAGCCAGGTCTCGGCGTCTTCCCTGCGTGGCGCAAGAGTCTGCGACTAAGTTCGTTTCGTAGCGGCTCACTTCGGCTTCGGATAGAATCGATATATGTCTGACTGCTCTAGCCGAGATTGTGCCAGCACTGATTCGAATTCGCCAACTTAAGTTAGTCATGTGAACGTGGATGCAGTTGTCAGAAACAGGCACAATTGCGAGTGGATGTGAGTGACACATCAGCAACCCACTCGCCAAAGTTCGCATGATCGCCATGTGTTCCCCCTGCTTATCATGAGCGTGGACCATCAGGAAGGTGGGGGAATCGAGGTGATCACTGGCCAATCTCATTACAGACATTCAACGCTCGTGCTCGCGCTGTGAATTTCGCGGCCTGATTTGGTTCACAGATTGAGCTGATTGCAGAGCCTGTAACTCCCCATGCATGCCAAGCAAGTGCTGTGCCTAAAGATGCAAAAGTCAGCATGGATGGTCTACCCGAACTGAGTTTATTATAATATTGCTGTGGGTCACTCGGAAGCAGACGTCGATCTACGTTGCGATCTGCTCTCGCATCGGGTCCTCCGTGTGTCACCACCTTGAAGATCAGTGATGTCAAGCATTCGTCTTCGAGCCGCAGAGTGGTCGCATTTGCCACGTTCGGTCGACAAGCCGATTCGGAACCTTTCCGGCCTTCGCCTAAAATGTGCAGAACCGCCAAACCTTAAACTCAGCTTGGAACGCTTCCATCTGCGTCCCTCCGGCCGGACAGCGCACGTCCGAGTTGCGATTTGACACTAAAGCGACATTGCTTGCTCTCGGTCGCGACCGTTCCGTCGCCGGTGACCGGTCTGCTGGAACGTGTGAGGCAGAGCCGACAAATCACTGGACTCAGCGTCTAAAGAGAGAGAGAAGAGACGATGGTAGCAAAAAAAGAGAGTGGAGTCGGAAAGGCGCGTCCGACGGACGAGTTTCCGATGGAGTCTCTGCGTGGTCGACGGGCGCACGAGGGAGCGTCGGTTTCAGTGAGCGGCCAATTTCATCTCGCACGCAAGTCGAAGCGGTTTGAAGCCACGTTGAACGTTGTAACGATTCTGACGCGAGCTTTACGTCCAATACAGGTCCCGCCGGAAGCGCCCCTTGGGAAGGGTTGCCCAAAGGGTTCGACCTCACCGCAGATTCCACCTAGTAAAGCATCAGAGAGACTTTCGTCGTTCAACGGATCTCATGATTGCTTCGACAGCGTTGACGTCCTCCTGCGATCACATTCGGTTGTGACGGGCAGGGACTCGGACGCGAGCGCTTGAGCTAAACACACCGAGGACCTGGGTTTGTCCTGTCATCGGTCAAGGGGCACAGTACAGTTTCGTCCTCCGTCGGATGGCAACTTTGCCACCCAAAGTGCACCCTATGCTGTTCACAGAAGTCTGTCGATCAGATCTGACACTCGGCAGCAGAGAGCACAGAAGCGCTCGCAGAAGGGTCCGGTGTCGCTTCTGCAAAGCATGATCGCGAGGCCCCTCGCCTCGCCTGTCGCCGCTGTCAGACTAGCTTCGGCTGCTAGCTCGCAAAAATCCATCGCGTTCCTTATCGGCAACTGAGGCTCGGGCAAACCAAGAGCAAGAAAATTCCCGAACTTCTCTGCCAGGGTCTTCTCCGCATCGCGGTGGGGATCATCACATCGTCGCCGAGCTCCAAGTATCAACGGACTGCTGCGTAGCTATTTCCTACGAACGTGTCGCTCCAGTCATCGCCACCTACTGCATGCCACTGGCAATCAGATGCGCGCGTAAGCGACCTTGATAGTGTGGGAGAGAGGAGCTTGTGCCCGATCCGATTACCGCGCCGCACAACGTGTCAGCGAAGCGGGTTCGTAGCCGCACTCCAGCCGCCCGTCGATCTACTCGTCTCTGATTCGCCGTACTCGTGTGAAGCACGACGGCTACTTGTTATCAACGACTCTCGCCGGCTTTTGGACAATGGGACGACCAGAACAATAGGAAATTTCGATCGTGGCAGCTTTATTGTCACGCGTCCTCTATCTGCTGTGGCGCGCCGCGCGCTTAGACTGTTGCAGCGGACCAAGCGATTGTCGTAGTGTGTTGAAGTGTTGGTCTCACCTCGGCTCCGCTGCAGGTCCAGAGGAATTGTTTCCTCTCTCGACCGTGGCGATCCCATTGTCAGCCCATTTTGCCAGTGCGAAGATGAAGGTCGAGCTTCGCCATGTCCGATAGCCTCACCTATCACGAGCTTTCCTTCGGGGATGACCAAGACTGCGCTCAGCTATAGCTATTGACTGGAAGAAGCCGTGAATAGAGATGGATCCAAGCTAGTGGAACGCGCGCGACGTGAGCGCATGGCCTCGCGGCAAGCGGGTGGCGTGACCGTCAGAGAACGCAGACGAACTGGACGTGCGCAATGGTGCGAGCGCGTGTTGGCTGCACAATCCAAACAGGTACATCGACGCATCGTAACCGCGGCAGCTGGTTTTGAGGGTCCGCAACGACCCTGGGTGGCAAAGATTGTGGTCAGGAGCAGTCAATGACACGGCGTAACGCATGAATGATGTGCCCGAGCCTTCTCGGGGCCCTTTGCCACCCACGGATCCGACGAGAACGGGTAAGGTGAAATACAGTAGCGTGCATGCCTCGGAAGGCGAGTCGACGCTGGTCAAGTGGGTCGTGGGAAAATCGCCTCGCTTACCAAGCGAGCACGCCAGGCAGGTACGCGGTGTGGCGGCTTGCCCGACCAATTGAGGAGTAATTGAATGGAAATGAACGCCATCTCCAAGATGAACATGAAGAGCGGACAATGTGCATATTGAGGGTACGGCGTGCATACAATGCATACAGTGTATACGATGACTTCCCATAATGCCGGACCATTATGACAGACAAAAGACCGCAGCCAAAACACTCGTCATCGTCCATATCGAGCCACAATGGCGGCTGAAGCAGTCTGCCGTGGTCACCGTGTTGAAAGTGAGGCTGTCGAGATACGAGTGAGGAGAGAAGGCGATAGACGGGAGACGCCGAGGCAGCTCGGTGATCTGCTGTCAATTCTGTGTGCCTTCGTACAGGCTATTCGCCAAGGCAGCTCGCTACACCGGAGCTCCATTGTCGGAATGCATGCGGCCACAGGATGCCCGTGGAAGAAAGGCCCTGGCGGCCACGATACTCTCTGTCGTGCACCGCTGTGACTGCGCACTGCTTCGCGTCTGCTGCCATCGCCCCTGCTCGGCGCCAACGCAGCGTGACTATGATCGTGAGCGGAGCGGCAAAGTCGGATCGATTCGAATTCTCGGGCACGCTGTCGTCGGAGTCTGCGCCGTGTCGGAGCTTGAAGTACGTACATTGTAACAGTTAGGCTGACTTACGCGCCGTCCGTCCGACGATCAAATCTTTCGGCTACGGCGAAGTCGGCCAAGTCGATCTCCCGTGATAGCTTCTGTATTGTGTTGGTGCCCGGGGTAGAATCGATGGGACCAAGTCGGTAAGGTGAAAGCCAGATCCATGTCCTGGACAGCGGATTTTGCCTTACCCCCTCGGTTACAGTGTGTGCGATCGGCGGGGTTTTCCACCTTTGGTCTAAGCTCGAATGTGGCGATCAACAGCCGGCGTACACTCGCTTCCGGTGTGCTTCTCGGACGGGGGTAATGGCGTCGGGTGGCATACGTGAGGCCAACCAAGATTCTATAGGAAAGGATTTCGCGGTGAATCGTTGGAAGCCACATTGTCTTCTCCTAAAGTTGCTGTCACGTCCTGGGCGCAACGCGGTGCCTTGCTGCGAACCATAAGTTCGGGCAAGTACAAACACACATGACAGCAAACAAGGCGCCAACGGAGTCCGTGGCAGTGGCTGAGACTTGAAACAGGCCTGACAACCAAGTCACTGGAGATGCAAGTGAGACCCGGTCTGTTGATCTGTGACATGATGTCCGGCATCGAAGGCAGAATCACAATATGTGGTTGGCGATCGGACATCCCTGACAGCGAGGGAGTAAGTGTTGCCGCTGAGATCCGAGAATTCGTCACTCGTCGTCTTAGCCGCTCCACCAATAGGGTCGTTGTAAGCCGTCGTTCCCACGCCAAAGTTTGCCGCTCTGCTCACATGGTGGCCGTGGCGTGGCGTGGCAAAAAAGGGGAATCTTGACAATCGGCTCTCAGAGCAAAGCGACGAATGAGATGGCCACGTTTTTCCGGGCTTGACAGCCTGTCAAATCGAAATTTAAGTTCAAGATCTTTCCTTCTTTTCCTCTTTCCGACCAACATTCCGCTTTCCCGTACCGTGAGAGTCAACGGCATGGCCCCATAAAATCTGCGTGTTATATTTTTTATTTATATGAATAGTGTGGATTAAAATATAATCTCGTAAGATCAGCGTGACTCTCGAAAGGCCGCTCATTTCAACCAAATTTAGCGCTGGCATTTGCCTGGAACCCGTTGGTGGCTCTGAGGGCTGTGGCGCCGCAATACACGAACGACGACTGTTCCATTCTTACAGTTCACATCTTGGTGTTGCGGCAGATTGGCGCTCCAAGAAGGGTCCCGATAACGTTTTCCAAAGCTGTCATTTGACGGCTCGCTGCATCCAATCATCAAGGGCTGTGTTTGTGTCATCGCTGTCTCCTGGTGGACATGTAAGAGGTTCGTGTCGCTGATAGATGCAGACCGACCATGTCGATAGATGAGCTATGCAGTAGGTTTGTCAGCTGCACATGCACTTGTATTTGCAAAGTCCTGTGCTCGGCGGCTGCTGCGTAAAGACGAGGGCCAAAGGATGTCTGCAGGTGGTTACCATCTGACCCGCGGAGCGCATCCGGACGGGCTCGGGACTTATGGAAACGTGCGGCATCGTTCAGGCGATAGGTCTGCGAGGTGAAAATGGCACTCTCAAAGGAAGCGCGGAATTATATTACTGTAGATTCGAGCATCCCGACGGACTCGATTCATTTCCGTGTCTGGCGTGAGAATCGACGCCAAAGCGTCTGGGCGGCACCGCGTTTTCCCTTTTTTGTCCGGTTTCGCCTCTGCTCGACACGATCTTGCGGGGTGCGGTGCCATTGGTACCACCAGCTGTTTGGATGCGACAACACAATTTAGAGATTCTGAGCGTTCGAAACCCTTCGAAACGAGGACAAACGAGCCCGCTCGACTGTTCTGATGAGCCTGCGATGCTGTTGGTGGAGGCACGAGCGGGGGTCGCAGAGAAGGCTCAGCACACGGTGCAGTTATCAAAAGAACATCTTATTGCTAAATATCATAATAAAAGATAAGAAAAGGGACCAGAAATGTTGGTCGCGTAATTGAGCCGCAAATATATCCTGTGGCGTGGCTGTAGCCTGTCGTCTCACCTGGCCAGAGTCGGTCTCGGTCGAGATGCGCGTTTTCATTTCGGGACAGACAATGCACGCACTGACAAAAGGACGATCTCCTCGTGCATGCCTCGACAGCGTACCTGACCAGTGACAGCTACCGAGCTAACGGAATGTGAGTATAGTTGCTAGCTAGCGTCGATGAAAATGGCGCCACCCCTCCCTTCCCTTTTCGAAAGTTTCTTCTTGCGACATATCGGCAAACGACACACACGGTACGACGAACGGCGAAGCAGCTTCGTAGCGGAATTCCCCACGCCGAACCTCCTTCTCTTTTTCCTTAATGAAACACAAAAGTTGAAGATCCCTGCCACGGTCTCAGATACCGGCATCTGGATTCGATCGATGGAACGGTGGCCAGTCAAATAAGATCCGAGATCGATCAGTCTGCCAAACTAGTCAATCTGATTGTCCCTTGCTTGATGTCCGATGAAGGCCGCCGCATCGGAATCGCAATCCGAAAGCCAGCTAGCAGCGAACGGCAGCTGCGAGCAAAGCAGACACACACAGGCAGAATGCCACTCTCTCGTCTTGTGTTACTCGACGCCACCAATGCAAGCGCGGGACGGACAATGTGTACCGCGGTTGTGGGCCAGGCTTCGCCTTACGCTCCTTTCGTTTGGACAAAGCGGGGAGGAGAGGTGGCCGGCCGCCGCAGCTGGGGTGCGAACAACAAGAAGGCGGAGATGCGCAGGGTGGACAAGAGGTGCACGGCAGACGGGTGCAGAGAAGCAGGCGACATTCCTCATTTTGCAGCGTTCTCAAAAAAAATATATGATTTGGCGCCGTCCGCTTACGATAGCTGTCATTGTCATCGCTTGGCACCATTGTGCGAATGCAGAATGAACTTTCCCGGAGCTGCAGTGTCAACGAAATCGTATCTTTCAGAGTCCGGTTCGTGTTCGATAGCAGGTAAAGCCGTGCAGCACGAGCGGTCGGCGAACTCGGTGGCGGCGGCTAAGCTTCAGACGGATCTCCTTGCTTGCTGCTAACCTCGTGTTCTGTCAAACATTAATCCTATCGTACATCCCCCCCCC